TCAGAATGAGTCCAATTTATAGGTAACCTAGGATCAAATTCAAGAAACAGACAGAATCAATCCCAGGCTTGATTTTTGATATTGCATTTTATCCAGACAAGATTTTAGGTCCAAAATTTTAGTCGTATTAATTTGATTCTATGTTGACCCAAAAATATGGTGATTCTAATCCTCATTCACATGCAAATTGAGCAAAAAATGAAACAAAAAAATAATAATAATAATAACAATAATAATAATAATAATAATAATAATAATAATAATAATGGTAACATAATCCAATTGGACCAAAATGGGCCTAATTAGGTTTGACCAAAATGGGCCCAACTAGGCTTGGACCAAGATAGGCCCAATTAAGCCCGAACCAGAATAAGCCCAATTGGGTGAAGGCTAGAATGGGCCCAGTTGGGTCAGGGCCAGAATGGGTCCAATTGGGTTTAAACTAGAACGGATCCAACTGAGCTTGGATAAGAATAGATCCAGACTGAAATGAGTGTCTACAAGAAAAGCAACACCAGTGAAAGGAGTACTCTCGTTAATAGTAGTGGAAAGAATGACCTCAGCTTCAATGACATCTATGTCTTTCCTTCTCTGTCCCTATGGCATCCTCTAGCTCTTCTTCTAATGCCTCATCTTCATCTTTCTCTTTCTTTTTTTCTTTTTCCTCATCCTCTTCAAGCTGATTTTGAACAAGCCTCGATTTGATATTATTTATATCAATATCAGAGAGGTCGAAGTTGAGAGAGGAGAATTTAAATTGCACCTCTTTTTTGGCTAGCTAGAAGGCACTAAGAACATTTTTCTTAGAGAATTTTACCTTTACTCGAAGACACTCATTAGAGGCTTTATACTTATCTATAGCTTTCATTTTCAACTCTTCTTCCTCTTGTCTCGATCCTTTAGCTCAAACCTTAGCCTTGCAATTTCAGTTTGAGCATCATTTAGTTTCAAGTTAGCCTATTCCTTCATCGATTTAGCTGAGACTTTGTCCACCAAGATGACTTCTAGCTTCGTTGTCAAGTCATCTACTTTTCTCTTAACTTTGCCTCTTTTTTGTGGGATGTAGTGAGGCTCAATCTGACACTATCCAATCCCTTCATGCTCTTCGTGTGCTCTTCGATGAGGGCGATCATGTCTTTTTCAACCCTTAGTATATGTCCCATGACCAGATAAGCATGATAGAGAGCCTAAATGTTGTTCCCCACTAGTTGATAAAAGAATTTCTTTTAGATTGCACAGAAAAACCTTAAATTTAAAAAATAAAAATAATAGTAAGAAATCAAGCTAAGGTCTAGAGATACTCATAAAGAAGATAAACCATGACTTTACAGAACCTCTTAGTAACATCGGGGTTAGAGACAAGATTATTAGTTAGAGCAAACTCTAACCCCACAGATATTCTTTTCGAGCTAGGTATCAACACCCTAGCCTCAGGGTTCTCAGGAGCAGATGATAACATCTCCACCTATAGTCTTTTAGTTGGAAGAGGTGGCATTGGTGTTGATGTGAAAAATAGGTCTCGACCTGCTCTAACCTTTGATTTTTGACCTGGGAGAGTATGAGATATAGATATGCTGACAACTTTATCTCCCCCACACAACAGAGTCCTAAGCTGAATTTTTCCCCTTTTTGAGCCTCGGGGTGTGTTGATATAGGGCAACGTTGAAGTCTACCCCGGCTTCAGCCATATATGTAAAACCAAGCTAACAGTTGGATGAAAAATTAACTCAAAATAAAACCTAACAAGGTTACCTTAAACCTACCCCAATATTTTATCATGTTTATTACTTTCGAGGAGGTCAGCTTATGAACATTGATACAAGCTCCTTTTACGTGTAAAGTCTAAAATTTTATCCCGATTTAATAGATCAGGAATAAAAAGGGTCAGCGGTGCATCCACAAAAGAGTCGGGTGTATTTCTTATTTGCCAAGCCTCAATCTCGAGCTCATTATCTTTATTAACTTTTTATTTTTCAAAGCATAGGAAGAGTAGCTTTCAGTTCTTTATTGAGCTCAACCAATCAGCAATAATCTTTTTATTTGACCAAGCTATGATATAAAATCACCCATTATCACTAGGATTTTTTTTAAGAGAAAAGAACTCTCTGAATAGAAAGAAATAAGAAAGAATATTTAAATGTTGACAAAGAATAATAAAAGAGACTATGAACTAAACAAAATTTGGAGTGAGCTGAGTAATTGTTAAATTATACAAATTAAAAATTGAAATAAATAAAAGATGAAGTGAAAACCTTAGACCAGCCACAAACGAATCCCAATATATATAGATTCGATGTGGCTCTAGTCTATTAGTGACTCGATTTGAAGAGTTTGGAGTTATTATACTGTACTCCTCTTTAGAAAAGAACAAAGGTACCCAAAGCTCAAATGTGATAAGTTGAGCACATGTTGGGATAGTCTTCGGGATTTGTTTTACCTTTTAGCTCACTTATCACATCCTTAGGGATCACGCTGAGTTTACATGTAGTATATATAAGAACTTCAATGAGTTTGTTCTACTCTATAAAACTCTCTCTCTCGTCATCACTTTTTTTGACTGAGGTATTCTTTTCTTTTTGTCCTTTATCAGAACCTCTCTCGTCAGAAGAATCTAACTCTTAGGTGAAAGATGGATCCCAAAAAAAAATAGTGGATAAAAACAGCTCAATTTAGAAGAAAAAAAGATGAAGTGAAGACCCCTAAAAAAAAAGATGAGATGTTAAGAAAAATTAAGGGGAAAAGTAAAAATGGCAAGAAGTGGAAGAAATTAAACCCCAAAAGAAAGAATACTTAAAGAAAAAAGAAGGCCGACCATAAAAGATCGATCGACTTAAGAGACAAGGAAAGCAAATGGATTTTAAAGCTCGAAATCGATCTGAGCACACAGTTCTTCAGTGCTCAAAACTCACTCACCTTTTGCCAGAGCATTCTTTTCATTACATCACTGCCCTTCTTCAAATATCGAGTTAAACCAATAAGCCTTTTCTTCGTAATTATGGCTCTCAAGAACATGAGGGATCAAGTCATTATCTTGTTGCTTTTGCTGACCTTCCCTCAAGTTTATGCTATAACTCTCAACCCCTACAGAACTTATACTAGAAGACATGGTTAGAAATACATACCGAAATGGGTGTAGAAAAAACTTTAAAGGAAAGAAAGTTGTAAAAATTAAAAATTTTAGGTTCGATTGAAAGCAAAAAAAATGAAAATAAAAAGATGAAGCCCTACCGGCCCTTTTATATAAAAATGTTTCAGCCTAGAGGGATGGCACGATCTGTTCCATGTGTCAGACCACAAATAGGTAGACGTCTTTTCATCTTTCTACTTTAAATCTCATCGCTTAAACCATCTCTCTTTTCATTTAATACTGTCAAATCGACCTAATTAGATGAATCTCAGATCGGACCAACTAAACTGGATAGCTGTCAAGGATAAACATAGAGCTTGATTCACTTTCAGGGTTTAAAATAAAGACTTAAGCCCAAATTTTTGAAAAAAAACACAAGTCTCATTACGACCATACGAACTCTAACAATAATCTTGAATCACCCTAGATAATTATCACCTTGGTAACCTTTTAAATCGATTATGCACTCATCTCGAAACACATGAGCAAGATTGAATAACCACTAGGTCAAACCGCGGCTCAAAGCTAGTCATCGTCCATAACCAACCTCCCCCTGTAACATTCACCTTCGATGAAATATGCAGCCACTTACCCCACACTGAGGATGTCGGTAACAAATTTGATGATTTGATACTCAAACTGCTTGATAGAGGGACAGAGTATTAAAGGCATATAATGGTCAAAAGGGCATAGTAGTCTTTTTTTCTCTCAATCTTCAACAAACAACTAAAGGTATCTTGATCATTTATGTCGACTTGACAAGTCAAGTTGTTCTGACATTTTCAGTGCCACCTCAGCTCGGTCCTATCGTAATTGTCTCTTTTTTGTCTCCTCAGCTTACTTAGAAATATAAAGATTCAGCATCATGCAGCCAAGTTCATCTAATTCATATATTTCTCTCCTTCCTACTTTTTCACTTCCTTTCTGACCTGATTGTTACTAACTTGCGTATTGAATACAAATGCAGGAAACACCTTTTGCTTTTACCTCTAACTATCTTTTTTTTTTTTTGCATTCACAAAAATATCTTCAAGTCAGAATTCGATACCAACCCATACTAACACATATTTTTTAGGGTGTAATAAAAACATATATCTAACAGTCCATTAATTTACTTATAAAATTAAAAAATTTTGCTGTCATTATATCAAAATGAACTTTTTTTATGATTTAAAACTGTGATTGATGCCATTAAACTTCCTATTGTTGTTTGCTAAGACAATAACATTAATAGACTTCATATACTATATTCTCTCACCCTATTAATTATTGGGATGGATGAAGTAGACTGACCAAGCTAATAATGGTGTAATATCCTTTTCACACACATGACACCACAATAACAACATCAATCAATTTTTTTTTTCCAAAAAAAAAAATCTTGCTCTGCTGATGCAAATATATAATTTTCCAAAATGTGTGACAAATCAAAATTTAAGTAAAATTATAGCTATCTAGTATTGAAACCAAAACTACTTGAAAACAATGAGTTGAGCCCATTTTTTAGTGGCTATGGCTGCAAATCAATTCTTTGTGGTGCCGTGCCATTGTTTTAGTTGTTCTAGAAAATGAGAGAAAATATTAGGACTGCCTGTTTGAATTTGATGGCAACTTTTCAGGCAGTCCTAATATTTGTGTCCTATCAGTCCTATCAGTCTCAATCATGGACCTTTCATGTTTTTATCAACTTCTAAAATTGGAATTGATCAGTTATTATGATTTGTTGACTTGAAAATCCAGTACCCCATTCGTTTCTTCATCATCAACAATGTTGAATCAGAAAAATTGGAGGAAATTATCACCAGGAAATCTATAATTTATTTGTCAGTTTAAGATTTTCCCGGTGAGTAGTTAGTGCTATGTAGTAGAAAACGCAGGAGATATTCTTCTACAAAATACGTTCTAAAATCGAATCTTGATCGTTAAAATTAAAATTTTAATATTTTTATCTTCGACTGTCAACTTTTTATAAGTTCTTTAAATATTGTAAAAGATTCCAACGTTATTTTCTTTGGGATGTGAACGAACTTTAAAGTTTAGATAGGTAGATGGAGACTGATTTTGTGCAGAAAGGGACCCTCAGTGCATAAAAGCCTTTCCAGCCAATAAGTTGGGTAACCTAATCTTGCATTTGTCAATTACTGAGAAAAGAAATGTCTAAATCATATGATAAAATAAGAAAAAAATCTACCCCCTTGCTAGTGGTCCACTTATCTAATATTATCATGCTTGGTGGTAGCTTAAGGGCCTGCCTCAAGATGAATGTATCCCGTCAATTAACATATAACTGTAAGTAGACAGAAAATGAATAGAAATCTTAGCATGACAAAAACCATTTTGATTGTTTATTGTAACTTGCAACAAACTAACAAAAATTCAACCTAAAAAAATCATTAAATTTTCACAAATATATCCAAAATTTGGCATAGAGGTTCTTGAAGAAAATAAAGTTACTCTTAAACACACATTAACTACAAAATCCATAATTAAATTGGATTGCCACCTGCTAAGGATAGAGAAATTATCATTAACCAACCAATGATCCAATATAGCATGTCTTTTACCATATGACTGCAATCTCACCCAAGGCCAAATTGGACCTAATAATCTGAGAAGTGGCACCTGGGAGGCTGGGACTAGGCCAAGAATAATGGGCCAAACGACCAGCTGGCAGCTAAAGAATTTGTCACCATAGAACTGGTTAGTCGGTCTAGCTATGTCAAAAATTCTATCTCGTAACTTTGGGCTTCAAAATCCAAGCTTTCACGAATGGATGGATACCATCACCAACCAGATTAGGATCTCTTTCATGATTTTCTAATGCTCAAATGAAATACCTGACCGGTAAGCCAGATGCTTCTTCTGAAGTTTCATACAATTGAAACTTTACAATAACACAAGTACTGAGGCCAGAAAAGCTACCTGATGATAAACTTCAAAAGAAACTACGACTTCCTGCTATGCCATGGAACTACTTTAAAATGGGGAACAAAGAAAGGGATCCAATGTAATCAAACTGTTATTGCTATTAGTAATCAGTAAGAAATTTTAAGCACTACATAGGTTGTATGAGGAAAATAGCACCGATACCAGAATTTTCGGTTTTCATATCAAAGCCTTATCAATAAAATTGATAAGAAACTCTTAGCACCTTTCTCCCTATAACATGGCAACCATTGTTTCAGTATTCAAGATATAATATTATCATCCTATGCCTGTCAAAAGGCAGTTTTAATCTCCAATCCCTCTGTTTACGACTAAAAGGTCTACCCTTGCTGTTGGGGTCCCTGTTTTCCTTCACATCTGCCAACTTCCATACACAGTTCTCTTGCTCAATGGAATCTAGTAAGAAGACTCCACTCTTTTCGGTACAGTTAGGCTCTGCATCTTCAATATAACAAACTCTCATAGCCATATCTTTGAACCGATCTAAATCATCTGGTACCTTTAGTATTCTCTCTGCACCAGGAGATGATACCTTCAAAACATAAACATCTTGTTTAGATAACAAATACATTAACAGTTTCATGGCAAACTTCAGTGACAAACAGTAGAGACTAGAGAGCCATATCTGAGCCTCTGAACGTAAGAACTAGCCACTTATTACCTCTAGAGCCAAATCATCAGGTATTTCTCTCCGTTCTCCAGCTTCATCTAATCTTTTCTTGTATTCTTGACTATAGCTCTCCAGCTCCTCCATGCTGGGACAACCATATCTGATGAAAGGCAGATTGGTCTTTTAATATTAATATTAAGAACCCTAGTGATTCAAGTTCCAAGCTAAATACATTTACACTCAAACACATATAAAAAGATTATCCATCACAAAATGAATACATAGTTCCACTGAAAATTTTATATTTATAAAGAGAAACTTCCTTCTTTCTTGATCAAATACCAATGAATTGGGTCAAGCACAAGAAATTAGACTACTTGGTTATTGCTTTTGCTACTTATATTTTACTTTCTAAAAAATTGGTTAAAAGCTGCACAACAAATGAGAGAAAAAAAATACCGTCATTACTGAAAATGAACAAATGATTAAAATGTAAAATTCAAAAATTACTGTTCTATGTAAAAGTAAAATCATGTATTGCATATTTGCGGTCTAAAAGAACACACAGACACACAGACAGATATATATTAATTTTAAATTCTTCAAAACCATTATCTGCCTTTGTATCCAAAGGTGATTTTTGCTTTTCATTTCAATAAGCAAAATATAAGTGATAAAAACAACAATCAGATGATAGCTAGTTTCTCAAAAAAAGATACTCTAGTTTCTCACATTTGTAATCCCAAATGAAGAATAGAAATAGTAATACTTACTCATTTGACAATTTGTCTAGTCTGACATAAATGTATCCTCGAGGTGTAGTCTTGAAAGCATAAAGTTTAATGTCATCACTCAACATCTTTAGAACATCATGGGCAATAGAAAGAACAGATTCACCCCATGGAACACCTTGGAATACAACACCACCACCATCCCCTCCATCACCAATCTATATAAATCAAACCAACTCGTTATCAAAAAGCAAGGTAAATTATATAGCATCATACAAAATCAAAGAAACCAGAAATAATGTACCTTGGGCTCGACGACTTCATCCTCTTCTTCCCACCCATCTGTGGTTTCCCCATCATCTTCAATTGTTTCATCTGCAAAAACCAAGAAGTTTACAGTAATCAGTTTTAGACACAGAACTTTGATCAAACACTAGGAGCCAAAGCAGAAAAGTACTAAAGAAACAAAGAGATAGAGATATACAGAGCAATGGGTCATCTTCTTCTGGCTGGTTCTCGTGCTTGTTGTGGCTGGAAGTGGTGCTGCTTAATAGACGGTGAATAAAGGAAGAAGAGGAAATGGGTTGTAGTTGTAGAGAAGAACCAACAGCAAAACGAGAAGGAGAAGCAGAAAAGGGAGGGTCAAGGGCGGTGGGGAGAGGTAAAGGAGAGAGCCTTACGGTAGAGAAAGATGAAGCAACGAAGCCAAAGGGAGGCCTTCGAGAGCTTTGTAACAGAGACTGAATAATTCTACTATTGATCATTCTTCTCTGTTCCCGTCCCGTCTTCAGCTGCTATTGTCGGCTCTAAACACAGGGTTTCGTTCGTTGCCGACCCCTCTAAATACATGTGAATGCCAATACAAAATATTATACTTTTCCCAGTCTGAATTTCTCAAGTTACCATTCATATTTTAGCTTAGATGAATTCCATATATTACTTTTTTTTAAGATAAATCTAAAGTAGATAAATTACTCACTCCCAAGTTAGGAAAAATTTTTTAAGATAAATATGAGAAAAATAAATTACTTAATCTTTAAATAAAAAAATATATTATAACTAATAATTTAAAATAAGTAATTATAAATTATATCTTTGAAATTATTTCAACAGAGATGAAACTCAAACTCAAAATCTTTGAATCAATAAAAATGAATTTTAATCAATTAAATTAACTATTTATTAATATGTATTTTAAATTTATGAAAAAGTTATACACTCCAATAATTTCCCATGGAACCAATTCAAAGATACATAATTATACTAAATTTATTTATATTAAACCTTACGAATTGATAAAAAATTCTTCCCATAATTTCTTTCATCGTGTTCGTTTTCTCATTTTGGTTAGCTAGAGCTTAATCCATCAACAGCCAATCTTTGCACAGACGATGATGAAACACCATTGGTTTGGTTTTCTTATCATAGATGATGAAGGAAATATATGATAGAAGAAAATTTGATTACATTCATTTTTGCTATCATGCAACCTTACAACATAAGGAGATAAGAAAAATAACATGAACAAAAAAAAAATGTAGCATATAAACTATCTACAACCGGAGAATGGTTCGTAGTGTGTCACATAGGTTTTGAATGGTCTGCTCCTCCTGGGTCGCCTGCAGCTCTTGCAGTGGCATCTCATCATAGCACCTGCAATGAATAGAAGAAAAATGGGGTAAAAAAAATGGTAGCTGATAATTGGTGAAGTTACCGATACTTACATTTTATGGTAAGCTAGGGCCTGCGCCAGATTCATTAGTGTAGAACTTGAAGTGAGTCTTTGGTAAACGCTAGGTGGAAGTGGCATCTGTAGCATGTTAAACTGGCAAACGATTCATAAACCTCTGAGAGATATAGACAAGGAAAAGGAAAGGGAGAGAGAGAGAGATATGGAGAGAGGAAGATGGGAATCGACCTCGTTTTGTGCTCTTCGACCTTTCTTTGGTTGCCCATCACCAGCAAAAAGTTCCTGCAGTGCTTCCACTGCCACAGTTCCATTACTATCCTGCTGCGTGCTTCCAAGGACATTGTCCGACAGCAGGGCAATTGGGGATATGTCCGAGGCCCTCAAGAATGGAATGGGTACTGTATTACCAGCTGCATATATCGAAAATAGCTGCAAAAAACAAGTGTCAATTGGGGGAATGAGCAAAGCCGAAAGGGAATGGGCTGGAACCAACGGGAAGCACATATTTACTTGTTAGTTAACAATTGGGGGAATGAGGAAAGATGAAAGGGGAGAACCTTGTGAAGCAGAACGTACTAAATAATTGCAAATATCAAGACAAACAACCCTAAGTGCCTCACGCTTAAATTCAAGCTAATTAAACTTTGAATAAAAGGGCAGAAAACTTCAAAAGCAGAAAAAATTCAAATTCATTGTTAGCAAACAAAGATTCACTCGAATTCCATGGAGACCAAGACCATCTATTAATTGGTGCGGATATAGGTGCAGAATGAAAATAACCTTATCTTGCAAAGCAAAAGCTTTCTTGCTGACAGTTTCATTCTTCAATGTGCTACTGCGGATTTCACTGCCACCTTTTGCCTTTGCCTGCTGAACAATATCTGAACTCAGTTCAGGAGGGACAAATATTGAAGGAGAAGATCCCTGAGCCATTAAATGTGATTCTTCCATTGTAGTATTGTTTGCCAAAGCACCCCTTCTGTTATCCACCCTATAAAACAGGCCCACTCAATTGAATGCTTGAGTTGGCAACTAGATTAAAGGCTTCACTACTTTAGTGATACACACACACTTACAAGACATGGAGCAAAAATATATAGTAATTAAAACCTATGGTGTTTATCAAGTATTTTTTAATAAAATTCACTTTAAAAAACCTACACACATAGAATCATGAACTTGGAACTTATTAAACTCAGAAGAGTATAGGAAGGGAAGTACCCTGATTCAGCTAAATGGCGCCCTGTGCCATTAATCAAGGAGCTGTCAGCATGTTCAAGAGCAGTTGAAGCTTCTTTACCTCTGTGAAGTTGACTTTGAGCAAATGACTTCTGCAACTCATCCCCACCATGAACTATTACAGTGCCAAACTCACCTGTTAAACATAAAATTAGAAAAAAAAAAAAAAAAAAAGGGAGAATACAAGACGACAAACAAAGTTTATCCAAAAAAATAATGAAGAAAAAAGTCGACAAATTTAAAAAAGGTAGATTTATGTTAGTTCCAGTCCGCTCCATTGAGATGACAACCAGCAAAGCAAACCTCAGAACTTTCTAATTGGCCCTTTTTTTTTTTACGAGTTTGAGTAAATAAATGCATTATTATCCCTAAACGTATGGTACCACCAGGACGACTAGATATTGTCTAACAAAAAATAAATTCGGTAAACAAAGCTTTCACTATTATTTTCTACCCCCTGTAAGCAAAACATAGAAATAATATTCTCGTAGTTCTACCATTCACTACCAGATTAGGTCCACAACAAACATTCCCTGCAGCAACTCAGAGTAATTAAGGTATTCTATCCAAGATTTATGGAATAAAAGAAATCCGTTGGAGAAATAAGTACACTTCTGACTTCATAGCTTCACCATTATCCTCATGAATGCAAGCTAAGGAATGAATTCCAAGCCCCATTAAAATGTTATACCAGTATTACAGCTCAGCTGTTCATCCATATAAAACCTGTCTTCATATATCTAAAAATTTCTTTTAAAACAAGAAACCGAATCCCATGAGTTTAATTATAGATCTCCCAAGCAAGCCCCTTCCCCTATCCCCTTTTGCTACAAGTACATTTGCACAAGCATTGACTACCATCAGCCCTACCACTGAAATCCAACTAGATTATTAGATATGGCATGCAAAAAAGAACTCCATACCTTCACCTGTCACTTCCACACCATCTGATAAGTGATGCTTCTTCAAAGTGCCAGTTGCAGGAGCCTCATTTGCAACTTGAAGACCCATATTCTGAGGCATTGATGGAACAGTATCTCCATAATCCTCATTTAACTTTGAACCTACCAATGGCTGCTACAAATCGGAAGCAGTTAGAACCAGATGAGATACATATGCATGCACACCACAGACGATAGTTAGTTTGTCCCTGTGTGTGAGAATATTTGCATATCCACAATTATGTGGTCATTTTGGAAAGAGGGAAAAAAAAAGATATAAGTGCATTTAGAACAAGAGAATTCATACATTAAGTCCTGAAACGGTAGGAGCAAGAATTTGTGCTTGTTGAACCATTGCAGCCCTTATTTGCTTAGCCTTCTCAATCTTTGGCAACATTACAGAAGCTCCACATTTGCATTTCTCAATGAATTTGTGCTAAGTTTGAAACACGGATGATGATTTCAAGTCAGAAGTATAAACATAACAGAAAATAAAATTAAAAAAAGCCAAAGAAAATGCAGGTAAGGTGGAGAAGAAATAAGTGAATAAGCATATTGAAAAAACTCCTTTGTTTCCCCTTTGCTATCAAGCAAATGCTTCATTTAAACTCTATTAAGATGGTGTATGGCTATTTTGAAAAAAGCAAAGCAGTAAGCACAAGATGGTCATTTATATGCAGGAAGCATTGATGATAGATGAAGCTGATGTCATGGGCCGGGAGCTTAAGCCTAGAGGACCCGTGCGGCCTTAGGCAGGAAACTACAGCCTAAGTCAGCCTTTTCCCCGACTCTGTGCCAAGCACTTGGGCTGTCCACTCCATTGGCTCCCTAAGAGCTTGGGAGAAAGCTAGGAAGGAGAGAGTTAATGCAACTGTACTTCTATTTACTTGATCTTATATATAATTATTCAATGCACATACAATGACTCTGATGTCTATCCCCAAGTGTCTAAGTATGGCTAAGTCTAGGACTAACCAAGTACTTCTTCTCTATGATGTACAAATGAGGGGAGGGCCTCCCCGGCACATGTGACCCTTATTGAACCAAGTGTGTGGCCATCATAGTCCTTCTAGACCATTCCATGGTCCCTAGACACTATCTAGGTCAGCTAAGGCCTTTGCAGAATCCAGCTGGTTCCAGGCTCCCTACTGAGCCTCAAGTCTGAAAGGGCCCAGGCACTCCCACTGAGTGCCTGCACTTAGTGGGTTCCAGAACCTTCTCCTTCTGGTCGCTACTCCACCCACAGCTAGGGCCTTAAATAGCCTTCCTTGTCTGGATGCTACAGTACCCGCTACTGGTCCCGCACCTGGCCCTTCTGGAACCATCGGTGCCTGTGCACCTGACCTGCCTCCAGGCTTCTCTAGACCCTTCATTGCCCACTCGCCTGACCTATCTCTAAGCTTTTTTAGACTCTTTTGCACCCACGGGCTTGGCCTGTCTCCAGGCTGTTTAAGAGCCTCCTGTGCCTGACTGCCTGCACCACTCTTCTAGAGTGTTGTAAATCCTTCCAACGAGCAGTCCTCGTACCGGCTCTAGGCTGCTCACCTTGCCGTGCTCTCGCACCTTAGCCTAAGCCCTGGTCCGCACACTTGGGTGTCATATGTGCCTTTACGACCTTAATTTTGATCCTTCGCAGTCCTTTGCCCGCACCAACTTGAACAAGCTGTGTCTCTCGACCCACTTGGCTGAGGATTTGTGCACTGACCGTGACACTAGCACATTGTAATTCTTTTCATTCTAGTCTTATACTGCAGGTTCGTAACTCAGAATTCTCCTGCCATGTTAAATATTATTACCATTTTATTCAAACATAAAGCTTCTGTAAGAGGGCCTGTCACTGCCGCTTGCAACTCCAATGGTAGATGACCAGAATGAAAGGGACAAGGATGTCCTTGTTCCAATGTCAACATCCCACAGCATGTTAGTTTGGGATTTTCTATGGCCAAATAATCAGGTTGAACCTCTCCGCCTAATGTCAATTTGGTTTAAGCTAAATGTTTTAACACTTACTAGCACAGATGACAAGTTGAAAGTAATAGAACAGATTTTAATAATGTTTAATCTGAGAACACTTCGACATTCCAGCATACAAAACATATATATAAGAAACAGTAAGATGAAAATTCCTAAGAATGTGAAATTCCTGCAATAAAGGTAGACAGATTTATTACCATACCTTCAGCATCTCAGATGCTGTAGGGCGTAGTCGTGGATCCTTTGTAAGGCTCTTAGCAACAAAATCATGAAATACAAGAGACCTGAATGTCAAAACAACCTAAGTCAGAACACAGAGATCTATGATGTTTTTAATGAACTTAACCGTACTTAAATCAAATTTATTAAACTCATATTTGACAGCCACTTGTAGCTTAAAACACCCATGGTCAAATGTGGAAAATCAAGTGTAATCTACCTCATTTTAGCATGGAGAAATACTGGAGAAGGCTACCCAAATTAAATATTTTACAAATAATGGTTAACAGCTGAAGTATGACATGTAAAGAAAAGCACAAATTGTCAACTTGATTATTCTTTGAAAAAGGATCTCTGTACTGCTTATTCGAAGAGTGAATTACCATTGCTGGATGTACATCAATCTAGAAACAACAACCAATCATTCTCCTCTTTTAAGTTACCATCTTTCCAAAAAATCAATCATGAAAACATAACCTCACAGAAATAAACAAATAATTAGAAAAAAATCAAAGTTCAAAACATAAGATATCATGAAAATCCATCACAATGAAAGTTGAAAGCCGCCACATCTGTTCACAGAACTTTTAAAGAGGGAAGAATAATAAGACTCTTCCTCTCCCTCTTAACATCAGTTCTCATAGCTAATGTCTATATTTTCTTATGTTTTTTGTCAATGAAAAGCTACATGAATACTGGCAAAAAAACCTTGAGAATATGCAGACATGTGATGTGAACTGATCATAAAAGACCCAAAAGGTCACTACTGATGGACAAAGGAAAGATCATGAATTGGATAGCATAGAGTAACAGTGACAACTATCACGGTAGAAGGATTTTGTGAAGTTGAAAGATAAAAAATGATATAGCAAAGTTTAAGAAAGTCAGACTATTGCACATATAAGGATTTTGAAAATGAGTCCAAACTTCACAATAGTAGAAGGATTGAACTAATGAACCCATTGGAAGTTGCTAAAGACAATTCAGATTAAGCTATTATCTGCAATTGAAGAGATGACATTGACAACTTGAAAAGTAAAATGGTGGGGGGAAAATCATGATGAGGCAGCAAAACAGCACTATGCCACATGGTTAAGCTAAAGATAATTCAGGTTATGCCATATGGTTAATGTAGTGGTTGGAAGTTGCTAAATAAAATTCAGGTTAAGCTATTATCTGCAATTAGACAGATGACAACTGGAGAAAGTAAAATGGAGGGGAAAATGGTGATGAGGCAGTAAAACAGCACCATGCCACATGGTTCAAAACACAATATTGGTACATGATTTACTCATAGTGGCCAGAAATTCACGTAGATGGTGCTGTACAACAGAAATAAGAATCTTTTAATTCTGGTCATCAGTTTTGACGTTTCAGAGCCAACTTGTAAGCTACCATTCTTTAAGCAGCTACAGAAAATACTGCTCATAAAAAGGACTAGAGAGACAAACCATTTTTCTTTGTCCTCAAGCATCGGAGCTGGCTCAATCGATATCATAAACAAAACCTATTACAGACAACATTATGTTATCCTTCAAAGACTAATTGAGAATGATGGAAAAAAAAATCATCAAAAACAACATTAATAAGAAAGGCTTGAGGATCCAGAAACATTGAACATGATATTTTATATATGCAACAACAGTCAATCACATAAATATAGTCACCCATATGCATCCCCTCTAAGTGGCCAAACACTCATTTTCGGCTGATATTCCTACAACAACAAACACTTATTTTCACATTTTATCCAGCAAACACATGCCCAAAACTGGAAGTGAAGGTCAGAAAACCAACAGAGGTCCATTTGAATCAATTTATAACAGTAACGTGGTGCCATAGGTGAAAGTCATGCTCCCATCCTGACCATCAAAATCCAACTGTGTCAACAAATTTTAAAAATATAAACCTGAAACACTTGATAATTTACTGAATGACTAAAGAAAACAAAGCATCTATCATCAATAACCTCTACGGTTCAATTTTGCATGCTAACTTTAAAACAAAGGCCAGAGTGTACAATAACATAAGCCAAAAGAATTTCATATTTGGCAAAGGACATTGAATGCATACAATGTAGCCACAAATCATACTTAAGGCTATCTTTTGACCCTGGATAGATGAATTGCTTTAATATGTACCATTTCAGAAGATCCATTCCTGGAGGCACTACTTTTAAAGCCATCCTACGCAATATTATTAATCAAGACTTAATGTCTCTATCAAGGAGAAGTAATTCACATTGAGAGTGGTTATGGCATGATGTATCGTGCATACAAAAACCAAATTATCAAAGTTTAAATGCTTCATATCATGCACTTACCCTCATTGGATGCACTGCTGATCTTGGAGGAAGCCCCTGAAAAAAAATCGAAGATGTCAAGGGTTGTTATCATTGAGTTTCATTCACCTTCAATAATTCTTTCTCAAAAGTCATTCAATAGAGACAAGCCTCAACTATTACAAATAAGAGCTACAACAACTATTAAAAGAGTTTTGCTCTTATTTCGTCCTCAATGAGTGTGGTCCCACCTTTTTTATCCTAAATATTGGAGCTACTAATAAAAAAATCTTTATCCAAAATTGCTTGGGTAACCAATAAATTCAATTCAAGCAATGAATCCACAAAGTCAAATACTTCTTCTAGAATATCAAAAACAACCGATCAGATGCCATTTACAGATTTTGCTGGGAGACAAAAATAATAAGAATACCTCTGCCATTTCAACTGCAGATACACCAAGTGCCCACACATCTACCTGGAATTAAAAAATTTAAAATGAAAAATGAAGTTATAACATGAACGACTTTATCATTTCAAAGATATTAAATCCTTTTAACAAGAATCAAATCAATGATTCATACTAACATTTCCATTAATCTAAGCAATATTTACTAGCAAGAAAAACTTTCAATAAACATGCTGAAAATGCCCAGCCTTCCTCAGGTTTTCTTGAAATTTGGGATTTTACATACTATTTATCTGGTTTTTTTATTTTGGTAAATCTGTTTTATATCCAAGTTATTTCATGCAATTCCAAGTTTTCAAACTTTTAATAATTGTTATACATCTCTATAAATGAAAAACCCCCAAACATACAAAACCAGTGCGAAAAGGCATGCCATGATCATCTCAAAGAAGCCCCATCCTCCAAGTACTAAAATCTCCACTTTAGGTGTCATACTTAAGATTATACTACAGTGCTGCTGCGTTGGATAGCAAAGTCATTTATACCTTTTGTTTTCACAAGATAACTGAGGTATAATTTCACATAAAGTTTTTTATTGCTTCATCAACTGATCCTAGGAGCTCATAGAAGATTATTAGTTTCCTTTCTTCCATTCTCTAGTTCTATTACAAAATGAAAAAAGAACAAGGAAATCGGCAAAGTGGTAAGCCAAAAAAAAAAAAAAGATCAAAACCATTGAGATCAATGTATATGATACCTTTCCATCATAGCGACTTTCCTGAATAACTTCTGGAGCCATCCAATGAGGAGTGCCAATAAACTGAAAACAAATAAGAATAATATTATAAAACACACACATATACACACTTCCATTAATTTAGGACAAATAAATTATCAAATAATTATAAGATATCAATGATGCAAGTCAAGAAATCCATCAATGTCATTTACTATGAAGGAGGTAAAAGATAGCTATTACTACATGAGCTGCAGCACTCATCTGCAGGACAGCTGTCCCCGCTTCCAGAAAAGTGCCACACACCATAAGATTCTATAATAAAGGAAGTTAAGGGAGTTTTTGGTATGCTTGTAATGTATGATCTCTTACACTTGAAAGACTGGTTGATGGGCAAACTAGATGCAGAGTTGCCTTGTTTAGTATATTTAACATGATATCTAAAGAGCTGACCTTATAAATAATTTATTCACCTATCACTTTGACATTAGCAAGAAAGTGTAGGATGAAATTGATTTCTCTTAAGTCATTCAGAAAATTCTTCCAGAATATCCTCTGGCCTAGATACACCAAAACACCGAGATATAACGCATAACCTTTGTCAGAATGTCTATATTATGCTCGAAAGAAGTGAAAAAGTTAGACACATTGCAAAGTAGTTAGAATACTACATACAGTATTACGCTTTGACATGGTCCTTGTAAGCTGTGCTGCTACCCCAAAATCACCTGTTCAATGGTCAAAATAACACCAGATTTACAGATCAGCAAGTTGTCATGGAGAAAAAAAAAGGTAAAACATTAAGCCTAGAAAGAAACAGGATTCATACAAATTCTCTCCCTTCCAATTTGTCTCAGACCTCAGACCTTCTTGACTATCTTCAAGGCATGTCTAAGTCATTACTTATATCTACTTAGGACTATCACCCAAATTCAATTAAAAAGTTCAAGATGTCTGTACATTCATCAAATTTGTCTGCTTAATATTATCATTGAAATTCAATTTATAAAAATTCAAGTTCAAGAAAAAAAGCACTTTCATTGAAATCTTTCTTTAAATTAAAAAGCATCATCCAATTCAATATAGAAACAGCATAATCCCGCAAAAGGAAAACTACTACACAGACTCACTCCTAAAATTACAGCCAAATATAGGATATCACAGGCCAAAATACAGAGAATTTCGGTCAACATTTAGTTCTGTAATTTCAGAGTATGCAAATAAAGATAGGCAGAATAGTCACATATGCTTGGTGGAATACAACAACTTTCAGGCCAAGAAGTGCAAGGGCAGATCAAGTCATAAGAGAAGTCATTTCATTCAACAATTTTAAGGATAGCACCACTAGTGAATAACCCCTACAAAGACCTCAGTTTGGGTGGGATCATTAACAACTAATAATCCTCTTATTTAGTTTAGAAAGTATGGCTAAATTAGGATTCTAGTCTAACAAGCATAACCAATGAGCAATCCACAGCAGGTGGTTCCTGCACTGCAGAATCTAGGGCAGGATATGTATAAATAACCATCCTTAACTTCATAAAGAAACAAAGTATAAGATTTCTCAAAAAATATATTTGAATGGAAAACTTCAAATCCAATTTAAGAAGAACGAGAAACTACTGATGAATATCTATTTCAAGTTCAACACCCTAAATCAATATAATAAGAAGGCAATAACTACGTAAGAAATCTTGTTTTCTGTGATAACCTATGAAGCATTAGCTTTAAACAATCTGACAGAAACCTTTAAGGACAGAAGAGGCTTTAAGAAATCTCAAAATACACTTTTAATGACAAAGACTGTTGTTTCTACTGCATTCTTGTATACAAAGGGACTGACAAGGGTGCTTTTTTTGGTAAATACTAAGGATCAAAACAGATCAGATATAAACTTCTTTATGATGGAAATTTCTGTCAAGGACAACAAAATAGTTACTAATCCTACCACATGGCAACAAATATTAGGATGGATGCACTAACTTCAAGAATTTTAACTTCCAGAGTTACAAAAGACTTCAATTATATAAATTTATGCAAAGTATACTCACCCAACTTGACCTCTCCTTGTTCAGTTAACAAGATATTACCACCCTTAATATCTCGATGAACTTTGAAAATTGAGTGCAAATAATCAAGGCCCTGAATAAGAAGAAATTGAAAGGCAATATGTTAATTAGAAAATGGATACAAATTAGATAACGCATGGACATTATTATGGGTAGTTTGCTAGACTTTAATTGTTATTGTCTGGGGCCCCAGTCGTAACAAGCACATGTGACAACAAATAAGCACACAAACATGCACATGCGAACACATTGTTTCTGCATGTAAGAGCTGTTAATATCCTATGACCGCCGAAGATCAAGCATGACAGCAGAAACACACAAAAAGAGGTACTCAAAGTACACAGAGAAAAAGAAGTTTGATAACATTGGTGGCAATTTCATATTAAGTAAATATGGTTAAGGAAAGAATCTCCATTTTGACACAATAATAGAAAGGAAGAATGTCACTTTGGTTTTCTACATGCTTTAAAAGGAATCTCTACAACCATACGATACTTAGGTTCCTTGTGACCAGTATTATTTATTTCCAAACTCAATGGATTCAATAATACCTTTAAAGCTTCCCGACAGATATATGCTATCTGATACTCCTCTAAAGGCTCCTCCGTAACATTCATCAAATCAGCAACACTTCCACCTCCACAGTATTCCATTACTATCTGTCCAAAACACGGAAATAAGTTATTCCAATAACCAGCTATCAGTAAAGAGCAAATGCTTCAAAAGAACTTACAAAGCAATGCACCTAGCAACTGAAATTAACTCAAACTATCCTGAAACAAAAATTTGATGGAGAAAATTGCTTATTGCACCAACCCAAAGATATTCTTCCCCTTGGTAGCTCCCAAGGTACCGAACAACATTTGGATGACTACATTGTTGCAACATCTCAATTTCACCACGAATTTCTTCATACCCTTCTTCCTACAAATAAACAAACATAAAAGTTCAATTGCCAGTGATTCATCCTGCCAACGCCATCAAGTATATCAAATACAAACAAGAAAATCATACACACCCCTTCGCTTAAAGATATAACTTTAATGGCAACAAGCTCTGAAGTTCTTATATCTCTAGCCTTGTAAACAGCCCCGTAAGATCCTTTCCCTGCAACCCAAAAATCCAATATCAGTTACAAATTTTTCCTTTCGTTTCAATCTCAATAAAATCAGATGAATTCCCATTCATTAAAGAAACCACAGTTCCCTTAGCATTTACATGATAATTATCATTCAATTAGCTTTAAAAAGTACAATTAAAAACTCACCGAGCTCATTGAGCAACTCATATTTAGTGGAAGGATCTTCTCTAGTAACGCTATCGGGAATCGAGCTTGAGGAAACCTTACTGTTTTGAAAGAACCGATTCTCTTCCCCTTGCAAAGACGCACTCGAAGTAGATCTCTTTTGCTTCCCAAACCCTAACTCTCCCATACTCGCCACTGCTCTCTTCACCACCGTCCCGCTCCCTTCCTTCTCATTCCTCACCGTCGATCTCACCACAAACGTCCCAAAACCTTCCCCGTCACCATCCTCATCCTCCTCGTCATCATCAACGTCCACTTCATCTCTCCTTGCCCTCATCGGGCTCACCACCGCCGCCGCCGGTGGCTTAAACAAATAGGACGTTTGACCGCGAGTTTTACGTCCGCGATCGGTTTTCACGATCACAGTTCCGAAATCTCCAGCTTCGTCATCGTCGTCGAAGTCGGCAGGACCGCCGCCTCCGCCGCCGAAGTCTTTAGGCAGACGTTTAAGGAGAGGAGGGAGGGAGGAGTCGTCTTCGTCTTCTTCGTCTCCGTCTTTAAAAAGCATTGTGGCGTAAGGGTCCGGTTCGCGAGGCGGTTGCGGGTTAGGTTTGGATTTACGGGAATCGGAGTCGGATTCTGATTCGGATCCAGAGTGGATGACAACCGTTGAGTATAACTCGTGTTTGGCCGCGGCATTACGGCCCCGGCGAGAGCCGTGCGGATAATCCATTCCTTTCCTTTTCCCACCCAGGGAGTGTCAGCGCGTCAAAAGTCAGAGAACTCAGATCAGTGAACGAGAGAATCGCAGATAGCCGTTGCCCTGGATCAAAAAATAATAATAATAAAAAACAGTAATTTCTTAAATGGAAAATTAAATGGGCCCCTCCACGTGAGATGCGCTGGATTCTTTTGGGCCTTTCCAGGTCAAAGCCTAATTTTCTTTTCAAATAGTCAGTGTTTAATCACCAAGAAATATGAGTCACAGAAATTCCCTTAATTGAGCCTTCCATACACATGGCCTCTATAAGTAATTATTAAAAATGATTAATAAATAAATATATGAAATCAACGTTCATCTAAAAACACTGCAATTACCATAATTCAAGGCTCTTGTTTTCTAGTAATTTTGTAAAAAAAGATGAAAATTATTTTAAATAATTTTGCATTTTCCTGCAAAATGAGTAGGAAAAAACAAGAAATTTTCTTATATCTTGAATTAAAGTATATATGAAGAATAACTTGTCCAAATTTGATCAACAGTGACCAAAGTAAAGGGTTAAATAGACTTAATTTTTCATGTTACAATGTCACACTTGATTCATATCAACACACGTAAAATACATATTAACACATGTAAAACCCAAAAAATATGCAATCGACACATGCTAGATGATACTAGAATCGAACACTTTTAGCCTTGTACTTGTAACTTGAGGATAAAGAGACTGAGAGACAAGGTAAAATGACAGAATTATACATATATAACATTGTTTTTCATAGTAACTGAGCTCTGAAATAGATGTTTGTGCATCTAATCTGGAGAACTCTTGATTGAATACACTGAACAACAACCACAAAACCTGTATATTACACCACATGCGACTTAAGTTTTCATTCCTCATATATGAAGACACAATCTCATTTACTACCCCCAGGTCCCCCACCAAAAAGGTAGCCCAGAGAAGATCCACCTCCAGGGGCAGCATGAATTTTGGTGGAAGGTCGATCCTGCATCCACGGAAAAAAAAATGACAATGACATAAGTTATTATAGGAGTTCAACCTGTCCCGTAAACTTAATTTCAATACACCCTGAATAACCTTAGGCGGATGAATACAGACATTAATCCATAAAAGGGTAGTAACTGGTTGATTTAAACAGCAAAATCAATTATAAACACCATCAAAGCAAGTATTTATCTAATATCTTACCACAAGTTTTACAAGCATAATATTATAGCTTCCAACACACATTGGAATGATATCCTCCCTGTATATTCAATTATCGATTTTCCAAGCCAATTCCCTTGGAAAACAGTTAATACTTCAAAGTTATTTAGTCATTTATCACTAGGGTCAAGGAAGGAGAGACGGACACTTGGGATAAAACATTACATATTTCAGCTATCTTCGAACAGTAATTAACGAAAAGTGTACAAATATAACAAATTATACTTTTACCGGATGTGTTAATCCCAAACAATAATTAAACTATAAAAAGATTCAAAGCTTCCAACCTAATTCCCGGAACTTTGATACACATTACTTAATGATGCAGGCATGACAATTCCTCACTTATTGTTTCTCCTCAATAAGATTTAAGTTTCTAACAAGCAAAAATCATATTTTCAAGGCATTTATCAAAAGCACATAATTAGCTCTTTCTGAACTACCCAGACATCTATTCTGCATAACTACTTACACCACCAAAAGGGCAAGCCTTCTAGTATCATACAATTTTAAGGACTCATAATGCAGTCACAAAGGGGTTATACCGTAATGAAACTGCCAGTGTTCTGACTATCAGCATGCATACTGTTAATACCAGCAGGAATTTGCTTGGTAATATCTACTGGCTGAGGAGCAGGAGCAGGAGCAGGAGCAGGAGAAGGTTTTGAGACAGCAGGTGCTTCAGTTGGAGCAGCTTGGGAGTCATTTGTGGCTGGTTTTGGAGCTTCTCCACTCCCAAACAGATAGCCCAATGAGCTCTGCCCACCACCACAGCTAACTCCACGACCCATCTTTTCCAGCTTACAAGGAAATGAAGTTAAAAACCTATCACACAGGGAGGGATGAAAGACAAAGTAAGAATCTATAATCCAATTTTACCACTAAAGGAATGAATATAAATCAATCGACAACACCAACGGACATTTTAAACTATATTGTTCAGTACAAGCAGAAGACATGAAGCAAAACAAGCATACTGAAGGAACTTCCATCACAATTCTTGACAAAAAATATTTTCAGCAATGTTATTCCTAGACTTCACAGTTCACACCCCCTTTCACTTCCGAAATGCAATGCCGGTCTTGAATACCACTTCCAAACAAGATTCTTTCTATCCAAGTAACACTCAATGAAATGCCCCAATGCTTAGCCATAAAGGATAAAACCACATATCGCGAGGTCCTATGAACATTTGTTCCATTATAACACACTGGTTCTCATTTTTAAACCGTCTCCTTTTCCTTTCATAGTTTGATTTCGAGTATAGCACATATTCCTCACTCAAAATCAAGAAGATTGAATACTCCATAGCACAATTGAATGCCATTTACATTTCAACTACAGCAAACAGAGCATATAATTCATAATTTCACAGAATTTCCCATACAATTAGCATAAAATAAAATAAAAAACTAATAATTTCTAACACATTAAAAAAAATCAAATAATATGACAACAACATCGACATAATCAACGATTCAGAATAAGAAAAAAAACGTCACAATCAAAAGCTTTGACTCACTACTTCTAATCCAAAAAGAAAAACATCAAACAAACAAATTGAAACACAAAAAATGAGTAGCCAAAGTGAAAAGCATCGAATCAGATACAGTAAATAAAACGATTAGAATCAAGAAATTGACGGCTGAACTCAGTGAATGACACACTAAACCTTTGAAATACGACGAAGAAGAGGAGATCTAAGGCTAGGATTTTGAAATTACCTTGATTTTTATTTTTTGAGATCAGATCTGGAGAGAGTGATAAAGTGCAAGGGCGTGACAGTATGTAGGTCACAGAGTCACAGCAACTGGCCAACTGCACCCAAAAAAGAAAAGCGAGCGTTTTTGTTATTTGAGGATTGAAAAAACGACTATTCCTTAGTAAATGAAATATGATAAGTTCACTTCTGATTTTTGCTTATTCCACGCTTTTTGATTTTGTCTTATAGTGGCAAGTGTGAGGAGTTTGAAATTGTTTATAGTGAAATTAGCCAAAAATGGGGAGTGAAAATTTTAGCTTAGCTTGTAAGTTAGGATTGGCATGGATAAGGCTGATAATGACAATTTAATTTTGAATATAATATATAATATTATAAAATTTTAAATTTTAATATAAATTTAAATTAAATTTTTTAAAATCAATTCGATTTAGATTAAATTTTATAAATTTAATTCAATTTAATTCATCTATTTTAAAATTTTATTTTATATTAATTTAATAAAATTTATAATATATTAAAATAAATTTTTCTATAAAATAATTAATTTATATTATAAAAATTTAAAATATATAAAAATTAAAATATATATATAATTAATTCAATTTGATTTGATTTTTTTATTTTTTACATTTTGGTCTAAAATATAATTTAAATTTAATATATAAATTTAATCCAAAGATAATATAAAAAAATATTAAATGTGCCATAGATTTTTTTGCTTTTTTATTTTTAGAAATTTAATTCTTATAGTATTATTTAAAAGAATATAATCTTTATAATATTATTTTTTTAGAAAGTTTAATTTCTAAAATTATTAACCATTAAATTGAAATTTAAAAAAATATATATTACAAAGATTAAATTTCTTAAAATAACATTAAAAAGATTAAATTCTCAAAAATTTGTGACACATTTTGATAAAAAAAAAAAAATCAATCCCAATCAAATCAAATATTATAATTTTAAATCAATTTTCAATTTTTTTTATTTTTTTTCTCTCCCAAAGATGTGGGGGAGATTATCTGGCATCACCTGTGCAACCAGCAATCTGCAAACTGAAATGATGAGAAAACGCTGTCGTTTGTCTCCTAATATTGTCTTTTTCTCTTCTTTTTTTTTTTTGTCACAAGTGGAACTTTTTTTTTTTGTAGAATTTAAAAATTTTTATATAAAATGATCAAAGGTATCTAAGTTTTATTGGATGAATGATTTAAAAAATGTAATATTTATATCAATTTAATACATTTAAAATTTTATTTTGGAAATATCCATTGTAATGATTGAAAGTTGGTAAGAAAATAATTCCTCCCTTACCAAGTTTATTAATTACTATCCTCAAACTAAAAAAAATTAAAGGGGGATGAACCTTTTAATAGCATATCACCAAGGACAAAGTGTGTTGAAAATTTTGGTAATGAAATTTCAACAGATTCATAATGAAGGGAAAATGGGTTTCATTAAGTTATGCACAAATTCATTGCATCTAACTTGGATTTGAAATGGTGTTAAAATTTGCTAGGCTGAACATCTGTAAATCTGGTAGGTAGGTATGATGGTACCAAATCTAAAGGCAAAAATCTCAGCTACAGGTTTTTTATTCTTCCCTTATCATTTTGCATTGGTGGTTGGTAGTAGATTCTTGTTAGCAAGTTTTTTGGTAGGCCATGGCACCAATGAGGAGGTATAAACTCAGCTTTTTGCTGTATAATTTAGTTATTTTCCATATAATTATCATGTAATTGACCCAATTATGTAGCTGGCCAAAGCAGAGGAGAAATCATTTTGTTTTTTTAGCACAAAAGAGATCATAATATGAGAATAAAAAAGCAGTTGCAGGTGTCGAAGAGATAATTGCATGAAGTTACTGAAGTAACTGAGTTGAGCTGTGGGTTCAAAATCATTTTGTTTTTTCTGTAAGGAATGATGTCTAAGTTGGTTTATGTTCCTCATAAAAATGGTTGTTAATACGGGAATCATAGATTTTATCAACAATATAGAGGTACAAGTAAAAATGCTGGATGACAGAATTTGCACATTACAAATAGGAATACAACAGCATATATATATATGCATGCACATGATTATGAATAATTTGATGGTGGGTTAGTTTTAATCTCACATGCATGGACATGGTTCTGATGGCAAATATCACAAAATGCAGCAGTTGCAGATCAGAATGTGTCATATTCCAAAAGATGCCTTAGCTCAGGTGTACTGCCACAGGCTTGCTTTGGTGGAATCTTTGCTATTTCTGCAAGTATCTTGTGTAACCCTTGAGGCCTTGCGAAAAAAGGGGCATGATCAGAACCCTTAAGTTGGAAAACTTGTTCTGGTGGGTTGGATTTTATCATGGCATCCTGTAAAGGGATGGTAATGGCACAATCTTCTTGAGTTTTTATATAGAAACGTCGGATGGAGCCATAGTTCATATCAGAAAGAGAAAGCTTCTCTAAAACCGGTGCGAAAGGAATTGGTCTCATTGATACTGATGCCAGGGCAACATCCTGGAAGAAAATCATTTATCATCCTTTGCAATGACATTACAATCCCAAATTCTCAATGTATCTATGATGTTTTTGGAAACAATACCTTGGCAGAACTTTGATTGAAGAACAAGTCTCTCAACAATGTTTTGTCGAGATCAACAGCTGTTGGAGGGTTATTATTACCATTGGCATACAAAAATATCTGAGCCTGTCGCATTAGATCATTTGAATCCATCTGGAATAGAGCAAAGTATTAGATTACATTGCACAGCAGTTCAATTAACTTCATATCAGGATCAGGAACTTAGCCTTCGAGTCTTACCACTTTCTATCACAGCAAGATAGGGTTTCTGTTCATTTATTAGTTTAACAAACAATCACAAACAATATTTTAGGGTACGTTAATTAAACAAACAGATTACGAATATAGTAAAGTTTTTCATATTCTATTCGTTTGTAACATGGAAGTGAAAGATTCGACAAACAGTTAGTGAATATACCCTTTATCTGTTTGTTAATATTTGTTTATTAAACTTAACAAATGATCACTAATAACATTTCAGAGTTCGTTAATTAAACCAACAAATCATGAATGTAGCAAAGTTTGTTCATCAGTTCATCAGTTACTTGAGTTGTGTCTGATTATTAAGGTAATTAATCAGAGGCAGTTTGGATCTTTCTATTGCTAGCTGATTCTTTCTTGAATTCAATGTGTAAAGTGCCGCAAATCAAACCTGTTGGGAGAATATATCCAGGGTACTCTGACCACAAGTTAACATTGCTGCAGCTATAAAAACAGCTTTTGCAATCTTAGATGGATATAACTCCATCACAAAAGATATACAAGCACCACCAAAATCATGTCCCACCAAAATGACCTGCATTTTCAAACCAAGGAACCAAATTCTGGCATGGTCAATCAACCATAATTAATCTACAGGCTGCAGCATTTTTTTTTTCTCTTGAAGTAACTTTGAAATATGAAATTCACCAACCTTCTTCCCGTCTTCTAGCTTATCAAAGATATCAGTGAGTGGTTTTACATACTGTGCCAAAGAAGTAATGCTGTTGGTATCAAAAGAACTAACTCCAGAACCAGTTAAGTCAACAGCATCAACTTGAAATCCATTTTCCTCCAAAAGTGTCATTGTTTTATACCAACACCAAGCACCAAACCCACCTCCATGGACAAGCACAAAATGCTTAGTTTCAACACCATCCATGTTCTCTACCTGGAGGAAGAATGTTGATGAACTAGCTAGCTAAGTTCCAATATATCAATCATTTTACTTAAATTTATATATACATACATAATAAATATGAAAAATTTTATTCATCAGTTTTACGGTTCGATCCTAACAATCTCAAATATATATGAAAAAAAAAAAGAGAAATTATATTCATGGAAAATATATACTTTCTTTCTGCAAAATTCAAAGGTGGCCAAAGTCCACCTATCAGCCCTATTTTGTTGAACTTTTCAGTTTTCAACCATATGACAATTCCAAGATGGAAAATAAATGTGGATTAGACAATGAAAAGTTTGAAATTTTGAATGATGATGATCTCATGTACTAATTTTATGGCAATATAATGGATGACCAATCCATTTGAACCAAATAGAAAATCTCCCATGACTATAATTTCTGCAATAATGATAAGGTCACCACTACCAAATGATTTCTAGAAGAGGTTGATAAAATATCAGAGAATCAACACTTTGACCAACTTAGTCAACTGTTATGGCTAAAAATGATTGACTGAGGCAATATTCAAATTATAAAAGAGTAATTCACCACCTAAATTCACACACACACACACACACACATATATATATATATATATATATATCTAATATTGTAAGATTTTATTATAACTTTTTAATGATAATATAGTAAATTAATGTAAAAACTTCTTTTAATATTTTTTTATAAAAAGTAAATGTTTTTCTGTGTTAATGTGTGTTATGTGACAAAATAAAAATCAAGTTAGCATTCATGTCAAAAAGACTTTGTGGTCGAAATTAATGACAAATAGTTATCAATTGTTTTTTAATTAATTTTCAATAAAAATTTAAGAATTAAGTTCATTAAAATTGATGTAATCAAGTAAAATCGTAAATTCACACTTCAATCTAAAACAAACTTATAATGCATTTGTCAAAATAATTTATTTATTTATTTAAATTCTCAATTAAAATTTTTACGGTTAATTTTTTAAGCAACCCCTCGTGAGTTTTCAATTAATAAAAAATAAAACAAAGAATTAAATTGAAATTATTCATGAAATATCTTCCATATATATGAATATATATAGCTGCTACACTTTTTTTTATAAAATAGATTATGTTCAAACTAAATATTATGATTTATAACCATGAGAATATATATATATATATATATATATATATGCAACAAATAAGAGAAAAATCTAAAAAAAACCCAAAGTTATTGAATATCATCGAAGTCAAACCTGCTGGCTATGAACGAGTTGTTGACGGTTTATCATAGGATCGGATGGTGAAGGTTGCCTGGTGCTTGAACTCCTCGGGAAACGTTGTTTCTTTGAACCCGGTGAGGGATGAACAACCGAAGTTGATCGGATAAAAGGAAGGGAACCGTTTATCTGATGATGTCGATACAATAAGGCAGCGGCAATAGCTTGTTCTTGGATAATAGAAGACTCATGGTCGTCAAGGTTAAGACTCCCTGACGATGATCCCCTCTTGTTTTTCTTCTTCTTCCTTGAAGAAGTAGAAGGAAATGGAGATGACAAGCTCGGCCTGCTTCCATTGAAGAAAGGAGTCCAGGAGGAGGAGGAGGAGGCGGAGGCAGAGGAGGGGAAGGGTAAAGTTAGAGGGCGTGGAGGGGCCGGAGGATCCTGCCTGCTTGAAACTCTCTTCGATGACGCGTTTGCACCGTCAGGCAAGATGCAACCAAACGCATTTCCCATAACAACCTCCGCCTATCTTCAGTTGTTGTTCTTCTGAATAAAACAGAGACAGAAGCTTGAAGGTTGTTTTTGCATGAAATTTTGTTGGCCAATAAGCTCTTTAACTTAATAATTTTATCAAGACAAGTCTTTATGTTTTTCCCTTTTTTTTTTTTATTCTTAATATACCTTTAAATCTTCTCTCTTATTATTTATTTGATTGAAAATGACATTATGTGTATAACTCCCTCAAACTCATTATTTTTAAATATATATATTAATTGATAAAAAAAATATTTAATAATGGCCGGAGTTACATCATGGGTTTAATTTTGTCCTTACGAGTTTTCTTACATATTTATACAAAATCAAAGCAAAGACTTAGCTTATAAACCAAGACAGCAAAGTTGCAATATAAATCCGTTGTCCTAATTTTTTTATTAATTATATGTTGAAGATGTTAAAAAAAAAAAAAACAATTGAACCATCTTACAAGATTAATGTTGGGCGGTTTGAGTAGAAACAAGAAAAAAGAATGATAAAAACATGTCTGAAAAGATGTAATCTTAATCTTATTCTAATGTAAAACTACATAATTAGGTATATGATGAATTTTGGACCAACCCAATTTACTAAGTTCTCCCCATGAGATTCCACTTTGAATGAAAATTAAAATTTAATCAGGAATTTGGTGTACTTTTTATTGACCTCCGCTATTAGTCGGTGGAGAACATGAACATATAGATGATATCATTTAAAATGTGTAGCATAATTTTTATATTTTAAAAAATTATTTCATGTACAATTAAATTTTTAGATTCTTCTAATAGAATTAGCAAATCAATACATATTATTTAAAATATATTAAAAAATAAAAAAAATACCAATCTTTTTATCTCGATTGTAAAATTAAAAAAATTTCACTAATAATATATAAAATCAAACTCATATGGGTATTCATTCATTGAAAGAGATAAAATTTAATTGGCAAATCATCTAGCCAACAAGATGATTACCCTCGCTCCCTAAAGAAATACATAGAAACATTACAATCTGTTAAAAATAATAATAAGAATATTTATGATTCAAGCAAACTAGGTTTAATCAATACTCTTAAGGCTTTACAGGTATTCTTGATTCTAAAATGAGGAGCAACAACTACACGAGGGGCAGGCAGCCAATTGGCTTTGTAACTTTACAGGTAGAGGAATGTGATTGTATGAAGAAAATACAAACAACTAAAACTGGTAAAAACTAGCCTGTCATGTGGAGGGAGTTGGTAAACTGTAAGTCCTACTATCAACTCAAATATGCTGTCAACTTCTTGAGATCTGCAGTTTGGATTGCTTCAGCAGAGATGCCAATGTTCATGAATGGAAAAAGCCTTCCCTTCGTCAACCTACGCATCAGAAATTCCATGGAACTCCATCAGAAAGCTATAGCTATTCAGAAGTTGAGACTATTTCCAAAATTTCTCAGCTATCCTATCTGTGACAGCACTCAAAATTTGAACCGTGAGGGCATAACTAAATTTCAATGTTGAAACGATTGCATCAAGGCCACTTATCTCAAATGTAAACAATAGATATCTAGTTAAGAATGCCAAACCTCCAACCAACATCTTTTGCTGTCGCAGGACGTAACTTAAAATATCAGAGTCAGCAGCTCTGGGAATTATTAGATGTCAAAGAGGCATGAGAAGTGACCATAGAAAAGTGTGAAGTGGCTTAATTATTAAATATATATCATATAAGATCAAGTTCATTTTCCAACATTTAAGCTAAGAGCCAAAACATCGATCCTAAACCTTAAAATTTTACAAAGCTAGGCACAAATATAGATTGTGCATGTATTATTTGTAAACGACTACCGTACAACTCAGATTAAACCATTCTATAATGGACTCTGCAAAGGCATTCTTCTTTTCCACCCCTAATATGTTGGAAAATATTCAGCAGAAATTATCCAGTTCCAATGCAAACATGTAATGTCATTGTTTTAGAGCGTCAACAACATGATCAAATGATGAACCAAAATAATACCCAAGAATATTATTGGTTAGTACTCATACCAGAAATATTATTACTGCTTGGCATAATAGTGGGGGGCTAGCTCAGTCAACCAAAAGCCATCAATTATTGTTATGTTGCGGATGTACTTATTAGTAGTTTTGACAAACTCGTTGAAAATAATGCAGTCAGCTTTTGTCCGGAATAATACAGATGTAGGGTGGATCTGCACCACCTCACCACTTGCCAAAGCCCTGCCATTTGATTAGGTAAATGTGAGAGAGCTCTTGTAAGGACCTATTGAATAACTAAACTAACAATAAATGCTGATCTAATAGGATAAAAGTGACCATAAAACAAGGGGAGAACAAGTTAGAAAATATTGAGTATATCCTTAAAAATGAATGCTCCACTATAAAGAGTTACGACTAGATAAACATCGACAAGCTTGCCAAAAGTAAACCTGTATGTTCCTTCAGGCTGCTTCAAAGCCGCATTGAGGAAAAAAGCAGCTGCAAGGCATCTGCGGAACTGAAGTGTGTCATCTCCACAAGAAGAAATACAAAGGCCCATCTGTTCAACATGTCGCCAGATTTGACTGCAATAAAGCACCTAATTAATTTAGAGATCAATACTTACAGGTTTTTGGTGACAACATTGCCAAGAAAAAAAGCACAAGAATTACTAATTACCAATTTATTAGATGTATAGTAGAGGTGAAATTGAGCTGAGCCGAGCTGATATACTGAGAAGCTTGAGCTTGACTCAAAACTCATTATTCAAAACTCGGTTTAAGTTTGAACAAGTTTAATTTTTAAGCTTGAGCTCAACTCAAAATAAAAATCGAACTACTTGAGTTCACTTAATGAGACTCGTTTACCAAATACAGAACGAATTCAATTCCTATATTCGACTTCAAACTCGATTATTTGTGCTTATACTTGAACTCGAGCTTGAGCTCAAATTGATATATATATATATATATATATATATATATAAAGGCAAAATAGTAATTTTCTAATTAAAATAATAAAAATATATATGAAAATATAAAAGCTCGATTAAACTCGCAAGTCATTTGAGTCAGGCATTAAGATACTCAAACTCAACTTGCTTGATAAGTCGAGCCGCTAGAGCTCGAGCTAAGCTCAACAATGACTGAGCCAAGCCTGAGTAGCTTGCAAGCCGTAATTTATCATTTACACTCCTAACGTATAAGAGCTTTTGAAAAGGTTCCCTGGACCCTTGTTTAACAGGAGTGTGTCTATTGTGTGTGAAAGGAGAAATCCAACAAATTAAATATGAGTGAGTGTGTCCAACCTGTGGATGTCACGGGCATGTCTTAAAGAACGGCTATTGATAAAATTTTCCTTGCACCATTTTCTGAGAATTTTTATACGCTTTTCCTTGCCAACCTCTGAATTTTTCTCCAATAACTCATTAGATGCTCGATATACATTAATCAAAGTGAGATGGTCTCCCTCAGGACTTGCAAAGCATTTCTTTGCAGTTCTTGCCTGTACAATAAGAAAAAGTACGTTATGCTTTTCTTTATCATTAATAGGGTGAAAAGAACCTAGAACTAGAGCAAAACATCTAAGTCCACATGCATGAAAATAATAACAGACAAGCGCATACTTCATCTAACTTCTCACGTGGCTCATAAAAAATAGATTCTACTGAGAGCATTGCAACAGCAATCAACATTTCTTCCAGGCAGTTGAACTGGCTAGCTAGGATGAGAGCTTTAGAATAAATGGGATCTAATGGAAGCCGAGCCATTTGATGACCAACTGGATCTGATAGTTTGTATTCATCTGTAAAAGCGCCTAGCAAGATCAACTCCTCCACTGATTTTTTAATAGCTGCCCTGTTCAAATATGAATAAGAGCCACTCATCGTTATATACCATATAAAAAAGGGAAAATTAAGCAGCAATAAACCAAATCCAATTTATCCAAATTTTCTGAATGGTTACCGACATTATCTTTCAAACAAGTAATGTAAGACTCAAACAGCAGACACAAATTGATGAACCCAAGAAGCCAATTATAACATATGAGAACAAAAGAGAGAAAGGACATTTTGAGAAAAGGCCTATTTTAAGGAATGACTAAATGAGTGGAAGAGGGGTTCAAGTCTTCAAAGCAGATGCTTGTACAGAATGTTAAATTATTAGACATGTAGATCACCTCTCTCATGAGTCATGACTATCATGACTATGTTTGGCAAAGATCCTCAGCAGACAATGATATGTATTATGATTTTATGTTAAGATCTCAAGAAGACATGGTTTTTACCAAATTATAAACAGCCCAAAACAAACTTCAAGATCCAACCAACTGCAGAAACAGGTTGACATCAATTTTAACTAAATTTTTGGATGCACTGTTTTTTTCATTAATATTACTAAGAACAACAAAAAGTAGGCCTGCCATCTGGTTGTCCATAGTGGATGGATAACTTTCAAGCTGGGGACACTACAAACTACTACAAGGAAAGAGGAAGAACAAAATTCAGATTGGGTAGATGTTTTCATCACAAACGATATTGTATGATCTGTAAATAACGATAGATAAAGCAAAAGAGATCTACACAATTAGCTGAAATTAACCTAATTAAGTTCTATTGATGCTCAAAGGCTCAAGCAATAACTCGTCAACAAAAATGCATAGATATACAACTAAATTAAGGAAAACCTCTAAAGAAGTTCACCTTGAGGGTTTCTCTATGAAGTCAAACCCAAATATATCATCGATGCCAAGGGCCTTAAGTTGCAAAATGACATTCGAGAGGTTGCACCGCTTAATCTCAGGCTTGGTTGAATCCTCAAGCTTCTCAAACTCACTCTCTCGGTAGAGACGGAAACACTTCCCAGGTCCTTCACGCCCTGCACGTCCACTACAGCAAGAAAATTATTATCATTATGATTTATATTAGAAAAACCATCATTTTAACCATTCACGTTTGTCAAGAACCTTACAAGAGAAAAAGGCCATACAAATAAGTCAAACATCAAGAAAAAATGAAATGCAAGTCACCATATAGAAGCATATAAAATAGAATCAACAGTTTAAGAAAAAATACTAGCAACACACCATGAGTTATGACTCCCTCAACAAACCACTCAATAAACTGATATCAACTAAGGCTTAAATCTAAAAAGAATGTTTATTGTTCACCCCCTACCTTCTCTGGATTGCTTGTGCTTTTGAGGTTGGAACAATAATCAACGATTCCATCCCTTTGACTGGATCATAGGAGCGTGCTTTAACAACTCCAGGATCTATAACATACTTAATTCCAGGAATTGTCACTGATGTCTCCGCAATATTGGTTGCCAGTATAACCTAAACATAAAAATGCAATGAAATGATTAACTGATCACCCGAATGAACGTTTCATCAAATACTTTTTTCACTTACAGCTTGAGAATTTTACCTGACAAACTAAAATGAAAAAAGGAAAAAAAAATAAGACGTCAGACGACAAAAAAAGTGTAGAAGACTAGAGTGTTATTCAAGCCAAATACATCTTTAAGGTAAAACTGCGTTATAGTGTAAAGATACAAGCTGTAAAATTTTACCAGTATGATCTACATAGAATTTGGAGAATATATACACTTGCAATCTCTATATTTTTTTAACATTAAGAACAGTCTGGTTAAAAATGAATTTGGTAATGTATGCGTATTACATTGCAGATAATTCTCATACCGGCAAGTGGAAACATTATGCACAGTGTGTATTTCCTACATTAATTACTATACATGAAGGTCACCAGATTGTACACATAATCTAAGATAATTATGAAGCTACCTTACGGAACCCTGCAGGAGCAGGTGCAAAAACTCGCATTTGCTGTTCTGAAGGAAGAGATGAGAATATAGAAACTGTTGATATTTTTCGCCTATCTTCAGGTAATTGTTTTAAATTCTCCTGGATTTGTTTTTCAACAGATTCAATCTCTTCTTGCCCAGTCAAAAATACAAGAATGTCACCAGGCGCCTCCTCTGAATGAATCTAATAAAGTGAAGAAAGGTACATATCAGGACCCATATGATTAATATTTAACAAAAATATTTCAATGCTTCCATAATGTGCATTGTTTGGGAAAAGACAAGGAGATAGATTCCCACAAATTTATAAAAATGCATATAAGTATACCTTCAACATTTATCATAACTAAAGAACAAAAAATTATGATAAACAAAGTAATTTATCAATTCAGAAAAAACAATAGACAGATTGAGAACAGAATAAATGCAGAAATATAGATGGCCGATTAAAATTGATAACCACAAAAGAATTCTGGTAAACAAAAATCAGCAGCCATTCAACATGAACTTTGAATGCCAGAACCAGTGCAAAGATGCAGTACCAATGATAACAATCCTAATGAGTATTGACAACAAACCTGGAATATGGTGACAATAGCTGAATCTAAATAATCTGTCTGGGGATCAACAGTATAAAATACATCCACTGGAAACTGTCGCCCTTGAATGTGAACGGCTCTTGCACCACCAAAGTATTCAGAGAAAACACGTGCATCCAAGCTGGCAGACATTATGATTACTTTCAAAGGTGTTAATTTTCTTCCCTGGCATTGCTTTAAAATACTGATGGATGGATCCGCATTTTCTTTCTCCAATATTGCACCATTGCTTGCCCTCTTATGACCAACACTAGTGTGGTCTTTTATATATTTGGACCTCACGTTTTGTACCCTTTTCAGTAAACCCAACAATACATCAGTGTGGACAGTTCTCTCATGAGCTTCATCAACAATTATCACTGAATACCTACTAAGATAAGGATCCAAAAGTGCCTCCCTGAAAGCACAAAAAACCTCATATCAGCTCACACCTGACTAAATTATCAAAAATGACAATCCCGAAGAGTAGTCAATCCACCATATTATAACTTGACAATATTTCTAATGTTCATTAACAATTCATCTATATGTTCTAAAACCATATAAAAACCAACGTGTCATTACCAAGCAAAAAAAAAAAAAGATTACCTAAGAAGTAATCCATCTGTCATGTACTTGATCCTTGTTGAGCTAGAAGTGACATCCTCAAACCTAATAGAATACCCAACTTTCTGGCCTAACTCAACACCACATTCATCAGCTACCCTTTTTGCAACGGTAACAGCAGCAACACGCCTAGGCTGCGTTACCCCAATACATTTCCCATCACGACAGAACCCAGCATTGAATAAAAACTGAGGTATCTCTACATAGAAATATGCCAGCCCATAAATATCACCATATTATCAAATTCAACAGCAAAAAAGAAAAAAAAAAAAAAAACCAAAGAATACTAATACTCACGGGTTGTTTTCCCACTTCCTGTTTCACCAACAATAATCAAAATATCATGTTTTCGAACCTCCTCAATAAGTCTTCTCTCAACTACACAAGCAAAAGGAACAACCCTTTTATAATAGAAAAGCAAAAACGTAATAATAAAGGAAGAGACTTTAGTAATCTAACAACCTGAAGCAATAGGAAGGGACTTCCGCTGCTCTAAAATCTTTTGTCTCCTGCAAATTCAAGTAATTATTAGATTCAAAAATTGAATTTTTATTCAGTTTTTCTGAGCGAAAAAAAAAAAAGCAAGAAAAAGAAAGAAAAGTGAAGAATAGACCTAGAAAAGAAGTTGGGTTTGTTGTTATTGTTGTTGTTATTGGTGTGGTTAAAGGAGAGGTTGCCGTTGGGCTTTTGGGTTTGCGCCATTGAAGGCATCTTTGCTCTCCAACTGAAAAAGAAGAAACTTAAAAACCCTTTTCTACCTGTTACAAAATCTAAACCCGCTAAAATGGAATCAGAGAATTGAACGGCGTCGTTTCCATTGCTTCCAGTAACAGTTGCTGTTTGGCGACGATGTTTTAGTAAGCCAGTAGAGACGCGCCACGTGGTATTTTAACTTTTCCTTTTTAAAGATTTTAGACAACCGTTTTCTTTAAAAAAAAAAAAAATTTAGACAAGAACAGATTTTTTTTTTTTGCAAAAAAAGCATACCCAAGAAAAAAAAGAGACTGTGATGTCAATTTCTTTAAACCGATAACATGATAACATGAAATAATTAAATTTAAATTTAATTATTTATATATTTATATTATGTAAAATATTAAAATTTGTATATTTTTATCATATTTTACACAAAAATTTTATGTTATAATTCATGTAAAAAAATAAAATATATATTTTTTATTTTATTAAATTTAGATATAATTATTATTAACATTTTAAGTTACGTTATATTCATTTTTTATATTCATTTTTTATGTTCATATAACGTGTCTTATATTCATATCATATTCATATTATGTCATCATATTATGTTTTAAATTATTTTATCTATTTAATGATAAGTTGTTTTAAGAAAATTATACTACTACCTTAAAATGTCATTATTGAAATTGAAAATTAAATTTCTTAATAAAATTTATATAAAAAGAAAATAGATGCATGTATTCTTTTGCTAAAACTTCAGCAATATCATATTCAATGAGAAGGAAAAAAACGAAAAGCTCCATAAATAAACAATTGTTACAAATATGTAATCACTAATAATTCATATAGAGTTTGTCCAGTGTACATGAACAGATATCTACCAGCAACAAGCAACATGACACTTAGAACACCAATTGGAAATGCTAGAGACACCATGAATTACTTGGTTTTAGCCTTGTGGCTTGATGTTGGGTGCTGCTACTAGGTTCGAACTTGGCAGCTGGGGATATCGAGGCTTGGTCTTTCGTAAATGATGAATAAGATTCAATCTCGTTCACTGTTTGGAAATGTTGATTGCTGACTATGGTTGCAGATATGTTTTCCCTCAGTTCCGGATTGCCTGCACAAACCGACCGTCCTATTTGGCTCCCATGAAGAGCTTTGTCTCTTCTGCTGTTCTTCTCAAATCAACGTCATTCCCGGTTTTCATGTTCCGTGTATGTACACAAAGGATCTCATACCGAGATTCCAAATCAGGTAGCGGTACATAAAGCAACTATAGTTCATGATAATAAAAGTTGGAAATGATAGATATGGCCCCAAAGCTTTTTTTGCTTCTCTGTTTCAAGGTTCCGATTAAAGACCATTCGAACAACAGTTTAATGAGCTCAGGTATTTTCTGATGCATGGCACATAACTAGAAACTTCAGAATATCTAACTATGAATTAGATGAAGAAATGCCAGATTTAATAGTGTACTCCAATTGCTTCACCTTTCAAAGGCTAGAAAGGAATGAGGAACCATATGATTGCATTGGAAATGGGAAACAGCAAAGTCACAAGTCAGACATACGATAGAACAGGGTTTTTTACCAGATCAATTGTCCAGGGCGCATGAGTGCAGCATCAATTGCATGAGGTCAATTGGTAGCAGCTAAAACAAGAATCCCCTGAAAAAGAGTTAATTCAGATTAGACTCCTTTTTTATTTTTTGAAAAAAGGGATTCTAATCACACAAAGAAAACTAGACAACATCCTTATTTCTCAGATGGATATTTGTCTAACAAACAGAAAAAACATGAAAAAAACATATTTCTAAACTTTTTCAGAAAGAGTTGCACACAAAATCCTAGAATACAAGAAAATCTACATTTTACAGAAAGACCCTTGGTCTTTCAATGACTCTATCAAGTAAAATACTCCATATTAACCAATTAGCAGCAGCAACAGCAGCTTCATCAAAGAAAATTATGCTTGGTGCTGCCAGACGTACTCTACAAATGTATTTTGCAACAAAGCTTCACCCTCTACAACATACATTGACTGTACCTCTGCACCTGAAGCCAACAGGCCAAATGTAAACATATTAAATCCTAACTCTACAGACTAGTAGGTCATTTGTAGAAGCTTTCATTATCTGCTGAGATTTTACGTAGATAAGCATGTCAGACTTGGAAGCATATTTATACAGTAAAAGATTATCTAACCTCAAAGAGAAAAAAGAAGCTTGGGCAGCTTGAGCAGCAGCTTTAGAAAGAGTTTTTTTTGTCGAGCATCCTGGAGGTCCATGCAGAAGAATTCCATGCATAGGTGATATCCGAAGCCTTGCAAATGCAGCTGAATGTTTGATAGGCCACTCAACAGCTTGCCGGAGCTTTTTCTGTTCATGAATTTATGTAAAATGAAATCCAGGAATCCCAGTACTAAATAAACATGTAATGCTCACCTTCAAGTCTTTGAGTCCTCCAATATCTTCCCAAGACAGCTTTGGAATTTCCACAGTAACACCTCTTGTTATGATTGGGCCAACCATGAACTTAGCAAGCTTCCAGTCTTCCATTGTTAAGCTAAGAAAACCTGGGTTTTCACCTATATCCGTGGACCTTTTAACTGCAAACATGGTTGCTTCACGACATAAAGCTTCCAAAGCAGCCCCAATATATCCATTGCAAGATGCAGCTACAGCTTGCAAGTCAACACTGGGATCCAAAGGAACCTTCTTTGTGTAAAGCTGCAAACAATGACTACAAATGCTTTAAGACTTGAAGCAATGTGAGTCAGGATGCCAATCAAGCAACTATTACAGTGCCAACTCATGCTTACAAATGTTCATATAGTTAGCGTGTCTGATTGGTGGAAGTAAGCAAAGCAACACATATAAGGAACATAGATGCATGGGAAATTCATTCTTACCTTGAAATTTTGAAATTGTTCTTCTTCATTAGGCGTGGTAACTTCAACTTCAGCATCAAAGCGTCCTAACCTCCTTAGAGCTGGGTCGATTGCATCCACTCTTGAGGCACAAAAATAATGACTTCCACAAAGTTCAATCTAATAGGTTAGGAGCGACTGCAACTAGCCCTCTATGAGTGTGTCACCATACCATCAGTTAAGACATTATAGCCTGGATTTTTTTAGCAAAAATTAGGAATTAAACTAAGGAGATCAATTGACTGTACAAAATTTATAAGCCCAATGCATTTAAATTGACAACAAATAGCATCATAACCAACAATAAATGAAGGATACTAGTAAATAATAAAAATAAGAGCAAGAAACCCTTAAGCCTCTTGGAGAAATGCTTAGAACGTAGTGGAGAGTAGTAAGCATGATACAATTTAATCAGTATCCAATATTAGCATAAGAGGACAAACAATATGAATGCCGTTTGAATCATTATGCAAAATCTAGAGAAGCTTACCAATAAGTTCAACATAAACAAGGCTGAGTATTCCATAACTCGTACAAAAGAATGGTGTCTCACAACCTGAATTAGAGAAAACCTGTTAATTGATGTAACCACAACAAATCTTGGAACAGAAGTTCGTGAGGGTTTATTGGAGTCCATCAGTGTAAAGAGTTGCATAGTTAGTCGAACATCCTGCTCACATCTGCATTTGAAGCATAGTTAGTTCAATGAAACCAAAGTGTGCTTCAGAATAGCATCACTTGATTACATGCAAAGCGCAGATGCGCACATATCCTGAAAAACATACTATGTATGATGGTTTTGCTCAAATTTTGCAATTATCAAAATATGAATTTTTTTAGCCAAGAGAGCCATCCATAGCAACCTATAGTGCAATGTAGATAAAGAAAATGGCATATACAACTTTAGTTATACATTCTGTTTTCCCCCCAATAACCGAGTCCAAGATATCAACCATCATACATTTGTTTCATTTCCAATTCCATGAATTCTCAACTTCTTTCTCAAAAATTCATTCGTTGTGGCTCTGACTTCTTACAATACCTCAAACACAACGAGGGCAGAGTGCATCTATTTCATCAATAAAAATAACAGATGGTTTGCCCGAATTTGCATGGGATAGTGCATTTGATAAAGCTTCCCGCAAAATTCTCTCACTTTCTCCAGAATGTGGACTACAAGACACAACCAAAAATCATAAAACCAACTGAAAGTAAAATATGACAAAACAAACTACTCGAACACATAACTTTTGCACCATATAGATGCAATTCCATATCATTACAAAGATCAATGGAAAAAAATGCAGTACCTGAGAACTATTAAATGGGCACCGGATTCCCAAACAATTGCAATTACCAAGCTTGTCTATCATGGCAAACAAAACCAAATTAATCATCTTTCTCCCTTTTTCCCCTCTACTGGCAATAGATAGAAAATCACCCGTTTTAGAACAACAACTAATACTATATATTAGCTTTCTTGATATTCATAGAAGGTGATAAAATTGAAGAAGAGGAAAAAAAGAGAGAGATAGATAGTTTGATAAAGACACTTACCTTCCCGGTGCCTGGTGGACCCTATAGGAGCAAACCACGAGGCCACTGAAAGAAAACCCAGAAACCAATAACTCGAAACCAAAGCTATAGATTGAGAAAATAAAAAAGTGAAGAAAGGTAAAGCTGGATACTTTGAGGCCAAGCATTTGGGCTTCACGAGAGTAGAGAAGAGTGAAAACGATGAGTTCTCTCAAGGATTGGAGAGCCTGGGCGTTCCCTCCAATTGCTTCCTCAGCTTTCCACTGCTCCTCAATTACGCTACTTTTCTCGCCGTTAACGATGATGCTATTGCTATTGCTGCTGCTAAGAGTCGGTGTAAATGATACATCAAGCTTGCAAGTTATACTTGTGATAAAATTGGAATTCGATTATTGTCCAGTCCAGTTTAAGTAGTTTAATTTATTAAATTTAGTGTTAACGTTTAGTTCGAATAGCTGATGAACGTAATGGAGTTTTAAATTTTAATATATTTATTATTTTAATTAAAAATTATTATTTTATTTATATATATATATATTGATTCGAATTTAAATATATAATTGAATTTAAAATTAAATATAAAAATTAATTATATTTTATTAAATAAATTTAATCAAATAAATTCAAATAAGTTAATTTTTATTTTGAATCAATTTAAATTTAAAAATTAAAGTTTAGTCCAATTTAAATCAAATTTCAAATAATAAATTTTAAATTAAATTTAAATTTAAAATTTTTATTATATTATTCGATTCAATTACACCAGGGACGAGAGTTCAATAGATGAACTTAGAAGAAAGAGAAAATAGGTTGGAATTTGGACGCTCCGGGGAAAAGTAAATTAGTGTTAAGATCAGGGGTATTATTGTCAATTTGATCAGAGCGGACCCCACATTGGATTCGGATATGTGCAGTCAACATTCAACTAAAGTCAAAGATCCCTATTTTCACTGACTCTTTCGGTGAGGTGTGAGAAGGAGGCTTTTGATTGGACCGTCACCTTAACGGCAAGGGACTGACGTCATGTTATCTATTTCAAAATCAACCGATCAGCGGAGCCGTACTCTTGTGCTTACGTCTCAGTATGTAATTGGTCCTTCACTGATCACGGTTTCATTAACAACGAAATGCTAGCCTGGATTTCAGGCATTTTGTGCATGTAGTTAAAAGTAATAAGCACCGCCTTTCCTTTTCGCGTTCTCTGCACGCTCTCTAACTAATACGAAATCTGGAAATGGCACGCTTCACCTTCCACTTAAGCGCGTTTTTTACTCGAGTTATCACTTTAATCCATTCAATGTTCGAACTATAATCAAATCAGAACCGTCAAACTCATAAAAGCACCAGATCCTGAGCAGATCAGGACCATTCAAAATTCCTATGTCCACATAATCGTCGACAGCGATAAGCGAAGGGACCCACTTTCAAAACCAGCAAACCTCACCTAGAATACGAGAATTTCCCTCCAATGTATATAAAGTCGGATTCAGGGAAATAAAATAAAATAAAATCTCTATAAAATCTCATTAAGCACCTCCTTTTTCGAGATTTGTAGGTAACTGCTTCTTTTGATAATCTCTCTTCACTCTATCTATTCTTCCCAGTGCTGGCAGGGCACTGTTTTTCTCAAGGTACCCATATTTTTTTCTTTTTTTATATGGTTTTAGATTGCATGTATTTGTTGTTTAATTATTGATGGATCTGGGTTCAACATGAATGTTTGTTTATTTTGATTGTAAATTTTTTTTTTATATGGCAAGGATAGCCTGAATCAAGCAAAGTTTTAATATTTAATCTGATTTTTCATTAAATTTATTTATCTTTTTAGAATTTGGAATGCTATGACCCTTTATGGTAATATATGATTATCCATGATTAAATTGTTTAATTGATCTTATTTTTATTTATAGTGAAGATTTGATTTTGGTGACTAATGAATCAATTTTGCTAATCAATTCGATTCATATTAATTTCATGATTTAATTTACTGGAAAAGGTCTGGACTTTAGGGTTTTGAAGTTTTTACGTGTTTTTGATATAAATATTTTGTACGCTTTGAGATTCTTGTAAAAGATATTGACAATTCCCGTGTCTCTAAATTCTCAATAATTGAGTAGTTCTTGAAAGGGTTACGTTATGTTAGGTTCTTACATCTTCTGTGCTTAAATACTTATGATTTAGTGTTTTCTGTTGGTAGATGACAACGCAATCGGAAACTTCCCCTTCTGACGCTCAAGGGATTGGGAATGCCTTTGTGAAGCAGTTCTATACTGTTCTTCACAATGACCCTACACAGGCTTATAAATTTTATCTGGACTTGAGCGTGCTAAGCCGCCCTGATCCCAATGGTGTGATGAAGTCTGTGACTACCATGAAAGTAAGTTTCTATTTGCAAACAATGCATCAGGAATCATCGTATTTTATTTGGTTCATGTTTACACCAATTTACAATAATTTTGGTAATGATTGAAACAGGATATAAATGAGTTGATTCTCTCATTGGACTACCAGAGTTATAAGGCAGAGATATCTTTTGCTGATGCTCAATTTTCATATGCAAATGGTGTGTTTGTTTTAGTTACTGGCTCTTTGATTGGAAAGGATGATGTGAGGAGGAAATTTACGCAGTCATTCTTTCTAGCTCCACAAGAGGGAGGCTATTATGTCTTAAACGATGTATTCAGGTATGTTGATGACAAAGAACTAGTGGGTGTGGCAAATAACGATGTTGATGAGAACATTCAGGCTGTTTTGTCCCCAGATCCTGGTGAGTTTTATGCATCAGTTTCATTATGAATTTTCATCCTTTAAAGGGATAATGTTTAATTTTTAGCTCTTGATTGCAGAGCTAACTCACATGCCAAAGAATGACGTGGCAAATCATACTGCTGCCCCATCTGGAAATGGCGATAACATTTGCAAAGAAGTCAGTTATTCATTGGATAATGGCAAGGTTTCTGTTACAGAGAATGGCGTTGTTGCTGAACAGCTAGTACCTTCAACTGAAGAAGATCAGAATGACTCTCATCCTCTGAGCCAGACTGCTTCCCCTAGAATTCAGGATGATGCTCCAAAGAAGTCATATCTATCAGTTGTGAGTTCATAATGCATACGAGCATTTATATACCACTTATTTGAAATGGGGAAATAGTTTATTCTATTAGAATGCATAGTGCAATTGGGAAGCTTCCTTGGGTAGAATTTATCACTTTTCTTTTTTTAATAATTGTTTCAGGTACATGCATTGTCGAAGAATTCTGCTCCATTTATTGTGAGAGCTCCACCTCCAAAACCTAAACAAGTGGAGCAGTCACGTAGAACTGCAGCAACTGAGGCATCAACTCCTAAAAGCAACAAGGCCTTGGAAAGGAACAATGACTTTTCAGGTTTTTGTTCATTGTTCTTCAAATTGACAAGTATCCAGTGGTTTAAAAATTATGCATTGCAGAAAAGCCTCTTTTTTTTCATTCACACTCCTCATTTCCACTTGTTTCAGGAAAGAATACTTCCATATTTGTTGCAAACTTGCCTTTGAATGCAACCGAGGAATTGCTTAGGGAGGTTTTCCAAAAATTTGGACCAATTAAACCCAATGGTATTCAAGTCAGAAGCTTTAAGGTCTGTTCTGTTTTAGAATTGCTTCTGTCCCTTTCCAGAGTTTTGTATGTTTTTGGCATAACACTGACAAGCTTCACTTGGATTTTATGTCTTCAGGACAACAAAAACTGCTTTGGCTTTGTAGAATTTGAATCTTCTACTTCTGTGCAAAGTGCTGTCATGGTATTGTCTTGCCTTCTCCTATGACCTATCATCGGTCTTAAGTTCAATTAGATTTTTGAAAAATTAGATTTTTGGATAAACCCTGACTAATTCAGACAGTTGTTGGTGTGTTTACTCTCCTGTTTCATAAATTTCTTGCATCTCACATGTATAATTAGATAAAATTTCATTCTGTGCTGCATGAGGAACTATGATATGCATGTCTAAATTTTCAATTCCCATAATTTCAGGCTTCTCCAATTACCATTGGCAACCGACAAGCTAATATTGAAGAAAAGCGAGGCAAGTTAACAATCTTCTTGTACTTGTGCACTTTTGTGTTAATATTTTTTTATTTTATGAAAAGCAAGATTTCATGTCATAAATATATATTTAGAACATGATGTAATTTATTTACATGCATGGTAAAAGTGTGTGAAAGATTCTCTTATTAGAACTCTAAACTGAATAAAGCATCCCAACTAAACTAGAAACTCCGTTGAATAAACTAAAAGCAAATAATTATAACAGTGGTATCAGCTTTTTTGATGAGTTGTGTCTCAATATGACTACCTTGGTATTTGCAGGAGCCAATAATGGTGGGAAACCGGGTAGGGGTGGTTATAGAGATGAAAATGGTTACCGACATGACAACTTCAGGGGCCGTGGGAACTTCACTCGGGGCAGTAATGGGCGAAATGGAGATTCTAACTAGAAAATTTATCAAAATGGTGGACAAAGAGTTGCTGTTCGCCATGATGGGCGTGAAAGTTAAAAGGTCTTTACTTTTTAGCACCAAAAAGGAAAAAACAAGAAAAAAGTAGTCTTTACTTTTTATTTCTACTTTTAAAGTCTATAGAGTTATTAAAAACTTGTCTTAGGTAGGCAGATGGTGGCTTTTTGAGTTTTGGTTTTTGGAAAAGAATAATCTGTGGAATTATTATTCCTTTTTCTTTATCTGAGTTTACTTTGATAAGATTATCTTGGAAAGTTGGTTTTTCCTATGTTTTATTATTCATTCAAAAAAAAAAAAGACAAGATTCAATTTAAATTACTAATTTAAAAAGTGAAATGACAAATAACAAAATCTTTAGAAAAACAATATTATTGTAAGGAATTAATTAAAAATAGTCACATATGTATACATGTTTTTAATTAAAATACTCGTTAAAATACAACTATTAAGAGTTTATTTGGGAGTTTAATTGAATTGGAATATGTGTTTTATAATTGGAGTTTAAAGAGAACTGGTGGAACACATGTATAAAGCAGCCTCCAAAAGCATTTTTTCCCCAAAATTCACATATGCTATTTTCTTCATATCAATAAGGATTGTCCTAAGCAAGGGGAACAGGAAACTTATTCCAACCAAAACAAGAACCCCTGAACTTTACAGTTCGGATTTTAGGTGCTAATGTACAAATTACAAGTTTGTTATGATTTGTACACTTAACTTGTTCCTTCTAGATCATGGCATGCACCCAGAAACCACATTATCTTACCAAAGAAGGTTGAATTCGTTTCAACCTTTGGACAACTTGCCTCATAGTTGGCCTGGTTGAGAGGCTATCAACTGTACATGTGATGGCCAAATGCAGCAGTTCTACCAGATGGTCGTGAGGACCTGTATCCCATAACCTAGTAGTGAACACATCCTTTGCCTGACCTTGTCGCAGCAGCATGCAGGCCCAAGAGACAATATTAAAACCATTTGCACATGAGGAGAATGAAGGATCCAAAGCTTTCTTATCTGATATCAACTCAAGCAGCACAACTCCATAGCTGTAAACATCAGCCTTCTCAGATACACGACAGGTCATAGCATACTCTGGTGCAACATATCCAAATGTGCCAGCTACACTGGTTGTTGCATGCGTCTCAGAGGTACCCAAAAGCCTTGATAATCCAAAGTCAGACAGATAAGCATTACAATCATTGTCCAACAATATGTTACTTGGCTTGACATCACGGTGCAGAACCTTTGGAGTGCATTGGTCATGCAGATATGCAAGTGCATGGGCTATATCCAGAGCAATCTTGTGAATAATCTTCCAATCTACAGCTTCTGTGGACCTTTCCTGAATAAAATTTTCTAAATTACCACGTGACAAATAATTATATATGAGAAACATCTCCGTCTCACTGGCATGGTACCCTATTAGAGTTACAAGATTAGGATGTCTCATACTTTCAAGGGTCTTTATCTCAGCATGGAACTGCCGAACACCTTGGAACCTTCCAACAGCAAGCCTTTTCACAGCCACTAGGGTTCCTGGAGCTATTTCAGCCTTGTAAGTGGCACCAAAACCTCCACTACCAATGCATTTGCTGGCACTAAAATTCACTGTTGCCTGCACGATAGTTTCATATGTAAATGGAACCCCAATGTCAACAAAAACTGTAATTTCCCTTGATTCAGAAACCTGAACCCTGGATGTTGGAACCCATTTCCTGCTGTAAAAGAAGAGGACAACTAGAACTAGAAGAACTGAAACTATGGCAGAGGCAGATGCTATGGATGCAATCTCGATGGAATCTAAACTTTTGTTAACAGTTGTGTTACCCGAAGGAGAAGGTACACCAGTTTGTGAATCTTCAGTGTCTGTTGTCACATCAACAGATCGAACAGAAAGCGAGAATACATAGTGTGAATGAAGGAAAGGCTTTCCATGATCGCTGGTAGAATTCACAGCATCACCATTCAATGGTAATGAACCTGAGAGGTTGTTGAAAGTAAGCATAGAAAGTGATTTCATGTTAGACAAACCAGAAGGGATTTCCCCTGAGAGTTTATTATTGTTGAGCTGAAGAGATGTTAGGTTTCTCAGATTGACAAGACCTCGTGGAATCTCACCAGATAGCGAATTTGACGAAAGTTCTAATACTTCAAGGGAGCGAAACTGCCCAAAACTAGAAGGAATGGCACCAGTCAGATTGTTGCTTGCCAAGGAGAGATGTTTGAGATGCTTCAACTGATGGAGCCCTTCAGGAATCGGACCTCTAAATTTATTTCCACTTAGGTCAAGGAAAACAAGAGACTTCAAGTCCCTGAAACTTTGGGGAATCACCCCCGCAATCTGATTCTCAGAGACATCCAAAAATCTAAGTGATCTGCAGATTGCACCAATTCCTGGCGGAATATGACCAGACAATCTGTTCTTGCTAACATTAGCAATCATCCCATGGAGCTTATTACAGTTTCCAAATAAACTTCCAGGAAATGATCCAGTGAGCTTGTTTCCACTAGCAAGAAATGCATAATCAGTCTGCTTACCCAATCTTGTTGGTGCAATTGGTAGCCGTGGGAGAGAACCCGAGAAGTTATTTCCACCAAAATTGTGAATCAACACAGCTTTAGAACCAGAAAATGGCAAAAGCATTGTAAGATGTATTTTATATGTAAAGAATGACAGATACACAGAAGCTGGATCATGGGCTTGGCGAAGTTCATAACTCAAGGAGAAAAAGCAGGGGCATACACTGTAATTAAACCTAGGGATTGATCCTGACATGAGGTTTCCACTGATATCAAAAAGTGTCATACAAGGAACTGGAAGTTTCTCATTGAGCTCCCCAGTTAGCCTGTTCGAGCTCAAATCTAGATGTTGTAGTTTCTTGCATCCATTGAATACTCCCAAGATTTCCCCTCTGAAGTGGTTCTGAGCTAAGTTCACAATTTCCAAGTTCTCACAAGCACTCCAATTTCTTGGTAACTTACCCTCAAGATTCGCCTTGGGCATCCAAAGTACTTTAAGCTTTGGAAGGGTTGTAAGTCCCACTGGAAGGGAGCCTTGAAAATGATTATACTCATTGGTAGTAGCAAGCAGCAATCTAAAGGACAGCTCTTCACTTGAACTCTTCCCAGTCAGCACAGGATCAAAGAGATTAGAAAGGACAAGAACCGACAACTTAACACAATTTCCAAGCTCCATGGGGATCAAACCGCTAAGGTTGTTTCTAGAAACATCAAGAATCTCAAGCTTATGCAGCTGACCAAGCTCATTAGGAATAACACCATCCAACATGTTCGAAAACAACAAAAGAGTCCGTAACTGTCGACAATTCCCCAAACTACTGGGAATACTCCCAACTAGGAAATTCCCTGACAGATCAAGATGCTCTAGATACCGACAATTACCTCCAAAATCATCAAGCATCAACCCATTTAGCTGATTATTAGACAAATAAAGCCCCTTTAACTTATAGAAACTACCAAAATAACCAGGCATATACCCTTTCAGTTTATTCCCAGCTAAACTGAAAACCTCCAAATCCACACATTTTGACAAAGATCCTGAAATCTCCCCTTCTAGTTCATTAAATCCAAGATTCAAAACCCGCAAATTTCTCAACCCCACAAACTCATTAGGCAACTTCCCAGTAAATGAATTCCCTTCAAGATCAAGTTCTTCTAATTTCTCTAAACCCCATATTTCTAAAGGAAGTTCACCACCAAAGTCATTAAATGCAAGAGACAAAACTCTAAGTTCCTTAAGGTTACCAATCAAAGGTGACAGGTTTCCCACTAATTTCCCATTCGAACATGCCCTCCTTCTCAATCCAAAACCATAAAATGGAAACTTAGACAGCTTTGAAGAACAAGAACAAGCTTGAGTAAAGTTACCTTTAAAACCTTCACCACAACCACCAGGGATGTTGATGGAAATGACCTGAGACCTTGAATTGCATGAAACTCCAAACCAGGAGCAGTGATTTGGGTTCTTTGAAGAGTTCCAGCTTGAAAGAATCCCAGAAGGATCAAAAACAGAACTTTTGAACTCTAACAAGATTCTTTTCTCAGGAACCAACTTCCCTGAAACCAAGGAGAAGACAACAAACAGTTGAAACACAAACAAGATCAAATCTTTACAAAACAGATAACATTTCATGTTTGTTTCCTGAGAAAACAAAAACAATCCAACAACAGAAATATCTCTCTTTTCTTGAAAGAGTCCACCCAAACGACCAAAAATCACTCTCTCTGTTTCTTAAGGGTAGAAAAAAATTTTGATTATTTTTGGACTAAAAAATAAAGAAAAATGTGTTATTTCTATTGGAGAAAAAGGAGTCTTTGCCTCTGGAGGAGAAAGTTCTTTTTTTTTTACTTTGATGGGGTTGTGGAAAGTCTGGGTCTCCAGCTTTGCTCTGTATTTTCTTTGGTTCTTATTTCAGGTTTTTTTTTTTTTTTTCTGCAAATAGAATGAGGGGAGAGGGACCCAGGTAGACTAAAGGGTGACGGAGGTGGGGTCCAACTGCCGGTCAACTAAAACAACAGAGCTGTCAACACACGGCGGCTCCTGGAAAGACCAGGCAGATTGTGGGTCTCACTCCTTTGTTTCCTTTTGTCTTTGTAGGTCAACGTGGAATATCTTACTGTTACCAGGAAGCTGCGTCGTTGTTGAGAGGTCACATCACATTAACTCTCCTCAATTCCATTGGTTCAATCAATGCTTTTCTGTATCCAGGAAAAATATTATGGAGTTAGTACTCATATATCATGATTCCTGGTTGAAAATCACAACGTAACTGCACAAAACAAAGCTTCTAATCACGGGGTACAGAAGATACATAAATTAGTTTGTTTAGGATAAAATTTAAATTTAATTTAATTATCGTCTAATTGAATTTAAACAATTTGATTTAAAAAAAAAGTTAGAGCTTAAAAAATTTTAATAATTGACTCGTATAATTCATGAATGTGATTAAATTTTTAAATTTTAATATATTTTAATAATTTTATTTTTATATATCAATTTGAATTTAAATATATAATCAAATATAAAATTAAATATGAAAGTCGAATTTATTTTTTATTAAACAAATTTAACACAAAAATAAGAAATAAAAATGATAAGTTAAAATTATAATAATAATTATATATGTATTTAATAAAATAAAAAAATTATATTTTATTATTTTATGTTGATACGAATTATTACATATAATTTTTATATAAAATACGATATAAATATATAAATTTTAATATTTTATATTATACAAATATACAATCATTAGGTCTAAACTCATGACATATAATAATTGATTAAAAATTAGTTTTTCAATTTAACAAATAATATGAATTGAAGCTAATAAGAAAAACTTAAATTAAAATTAAATAAATATTAAAAATTTTATTTTATTATAATCACTCGAGTATTCAAATATTCATTTTCATCAAATTGATTAATCATAATTACTAATTTTTATCTAATGGAATACTTAATTAGATAATAATATATATTTAAAGATTTAATTAAATAAAAATAAATATTTGAGAATTTTGGAACTTGAATTATTAAATGGAAATGGCACAGCTTGAAAGAAAACCTATCATGAGGCAAGGGTCACACTTGGGCAGCTATCTACAGTGCAAGCCAAGATGTCCCTATAATCCCGGGATATTGAGAAAGAATCATAAACTTTTCCATCGCTACTCTTCTTATACTCGAATAAGAGGTTTGAATGGTCGAATGCTGTGAGTTTTACGAATCCATAATCATAGTCTTTGAAGAAACTCCATTTGGTGTTTAGGGTGGTAAATTCTGCAAGGCCTGCTCCACCACCACCAGCAACCACATGTATTGTCCCATTCAAGGTGCCTTGGTAACGTTGTTTCTCATTGTTGGTGCATATATTCTGCAGCAGTGATCAGTTCAATAGTGAGTAATCAAAGAGTTGAATTTCAAATTAGGTCCCTGCTTTTATTTGATTGCATACTGAAAGTTGGACATATGTTAAGAAAATATATTCTCTAAGCTACTAATAACACTCAAAAAATATAACGAAGACAACTGCATTTGATGCTATAAATGAAATCAGTATGCAGATTAATGCTTCTGTTTGCTTTTTTGTTTCCTAAAGCAAAGGATTTGATCTTCGGATGCTCTCGTGTTACTAACAAAGTAATTATCTCAGCAGCACTCACAGCAATCGTGTTTCAGCAGCTAGCATTGAGAACCGGTTAAAGTCTTTTGGTGAAGTTGCATCAGATTGAAAAAATGTTTGCTGAAAGAATGATGTGTTTGACAAGTAACTAGCAGATACAAGGACAGCACATTGCAGACATTTACCAATTTTTATGTCAAGTGACTTCATTGTGAATTATTTATGACCGGTGTATCTAAAGTAGGTGAGACATGTTGTAGGTTGAAAGGGAAGATTTCGGATGAACAAGCTGCCTAAATTTACTTTTCCTATCAAAAGTTTACCTTCAACAAGAGACTAAAATAGGTGTCATCAACTTGCAAAACGTATCAACATTAAAATAAACTTGAAGATTCCACATTTTAAATTTTAAGTTGATTTACAGCTGGAAAAAGTTTCCTTTAGATAAGATGATTTCCAGAAACAAAGAATGAAAATGCATGCATAACAGTTTCATCACTGTGTGAAGATCGATGTACCTGGTAAATTGGACACGTCCTTTCATAGTGGTGTGCATGGCCATAGATGGCAATGTCAACTTTGTACTTCTGCCAAAGTTTTTGAAGGCTCTCCCTTCCCATTGGCTCCCCAAAAGATCCTGTATCAGCATAAAAGGTAGCAGAAGAATAGCCCAATACTCTATGTGCAAGGAAGATCAGCCATGGTTGCTTTTGTCTATCAACAGATGCAAGGCAGTGCTCTATGAATTGGTATTGCTCTGTCCCCTCCCTCCAATCATGTTCTGTGTCAGCAACACAGAACCGGAACATGCCATAGTCAGTGGAGTACCTGACAGAAGTAGACAATCTATCAACACTTCATGAAGCATCCTATACAGAACCATTTGATTGCTGGTTCTGTGAGGTAATCAGATAGAATGTGGGATGTATCTCAAAGGAAATGTTTACTGATAGAATAAAGGAAGAGGCAGCATTTTCTTTTGCTCGGCATGCACGGGTTAGACTCTAAGCAATGCCATAAATTGCAGTAAAGGTATTATATCTGAAACAAAATCATGAATTTCTGAACTCTATTTTAATTGAAAAAAGATTACTTACAAATGGAAGACATTTTCACTGGCTACATATTTTATATACTTCTAGAGAATCTTGTAATTGCGCACAAAGGTCAAAGTTGTGAATGTCAGCAGAAGATTATAAGGTCATAATTTCTTAAAAAGGAGGACAGCTAAAAATATACGATATTGTCATAAAATTCTAGTACCAGAACTTTGCCCTGTTCTTGGTAGGAACATAAAACATAGTCTCTGCCAACACGCCACATTCTCCTCCAGAATCCTTGTTCCCATAGAAGGATCCTGTTCCCGGCCAGTCACGCTCATGGTTACCACTGAGAGAACAGACCACCAGTTTCCGTTTAAGATGAAGCAGATATATATATATATATATATATATATGCTCAAAACAAGCAGACCGGTTAAGTTATGGCAGACCTTGCAATCATGTAAGGCACATTTGATGCAATCGGCTCAACCTGTGCGGTGAACTGATCCCACTGTGAAAGGTATCCGTTTGCATAACATATGTCTCCAATGTGGAATATTATATCAATGTTATTCAAGTCTCGAATAAGCTGCTTTGTTGTGTTAAGAGCACCATGTTGGAAATCATTGTATTCATTGGAACCATCAGCTTCATCCTATAGTGTATCATGGTAATTGTTTATTGGTTAAAATTTAGGCTTCATAGCTAGCTTCAAATAAAAGTTTAAACACTTTAGCAGCATATTTGATGGAAACGTTAGCACTACAAAATCTTTGAAAAGAACATACAACGATCATGCTTCACTTAGAAAAGAGGCAGCCCCAAGTCTGCCTCTCCTTTTTCTTTGCTCAAAATGTTGCAAAGTTACGCCATTTCTGAGCATCTTAGTATATGGTAGTATTTAGGAAGCAAAAAAGAAATACATAGAATCTAAGATTACATATGCTTGGATACCAATATATAGGGACACAAGACTATCAAAGCAATAGTATGCATAGTAAAATGTTATTGAAGTCATATATTAATGCAACCGACAAAAACAGCTTTCTTTGCATGTACTTAGAGTTTCCAAGAAAAGTTCAAACCTTTCCCATGTCTCCAAAAATGACAACACGTTGTAAAGAATTTTGACCGGGATAAGGAGATGCTCTAAAGTTGTATTCTTGACTCCAAACATATATTCCATTGGACAAAATATGTCCAAGCTTGTAGGTGTACCTGCAAGTTCAATAACAAATTTCAGCAGCATGTAGAAGACAAGTTAATCATTCATTTTTTGAGTTCTGTTAAACTGATCCAGGTTACTCTAGAAATCATTCAGTGAACTTTATTGTAGCACAAAAATGCTACTCCAATGACAAAGCTTTACCAACATTTTTTAACTTTATTGTAGCAAAGCCAGAATCTAATATTTTAAGCTAGAAAAAAAATGTAACATACAGTGTGTTGGGCCACAACTCCTTCAGGAAACTGGTGTGTATAAACCCAGGATCTCGCCATCCTACTGTCCTTGCTGGCTCACCTGAGCACATTAATATGATAACACCAATCATATGCCTTTGACTCGAGAAACAACAAACACAAGGTTTTTGGGGATTTTCAACATATAAGTAAACGGATTAGCACAAACTGTCTTAGCTTATAATATAGGAATTTCATAAAACTATACGGATACACAGAAGAAACAGATAAGCAATTGTCTATGATATTGCTGAATTCTAGATTGTAAGAACGATCAACTTACTAGCTCTACTTGCTAGAACTTGGAAAACATTTAATGCTAACATACAAATCAATAAAAATAGATCCAAGATCTTCAAGTCATCCTTCTCTTCCTCTTCGTTCTTATAATTGGAAGTGTTTTATATGTTTTCTTTTACATCACGGTTCTTTTAACCCACTTGATATCTAATCTTCAATGCTTGCAGGGAATCTATTTCCAAGATAAAGCATAACATTCATTTCAAGATCACATACAGGCATAGATGGAACTCTGACATATCTTGCAAAGCATAACTTGGGTAAATGAGTTACACACCACACATGCTGTTCCTATCAAAAGTAAGTGTTCCAGCTGGCGATCGCTTTGGCAGTCCTCCTTTTGGACCCCATTCAACAAAAGGTACAGCTTCACCGATCCCATATCCACTGGTCCAGGTAACAGTCATCTGAAAATCAACTTTCAATTGTATTATCTCCCCAAGAAAATGTTAACTCGAAAACAAAATAGTACTACGCAGGACAACATCATAAAGCTTTATAACATCTAATCAATTGTTCACAATATTAGTAGCTTGTCAATAGATAAAAAAAAGAAGGGTGCACGCAATGAAAATCTTTTATGTTGGTATCTGAAACATGCAGCATAACAACCTTCATGTACTTCTATGTTTCACTTACAAATTGAGACAAAAAAAGGAGAAATTGGACTTACTTCGTTCCATACTTTTCCTTGAGCTAATCGTGGGTAAACTGGTGCATTTGGATTTGAGAAAGAAACTTTATTTGACACCGCCACCACCTTTGGCTATTATATAATCAAGAAAAATGGAGTTATGCAAATAAACAGTTGATAGGATGATCAAGGTTGGAACCCAACAAGTAGCCCTAGTTCTCATATAGAATTGATTAGAAAATGCCAACTGAAATAAGTAAAGATGATGAAAGAGAATAATTAGACTGATGAAAGTGAAATATTTTCCAGGTATAATTATGAACAGCCAGCCCGTATACACGCGCACACATTAGCTGCTACTTGTGTAAAACGGGAAGAATCACAAAAATTTTATTTAGCTACACACACTATTGAAACACCAGCAGACCCACTATTTGGCTTGTATTATAATGAGACAAATTGTTCTTCGAATGAATATGCATAATATAGAAAGACAATTATAAGCATACATTTAACAAACCGCCAGAAAATAGCACCAACGAGAAGTCAGATCTCTGGTTAATCAACTGAAGTTTCAATGACCCTTTTCCGGTTTCTTTATACTTGGGAGTACTGTAGTTTGCATACTGATACTGCAAGAAGAGGTCAGAAAGTTCAAGTTCACATCCTTTTGCATTCCCATTTCACAAATAGCAGGTATTTCAGCAAAGTAGAAAGCAAAATCACAGGCAAGCGGCAGTGGAAACCTTAATAGGTGCTGAACACAATAGTGGAGGGGCTACCCATGGATTATCTGCTGAAGCAGGACAAGAAGAAGCGCTGGAAAATTTGAAACAGATTAGTTTCTAGATTGAACATCTGAAAACATGATTCAAAAGGTTCTGGATGTTGACTATAATGAGATCCCACGTCTCGGCAACCTGGAAATGTGATAAAGACACATGTTTTACCTGAAATTGGAAGGAGAAAACACTCCAATCCAATCATCAACTGATGGATTAGGAGAACTAAACTCCACTGTCACCCAATCTGCATTTTGCCCCTGAAACACTTATGAACGTTTATATACAGTTTTGTAATGCACATAATCCTAAATGTCTATTGGGTGATTATTCTTTTTCTTAATGGAGGAAACTAATCTTTTCCTTCCTGAAAAAATGTGTAGTTTTTCAACTACAAAAACTTACATTCAACCCAAGAACTGTAGGAGTGACTTTTATGTAAGCTTGAAGGTTGAGAGCAAAAGTTGCCTTTTGAACAGCAATCGTTGAAAGAGGCTGATCTCCATGAGAAGCAGCCTCTTCAAGTGTTGCGAGAATGAAAAGAATTGACAAGAAAATCAATCTCAATTCCATCATCCCACCAAATATCTGAAACCAATCACAAAAGAAAAACCTCTGAGTTACAGACAAGAAAAAGAACCCAACTCTGCCTGAAAACAAACCCAAAAGGTAGTTTCAAAAGATAACATCAAAAAAACCAACAGGACATTGCTATTTGTAATGAACCAATCCCTTAAAGGGCATACATAAACAGATACAACTAAATAAATAAAATATTAAAGTCAAAAGGTAGATTCCTGCATCTACAAGTTTGATTATAATAAGTAATTGGGTACCCTAAAAGACACTAAAGTTTAAGAGATAAAAAGAGAAAAAGGATTGGACTGAGCAGGGGAAGCAATCAATAAGATTAAATCATATGAAGAGTTCAAGGAATATGGACTTTGGGAATTCTCTGATCAATCAATAAGAGCAAACAAGTTGAAGGGTAAATGATATGTAAGCAAAACTCTTATAAAAGCAAACATCGAATCTATCCCCGGAAGATTCGAATTTTAAAGATTTAAAAACAAAGTGAAACTGTCTGAGTTTAACGTTGAACTTGCTGTCACGTGTGATGTCGGGCAGGGCACGTGGGTATGAGGATTAATGGGCTCCACCGCTTCTGTTTGCTAAAAACGGGCCTTTTCAAAGCCGTTGCCTGACAGGAAATTTTCTTACAATGGAGGATGTTCATCGTTTCAAATGAACTGTAGGGAACGGATTCGACCAAAGTAGATATTACAGCTGTTATCCAAAAATTGAATATCAGTTATGTCCACAACAAAATCTCACTCTAATGACAATCTGTTTCGTTGATGGAAAGCAAAAAAAAAAAAAAACCTTAAATTAGATGAGATATTTAAGGTAAAATTTCCTGTTAACAGCAGGAACTTCTTAAAGAGGCTTTCCAGCAACACCCTCAGAAGGACTTCAATACCCACTTTCGATTTCAACATGTATGAGATGATGCCATCTTCCCTAAACAAGAAGCAAAATCCAGAACACCGCAAAGACTACGAAGAATAAGATAAAAGAAAGAATGGGTTTAGGGTTGTGATCAAAGAAATTTCCGTTTAACCTCATTCCATAGCATTAAAACAGTGAAATATTTCTCTGCAGTAACATAACCATTAATCAGGAACAAATATGTTTGATCATTTGGCTGAAACCGCAGCAAAGCCATCCTTCTGAAAGTCCTCCTAGGATCTTCCAACCGTCCAGCTTTACAGAAGGCATGAATAATTGAGTTGCAGTCATGAGTTTTTTACTTCATTGCGAGGGTCTTCAACAACTTCATCTACAAATGCAGCCATCACCTCAGGTCTTTGATTCTCCATCGGACCTGCCATTGTAGTAAGGTAACTCCTTTTCAAAAAGTAAGTTAACTCCTTGTCAAATAAGGTGGTCTTGCATCTCGCATATGATATCCCTAAACAATGTAAAAGCACTGAATACTGAAAATCATATATTCCTGTATCCAACTGAAGCCCTCAACCATTCATGTCCGATAGATCATGGATCCCTTGTTCTCAACATAAGCTATAGGAAATTAGGTAGCTAATCCGCACCAAGCAGCTGGAATAGCTCAGTTGGTTAGAGCGTGTGGCTGTTAACCACAAGGTCGGAGGTTCAAGCCCTCCTTCTAGCGTTTCTCTTTTATTTTCAATTTGAGATAATTTTTCTTTAATATATTTGTAAAAATAAATGAAAGGAATAAAACTTATTTAATTATTTTCCGATTAAAAAAGGGGTCAACCAGCATGACCTGGGAATGGAACCAAGTGCATTAGTTTGAAGACAGAAGCCGACCCAGATCACAAGTTCACAGCTACTTATGTTTCAGAAGTGGAAAAAAAGAAAAAACATAACGTAGCATGACAAGAAGTTGGGCATGGAAGCCCCAAAAAGGACAGAGCAGCAACTCATAATCGAAGAATGGAACGGATCTTCTTCTGCCAAGCTTTTCAAAACTGCCATTATCACTCTCTCCCCCTCTCTACAAATCAACAGGTCTTTTTTTCTCCTTTCAACTCTTTTCATTGATTTTCTCTTTCTCTTTCTCTTTTTTTTTCCCTTTGCCAAGTTGTTCTTTTGTTTTGTTTTTATTTGGTTGAAGCAGATCAGCTAATCGATTCAACCATGTTTGGAGACAATTCCTCGATGCATTTGTCCCCTAGGCAAGTTTCTTCTTTCTGTTTGTTCCTATTATTTGGTATTATGCAATTAAAAAATTTTAAAGGTAATATGGTTCTTTTCGTTTGTTTTCTTTTGAATTCTGAAAGTCAGCTTGAATGCAGGGTTTCCAGGCAGTGTGACTACGGATTATGGCCCTTTATAAGTATGGGACTCTCTGCAGGTAAGAGAACATTGATGGGCAGTTGGACACTACTTATATTAGTAATCCTCACCCACTGAAGTTTCAATCTTTTTTTTTTTTTGTTTATAATCCATTTGTAGGGACTTTCAACATACATGAGAACAAGGAAAGGAATTGTTTTATTCTCTAGATAAGATATAAATATTTAGGTGGCTAATCTTACCAACCAGCTGGAATAGCTCAGATGGTTAGAGCGTGTGGCTGTTAACCACAAGGTCCGAGGTTCAAGCCCTCCTTCTAGCGCTTGTTTTGGCTTTAAACTTATTTTCAGATAAAAAGGGGTCAACGACCATGTTTTATTGACCTGGGAATGGAACCAAGTGCATTAGTTTGAAGACAGACGCCGAACCAGATAACTAGTTCACAACTGCTTATGTTTCAGAAGTCGAAAAACAAAATCATAACATAGCATGACAAGAAGCTAGTTATGGAAGCCTCGAAAAAGACAGAGCAGCAACTCATAATCGAAGAATGGAACGGATCTTCTTCTACCAAGCTTTTCAAAACTGCCACCATCAGTATCTCCCCTTCTCTGCAAATCAACAGGTCTTTCTTTCCTCTTTTCAACTCTTTTCATTGATTTCTCTTTCTCTTTCTCCTTTTTTTTCCCTTTGCCAAGTTGTTCTTTTGTTTTGTTTTTATTTGGTTGAAGCAGATCAGCTAATCGATTCAACCATGTTTGGAGGCGATTCCTCGATGCATTTGTCCCCGAGGCAAGTTTCTTCTTTCTGTCTGTTCCTATTATTGGGTATTATGTAATTAAAAAAATAAAAAAAAATCTATTTTGTTTCTTGGGTAATATGGTTCTTTTCGTTTTTTTTCTTTTGAATTCTGAAAGTCAGCTTGAATGCAGGGTTTCCCAGGCAGTGTGACTCCAGATTATGTCCCTTTCCAAGTATGGGACTCTTTGCAGGTAAAAGAACATTGATGGGCAGCTGGGTACTACTTATATTAGTAATCCTTATCCACTAAAGTTTCAATCTTTTTTTTTGTTTATATTACATTTGTAGGGACTTTCAACATACATAAGAACAATGCTGTCTACCCAAGTAAGGGTCAAATTCAATTAATATTGGGCTTGTTCTGAATTGTGTATAGAGTATAGACTCTATGTTGATGATTTGTGTTTACTTTAACTTCTTTCTCAGGCTCTTTTGAGTGCTATTGGAGTTGGTGAGAAATCAGCAACTATTATTGGTGCAACATTTCAGGTAGAATTGGCATCCAATTTACATTTCTATATCAATCTTTCCCATATTGTTATACATGATTTCTCATAGTTGGGATTTCTATCAAATCCTAAATGATATGAAGTGAGTTTATGCCTTCTGATAATAAGTTTTGGTTATTGTAATTGTTGCAGTGGTTCCTGAGAGATCTAACAGGAATGCTTGGAGGCATCCTATTCACATTTTACCAGGTTTGCTCATTTAGACTTCTTTGATTGCATTTTTGTTCTTTATCAGGCTTTTCAAGTTCACGTTGAGAGTCTAACACTGTAATGCTTTTTCTTTAGGGCTCAAATCTTGATAGCAATGCTAAAATGTGGCGTTTGGTTGCTGATCTCATGAATGATTTAGGTATGTCAATGTTTCTTCTGAAGAAATTGCCTTGCACTGCAGATCTTTGACCTTTCTCTCTCCCCCCTGCATGTATGCATTTACATGGGTGCAAATATATGTGCATGGGATATAGCTTATGGCTATAAGTTTGTTGGGTAATTTCTCTTATATTCGATATTGAGTTAGAAATCCTGTATTATTCAGGTGTATCATTTTAAAACTTCCCTCTGGATGATTGATGCCTCTACTTACCTTGTTCTGGTTTTTGGTATCTGTGTCATTGAAGCCAGTTCTGACTTCTGATTATATACTTGGTTGCGGAGATTATTAGTAGTTTTATTATCTCCTGAATTTTTTAACTTCATATAACAACTAAGGCTTCCATGTTCATTGCAGGAATGTTGATGGATCTTCTTTCTCCTTTGTTTCCTTCAGCTTTTGTTTTCATTGTTTGCTTAGGCAGCTTGTCAAGATCATTCAGTAAGTTTCTAAACTCCTTGCATCTAAGAACTTATAACCACTAAGTCTGCTGAGACCTTACTTATCAGTTATTTTGAGCCATTTGTACATGCATAATGCAGTTGCTATGCGACACATTTGGTTTTTGCAATAGTCACTTTACTACCTATGAAGTGTCTTCTTCTTGTGTAACAGTGAAACAATTTCTGTTACAAAGGAAGCTCAATTTGAACTTCTAATTCTTTGTTTTCCTACATCGTTTCCCTACCCAGCCGGTGTTGCTAGTGGAGCTACCAGAGCTGCTTTGACACAGCATTTTGCCCTCCAAAATAATGCAGCAGATATATCTGCCAAGGTACCTCAAAAGTGATTCTTATGTTTGGATGACAATGGAAAGAGCTATTGTGTAAAGGGCTAGTTTTGAGTACTGAGTATTTATTTGTTTCAAAAATATTGGCAGGAAGGAAGCCAAGAGACAATGGCAACAATGGTTGGCATGGCATTGGGAATGCTTCTTGCTCGCATGACTACAGAAAACCCACTAGCTATTTGGTTTTCTTTTCTCTCCCTGACAATGTTCCATATGTATGGTAAGTTTGGTTGACATAGAGACTCCTGTAATCTGTAGCAGTTAAATACAGCTAACACATGCAATTATTGTTTTGTTTTTCCCTGTGCATAGCAAATTACAAAGCTGTCGAGTGCCTTGCTTTAGATTCACTGAACTTTGAGAGGAGCTCAATTCTTCTACAACATTTCATAGAAACTGGCCAAGGTAGTAAACACAACCTATCACTATTGTTCCCTTTAGGCCATTTTTTATTGAATTGTGGTCCTGGATTTAACTGCCATGGAAAGCTGTCTATCATTGTCAGCTAGCCATGCATAGTCAATATCAGGCTACTCTATACATTTACAAAGGCAAATTCATGGTATTTAGCGTAAATTCTTTGTGATTTTTCTTTCTGACAAAACCAATTTAGTGCATAAGCACCATATCTTGAAAATTATTAATGATAACATCCTAAGTAATCTTGCACAAGCTTCATTGTTAAAATGTCCATGGGCTATTTAGCAAGAAAATACATCCAATTTTATTGCTTCTGTGAGTTCAATATGAATTATGTTTTCTTTTTCTTTTTTCAGCCTATTTCCAAATTCTTAATGATTTCATGTGCCATCTTATTTTTAAAAGTTGATGGCAGCTCCTATTCCTGAATACACTTCCAGTTCTTTCTCCTAAACAGGTCTCAACCATGGAGCATGTTTTGCCCTTATGGACCACTTTAAGGTTGTCAAAGAGTGCTAAGCTCCTGCACACAGATGTAAAATTAGGGTTAAGGGTTTCCTCTCTTGATCACATAGAAATGTGAGTATTTAAGTTTATATTAATTACACAACAAGGGTTGCCTACCATCTGCATTGTCTTGATAGAATTGATGTTTTGATAGTGCTTCCACATTAACTGCTATAGAACATTCAAAAATTATCATGATCACTTGATCTTGATGCATGTCAATTAAAATCGGCCTTCAACCTTCTCCTTCAAGATTGCTGCTCTTATCATTTTTATGATTCTGTATGGAACTGACAAGTGTAATGATAATCTCAAGCAGGGTCAACCTTCTGAATTCAGCTGGATCATTTTACAAGAAAGGTTGAACGTTTACTCATATTTTGTAATACTCCACTTTTATTTGTATTAAAATTCTCACTCATTCTAGCTATATTATTACCATTGGTCTATCTAGCAAAGTATTTACTGGTGGAGAGGAAGGGAATCGTTAGCGTCATCATGCACAAAGATTCAACAGCTGCAGATATCTTGAAGTCATATATTCATGCACTTGTTATGGCCAACCTTGTGGATGGAAAAAGATCTCTACACCTGGAGAGCCAATCATGGATGGATAAGCAGTATGAAATTTTTATTCAAAAGGTATGTCTATGAGTTTGTCCTAAATGCCCCTAATGTTTTTTGAACCTCCTTGGGCCTTTATTAACCAAACTATAGAAACAGAAAGTTGGTTGACTTCGCAAAGATGAATAATACTTTTAAAAGCTATAAGAAGAGTTTATGGGGAACCGAACTTTTATGAAATATCAGCTCTTTGTGCATTATTTGAAAGGCATCTTCAGTACTTGGGACAATGCAATACACCTTGCTGTTTATATTTGGCTCTATATCAGATGCATCAGAGTCTATATCTGGCGTACCATATCCCCCAGCCATGTGAAATGAAAAGTTTTTTCTTTAAATGGAAAAATGAAATGCTTATCAGTTGATGGATAAATAATGGAGCTAAACTCATGTAAAGACTAGGTTTTTCCTCGTGATAGTCAGGTTCTAATGTTGCTTTTGTTTCTGGTGTACTCTTTTTCTCGGTCAAGATACATCGAATCTCCTTTTAATTTCTTCTCATTTTGCAGCTAAAGTCATCTGGTTGGAAAACTGAAAGGCTTCTCTCTCCCTCAATCATCTGGAAGGCACACTGGCACTGTGAGTCATTGGATGAAAAAACTGACTAGGTTTCTTCAGTCTACCTCATGAGAATGGTTGATGGCTGTTCTACTGGACTAAATTGAAGAAAAATGAAAATCGTGGATGATACCTCAGTTTGAGATATCAACATCACCTTTTCATCCACTGCTTCAATGGTGCAAAAATTTTAACCTGGTTTAAACTGTCATGTCTGAAGAGATGGAATCCAGCAAAGAAAGTTGAGGCTATGAGTTGGAGACTCAAAAATCACATAATTATTTTGCTTTATGTATTTTATATTACCAAAGTTCAACCATTGATCAAAAGTCTTGACATTTTCTCTTATAATCTTCAATCCATAGCCCCTCTCGTCCATTGACAAAGCAGAAGCATATTTTCCACTGAATCTTCCATCTAACACATCCCACACAATGAGCTTCCTGCACACTTTCTTCTCCACAAATTATCAAGGTAAAGCATTTGAGTTGGCTCTTTATAGGAAGACCTTGATTTTGCCAGGCACCTTCAAACTCCAGATTTCCTTCCAAGCCTTGCCGTCCATGATATATATAAAAACTTTTTTTACAATAAGGTGGTTTATTCAAAGAAGATTGTCATTTTTTTTTCTTTTTAACAAAGGAGGTAACAATATTGGAGACTTGAATTTCGGATCTGTTGAATATCATCTCTTAAGGATAATAGTTACATAAATGAACTGGGTTGAATTTTAAATTCAAAATATCTTTATGTATTCAGTTATATTATTAGGTTATTCGATAAGTTGTGATCATCGAAAAGTTTTTTTTTTTTTAATGAAATAAAAAATTTGTTATAAAATAAAGATATATCTCCTTCCAAAAAAAGTAAGGATAGATTTTCCTCATTCTATAATCTCCAATTTTCATTTCTCTAATAATTTATATACATAACATTCAAATTAACATCATTAAAAATAAAAGTTTATTATCCAAAGTCCATACGATAATTGTTGGCATTGTTGAGCACAAACAAATTCTTTTGAGCAAAAAGCACCTAAGCAAACCATATAGTTTTTATGATGTGAGGTCTTGGACATGAACCAGCAAACAGGCTGCAGTCATGAAGTATATTTGACTCTAATCTAAGTTGTGGTTTTAAAGCTGCATTTTCATTTCCTATGTCCAGCTGATGCCATAAGCATTCCAACAGCAGCAATGAACATGAACAACATGCTGAATACCAATATATATGTTTTTCGTGATGATCTGCGATACTTACTCCCCAAAATGTGCTCACCAGTGGAAGTGCCTGTTACCATCAACGATTTAAGCATTTGAATTCAAATATGATAGTAATTGATATGTAACGTGCAAGTCAAGTAACGATGTGCTTTTGCGGGTGAAATGATCTTTAAATCGAACCTGAACAGTGTCTGCTGCAGCATAGCCTGCAGCTTGGCCTCCCATGAACTGGAGACATTTAAGGTAAAATTTCCTGTTAACAGCAGGAATTTCTTAGAGAGGCTTTCCAGCAACACCCTCAGAAGGACTTCAATACCCACTTTCGATTTCAACATGTATCAGATGATGCCATCTTCCTTAAACAAGAAGCAAAATCCAGAACACCGCAAAGACTACGAAGAATAAGATAAAAGAAAGAATGGGTTTAGGGTTGTGATCAAAGAAATTTCCGTTTAACCTCATTCCATAGCATTAAAACAGTGAAATATTTCTCTGCAGTCACATAACCATTAATCAGGAACAAATATGTTTGATCATTTGGCTGAAACCGCAGCAAAGCCATCCTTCTGAAAGTCCTCCTAGGATCTTCCAACCGTCCAGTTTTACAAGCATGATTAATTGAGTTGCAGTCACGAGATTTTTACTTCAATGCGAGGGTCTTCAACAACTTCATCTACAAAAGCAGCCATCAACTCAGGTCTTTGATTCTCCATCAGACCTGTCATTATAGTAACTCCTTTTCAAATAAGGTAGTCTTGCATCTCTCATATGATATCCCTACACAATGAAAAAGCAGACCGAATACTGAATATCTTGACTCGTCATGGTTGCTTCTATCAGTGCGTTACTCCTGTATCCAACTGAAGCCCTCAACCATTAATGTCCGATTGATCATGGATCGCTCTTGGTTCTGTTCTTAACATAAGATATAAAAAATTAGGTAGGTTATTTAACGAAGCTGGAATAGCTCAGTTGGTTAGAGCGTGTGGCTGTTAACCACAAGGTCGGAGGTTCAAGCCCTCCTTCTAGCGGTTTTTCTTTTTTTTTAATTTGAGATAATTTTTCTTTAATATATTTGGTAAAATAAATGAAGACTGAAGTCGACTCAGATCACTAGTTGCAACTACTTATGTTTCAGAAGTGGAAAAAAGAAAAAACATAACATAACATAGCATAACAAGAAGTTGGGCATGGAAGCCTCAAAAAAGGCGGAGCAGCAATTCATAATCGAATTAAGGGAACGGATCTTCTTCTACCAAGCGTTTCAAAACTGCCACTATCACTATCTCCCCTTCTCTACAAATCAACAGATCTTTCTTTCTCCTTTCAGCTCCTTTCATTGATTTTCCCTTTCTCTTTTTCTTTTTTTTTTTTTTTTTCCCTTTCCTAAGTTGTTCTTTTGTTTTGTTTTTATTTGGTTGAAGCAGATCAGCTAATTGATTCCTCGATGCATTTGTCCCCGAGGCAAGTTTCTTCTTTCTGTTTGTTCCTATTATTTGGTATTATATAATTAAAAAATTAAAAAAAAAATCTATTTTTTTCTTGGGTAATATGGTTCTTTTCGTTTGTTTTCTTTTGAATTCCGAAAGTCAGCTTGAATACAGGTTTCCCAGGCAGTGTGACTGCATATTATGTCCCTTTTCAAGTATGGGACTCTTTGCAGGTAAAAGAACATTGATGGGCAGTTGGGCAATACTTACATTAGTAATCCTTATCCACTAAAGTTTCAATATTTTTTTTTTATATATATTATTTTTGTAGGGAGTTTCAACATACATTAAGAACATAATAGGTAATGATTCTGTTCTATATATAAGATATAGATATTTAGGTGGCTAACCTCACCAACCAGCTGGAATAGCTCAGTTTGGTCAGAGCGTGTGGCTTGTTAACCAAGGTCGGAGGTTCAAGCCCTCCTTCTAGCGTGTCTTTTGTTTTCAACTTATTTTTGACCTGGGAATGGAACCAGGTCACTAGTTCACAACTACTTATGTTTCAGAAGTGGAAAAAATTGCATTGCAGCTCAAAAGAATGACTGTAGATCTTTGACCTTTCTCTCTCCCCCCTACATGTATGCATTTACATGGGTGCTAATATATGTGCATGGATAGAGGATAGAACACACATTAGTGTGGAGGCTGCTTTGATTCTTGTGCACTGGAATCTAGCTTTTGGCTCTAAGTTTGTTGGGTAATGGCTCTTATATTCAATATTGAGGTAGGAATCCTGTATTATTCAGGTGAATCATTTTAAAATTTCCGTCTGGATGATTGATGCCTCTACTTGCCTTATTCTCGGTTTTGATATCTGTGTCATTGAAGCCAGCTCTGACTTCTGATTATATATTTGGGTGCAGGGATTATTAGTGGGTTTTTTATCTCCTGAATTTTTTAACATCAAATAGCAACTAAGGCTTCTGTCTTCATTGCAGGAATGTTGATGGATCTTCTTTCTCCTTTGTTTCCTTCAGCTTTTATTTTCATTGTTTGCTTAGGGAGTTTGTCAAGATCATTCAGTAAGTTTCTGAACTCCTTGCATCTAAGAACTTTATAACCCCAAGTGTGCTGAGACCTTACTTATCAGTTCTTTTGAGCAATTTGTACATGCATAATACAATTGCTATGCGACACATTTGGTTTTTGCAATAGTCACTTTGCTACCTATGAAGTTTCTTCTTGTTGTGTAATTGTGAAACATTTTCTGTTATGGAGGAAGCTCAATTTGAACTTCTAATTCTTTGTTTTCCTACATTGTTTCCCTACTCAGCTGGTGTTGCTAGTGGAGCTACCAGAGCTGCCTTGACACAACATTTTGCCCTCCAAAATATACAGCAGATATATCTGCCAAGGTACCTCAAAAGTGATTCTTATGATGACAATGGAAAGCGCTATTGTATGAAGGGCTAGTTTTGAGTACTGAGTATTTATTTGTTTCAAAAATATTGGCGGGAAGGAAGCCAAGAGACAATGGCAACAATGATTGGCATGGCATTGGGAATGCTTCTTGCTCGCATTACTACAGAAAACCCACTAGCTATTTGGTTTTCTTTTCTCTCCCTGACAATGTTCCATATGTATGGTAAGTTTGGTTGACATAGAGTCTCCTGTAATCTGTAGCAGTTAAATACAGCTAACACATGCAATTCTTGTTTTATTTTTCCCTGTGCGTAGCAAATTACAAAGCTATCCAGGGCCTTGCTTTAGATTCACTGAACTTTGAGAGGAGCTCAATTCTTCTACAACATTTCATATAAAATGGCCAAGGTAGTAAACACAACCTATCACTATTGTTCCCTTTAGGCCATTTTTTATTGAATTGTGGTCCTGGATTTAACTGTCATGGAAAGCTGTCTATCATTGTCAGCCAGCCATGCATAGTCAAATATCAGGCTACTCCATACATTTACAAAGGCAAATTCAATGTGTTTAGAGTAAATTCTGTGAGATTATTCTTTCTGACAAAACCAATTTACCGCATAAGCACCATATCTTGAAAATTATTAATGATAACATCCTATGTAATCTTGCACGAGCTTCATTGTTAAAATGTCCATGGGCTATTTAGCCGGAAAATACATCCAATTTTATTGCTTCCATAAGCTCAATATGAATTATGTTTTCTTTTTCTTTTTTCCAAATTCTTAATGATTTCATGTGCCATCTTATTTTTAAAAGTTGATGTCAGCGCCTATTCCTGAATACACTTTCAGTTCTCTCTCCTAAACAGGTCTCAACCATGGAGCATGTTTTGCCTTTATGGGCCACTTTAAGGTTGTCAAAGAGTGCTAAGCTCCTGCACACAAATGTAAAATTAGGGTTAAGGGTTTCCTCTCTTGATCACATAGAAATGTGAGTATTTAAGTTTATATTAATTATACAACAAGGGTTGCGTACCATCTGCATTGTCTTGATAGAAGTGATGTTTTGATAGTGCTTCAGCATTAACTGCTAGAGGCACATTCAAAAATTATCATGATACTTGATCTTGGTGAATGTCGATCAAAATCGGCCTTAAACAAGCTCCTTCAAGAGTACTGCTCTTAGTCATTTTTATGATTCGGTATGGAACTGACAAGTGTAATGATAATCTCAAACAGGGCCAACCTTCTGAATTCAGCTGGATCATTTTACAAGAAAGGTTGAACTTTTACTCATTGTTGTAATACTCCACTTTTATTTGTATTAACATTCTCACTCATTCTAGCTATATTATTACTATTGGTCTATCTAGCAAAGTATTCACTGGTGGAGAGGAAGGGAATCGTCAGCGTCATCATGCACAAAGATTCAACGGCTGCAGATATCTTGAAGTCATATATTCATGCACTTGTTATGGCCAACCTTATGGATGGAAAAAGATCTCTACACTTGGAGAGCCAATAATGGATGGATAAGCAGTATGAAACTTTTATTCAAAAGGTATGTCTATGAGTTTGTCCTAAATGCCCCAAAATGTTTTTTGAATCTCCTTGGGCCTTTATTAGCCAAACCATAGGAACGGAAAGTTAGTTTGCAAAGATGAACGATATTTTGAAAAGCTATAAGAAGAGTTTATGGGGAACCAAACTTTTATGAATTGTCAGCTCTTTGTGCATTATTTGAAAAGCATCTTCAATACTTGGGACAATGCAACACAACCTTGCTGTGTATATTGGGCTCTATCTCTGATGCATCAGCAATTATATCTGGTCTACTTATCCTCCAGCTGTGTGAAATGAAAAGTTTTTTCTTTAAATGGAAAAATGAAATGCATTTCAGTTGATGGATAAATAATGGAGCTAAACTCATGTAAAGACTAGGTTTTTCCTCGTGATAGTCAGGTTCTACTGTTGCTTTTGTTTCTGGTGGACTCTTTTCTCGGTCAAGATACATCGAATCTCCTTTTAATTTCTTCTCATTTTGCAGCTAAAGTCATCTGGGTTGGAAAACTTAAAGGCTTCTCTCTCCCTCAATCATCTGGAAGGCACACTGGCACTGTGAGTCATTGGATGAAAAAACTGACTAGGTTTCTTCAGTCTACCTCATGAGAATGGTTGATGGCTGTTCTACTGGAGTAAATTGAAGAAAAATGAAAATCATGGATGATACCTCAGTTTGAGATATCAACGTCACCTTTTCATCCACTGCTTCAATGGTGCAAAAATTTTAACCTCGTTTAAACTGTCATGTCTGGAGAGATGGAATCCAGCAAAGAAAGTTGAGGCTATGAGTTGGAGACTCAAAAATGACATAATTATTTTGCTTTATGTATTTTATATTACCAAAGTTCAACCATTGATCAAAAGTCTTGACATTTTCTCTTATAATCTTCAATCCATAGCCCCTCTCGTCCATTGACAAAGCAGAAGCATATTTTCCACTGAATCTTCCATCTAACACATCCCACACAATGAGCTTCCTGCACACTTTCTTCTCCACAAATTATCAAGGTAAAGCATTTGAGTTGGCTCTTTATAGAAAGACCTTGATTTTGCCAGGCACCTTCAAACTCCAGATCTCCTTCCAAGCCTTGCCGTCCATGATATATATAAAAACTTTTTTTACAATAAAGTGGTTTATTCTAAGAAGATTGTCATTTTTTTTTTTTTTTTAACAAAAGAGGTAACGATATTAGAGATTTGAATTTCGGATCAGTTGAATGTTATCTCTTAAAAATGATAGTTGTATAAATGAATTGAGTTAAACTTTAAATTCAAAATATCTCTATGTATTCAGTTATATTATTAGGTAATTCGATAAGTTTTGATCATCGAAAAGTCTTTTTTTTTTTTAATGAAACAAAGAATTTGTTATAAAATAAAGATATATCTCCTTACAGAAAAAGTAAGGATAGATTTTCCTCATTCTATAATTTTCAATTTTCATTTCTCTAATAATTTATATACATAACATTCAAATTAACATCATTAAAAATAAAAGTTTATTATCCAAAGTCCATACGATAATTGTTGGCATTGTTGAGCACAAACAAATTCTTTTGAGCAAAAAGCACGTAAGCAAACAATATATTTTTTATGATGTGAGGTCTTGGACATGAACCAGCAAACAGGCTGCAGTCATGAAGTATATTTGACTCTAATCTAAGTTGTGGTTTTAAAGCTGCATTTTCATTTCCTATGTCCAGCTGATGCCATAAGCATTCCAACAGCAGCAATGAACATGAACAACATGCTGAATACCAATATATATGTTTTTCGTGATGATCTGCGATACTTACTCCCCAAAATGTGCTCACCAGTGGAAGTGCCTGTTACCATCAACGATTTAAGCATTTGAATTCAAATATGATAGTAATTGATATGTAACGTGCAAGTCAAGTAACGATGTGCTTTTGCGGGTGAAATGATCTTTAAATCGAACCTGAACAGTGTCTGCTGCAGCATAGCCTGCAGCTTGGCCTCCCATGAACTGGAGACATTTAAGGTAAAATTTCCTGTTAACAGCAGGAACTTCTTAGAGAGGCTTTCCAGCAACACCCTCAGAAGGACTTCAATACCCACTTTCGATTTCAACATGTATGAGATGATGCCATCTTCCTTAAACAAGAAGCAAAATCCAGAACACCGCAAAGACTACGAAGAATAAGATAAAAGAAAGAATGGGTTTACGGTTGTGATCAAAGAAATTTCCGTTTAACCTCATTCCAGAGCATTAAAGCAGTGAAATATTTCTCTGCAGTCACATAACCGTTAATCAGGAACAAATATGTTTGATCATTTGGCTCAAACCGCAGCAAAGCCATCCTTCTGAAAGTCCTCCTAGGATCTTCCAACCGTCCAGCTTTGCAAGCATGAATAATTGAGTTGCAGTCACGAGTTTTTTACTTCAATGCGAGGGTCTTCAACAACTTCATCTACAAAAGCAGCCATAAACTCAGGTCTTTGATTCTCCATCAGACCTGTCATTATAGTAACTCCTTTTCAAATAAGGTAGTCTTGCATCTCTCATATGATATCCCTAAACAATGTAAAAGCAGACTGAATACTGAAAATCTTGACTCGTCATGGTTGCTTCTATCAGTGCGTTACATATTCCTGTATCCAACTGAAGCCCTCAACCATTAATGTCCGATTGATGATGGATCGCTCTTGGTTCTGTTGTTAACATAAGTAATAGAAATTTAGGTAGCTTATTCGAAGAAGCTGGAATAGCTCAGTTGGTTAGAGCGTGTGGCTGTTAACCACAAGGTCGGAGGTTCAAGCCCTCCTTCTAGCGGTTTTTTTTTTTTTCAATTTGAGATAATTTTTCTTTAATATATTTGGTAAAATAAATGAAGACTAAAGTCGACTCAGATCACTAGTTGCAACTGCTTATGTTTCAGAAGTGGAAAAAAGAAAAAACATAACATAACATAGCATAACAAGAAGTTGGGCATGGAAGTAAGGGAACGGATCTTCTTCTACCAAGCGTTTCAAAACTGCCACTATCACTATCTTCCCTTCTCTACAAATCAACAGATCTTTCTTTCTCCTTTCAGCTCCTTTCATTGATTTTCCCTTTCTCTTTCTCTTTTTTTTTTTTTTTTTCCCTTTCCTAAGTTGTTCTTTTGTTTTATTTTTATTTGGTTGAAGCAGATCAGCTAATTGATTCCTCGATGCATTTGTCCCCGAGGCAAGTTTCTTCTTTCTGTTTGTTCCTATTATTTGGTATTATATAATTAAAAAATAAAAAAAGATCTATTTTTTTCTTGGGTAATATGGTTCTTTTCGTTTGTTTTCTTTTGAATTCCGAAAGTCAGCTTGAATACAGGTTTCCCAGGCAGTGTGACTGCATATTATGTCCCTTTTCAAGTATGGGACTCTTTGCAGGTAAAAGAACATTGATGGGCAGTTGGGCAATACTTACATTAGTAATCCTTATCCACTAAAGTTTCAATATTTTTTTTTATATATATTATTTTTGTAGGGAGTTTCAACATACATTAAGAACATAATAGGTAATGATTCTGTTCTATATATAAGATATAGATATTTAGGTGGCTAACCTCACCAACCAGCTGGAATAGCTCAGTTGGTCAGAGCGTGTGGCTGTTAACCACAAGGTCGGAGGTTCAAGCCCTCCTTCTAGCGTGTCTTTTGGTTTTCAACTTATTTTTGACCTGGGAATGGAACCAGGTCACTAGTTCACAACTACTTATGTTTCAGAAGTGGAAAAAATTGCATTGCAGCTCAAAAGAATGACTGTAGATCTTTGACCTTTCTCTCTCCCCCCTACATGTATGCATTTACATGGGTGCTAATATATGTGCATGGATAGAGGATAGAACACACATTAGTGTGGAGGCTGCTTTGATTCTTGTGCACTGGAATCTAGCTTTTGGCTCTAAGTTTGTTGGGTAATGGCTCTTATATTCAATATTGAGGTAGGAATCCTGTATTATTCAGGTGAATCATTTTAAAATTTCCGTCTGGATGATTGATGCCTCTACTTGCCTTATTCTCGGTTTTGATATCTGTGTCATTGAAGCCAGCTCTGACTTCTGATTATATATTTGGGTGCAGGGATTATTAGTGGTTTTTTTATCTCCTGAATTTTTTAACATCAAATAGCAACTAAGGCTTCTGTCTTCATTGCAGGAATGTTGATGGATCTTCTTTCTCCTTTGTTTCCTTCAGCTTTTATTTTCATTGTTTGCTTAGGGAGTTTGTCAAGATCATTCAGTAAGTTTCTGAACTCCTTGCATCTAAGAACTTTATAACCACCAAGTGTGCTGAGACCTTACTTATCAGTTCTTTTGAGCAATTTGTACATGCATAATACAATTGCTATGCGACACATTTGGTTTTTGCAATAGTCACTTTGCTACCTATGAAGTTTCTTCTTGTTGTGTAATTGTGAAACATTTTCTGTTATGGAGGAAGCTCAATTTGAACTTCTAATTCTTTGTTTTCCTACATTGTTTCCCTACTCAGCTGGTGTTGCTAGTGGAGCTACCAGAGCTGCCTTGACACAACATTTTGCCCTCCAAAATATACAGCAGATATATCTGCCAAGGTACCTCAAAAGTGATTCTTATGATGACAATGGAAAGCGCTATTGTATGAAGGGCTAGTTTTGAGTACTGAGTATTTATTTGTTTCAAAAATATTGGCGGGAAGGAAGCCAAGAGACAATGGCAACAATGATTGGCATGGCATTGGGAATGCTTCTTGCTCGCATTACTACAGAAAACCCACTAGCTATTTGGTTTTCTTTTCTCTCCCTGACAATGTTCCATATGTATGGTAAGTTTGGTTGACATAGAGTCTCCTGTAATCTGTAGCAGTTAAATACAGCTAACACATGCAATTCTTGTTTTATTTTTCCCTGTGCGTAGCAAATTACAAAGCTATCCAGGGCCTTGCTTTAGATTCACTGAACTTTGAGAGGAGCTCAATTCTTCTACAACATTTCATATAAAATGGCCAAGGTAGTAAACACACCTATCACTATTGTTCCCTTTAGGCCATTTTTTATTGAATTGTGGTCCTGGATTTAACTGTCATGGAAAAGCTGTCTATCATTGTCAGCCAGCCATGCATAGTCAAATATCAGGCTACTCCATACATTTACAAAGGCAAATTCAATGTGTTTAGAGTAAATTCTGTGAGATTATTCTTTCTGACAAACCAATTTACCGCATAAGCACCATATCTTGAAAATTATTAATGATAACATCCTATGTAATCTTGCACGAGCTTCATTGTTAAAATGTCCATGGGCTATTTAGCCGGAAAATACATCCAATTTATTGCTTCCATAAGCTCAATATGAAATTATGTTTTCTTTTTCTTTTTTCCAAATTCTTAATGATTTCAATGTGCCATCTTATTTTTAAAAGTTGATGTCAGCGCCTATTCCTGAATACACTTTCAGTTCTCTCTCCTAAACAGGTCTCAACCATGGAGCATGTTTTGCCTTTATGGGCCACTTTAAGGTTGTCAAAGAGTGCTAAGCTCCTGCACACAAATGTAAAATTAGGGTTAAGGGTTTCCTCTCTTGATCACATAGAAATGTGAGTATTTAAGTTTATATTAATTATACAACAAGGGTTGCGTACCATCTGCATTGTCTTGATAGAAGTGATGTTTTGATAGTGCTTCAGCATTAACTGCTAGAGGCACATTCAAAAATTATCATGATACTTGATCTTGGTGAATGTCGATCAAAATCGGCCTTAAACAAGCTCCTTCAAGAGTACTGCTCTTAGTCATTTTTATGATTCGGTATGGAACTGACAAGTGTAATGATAATCTCAAACAGGGCCAACCTTCTGAATTCAGCTGGATCATTTTACAAGAAAGGTTGAACTTTTACTCATTGTTGTAATACTCCACTTTTATTTGTATTAACATTCTCACTCATTCTAGCTATATTATTACTATTGGTCTATCTAGCAAAGTATTCACTGGTGGAGAGGAAGGGAATCGTCAGCGTCATCATGCACAAAGATTCAACGGCTGCAGATATCTTGAAGTCATATATTCATGCACTTGTTATGGCCAACCTTATGGATGGAAAAAGATCTCTACACTTGGAGAGCCAATAATGGATGGATAAGCAGTATGAAACTTTTATTCAAAAGGTATGTCTATGAGTTTGTCCTAAATGCCCCAAATGTTTTTTGAATCTCCTTGGGCCTTTATTAGCCAAACCATAGGAACGGAAAGTTAGTTTGCAAAGATGAACGATATTTTGAAAAGCTATAAGAAGAGTTTATGGGGAACCAAACTTTTATGAATTGTCAGCTCTTTGTGCATTATTTGAAAAGCATCTTCAATACTTGGGACAATGCAACACAACCTTGCTGTGTATATTGGGCTCTATCTCTGATGCATCAGCAATTATATCTGGTCTACTTATCCTCCAGCTGTGTGAAATGAAAAGTTTTTTCTTTAAATGGAAAAATGAAATGCATTTCAGTTGATGGATAAATAATGGAGCTAAACTCATGTAAAGACTAGGTTTTTCCTCGTGATAGTCAGGTTCTACTGTTGCTTTTGTTTCTGGTGGACTCTTTTTCTCGGTCAAGATACATCGAATCTCCTTTTAATTTCTTCTCATTTTGCAGCTAAAGTCATCTGGTTGGAAAACTTAAAGGCTTCTCTCTCCCTCAATCATCTGGAAGGCACACTGGCACTGTGAGTCACTGGATGAAAAAACTGACTAGGTTTCTTCAGTCTACCTCATGAGAATGGTTGATGGCTGTTCTATTGGAGTAAATTGAAGAAAAATGAAAATCATGGATGATACCTCAGTTTGAGATATCAACATCACCTTTTCATCCACTGCTTCAATGGTGCAAAAATTTTAACCTGGTTTAAACTGTCATGTCTGAAGAGATGGAATCCAGCAAAGAAAGTCGAGGCTATGAGTTGGAGACTCAAAAATCACATAATTATTTTGCTTTATGTATTTTATATTACCAAAGTTCAACCATTGATCAAAAGTCTTGACATTTTCTCTTATAATCTTCAATCCATAGCCCCTCTCGTCCATTGACAAAGCAGAAGCATATTTTCCACTGACCCTTCCATCTGACATAGCTCATACAATGAGCTTCCTGCACACTTTCTTCTCCACAAATTATCAAGGCAAAGCATTTAAGCGGGCTCTCCGTAGGAAGACCTTGCTTTTGTCAGGCACCCTCAAACTCCACCCTCAAACACCCTCAAAACTCCAGATTTCCTTCCAAGCCTTGCTGTCCATGGTATATATAAAAAACTTTTCTACAGAAAAGTGGTTTATTCTAAGAATATTGTTTTTTTTTTTTTTTAACAAAGGAGGTCACAGTATTTGAGATTTAAATTTCGGATTTGTTGAATTTCATCTCTTAACAATAATAATTGCATGAATCATCTGAGTTAATCTTCATATTCAGATTATATTCATATATTCAGTTATATTGTTAGGTAATTCAATATGTTTTGATCATTGGAAATTTTTTTCCTTTTTTAATGAAACAAAGAGTCTGTTATAAAATAAAGATACATCTCCATATAGAAAAGGTAAAGGATAGATCTTCCTCATTCTATATTCTCCAAATTTCATTTCTCTAATAATTTATAAACATAACATTCAAAACAACATCATGAAAAATAAAAGTTTGTTATCCAATGTCTAAACAATACAATTATTGGCTTTGTTAAGCACAAGCAAATCCTTTGGCGCAAAAAGCACCTAACCAAATCATATATTTTTCATGATGTAAGGTCTTGGATATGAACCAGCAAACAGGCTGTAGTCATGAAGTATATTTGACTCTAATCTAAGTTGTGGTTTTAAAGCTGCATTTTCATTTCCTATGTCCAGCTGATGCCATAAGTACTCCAACAGCAGCAATGAACATGAACAACATGCTGAATAGCAATATATATGTTCTTCGTGATGATCTGCGATACTCTCCGAACAGAATTACTCCCCAAAATGTGCTCACCAGTGGAAGTGCCTGATACCATGAACGATTTAAGTATTTGAATTCACATATGATAGTAAGTGATATGTAACGTGCAAATGTGCTTTTGCGTTTGAGATGATCTTAAATCGAACCTGAACAGCGTCCGCTGCAGCATAGCCTGCAGCTTGGCCACCCATGAACTGGAGACCATTCCCAAAACCACATAGAAGACCGGCCAAGAAGGCCCAGCCTCGGCCATTCCAGTCTTTTAGATAGGCCTTAAAGGATGATTTGGGTACTCCCAGAGCTGGATGGTAAAGGAAGCTGATATTTAGGATGAGAGCAATCACAAAACAGGAGAGTGAGAAGTAGAAAAATGCTGTGTAGACAACCAACTTAGGAACCCCTTCCTTCAAAGTGTGCCATTGATCATTTGTTGCCAGGTTGATTGCTGGTGAGAAGAGGGAGAAGCAAACGCCAGCGAAGAAAGTTAAGGACAGTCCAATGAAAGTGCTCTTTCCAAACACCTGTAAAGAAGAGTTAATCAAACCACAAGACTACTTTGGCAGAGAATGAAAAAATGTGCCCTTCGAGTTACCAAGACCAAGTAAATGGTGAAGTGAAACTTCCAACCTTGATTGACCTTCTTTCCTCAAGCTCTATCAGGAAGGTCGCTGTTCCTGCTTTTGCCTTGCGTACAGGAACATTCCCATTTTCTAGATCCTTTGTCACTGTTATATAACAAAAGGAGGCTTAGTAAATGGAATTAGAAAGACAGATATGAAGTGTTATGCTTGAGATCCAGGATGCTTCTTACCCTTGCTTGGAATTGCTTCTTCGGAAACAGCTGAAAGCGCAGCCCTGGCATATTGGCAAATGGTTGATTTTGTGAAGCAGTATTATTTTCCAGCATAAGAAATCAAACTTTTATCTAAAATTAAAAATGTTTTGGCTAACGACACTGATCAGTCTCATCAATTGCATATATAATAACAAACTAATGAAACAGGAAATGAAAATATATCAAATCAATAGTCATAACAATTTGAAAAGATCATATGATATGTTTAGCCAATGTATATGAAGGAATGAAGCATACTCTCTCCCTGTTTCGTTATCATTTGACCAACTGCTAAGTTTTGCTTTGTTATCAGCTGAATTGGATGAGTGAACAGCTGATGCAAGACAAACTGCTAGAAGGAAGCAACCAACACCTGGGAAAAGGATCTCAGCTCTGTTGATTCTGTCATCTAAGAAGTAATTCAAGGTTGTACCTGTTAGAATCAAAGAAAAAAAGTATAAAAAAAAGTCAGAAATGTTGCACTCTACAATGAGATAAAAAAATTCAAGTTCTTTTTAGTGTTCGATCAGTAACCTATTACAACAGTCATGCTTGATGAAATCACTTGTACAACTGATAAACCAACAAAAGCCCATGCATATTGTGTGGAAAGGTTTCCCAGGCTGAGAACCACCCCACCAGCCATTGCAAACAAAATAGAGGGCCAATTATCCTGCATCAATTCCCATGACAATAACAACCAGTTCAAACTATTCATATTATGCCATTTTCAACCAAAAAAAAAAAAATGTAGAGAACAATGCTATATCAATCATTTAAAAGGAAAATAACCCATTTAGTTCTGTACACATACTCAGATATGTGAAATAATAAATGGTTACTAGAAGCTTATTAGTTATTAGAATCTTTCCTGCTAGCCAAGAATCATCCAACAGATTCAGAACATAGATTAACAGTCCACTTGAACCACAAAACTCAAAGCCAAAGAGGAAACTCACCTGAGAAAGTTGAGCAAAAAAATTGGGTCTTTCGACCGTGCTGTCCCCTATCTGACCAAATGTTAAAGCTATAATGACAGCAGCCAAGAGATTTGTCATTGTATAATCAAGGTAAGTGTGTTGAGGAAGGCGTCCTCGTCTTTCTAGCAGAGTGATAATAGCAGGCCATGTGCCCAAGAAGAAAAGAGCAAGCAGCATACAAGCTATTGCACCTCCTTTGCTCTCCACTAGATACATCTTCAATTTACTGAAGATACAATCCTCTAAGGTTGAAGCCTGATTGAAGAAGAAATGTCTGGTAATCCTAAAACCATGAAAAATTATAGTTTAAAAGCTGGAATTTTCAAAGCCCAAGTTCACCAAACCCCACTAGCTTGCTGACCTCTGCGAAAAAAACAAAAGTTGTACAAAAAGAAGCCTTTTGGCAAAGAAACAATCAAGTCTTCAATGGGCTGAGAGGACTAGTGAGAAAGAAGAGAAGCAGCAAGTCAGAAATGAGAAAAAAGAACCTTTTTAGAGACCCCACGACTTCAAAAAAGCAAGATGTTTGAAACCTTTGACAGATAACACTTTTAGGCTTAAACTTTGAAAACTGTATCAATTGATACCTTTCAAACTTTAGCTCAAAACACCGGATCTTGAACAAAAGAACTTTATAGAATATTTGAGGCGGCTGATCCAAAGTACTTACTGAACAGTTTATGCATAAAAATATATGCTGATTCCAACATCCAATCGTCAGTTTTATAGCTTACTTTATGAAACAAGATTCATTTGAACGCAACTTGTTTTATAAATTTGGACGTTTCTTCTTTCTTGTCACCATCCATAGTGTTGAAAAGTCGAGAGGTTTAACATTTTTCAAGCCAATAAGACCCCAGAAATTGGCATCCTTGTTTGAAAACCGAGTATACATATGTTCATACATTGATCAACCTAAGCTCATTGGTTTGTGACAACATCATGTTCCATAATTGGAAGAACCAGCTGGTTTTTTTATGGAGTCGGATTCGGCAGGGCACCTTATATTAGTGAGATTAATTCATCATACTTGGAAAAAATGATGAAGTTCCCAACTGAAGCTGAAAACCAACCAAATATGAAAATAACGGTTGCCTTGAAAGAAATACTGGATTCTATATCTCATGCAGCTGGCAGTAATATAAGAAGAGGGTAAAGTGGAAAGAAAGAGATATGACAACGAAAGTTTATTTAACCACGGCCAATCGCCATATAGAAAAGAGTACCTAAGCTCAGAGCCAGACAAGGGTGGACTTTTCTGCCTTTGGCCTTTGAGGTATATCGAACCTAGTCAAAACCAAACGTGGGAAAAAACCAAGAGACGTTACTAAGTAAGATTCTTCAAGCCAAGGAAATGATTTTTTGACTTTTATTTTTTAAAATTATTTTAGGGAAAGGAGGATTGAAATCCCACTCTTTTGAGAAGAGAAATATATGCATTTATCATTCAGATTGAGCACTTAAATTTTCCTCTCCTTTTATCACAATTGGACTAATCCTTTAATCCCTTAGTATCTACTTATATATTCTACAATCATCAAGCAGATTATTACAAGTTGATACAGGAACAAAAGAAAGTGTTGTTAAAACCAACCCATGAATAAGAATCAAGTTGTCAATAACCGTGTGGTGTATTATTAAAATATGAAACTTAAGTTTTAATTCCTAGCAGTCTCAATTATCCAAAAGAAAAGGAGAAACGAGTTGCTGATCCCTGGGTAGAGTGTACTCTCTGAATACTTTAGGAGCCAAGAATGTTTGATGGTTTAGCTCTTTTTTTATGCTATAAATTAATTCCATATATCATGCTTCTTTTTTATTTTATCAAGGATAAATGCTCTGAAATTAAAAATTTGAGTGGTTGCTTAATTAAAGATTTCAATTTTAATTTAATTCAATGTAAGATATGATGTTTTCAAATTTATTTAAATAAAGATTAAGTTACAATGACTTACACGCGCTGTCAAGTCTATTATCCAGATATCATTTTCTGTTAAACCTATTAACTCTAATGAGAAAAATACAAAAGTTGAACACAGAATTGATGATCAATAGGGAGGCAGAGAGCAAAATTAAGTACCACAATTATCCTTGAACAATCAAGCAAGGGAGGCTAGACAATAGCAATTCACAATCAAGTCATTGAAAAGCAAGAAAATTGGGCAAAGTTTTTGAATCTTTGAAGAGAGGAAAAATTACACAATAAATCAATTGTTCTAGAAGTTTTTTGGGTTAAGAAAATTTTTTTGTTAGGCAATCAACAAAGCAAATTCATTATCAACAAGATAAGCAATCAGCAACTAGCCTCAAATAAGCAATTGATCCAATAAGAGGTTCCAATACACAGAAGCAACTACAGCAGCAAGATTCTAAAATTCATCAGTAAGGGTTTTTTCTGGATTTGGTTATTTTTGGGAATTTCTTTTGGGTTTGATTCTTTTTGAGAATTTCTCAACAAGAAGTTTTTCTGGGTTTCATTTTTTTGAGAATTTCTGGGTTTTAAAACAGAGCTAGAAAAGGGAGGAAGCACTAATCTATCGGCAACACAATAAACGGCGAATAAATGGCGAAAGGCGTTGGATTCTGACAGTGAGATTCTGTGATTCTTGAGCTCTTTATTTTTTAGGTTGTAATTGGGTTTTGATTTAGAGATTTAAGAAAGAAGAACATAGAAGAGGGGTTGAACCGGAAATTCTAATCTCAGCCATGAAAAAGCTATGCTGCTGGTGAAGGATGAAGACAAACGGTGAAATCAATGGAGAAAAAAATTGACTTCTAAGTATTTGTTCTTCGGCTAGAAAGAACAGGAAAACAGAGTTCACTTGAGAAGAGAAGCAGGAGAAGATACAGTTTTTTGCTAAATTTTACTGTTTATTATATTGCAGAACAGTAATTCACGCTTTTTTGTGCGTGTGTAAATCACAGCCTAATAGAAAGTTTATTTGAACAAATTCAAAAACGTTATATTTTACATTGAATCAAATTAAAGTTAAAATCTTTAATTGAAAATTAGGTAAATGTTAGATCTTTTGATTTAACCTTTTATCAATCAAAAAACCTTGACACACATCTCATCAATAATAGTAAATGGATTCTACCTCTTTGTTAGCAAGTTTTTCTTTGATACCAATACTCAAAAGTCTATGTTGAAGAGTTCCAATTATTTGGAACTTCTTCTACCTTCTAGCCAAATAAATATATAGACAAAGAAAAAGGTGCCCTATCAGTCAGCTTGAAAGCTCTCACCTGTATTTTTGTCGAGGCAAGTTTCAGAGATAGCGGTCCAAGTGGTTTATTACCTCCCAACTCAAACATGAGATAGCAGATACGGCAGGTTGTTTAAGGACATCAGTAGCCGAAGATCACAAAGTGCTATGAGAAGAGGACGGTCCGCCAGTTGCAAGTAAGGCTGCGGAGGTCAAAAAACAAGATTCATGTACAGGAGTTAGTAGTGGTGAGGTGCATTTCAGGTTCACTTTAGACTAATGAATTTGTAGTGATATCAGATTGGACTCGAGAGTGAAGAGTCAGTTACAAGTGCTCAAGCTGGATGTATTTTTCTCTTCGAATTTTTAAAGACAAACTAGCACCATCTTCACAATTCACATGCTATAAAAGAATAAATATGGAAATGGAGTAATGTTAAAAAGAAAGTTGACAAATTTTGGCCAAGGAAAAAAGATTTCCCTTTTCTTTTCAAAATATGACGTTGCAATCCTTGTACATTTTCAAATGAACAGAGCCAGTAGCATGCAGGCTATGGCACCTCCTTTGTTTTCCACCAGATACATTTTCAAACCACTAAAAACAATCCTCTTAGTTGGTAAAGAGATCAAGGATGCAATGCCTGGAAAATCCTGTTATAAAGAAGAAGGCTTGGTGTCTAATCCATCTTTCATTTGGTCAAATTTAGTAAATTTACTGGCCTGTTAAGCCCTACATGGAGTCATGGAGATTCCCCAGAATTAAGGAATTCCAAGTAGAAGAAACCCTTTCATTTCTAAACCCCATTGGTTTCCCGAAATACCATTGCACGCCAGGCTCCAAGCAGCTGGCAATTGGCATCCAATCAAGCTAACAACTACTGGAAAACAAGAAGCCTTTATATAAGCAAAAACACAGATATAGAGAGGACAGTGCAAGCTCTTCTAAGTAGATTGGACACCTCAGAAATGACTGGTTGACAGCTCATATTTCAGAAAGATAAGGCAAAAAAAAATCCAGAAAAGAAGAATATGCCAGCAAACAGACAGCAAAGCAAGCATAGCCTGAGGAAAAACAGATTCAGAGCAAGAATTAAAAAGTCAACTGAACAAACCCATAATCAGAAATTCAATAATCCAAACCATTTGGAAAGTATGAACTATGAAGCTTTTACCTTAACCAGTTTAATGGTCAGAAACTTTCGGAGAAGTGCCTTAGAACAAAGCTGCAAACTGAGGGAGGACTTGGAGAAGTGCAAATAACAAAGAAGAAAAAACAATCTGCAAAGGGAAAAGGCATTGATTGACTCATAAAACAAAAAGGGTACCGTGATGTCTTGATATAGAATCTTGGAAAGAGATTCTTTTGGATTTATAGTCAGTTCAGAAAATCTTGGATCATTGCACGCTGCTTTTCATCGGTTCGTTGATTGGCTTAGTCATAGGTACTTACTTCAAGTCAATATGTCGTGAGAAATTGATGATCTTGTTTGAGAAATTTCATAAAATCTGAATCATCTGTTGAATAATTGGCCAGTTGTCCTGACCCATGCGCAGTGCGTTGTTGAATTAGAATTTGGATTAATAAGCCAATTGATTTCCCGCTCAAATGGAATTTCCAAAAATGAAATTCCATAACGATTGGATTGAGGGAAGGGAAAGAAAGGAAAATAAAAAAAGCAATAAAAATAGAAAAATTATTTCTTTATTTGCATAAAGTTTTAATTTAAAAGAAAAGAAAAAAATTGAAACTCAATAATTTTTTATTTTTTTATAATTTTTATTTTTTTAATAATTCAATTTGACGAAAAAGCTAAAAAAAGTTTAAAAATTTTTATTTTATAAATAAAACTATTATATCTATCTTTTTTTTAATATTAAAAATTTAATAAAAAAAACCTAATCACATCACAATTTTTTTTATAATTTTTTTAAAATCATCTCTTTTTTTTAAGTAAGCTTCACATGTCTTTTTAAATATAAAAACTACTTATATAACAATAATTATAAAGTCAAACAAAATAATAAACATATCATGATTTAAAAGTATTTTAAAATCACAAAAAATAAAACATTATAATTGAAAAAAATTATTATAATAAATCATTTTCTTTCTTTTTCCTCTTTATTCAAATAATAGTTATTAAAATTTTTTTTTTCTTTCTTTTATTAATTTTAATTATCCAAATAAGAAGTACATATATTTTTTTCTTTTCTTTTAAAAAATTTTCTTTTATTTTCCTTTCATTTTCTTTCCTTTCTTTTATTAATATTTATCCAAATATTGTATAAAACTAATAAGTGTCAAAAAAAAACTTTGCTCATGTTTCACGTGGGATTCAAATTAAATTAAGAATTTTAAAAAATAAATATAAAATAATAAAATATAATTTATTTTTTCATATTAATTTTAAATTTACGTGATTTATTAATAAAATATTATATTTTAAATTTAAAACTTAATTTAAGTGACACATATAATTATCCTAAAAAAATAACTTTTAATAAATTTGAAGTTCAAACTCAAATATTTACAATTATTCTTAAATTGTGATCTTTTTTATATAAAAAAAAAAAACCATATTTTTAATGTTTGATAATTAAAATTCAATCTTTAACAGCCTTAACTAATAACCATAATGACGATGATCTAAGCTGTAGCAAGTTCATTTTAGAGACGAACTTTGCTCTAGTATTATACTATTATCTCTCAAGCAAACACCAAGAAATTACCTGAGCCAATGTGAATGAGAATCCGTGGATGACTAGAACACAGAAATAGAATTGTTTTTGCCTACTATTAACTTGCAATCACATGTATAAGAACTTGAATAAAAACCAATAAGCATATTGACAACAGAAACAAAGAGGAAGAAAACCAACACATTTTACAAATTAAACAATCATGAACAAATGTAAAAAAAAAAAAAATTATTCTGCCTTTATTTTCTGGTAACAAAAAGCAATATATCGAGTCTCTCTCCAATATTTCATCCAAAAAAAATGGAAAAAAAAAAAAAAAAAAAGACTCACTTATATACCATCCAGAAAAAAGGATGATTAGCCAAAAATGTAGCTTGAGAAAATCCATTCAAGTGACTTTCTTTCTATGTTGTATATAAGTTGTGCTGATCATTTCACTTTATGGAAATTATTGGAACTTAAGCATCTGACTTAATTTGCCTCACACCAGGCACCTGTCTTGACACATTATGAAGGAAGTTACCAAGCAGCCTTTGATCGAAAACCATATTGGGCACCTGCAGAACAAATATATGAGCCAGGCTCACAAAGAAAGACAAAGGGACAAAGTGAGAAGAAAAGGCAGACCTTGTCCCCAAAGAAAATTTTTGTGTTATCAGCAATGGCCTCAATAAACTTGAGTTCAAGAAATTCAGGAGTCAGCTTCAATTTGTTTGCCTCAGCTTCTTTCATTACACTGAAAAATGCAGAGAGAGGACTGAAATATCAACACCTCTACAGCATCATTTCACATAGCTCTTACTCCAAGTTAGAAAAAAATAAAAGTAAAAAATGATTTTAAAAGATTATTTTACCGATAAAAACCAGCATCTGCTAGACTCTTTTCACGAGCTATGTACATTTGGTTCTCAATTTCCTGCTGCCTCCTGGCACTCTCCTTCTCCATCAGCTTCTGTTCCATCAGGATCTTGCTAACAGTGGCAGCCTTCTCAGCTTCACTAATAGCCATCTTTTTCTGTGTCTCTACCTCTTTCTCAACTACCTTTTGTCTCTCAATAGATATTAAAACCTGCAGAATAGCATTATAGATTGATATAAATCATAAAATTATCAAAAAGTACTAGACAAGCAAACAGTAAAGTTATGTGCTTATAGAAGATTAGAAAGTTATATACCTTGGTGCGTTCCTCTTCCATTTGTTCATAATTTCTTCTAATGCTGTCAGGTATAGTGGGCTTTGTAACACGTACACTAAGAATTTCAATTCCTGGAGCATAGCGTGTGCAATCACCCTGTAGAGCATCCTTCATCTTTTCATCAATCTGAAACATCAAATTTTGATTTAGTTGACAAAACCTTAAGAAATATTATTACAAGAAGAGGAAGGTGAGGAAAGAAAAAAAATTTATACAGCACAATCCTACGGACAATTCAAACATGAAAAAATAAGCTCAAGGCACTTTAACAGGTGAATATTAAATCTTTGTTTAAGGGATCAGAATATAGTAAACTCCCAAAAAACACTTCAATAGGCTTAGTATTCTGTTATAGCTTTAAGTTGCATCACATATGTCATAGAAAAAGGGCATTATAGTTTAAATACACTTCATTTATCTTGTAGTCGTGGGCGAATGGAACTGGCAACCTTAGCCTTAAAGAGCATGGTTCAGTTTGCATCCTTTCTTACCTGATCAAACACATCTATATAAACTTGTTGAAGAGTATGACAGCTGCAAAACTGATTGATCTCATGATGGATCTTGTCATATATCCATGTGTTGTCATAATGCACACCATAGTTGAACAGCGTTTCATACACATAATCTTTTTTAAGCCGATTGACAACCTGAAACAGATGTAATTCAAACAATATCAATGAAGGAAGAAAGTCAGACTCAGACCTTAAACTACACATATAATATGAATTAAGAATAGTTTACAGCCTTACCTCTATCTTTTCAAAGTTGATCATCACTCCCCCTTTCGTACCACATGGAATATCCCTCACCTACATTTTTTTTAAATGAAAAAAGAAATAGGATATTATTATGAAGGCCAAATGATAGATAATTTTCACAATTTTTGCAAAAAAAAAAAAAACCTGATCTGTTTGCAGAGTAACTAGAACGGGCTCATAATGGGTTATCAGAGGCATCTTCAAATGGAAACCTGATTACTGTAAACTTAAGAAGGCTGCAGACAAAACCAACACAAGCAACCAGCTATTGTGAATCATAAAAAGAAGACTCAAGCCTAACCTGGCTCTGTTATCGTCTTTAGAAGAGCACCACCCCTCCAATACACCCCAACATGACCTTCTGGGACTTGATGCAAAATGGAAAAGGTATTTTTAATATTCGAAGATGATGGATTCATTGCCTGAAAATGTCATCGTTATACCTCATTAATTTCGGTGCTAAAGTGGCTTTGGCAAATAATCTTGCACATTTGTTTCTACAACCTAAGAAGCAAAATTCTCCAGTTGAAGAGCCCAAGGAAATTGTTGCCTTTCATATGAGCTTATATAGATGTTTAGATTATAGCAACTCTCAAAAATAAATCAAACTAAGCAACTCTGTAGTGTAGCAATTTCCATACGGAGAAGCAATCCCCTCTGTCATGAGAAGTATCCTTTACAAATTAAAAGAACAATAAATAAAGCTCTAGGCTAAATCAAGCGGGGGCTTCAGAAAACAATCGATTTAATACTGTGATAAACGAGCTTTAAATTGTTAAGTGATGTATCTCCTTAATGATGAATTTAGGTTTAAATCAAACAAGAGATGTTTGACACAATCAGAAATAAACATTAAACAAAATGTTCTTCAAAGAAAAAAAAAAAAAAAGGATAACTTGACACCATGTCAGAAAAATCACTGCCAATCAAACTCAAGAGAAAAAGAATATAAGGAAGATTAAACTTAAATAAAAAAACCTAAAAGAATTAAAATCATCACTCAAAAAAAGCAAACAAAACATTTATTAATAATAAAAAAAGATATCACCTTTTGATCGAACTTCATTAAAATGAATCGTGATTTGGAAAAGAAGTACTAATAATGAAGCTAAGACATCCATAAATCAATAAGAAGCAATCAAAAGCGTTGTTCACAAAGACAATGAGCGTATACGTATAGAATGCGGAGAGAGAAGACGTTTAATTACCAAGGAGCCAATAACTACAAAAGTAAAGACAATCATGATGATTGGAAAAGAATCGCCTCTTTGAGCTGGAGGAGACGGTGGGGGTGGCGATGGCGATGTCGGTGTGGTTTCGGATCTCTGTTGGTGAGGAGGATCCATGGCGGTTAGAATGTAACACTGCTTTCGCCTTTGACCTTTATTCGAAACACAATGACAATTGAATTTGATTAATATTCATTTATTATTGCCTATATATATAGCTGAAGCTGCTATCGTCGGATTAAACGTGGCCGTTGACGTTGAACACGTGGATTTATTAATTTTTTATTATTTTGTATGTATAAATAAAATATTTTCAAATATCAAATAAATAAAATTAAATCTAATATATTGAAATCCCAAATATAAAAACCCATCAACATATATATTTTAAAATTATTCATATTTAACATTCAAAATTTTTAAACATCAAATAAATAAAATAAATAGTATTATATTTTTAATAGCCTGATTTAATGAACATATTTTATTTTTGGATCATATTATAAATAATAAAAAATGACTATGAGAAGAAACATTAGAAAGAAATTAATTAATTAAAATAAAAAACAAAATTTTTTATTAATAAATTAAATAAAAAGGGTCAGATCGATATACAATCTTAAATGTATTGATTTTCTTTAAAATTAATGCGTATAAGCAAGTATCATGAAATGTTTGATTCATTTCCTATTTGATTCATTTTCTATTGTACAAGCAACGAACTTTGGAGGAAAGTTTTGTGGAAAAGAAAAAGTAAACAATTCATTATTTTCCATACCTTTACAAAGAACTAAAATATTTTTTTCTTTTTACTTTTCTTGAAATAATATCATGATAGTGATACAAAATATGCATAAATAAAGATTTTCAAGATTTTTTTTACTTAATTTATAAAACACATAACTTTTATTGATTTTCAATTTTTTATTTTAAAAATAAAATTAAATAGATAAACAATCGAGTTATTCGTAAATTAATTAAGTTAATTTAAATATTTAAATAATACTCAAGTATGATTCATTTATTATTAAATTAAATTTGAATAGTTTATTATAATTAATTCAATATTTTATTTGAATTTTGAAATGAAACTCAAATTTAAACTTGAATTGAGTTTTTATTTTTAAATCCCTTATTTATGTTCATAATAATTGAGGTTGAGTCCAATTAAGTCAAGTTTAAACAATTAAATTACTTTTTAAGTCAAAATTGAAAAAAAGAAAAAAGTGTTATCTAGATTCAAATCAAACTCAAATCAAGATAAGATTAGATTAATTTAATGACATTATCACATCTCTAAATGAAGATGATAACTTGATAGAAGGGTAACAAAATTATTTGTGATTTTTTATTTTTACAAATAATTATAATGATTAGATTTATCAATTTTAAATACGATATGATAATATAATACGAAAATAATATGAATAAAAAATAAAAAATGATATAATTTAAAAGTTTTGTAAAAACCATAAATAGATTTAATAAAACAAAAAATATATACATATTTTATATTTTCGCATCAACATGAATTATGATATGTAATTTTCATAAAAAAATATGAATTACATGACACGAATATATGAATTACTAAATCTACTAATAATATATTTAAATTTATATTTTAATATTTATAAATATTACTTCATCCTCAAGTACGATTTTTTTTATAAAAAAAAAATACATTCATTCTCAAACATAAACAATTATTATTTATTCAAAGAGCTGGAATGTTCTTTGTCTGTCCCATTCCACAAGCACCCAGAAACAACTAGTTAGAAGAAAAGGCCACCCATTCCATGACTATAGACTAAAAAAGATTTGAATATATTTTCTCTTAAAGAAAAAAAAAAAGTCCAACCAAGAATTAGCATGAACTGAATGATGAAATTCAGGGAAATTTCCCCCTTTTTTTTTCTTACGAAAATGTAATGTTTTTTTGACGAAACATATGATGTCGGATCATTCGAACTTGCCTCATTTTTTTGGAGGATGTTCCTGCGTTTGACGAGCATTGACAGAAAGTAAGACGAAAGGCGCTATCACACGCGCCATCCACTCGCTTGAGGCTAAAGTTCCATTACAAAGATACGTCTAAGCGCAAACCTCAGATTACGTGGCTATCAGTTTTCAGTTGGTAATCAGTTATAAGTACGGTCAATCACTCACTTCATGGAGGAGGCAGCCCCCAGGCGACGCTAATTCCACTCCCTGGTGACGAAAAATCCTCACCCTCACAGCCAGCCCGGCGCCGACGTTGTTCATTTACTTCATGGAGGAGGCAGCCCACAGGCGACGCTAATTCCACTCCCTCGTGACGAAAAATCCTCACCCTCACCGCCCGCCCCGCTTCGACGTTGTTCCCGAAATACAAAACCAAAACCCAACGGCCGATCACTGCCATAAAAAAGGCTCAGTTCGTCCCTATGTAATGAAGGTGTATATTCTTTCTCTGGCTTTCTGCTCGAACCATATTTAGCTATGATTTTCACTGTATGCTTGATCTGATAGTGCTCTTCTGCAACTTAATGGTAACAATATAACTTAGCCTTGCCAAGATATGTTAGATCTATACATCTTATCAGTTATTTTATCATTGTGTTTTCAAATCATATGGCTTTGTTAGAACAACCTGCATAAATCAGAACGTAAACCCAGAAAATTAAGTTTTATCGATGAAATTTTTCGTCGGTAATACAACGAAAAAATTCTGTTAGTGTTGTCGGTAATGCTATTTCATCGATGATTACTGATGAAAAATCTATCAATAAAATCCATCAATATTTGCCGATTAATTGATTAACGAGGGTTTACTTACTAAATTTTCATATATCGTATCAGAATGTTTAACAATTCATTCATCGTACCGGAAACAAAGATGCAGCATATTTAGATTTCAACAATGCCATATCGCTTGACATGTTAATCACAATGGTTCTCTTCGTTTCTACTTGTTGTGTTTGGCGAAATTTACTGCAATTCCTTTCATGTTAGGACTGTTGCTGCTTTCTACCAAAAGTGAAGAAAATGTTGTTGGTGGCTTTGAAGAGAGCCATAGCATCACTTGGATCATTGTTGTTGGTTGTTCCTCTTGTTTTAATCCATTTTTACAAATAGAAGATGAGAATCCAGCTGGGCTGCAAACCGAGAGTTATCCCCATATATAATTTACAACGTAGAATCAAAGTTCATTAATTCATATATACTCCCATTCAAAAGCTTAAAAAGAAGGAACACCACAGTGCAAGCTGAAAAATGTGAACATGCATACACATAAAAAGAACTGAAAAACATGCAGGCCTATAAACATGAACCAAACATTAATGAATGGATGTATGTCTGTAGTTTATTTGTTTATTTTTAGAAGTGTTTTAGTTTAATTCATGTTAGGTAAAAAAATTGCTCTATTCGTTTGAGTTCGATTCATTTAAAGGATAGGATATTCGTGTTCGATTTGTATTTAATTTAGTTAAATTAAATTAATTCATTCGTGAATATTAAATAATATGTTCACGTATATATATAAATAAATATATTCATAAATAATAAATAAATTGTAACTAAATAAATTTAAACAAACAAACAAACAAACTTTAAATGAACAAAAATAAATCCAAACAAATATAAACGAACTTTTAATAAGATTAAGATAAATGATAAAAATATAATTTTGTTAGTAATATTATAAACGAACAACAAATGAATAATTAATAAATAAATTTTAAAACAAACTTTAAACGAAAATTTTCACGAATATAAACAAATTAAATAAATTTTTTTTCGTATTCGGTTCAGTTAGGTTAAACAAATTTGTTTATGAATATTAAAAAATTATATTCATGAAAATATATAACTTAATATATTCATGAACAATAAATAAATTATAAATAAATAAATTTAAATAAATAAACTTTAAACAAATAAAAATAAATCTTAATGAATATAAAAGAATTTTAAAATAAAATTAAACTAAAAAATAAAAAATAATTTTATTAATACTATCATAAACAAATAATAAATGAACCAATTTTAAAACCAATTTTAAACAAAATTGTTTACTAATATAAACGAATTGAATGAATTTTTTTATATTTAATTCATTTAACAAATAAATATAAAAATATTACTTAATTATTAAATTTAATAAATGAATAAAAATTAAATATATTTCGAATAATTTGTAAAGAATCATGTTCGATTACACTCGTAAAAAACATGAAGAAAAAAACAGTCAAATAAAATTATTGGATTGTGCTTTCGGATGTTTTTCATAATGATTTTTTTTTTTTTTTTTGGTGAGAGGCTACTTTTGCTTACGTAGAGATGGAACGAGTGAGCAAGTTGCCAAGCTATTCAAAGAGACCTCGGATTATGAAGTTGGAGCTGTTCGAAAATTTTTCAAAAAAAAAAAAAAAAAAGTTTGTCTGAAAATCATGCCCGTTGTAATATGTGGGGTCCACCTGATCCAGGAGCGGGGGTGTGGAGGGAGTAACTGCAGATAACAACACCAACTTAATTAATTTTTCCTTTTAATATATATATTAATATTTTTAAATTTTATTTGAATTCAACGTTTTAAAAACAATTTAAAAAATGCATTCTTCAACAATAAAATGCATTTTCTTACTTTTTTTTTTTTTTTGAACCGAAATCTTTGACAATAAAAATATTAAATATATTTAAATATAAACTTTTTAAATAATATTTAAATAAGTGATTTGATACAAATAATTAAGATTTAAAATCTGAATATAAAATATAAATTTTATAATTTTTTATTGATTAATAATTTATAAATTCAAAAAATTTTTAAAGATTTATAAAATTTTTTATAAATCGATGGTTTTCAAAATGACGTAATTTTTTTATTTTTAAACTTAAAAAAAATAAAAAATATATATACATACTTTCCAAAATTTTCATCCATATCCAAAAATTGACCCTTCAAAACCTCTTGTTTCTCTCTTCCATCCTCGGGTAAACCCCTTATCCCCCGATCACTCCCCGGCCCATGTTTCCTTTTTTTTTCATTTACACTGAATAATTGAGAAGCACCACCAACTACTTTTTTCAAAAAAAAAATTTTTTTTTCTCTATCAACCAGAATTATTATCCCTTTACCAAAATTTTCACCCATAGCCAAAAATGGACCCTCCATTTTCTTCCATCTCCATAGACCCTCCTCCCCAGCCCATAATCCCCGTCGTGGCCAACCCAACGACGACAGTTGCCGGTCTGCCTTCGAGTTTCAACCATCCTCCTTACCCAGACATGATATGTGAGGCTATTGAGGCTTTAAAAGAGAAGAATGGGTCAAGCAAAAGGGCCATAGCTAAGTTCATAGAGTCAGCTTACAAGGACTTGCCACCGACACACCCAGCCTTGTTGACTCACAACTTGAAGCGCTTGAAAAATAACGGTCTTCTGGTTATGGTGAAGAAATCTTACAAGCTTGCTTCCACCGCTAGATCTGAAGGTTCGATTCCGGATTCTACTGCAGATGCTTCTCCTGGATCCAAACGAGGCCGCGGCCGTCCTCCCAAGCCCCTTCCTACTGCCGAACCCAACTCTCAGCTGCAATCTGTTTCGGTTACCGATGGGCCTAAGACCTCCGGTAGGCCTAGAAAAAATGGGCCCGTTGGTCAACTTGGGGCTATAAAGGGCCAGGGTCGGCCACCCAAAAGTGGGCCTAAGAAGAGTCCGGGTCGACCAAGGAAACCGAAGACGGTGAGGTCAGTGGCGGGGGCTAATGCGATGAAAAGGGGCCGTGGACGGCCGCCTAAGGCCTTGAACCAGTTACCTCCACAGGCTCTTATGTCGATCCAGGGTCAACCCATGGCTGTTCCCTATGCTGATGTTACTGCTGCTGCTGCTACTGCTACTGTTGCTGATTTACCAAGGCCCAGAGGAAGGCCCAAGGCCGCAGCTGGAGCTGCTGGCGTCGTGATCCCTGGAAAGCGGAGAGGTCGACCACCCAAGATGATCACTGCTAAGCCCATCAGGCCCAAGAAAACAACTGTAAAACCAGGCCGCCCCAAGAAGGTAAAACCACTTCATTTGTCCGGTTTTTTAGTAGAAGACTAGAACTAGGAAGTGTCAATGGTATGACTGAGATGATGTTGTTGTAACTAATGTCATTGTCCTCGGACGTTGTTTTTTTTTTTCATAACAAGACAACTCATGGAGCTGAATCAAAGGCGTTAGCAGCAGCATATGGAGATCTTAAGAGAAAACTTGAATTCTTTGTAAGTCGGATGATTTCCTCATGGCTTCTAGTTTGTTACAAGCAAGCATGCCCATGCCTGGCAGTGAGATGTGTTTTTCTTTAAATTTCAAATATTTATCATCATCATGTTAATAATAGAGAAGACACAAGTGAATAGTGGTAAAGACATGTTGTGAGGGAGACAACTAGGTCAAAGGGAAGCAATAAAATCAGACACCATTGATAGTGATATAAGATTGAGTTGTAGTAGTATGTTGGTATATATAAATATGATAGTTTTATATATAAGAAGAAGAAAAAGGGAAAACTCGTCATTTATGATTTTATAATGTTGATTGCAGCAATCAAAAGTGAAGCAAGCAGTTGGAGTACTAAAGCCTCAGTTCACCGGTGAAAGCAACATCAGTGCCATTGGCGCAATCCAAGAGCTAGAAGGACTTGCAGCAATGGACATTAGTACACCGGTTAAAGAGGATGCTCAACCACCGTTGCTGCCGCTGCCGGCACCAACACAACCACCGGTGTCATAGAATGAAGTACAAGTGTATTAATCCTTTCTTCCTGTATGTTTAGCAAGAGCTGTAGAAATGTTCTGACGTAGACACAACGACATTTCTGTAAAGGGAAATAGGAAGTTGCAGATCTAATTGTTATTGTTGTTGAGGCTTGTTGCTTGTGAAACTTTTTCATGACTTTAATTCTCTCATTCCCTGTACTGATTCCAAACTTTGAATGCAAATTTGAGTACAATTTCATCGTCATTTCTACTCAATGGCAGTTGTTATTTACTGCTCATCAAGATTCAAGCATCCTTCTATACACTTGCTTCTTTAGCAATTCCTTCTGTTTAATCCGAAATACCTTCCTATGGTTTTCCAAGCATTCAGTAATCATCCATCTACTTTGAACAAAGATGTTACGTATCTAAACTTCAACATAGTTATATTAGAATCACATACGAGACCACAGAAAGAGTTGGGTTCAGTCATAAATGGCGTCTAAACGCACCCCTGATGCAATGGAAATGCTCCCTGTCACACTCTCAATGGAGCCTTGGACACATTTACATGTTTTTATGCACCCTTTGACATGTCAAACCTCAGTTCACTCTCTTATATGATGTGATTCTTTTTCTTCATGAAATTGTTGAGAGAGTGAGATGAGCAATGTAGGGAACATTTCTAGGAAAAGAGTTCTATCAAAACGTCTTTCTCCGTTTGGCAATAAGGAAAATCCGGGGATATATACAATCACACGCGTGAAACAAATTTCCCTGAAAACCAGATTCTCACGTCAAAATCGTACTAAAAGGCTTCAATTTCTTTCCAGTGTGCTTGTAACCGAAAGGTTGCCAGGTAAGTCAAAAACCTATGGCCTATAATAAACTCATTAACAATAACCTACAAATTTAGGCCATGCATGCCACGTCAAATGTCAATAATTCTACTATAGTTTTGACGTTAGATACATCACGATCCACCAATTCAAATAAAAAAAAAAAAAAACCAGTCACTTATTGAAGCTTGAAATGAACAAAGTACCATGAGGGGTGCCAAATTTTCATTAAATTAAAAAAAAAATAGTGCCTCTCTCTAGATAAGGAGAAAGAAAAATCTAAAAAGCAGTATCAGGTTCTACTTCTACAATGGCTAAAGGGAATTAAATTCCAAAGCTTTTTTCACATAAGCAGCAGGAAAGAAACAAAAAAGGAAAAAGAAAAAAAGCCATAAAGGGGGACCGGGGGGGGGGGGGGGGGGGGGGGGTTGCCTCTAGTGGATGATACTTACATACACCAATGTTAGTATTACTGTCATAGCAAAATCTCATCCGGACATCAAACCGTTACCCCTTCAACCTTTTCTTCAGCTTCAAATCCAAGACAATCTTACAATCCAAAGGGTGATAATAAAGGTGACGAAAATGTTAGTGCTTCTGAAGAGAGCCACCGCATCACTTGCATCGTTGATGCCCGTGGTTGTTCCTGTTGGGCCAAGGGTGGTGCCACCACCAAAAACTGTTGGAGTCCCTGTGGTTGTCCCTGTGGGTGGAGTCCCTGTTGTTGTCCCAGTAGTTGGGGTTGTGCCAGTGCTACTGCCAAAATTTAGCACAAAAAAATAGAATGTTGGATGCTTTACTGTTAAAAAAAAGCCCTGGTGTATTAGAAAATTTTACAGACCCACTAGACCTAAAAGCACTCGTGCTATGAAAGGAACGTGGAAACATGCTAACATGAGAATATAACAGATGTCCAACAGAAAATGGGGAATCAAAAAACTTTTTTTTTTGGTTACAAGGAATAAAAAATACTTTGATAAGAAAGAAGACAAACAACTTCTGAAATATCAGATCATGACAGCTCACAGCTGTAAACCAGAAACAAAGATGATGCGACCAGCCTCCTTCCAGAGGAATCAAAGAAAGATGATTTCGCTATTTGGGAGGGGCTAGAGCGACTCTTTACTTAATTGATCATCATACAAATTATTTAATGAAAATTGACAGAGTTGTAAATTGCTTCTGAAAGCAAAATCCAGATCATATCTACAATGTTGGTTGTACCTAACAGAAAAATCCCAAAGCTAAGACATAAGAGAAAACATAGAGGATATTTGGAAACTTGATAAAAATTTTTCATTCAAAGTGGCAGATTCTAGTTTTGACAATCACAAGTGTTCACTGGAACATATCAGAAGGGAACTTAGATGTGAAAGCGATTCTGAAACCTCACTGCAGAATCAACAAGCTGAGAGGCATACCTTGAGGGATAGCTGCACGTGGAAGCAATATCTGCAAATTTTGTGCCAAAAAAATTAGCAAAAATCCAAAAATAAAAGGAAAGAAGAAAGAAATATGTGGTAACAGAAAGGATAGGTTAAGGGACTTACTGGTAGGAGGATTAGAACTAACTGTAGCAGCGCCAGAAAAATCACAGCTTCCTGTAACTTGACCTTTGTTTTGGAAATAACTATTGACAGCATAGTTGCAGTGATCTTTCAGAGTGTTGGGATTATAGCAGGCACCATTTTGGAGGATTGCAGTACAATCAGCTCCAGCTCCACAAGCATAATCCAGGGTCTTTTGGAGAGCTTGATCACTCACCCCATCTTTACATAAGCAATAAGTAGCACCTATAGAAAGAAAACGCAACACCCAAAACCAAAAACAAAGTTAGCTTCTAACAGCTCAATCCGAAAAACATTCAATAGCACTATGAAAAATGAAAACTTTTTTCTATTGCATTCAAACAAGAAAAAAAGATACAAAAGATTCTCTATCAAAATTCTTTACAAAAAGAGATGAAAAGAAGAAATCTTTTAAGAAACCATCTGAATATTTCTTAAGCAAAGAAGAGAACCCATATCAGAAATCTTGAGTTATGATAACTCAAAAAATCGTTATATCTAATCTGAAGTTGAAAAAGAACAGAAAAAAGTTTTAAAAGTAAGAAAGAAAATCACAAAAACCAATGAGCTTACTTGAGTGCCCAGTCATGGCAAAGACAAGCACTAGGCAAATTAAAAGAGCCATGGTTGATGCAAGATTTGGAGACGAAAATTCGAGAAATTAACTGACTTTTAATATAGTTGATTCAAACTTCAATCAAAGATAGCAGAAAGAAAAGAGAGAGATAGAGAGAATGGAGACTTCTAGACAAACAATAAGAAAGAAAGTATGATGGTGGTCGGTGGGTAGTGACTGGTGGTAGTGGGTGTCTGTATCTGATAGATATATATATATATATATATATATATATATATATAGAGGGTACTTATTACAGTATACCAATGTTTATTGTATTGGATACGTTTAAGTGGTCTGGGAAACTGAGCAAAGCCCTTAAACAAAAGGTTTTTGTCATGTATTTGACTGTTTTTTCAGTATTTCTATGTATATCATCCATGTTCATATTATTTCATATATATTTTTTCTCAAACGGTCATTAACCCAAGTGAAGCATCAAAACTTAACCCAACCACCCAACCCGGTTCAGGTTGGTAGAGTGAAAGTGAGGTTGAAACTGATGTCCGATGGCCCTGCCATTGGGGGACCCTTTTTCTGAGATCTTTCATCAATGTGCTGTCACGAAGAACTTGCATTGCATATGTGGTGTTCCCTTCTTGTTCAACTTTTCTGAATGGCAGTATAAATTAATGAACTTTGATTCTACGCTGTACATTGTATATGGATGGATGTTGTTTCACGGTATCTCAGCTTCTATGTAACCCACAAGACCCAACATTCAAACAAGATTGTGTTAAATGTTATGAAATTCAATGATTTGTCTGTTTTGCCATTCAAATTCAACCCTTTGAAGTCTTAAGTCTACCTTGAAGGCTCAGCAATGTGCAATACGAGTCAGCACTTACCGCAGATCTAATGGCAACAATGAAAACATGTTAGAAGAAATTATAAAACTTTTGGTGTTTGGTACAAAAGAGAGAAGATTGGACAAAAAGAGAAATTGATCAAAAAGAATAACTTGTTTTAATAATTAACTAGTATAAAATATGAAGATTAATAGAGGTAAAAAAGGGTTGAATCTTTTGATTTAGTCTAGTTTTCTTTTTCAACCGTCACATTTGGCCTAGAAAAATGATAAAATGTCTAAACATATAACAATCCAAATTTAAAAAAAATGAAATAAAATTCACATTTATCATTTTTTCTCTCTTTTCAAATTTTAAATTAGACTTGATAATTTATGTATCGTATCATGTAAAATATAAAAATTTATATATTCGTATCGTATTTTATACGAAAATTACGTGTCATAATTTATGTCGATATAAAAATGTAAAATATTTTTTTATTTTGTTAAACTCATATATAATTATTACTAAAATTTTAATTTTTATGTCTTATTTTCATATCATATTCGTATTATATCATCATATCATGCTTTGAATTATCAAATCTATTTTGAATTATTTATCATGAAATAACTTGTGATAAAATAAATAGTATGATTTAGAGTCAAATTTATTAAAATAAAACCAAAAAAAAAAGTGAATGAGCCATTAATGCTAATAATAATGCTTTTAAAATATTTAATTTTTTAATTCAAATTTATCTCAATTGAATTTATAAGAAATATCATTTAATGAATCAAATATTCATTCAAATATTAATATCTATAATATATATCTTTGGTCTCTAAAACATGATCTCTTTTGAAATATATATATAATATTCTTTTGGGGACAAGGCCTTAAAATATTGAATCATATTTCCTAAACCAGGGAAATTAATTTATATATTATGGTATGGTTGTGAGGTACTCTCCATGTTTGGTGAGATGTCAGCCAGGCTATATAAACTTCATGTCTTATTTTTTTTTTTCATGGAAGCATTTGTTTAAGATGTCAACCTGAATTATTAATTTGAATTGTCATGTGCTGCAGTTTTAGGTTATCATAACTTATTTTACCACTACTCTAAATGGTTAGGATAACGTCCCAATCTCATATCAAGATAATCTAAGATTCTATTATAATATATATGTAAAGGTTTAATTTCAATTTCGTAAGGTACTTTTTATGGGATAAAATCGTAAGATTTTTAGGTTAAAATGAATAATACATCGTAAATTTGATGCGAGTCTCCATAAATAGTATTAGAGTGATCACCAATCAAACAGGAGCTAAGTACTACATAATATGAGTCACATTTAAAATTCTACAAGAGTTAAGTATTATATCGTGAGAACTACCTCTAGAATCTTAACGTCTTGTATGATTTTGTAATCTATGTGTGCTTTGTGTTGAACTTGATCGACATTTAGTGTGATTCAATAGATTTGTATGTGTTATATTGAGCTTAACGGAAACATCAAATTTTAATAGGAAGAGTTTGTAATGCTCAAATCTTATATCGAGATAATCTAAAATTCCGTTATAATATATATGTAAAGATTTAAACTCAAATATATGAAATGAGATAAAATCATAAATGAATAATACCTCACAAATTAAGTACAGATCTCCACTAATAGAGTATCACACCCACTTATTTTTTTCATTGTACCCCCAATTTTAATATTTTTTTAGATTAACAAATCTCTTATTTATGTAGCAAATTGCATTACATTTTTGTAATTATGTTGCTTTTCACAGTCGCCTCTAATTTAATTTAATCCAAGCACTTTTTTTAAAAATTAATTTTCCTTTTTATTTGTTTTATAATTACAAATATAATTATAAAAATTAAATTGGTTTATTTATAATTATGAAAAAAATTCTTCACAAGCAATACATTTGAACAATTGTAAATTTATTTTAATGATTAGGCATAAAAGTTTCAAAAAATCTCAAACTAAACTTAAATAATTAAAATTAAATAATCATTTTATTTTTATTTATTTATTACAATCAATTAAGTCATAAAATATATATTTTCACCTATTGAACTTTTATTAGGCTAAAATTTGTTACCCGTAAACATCCATTCCATGTAATCGAGGATTAAATTGAGTGAAAATAAATATTTAAGGACTTAATTGATTATAATAAACCTCTCTTAGTTTCATGAATTTTTCAAGCTGCTTTCAATGGAAGTGAAGTTGTGTCTGGATGCATGGTAATCTTTTGATAGCTTTCTGTAAGCTGCCTTAATCTCTTCCAAGTCTGCTTCCGCTGACACTCCCAAGAACCTGAATGATCGATGTCAATAGGATCAGTTAGGAATAATATTAACTGAACAATTTTAAGTTCCAGGTTTCCATCATAATGATTTTCCATGAAAAATGGGGACTGGTGCTTTGATTGTTGCTCTATTCTGGTTCTTGAATCATTTTGTTTTAGCCCTTGGGAGAAAACGAAAAGCTTGTGAATTAAAAGAAAACTAATTGGCTTATAAACAACACTTACTGGTAATGAGAACCAAAGGAGTAATTGAGCAAACTTGTCACCGAGGAGATTGTTTTGTTCCTCTTCTGGATTCAGCTTCTCCTTGGTTTGCTGTGAAATCGATGGCCCTCCAATAGACCCTTCATCTTCATTATCCCAGTGGATTCTCGTATCAACTCCTGGAGGTGCTCTTTGGGATTTGCTTGGCCCTCGTGTTGCAAAAACGCTCAGGCTACTACTGCTGTTTGTCCTTCTAGTTCTTGCTCTTCTCAGGTGTTCTAGCAGGTGAGTTATGTTTTGGGGTTTGAGTAAGAGAGAATATGAAGCTTGAAGAGCAGTGGTGGATGCCATGGGATGCAACTCAACTCAAGATTGGTGGATTCTTCAGAAGTTGAGAAAGCAAAGCCTTCATTGGCCATTGCCTCTAGTTTTCTGTGGCTCAGAATTCTTAAGAGCTATTTTGGGCTTTGGCCATTTGTTATGCCTACTTGGGGAGAGAAAAAAAAAAAAAAGGACAAATTGATTTAAAGTTATAATGTTCGATTTAATTTAAATCAATTTTTTTAATTTGATATAGATTAAATTCGAATATTAAATATATATAATAAATTCAGATCATATTTAAGATCATAAAATAAAAAATATAAAAAATCAAACATAATTAAATTATATATTTTTATTAATTTTTTAAATTTTTATAAAATAAAAATAATTATTTTATAATTAAATTTATTTAAATATATTAAAAATTATCTTAAAATAATATATAAAAAATAAAATTTAAAAATTTATGAACCAAATCAAATAGATAAAATATGATTCGAATCTAATAGTATAAAAATTCGATTTGAATTCAAATCAAATTTTAAAAATTTATAATTATATACATTATAAAAAAGAATTGAACTAAATTTGATCGGTTATTATTATTCCTAATGTTACTTTAATTATATAGAGAAAAATCCAAATTTTTGTTTGTCCCTTTTATTTCTCTTAGGCAAACTTATATGAAAATTATTAAAATATATTTATCAATTTTAAACACAGTAAAATAATAGTAATAAAAAATCTAAAAAATAAAATTTTAATAAAAATTATAAATACATTTTATAAAAATTAAAAAATATATTTCATATTTAATATATTAACATAAATTATAATATAATAATTTTTATATTTTATAAAATATTTAACTTAAAATAAATAATATTAACAACATTAAAAAATATCGAAAGAGAAAAAGTAAGTGTGAAGGGAAGGGAAAATAATTAAAGAGAAGAATAATGGGCCAGGCCCATTAATGGAACAAACAAAAGAAAATTGGCATGGGTAGTACATTTTGGATCAAACACAAAATCCCTAAGCCGAAATCGAAAGAATACAAATTTGTTTCAATTTTTTAAGTTTAATCTGGAAAATTAGAAATATTTTTCACGTAGTTTTGACGAGTGAAAAATAAATAAATAAATAAGAGGGGATGGAGGGTGGATGTGGAAGAGAAAAAGAAGAGGAACAAGATGGCGTTTCTGTACATTCCCCTTGCAAAGCTCCGCCTTCCTCCGCCTCCTCTGTACCTAAGGTCTTTCTCTATCTCTCGGCGTTCTTCTTTTCTCTGTTTTATAAAAATTATTAATATTTTCGTTGATTTTAGTTTATTTTAAATTTTTTATTTAATAGGAGCAACAACAGGTAGAATTGGAGCTGAGGCTATTGGAAGCACTTGAAATTTATCCTCCCGTCAAATTACGAGGCACGTTTTTCGCTTTTGTTTTTTTAAATTTTCAATTGTTTTAGTTTTATTTATTAATTGTTTCTATAATGAAGAAATTCGTTTGTATTTCAGTTTAAATTTGCAACGTTGCCATGAAAATAATAGAGGCGGAGCAAAAGGCATTATTAAATCTTACAAATTAACTGCAAAAAAAAAAAAAAAAGAATTGCATTTTGTCTGAATTCTAAAAGTGAAATATTATGGAAATTTGTCTGTATAATTCAAATTGTGAATTACTACAACATGCTAGTGATAGAGAGACCTTTGGGAAGTATAATCAGGGCATCCATTTCATGCTTTTACCACGTTTCTCTACTGGTAATGGTGTGATCAATTCAAATGTTGATTCCTTTCATTTGCTGTTGTGGAAAATAGTTAAGGAATCTTTTCGCCAAAAGCCCATGTTTTGTGTTGGTCTTGGTAGTAAAAAAGTGAGCTTTCATTTCCATTTTTTACTTGACTGTCTATTTGTTCTGGTAGATTTAGAATCAATGGCGCTTGTCATGTTTATCGTTTAGGGATCTATGTTAAGCGTTGAACCACTAGAGCTGGTGCAAATAACTTGTATATAGTAAAAAAATTTGATGCATTTAGCAGTTAATGTATATGTTTATGGTAAAACAACTGGGATTCATTTGCTATTTAGCAATTGGTCTCTACATGAATGCATAACTGCAAACTGAATATGCTTCTCTGCAGGCATGCATCGCCACTTTGTCCTCTATGGTCTGATGGAATTCCTGCGAAGAAGGTTTGTTCTGCCTCCTGTTCTTTGTGCTCCATATCAATCCCCTCTTTTGATGCAAAGCTTTTGGTTGATCTTTATTTTTTGTATTACATTCTCTTATCATTTGCTAAATTTTGTCACAGTCTTGACCGGCATTTTTCTCCAGATGAGGTTTTGCAGTTGCTAGATCGTTTCTACAACTTAGAAGTGCTGGTAACTACTTGTTCAATCATTCATTTTTCATGTCCATCAATTAGTTTGATATTCTGTTGAAGATGAGGTTTTGCATTGATTACTTTCTTGGACAGTTCCATATTTGTATAAATTGATATATTGATGAATGCCTAGTTTGTGATGTGATCTACAAATATGATTATGTAGTGGTTGACTGGGTGCCTAGTTCAATAATTTGTTTTCACTCATTGTGGTTGGATATAGATAGTCTTGAGTCAAGTGTGGCTCACATGTTGATAATGGATGGAACCAGAAAAATTGGAGCATGATTTTTTTTTTTTTATTTTAACAGAAGTATTAGTACCTTGCTGTGGTGTAGACTCATAGATGAGGAAAGTACTTTCTAAAACACTGAAATGCTGTAGTTAATGTTTGTTGCTGCTCCATATTTTTTAAAATTTAATTCTAATGCCTAATTCAAAGAGAAACTTTCACTACCCTGATTATTTCTTACCGGATAATTTGTTGTGTATTTATTTTCTGCTTTAACTTTCAACAATTGCTTTTGCTTTTGATCATATCAAAAGGCAGTTGTTGATCACCTCTTGTTTCTTTTGTAAATTTCAGAAACCAGATGATGAAGAGTGGGATATCCTAAATCATGAGGAAGACTTTTGTTTGCCACAAAGTTATTTTGTCAAGGAAGAACCTTAACTCAATTTTGGGGGTCATCCACATTTGTCCTAGACTTTGTTCTTTACCTGATCTGATGCTTCTTGATCATATTGCAGAATATTGTAAAAAAATAAAAATTAGGTTGCAATTTTGATGATATGTAATTATTGGCTCTAGAATATTTTGAGATCTTATTTTTGAAGAAATCCTTCCATAACTTGCTCTTACTCTTCTTTTTCCTTTTCTGGGATGACAGTCACGAGTCTTTTGGCTCTTAAAAGAGCTGACAGAAAAAGATAAACCTGGTCACGGGGATTGATCTTTTCTTTAGCTTATTATATTGCTTTTGAGAAGGAAGAGCGCTTACTCGGAATTCAAATGGTTCACTCAGCTTTTTAGGGAAGGAATTCTTGCAAGATTGATCTTCGATATCTGATGTTTACAAATTTTTTTCTCAGATTATCCTTAAACTTTGGCTTTTTTCATCAAATTTTTTTCTCAAATTGATGACAAGCATGCTTAGTGCCTATCAAAGTATTAACCAGCCTTGAACTGGTATGTTCATCAATTTGCCATCAAACAACGCCATCAAGCATGAAGATGTGATAATTTTTTTATTCATGTCGTGTTTGTTTATGTCAAATACGTGTAAAATACAAAAATTGCCATGTCAAATAGTGTACCTATATACTTATGCATGTTCTGAATCATACCAACTTTCCAACAGGCACTTATTTCATAAAGCCTCCTTCAATTGATCAACCTGAGTTTGAACCATAGAAGCTGTAACACAATAAAAGCCAAAAAACAGGGCAAACAGACAATGGAGGAGGATACAATATTAAACAAATTTAACAAAACATCCATAATTTAAACAAGTATTTCGTATTAGAGAACATTAAATAAAATCAAAAGCAACAAAAGTGGAAAATAACAGTGAAAGGTAAACTATGGTTAGATCAACTGATCCATTTCTTCATCTGGTTTTGGTTGTACTGAAAATGATCGTTTAGCATTGTAAAAGGGCTAAACTAGTTGATCCAATCCTCTTGTGAGAAAAGCCATAAGAACCCAGTTCTGGAAAGTACTATAAACATTGAATTGTGCCCCATGCAGGCTCCAGGATTCCTCATCAATGTTTCTGCAAAAACCAATTAGGCTTTTTTTGTGTGAGGAAGGCGAAAGGGTAATAAAAAATAATAAATTCCTAAAGAAGAAATCATTGCAAGCCCTCACCTCTCCTTTTACCTCAGCTTCAGCAGTAGGCTTAACATCGTCACCGTTTACACCGTCTTCACCTGCATTGGTTCATGTAATGTCTAAGACAGGACAACTGGGAGAAGAACTAAAACTCTGTCTATGATGTGATAGGAAGCCAGAAATAATGAAGGGTTAATGTCTTGAATAGTTTGTGAACTATAGTGAAATGTTCAATTCGATGCTTTTAACTTTAAAAATCTTCAATGTAGTTCATAAACTATAAAATTTTTAACTCGTGTGGTACTCACCTGGCTAGCTCCAAATAATGACACATTATTGACAAACAGGTTTACAAGTATTACATTAATTAATAGGTTCATAATCCAAATATCACGCTAGAGATTTTTAAAGTTTAGAGGCGGTTCAAAACATTAACCCAATAATAAACCATAAACACTTGTCCTGTGTCATTGCTACTATGTATCCTGTCTTTCTGGTCTTGAAAACTAGTCAGCAAGGTGAAGTTCCTCAATAACTAGACAATGTAGTAAAACCAAGTGATTTACTTCAAAATTATACAATACCTCCATCTTCAGGCAGATCAGAAGTCCACAGGGTAAGGTTGTCTCTCAGAAGCTGCATAATTAGGGTGCTATCCTTGTATGACTCCTCACTCAATGTATCCAACTCCGCAATGGCTTCATCAAAGGCTTGCTTAGCCAAATGACAGGCCCTGCAAGTTTCAAATAAGAAAACATGATATGAAAATGGTCAAGCAATTCGAATATCGAAAACCATTTTGATATATATATGGAGTCCATACCTCTCGGGAGAATTCATTATCTCATAATAAAAGACAGAGAAGTTAAGGGCAAGGCCAAGACGAATTGGGTGGGTTGAAGAAAGATCTGTGTTTGCAGTGGCAGAAGCAGCCTGATAGACGAAAATAGCAACAGAAAAAGAAGGGAAGTCAGCTGAGTCCGCAGTAGAAGTGAAGAGCACTACAATCAAATAGTATGATCTATGATGATCTTTATTTGAGAAGGAGTAACATACCTCATAACCTTTCAATGACTGTTCAGCAGCCTCTTTCCTCTCCTGATCTGTCTTGAACTCAGCAACATACCGATAGTAATCACCTTTCCTGAATCCAATTAAAAAAACCATTAAATTTCCTCAATCAAAAGTATAACTTGGAAATTGATAAGCAAAAGCATATTCAGATACATGCTGAGATCAATAAAATCTCATGCCCTTACTATCCTCCTTTTATACATGCCTATGACAAAGCAAATCAAATCAAGATTAGATTTTTGCTACCTGACCAGAAGGATAGGTGTTCCTTGAACCCCAAGGGAAGTGTGTGCACACAAATCACAATCTTACCCAAACTGATTTACTTAGTGATGCCAACAGATCTATTCGAAGCAAATTTTTATTCGATTGGATTCCAACGTGATTTTATTAAATAAATATTTGATCCCCATCTAATATTAAAATATTATTTTTTTTATATTCGACCCAATTTATATATGTTTAAATTCGTAATCAACTTTACTTAAAATTAATTTAATAATTTTAATTTAATATAATATTTATAAAATATTATTTTTTAATATAAATTATGTCTTCATTATATATAAATATAATATTTTTATTAAGTTAATATCTTAAATTAAAATATTATATAATAATTTTATTAATATAACATATATATATAAATATCAAAATTAAATAAATAATAAAAAAATATTCTTTATAAATATACCGAGTCGAATTAACTTAAAACCGGACCATAATTTTTTTTTTCAAAAAAATCAATTTGACTTAACTCAAAATCTAATTTTTAAAAATAAAAAAATTAATTTTATAAAATTGAACCAAATCAAAATTGGACAAATTCAAATGTATTTATCATCTTTAAATTTACTCGGTTCGGATTATATCTGGACCAATACAACACTAGTTAATTGGAAAGGGAAAAAAAACTTACATCTTGTAGTAAAAAACAGTGGCTTCACTGGAGGTAGAAGAAGGGATGAGATGCTTGTCGATGATGCCCAAAATGTCAGTGCAAATCTTGGAAAGCTCTTCCTCTACCTTTTGATGGTAACCTTTGATCAGCTTAACATTATCTTTATTTCCTCTCGATTCCTCCTTTTGCTCAATCGAAGAGATGATCCGCCAAGAAGCTCTTCGTGCACCAATCACATTCTTGTAACCCACGGAAAGAAGGTTCCTTTCTTCCACAGTCAGCTCGCAATCAAGTTTCGCCACTTGTTTCATGCTCTCCACCATTTCTGTTTCACCAATCAAATTCAAACATGCATTTAAAATGCGATCACGGCTATATTTTTTTATTGCGTCGTATTTATCATTATTACGGAAGATAATAACAATCATAATTATGCAATCGTGAATTTTTTTAAAATTTTCATAATTTATTAAAAAATAAAGTAAAAAAATAACTTAATATAATAATATTTATTTATGATATTTAATTTTATATTTATAAGTTAAAATTATTTTTCATATATTTTGTAATTCAAAATCAATATATTATAAAATTTATAAATATATTAAAAATATATAAATAACGATCTTAGCGTTATATTATGATCATAATTTTTCATTATATCACTATTTATGAACATAAAACGATACTATCATTAAATAGCAATTATTATATCGCATCGCAGATGCTGAGATTCTTAAACGAAAGAAATTTGAAACCAATGGAATTAGTGTTTTTGATTACCTTCGTAACGTTCAGCTTGTTCGGCGAGTTTGGCCAAGTAAACAAGAGTCTCTCTCCCGTTTTCTATATTAGACATCGTCGATATAGAGATTGAAAGAAAGGGAAAAAAAAAAAAAAAAACAGAGTGATTCAAAGGAAGAGAAAGAAGAAAGGAACAATGAAAAAAAGAAAAGAAAATGAGGAATGGGAGAGGAAGTGTTAAAGAGGATTGTTTTATATAAAGGAGAGAAAAAGAAGGAGCAATGTTTGGAGGAGACTTTGAAAGACGGAGCGCGCTATTCGTTATTTCTTTGTCATTTCCTTTCACTTAGATTTGTTCAAATCCCTTTCTGTGGGATGGGCTTTTTTGGAATTTAATAATGCTTCCTTTTTTTTTTTTTTGACACCTTTTACTTAATTTCTACAAATTTAGTCAAACTATTAATTTTTTTCTAGTTATTGTTTAATAATCTTTGGTTAAATTCATCAATATTTGATTTATATTCTATTCTAGTGATAAATTTTTTTTATTATTATTTAAGTTTAAATTTATTCAAAATTATAAGACAATTATTTATTATAAATTTGTTAAATTTAATATAAATATATCTATTTAACTAAATTCAAATAATTATTTAAATTTAAATTTATTAAAAAATTATAAAAAAATAATTTATCATAAATTCATTAATTCTAACCTCACTAAATTTACTTAAACCAATTTAATATATATATATATATATATTAATCCTTTTACCATAAAAAAAAATTCCTTGACTAAAAGGGTTCAAATTCATGAACAAAATGTTATTTCTATTTAACGTGGAGTCAAGATACATAGTTTTTATCATTTATATATATTTATTTGATGATTCATATATCTGTATTATATAAAATTTTAAAATTTATATATTTATATTATATTTTATATAAAAATTATATATTATAATTTATATTAACATAAAAATATAAAATATAATTTTTTGACCACATTAAATTTATTTTTGATCATATTAAAATATAAAATATATTTTTTAATTACATTAAATTTATATATAATTATTATTAAAATTTTAAATAATATCACTCTCAATTTTTTTTTATTATATTTATGTCCTGTCACGGATAATGTTTAGGTCGCCGGAAGTAGATGCGGAGCAGGTCCGAGGATGAAATACATTTCCAGCCCTGAGAACTGAAAAATGCACCTCCATTTATAATTTGCTTTCTCCTTTTGCTTTTGGATGGAACTGAAACCTGGTTTCTCTAACTGAAAATGTTGACAAGAAGATTACAATCCCTGCTTAAACCCTTGTCCAATCCCCATCTCCGTCTCATGGCCACCGAGTCAACTCACCCCCAGCTTAGCAAGTCCCAAAACCCTCCTAGCCGCATAACCCCAATCGACCAATCCGTTCTCCTCAGAGTCTGCACCATCCTGTACCAACAGCAGAACTCACCTGACTCACGCCTCCACTCTTCCCTCTCTTCTTCCGCTTCCTCTATCAACCCTGAATTCTTCCTTCAAGTTTGCAACACTTTCCCTTACTTATGGCGCCCCATCTATCGTTTCTTCCTCTACACCCAAAAACTCCCTCACTTCATTCACAACTCCCTCACTTTCAACAAAATGTTGGATGTCTTTGGGAAATCCAGAAACATTGACGTTTTCTGGGAAACTTGTCAAGAAATGGGAAAACTTGGTTTGGTTAATGATAAGACTTTTAGGATAGCTTTAAGGACTCTAGCTTCAGCTAGGGAGTTGAAGAAATGTGTGGAGTTTTTTCATTTGATGAATGGGTTTGGGCTTGGATACAAGTTGGAGACTTTAAATAAGGTAGTGGACAGTTTATGTAAAGATAAGCTTGTGGAAGAGGCAAAGTTTGTGACTTTCAAGTTGAAAGAGTGGGTTAAGCCAAATGGGGTTACTTATAAATGGTTGATATGGGGATTTTGTGATGTGGGTGATTTGATTGAGGCTTCAAAGATTTGGAATTTGATGGTGGATGAAGGGTTTGAGCCTGATGTTGAGGTTGTGGAGACAATGATGGAGTCACTTTTGAGGACTAACAAGTATGATGAGGCAATGAAGGTTTTCCAAATGATGAGAGCTAAGAGAATGGATGATTTGGGGCTTTCAAGTTACAGGCTTGTTATCAAGTGGATGTGTAACAGAGGCAAGATTGAGCAAGCCAATGGGGTGTTCGAGGAAATGTGCCAAAGAGGGATCCAAGCAGATAATTTGACCTTGGCTTCGATTATTTATGGGCTTATAGCAAGAGGGAGGATCAGAGAGGCCTATAGGATTGCGGAAGGGATTGAGAAGCCGGATATCAGTGTTTACCATGGACTAATAAAGGGGCTTTTAAGGCTGAGGAAGGCAAGTGAGGCAACACAAGTGTTTAGAGAGATGATAAAGAGAGAGTGTGAGCCTATAATGCACACCTATATAATGTTGTTACAAGGTCATTTGGGGAAGAGAGGGAGGAAAGGACATGACCCATTGGTGAATTTCGATACAATTTTTGTTGGAGGTTTGATCAAGGCTGGGAAGAGGCTAGAGGCCACAAAATATGTGGAGAGAACGATGAAAGGAGGAATGGAGGTGCCTAGATTTGATTACAATAAATTCTTGCACTATTACTCAAATGAGGAAGGTGTAGTTATGTTTGAGGAGGTGGGCAAGAAATTAAGGGAAGTGGGGTTGTTTGATTTGGCTGATATATTGGAGAGATATGGACAGAAAATGGCCACTAGAGATAGGAGAAGAGACAGAGTGCAATAGAGTCATGCGAACCTTCTTCAAAAAGAAAAAGGTGCGCTGCAACTAATACTATGCTTTTCAAGTTTTCCGAGACGACTTTCCTTTTCTCCGAGGCAAGCTTCATTCATGGGGTTCTGATATTTCTTTCCATGCTTTGGCTAGCCTTTGAATACCACTCAGTGATGCAAGGACTGTAAATGGAGAGCTGAAACAATTTGTGGTCCGATTTTGATCTGACCAAAATGTTAAACAAAACAAGTGTAAAGTACACATAAACCTCAAAAATCCATTGGAGAGAAAGAGACCTTGGTTGATCTATTTGTAATTATCACATTTCGTGGCCATCGCACAGCAATGATGGTTCAATACAAGGTGGAATTCAATGTCAAATAATAAAGAAATAAGCAAACTCAAAATTAAGACCAAGGAAAAAATGGATGAATAAATTGCTACAAATACCTTGACAGAAAAAAAAAATGAAAATGAAAAAGAATTGCAGTACTTTTGCAGCAAACCTCTTTTCTAATCTACAGCCCTCCAGCATGCGCCTTGTTCAGTCATTAATATCAAACCTGTTGAGACTCTAGAGCATATCTCACATTGTGATGCTGCCTATAGTTCATCCTCTGCCCAAAAAACAACACCATCAGTTCTAAGACATAATACCACCTTATTATCTTTTGACAAATACATGTGAGATGAGGCTTCTGTAATTGCCAACACCTAGGTTTTATAGGAAGTCTTAATTATCTTTGTATGTAGTATTTACAACCATTGGACCAGCCATTAGCTCTTCAGCTTGGTCCATGATACCATAGAAAACTTGAGCAGATTCGATTGCCTCCGTGAAAATAAATAAATAAAGAATGGATTCCCTTTCCCTCTAGTGTTCGTAGCATTAAAATCTGGCTAGCTTTTTATTTGCTGAGGAAGCAAAGGACAGCTCTAAGAACCAAAGGCAACTCAGTTCCAATGTCATGAGATATCAACTAATTTAAGGCTCAGCACTATGTGTAACATTTAATTTTGACCATGCATGCATGCGATAGTCACAGAAGGTATTTTGGTAGATTATTAGAGGATTACCAGATCAAAAAAAAGTTTTACACTTCCACAGTCTCGAGACCTTCTGGTGCTAGATCAATCATTTTCTCGCAAATGGTTTCTGACAGACAAGTAGCCGCTTATCACTACCATTCTGAAGGTCAATCACCCTTGCATCCCATCGTATCTGTGTAGCATGTGAACGCGCCAACTCTATAGCTTCCAATTTATCAGAGAGCACAACCCAACCCTGAAAATCAGTTGTTCACATAAGTAATAACTATTTCAGAAACTATTCATTAATACAACATATTCTAGGGCACATCAAATGCAATGGCATTGTAGGGCATTGATTAAAAAATATCAATATATTTTTGTACAGGGGCTTGTTGAGGAGGATTATGATGTTGAGTATAATATAAAAACATAAGCAAAACCAAGAAAATGGTAGTTTTTCCTTCAAACAATCTAACAAAGAGTCGAGAGGTGTCAGAGGTAATTCCAGAATAAAAACGGAATGAAAAAAAAGGACCCTGCATTGAGTTTCAAGCACAATCCCAGAAAAAGTGAAAATACCTCAGGACGCAGAATTCGATCCATCTCTACAAATAAGTCCATCAAACTGCACCTCTCTGAAGTGAGATGTGAGAGGAGCCCATTTGCATGAAGCATGTCATATGTTCGAGGATATGTTGGGAAGGGTTCACACCTGAACACCACCATATATATCAGCTAAAAAAAAAATTTCTTTCAGCATTCAATAGAATGACACATAGATGCATGTCAGAAATAACTAATCTTGAAAAACAAAAAAAAGGAATTTTTGAATATTAAACTGGCACTCAAAGAGAGAAAAACTGTACATACAGACTTCAAATGTAAATTTTATTAGCAGTCTACTAGAGTTAACCATGTTTTACTTGCCACCATGATTTGAGCAAATAAGTCAAATATAGTTCAACTGAAGATTCTTTATATACAGAAAATCATAGGAAACAGTAGTATTCAATTTTAAGAATGAATCCAAACTGAAATAAACTATTTTAACAGAATTTTTATGATCGACAAACTTTAATATTATTTTTTTCCGGGAACAAAATGAGCAAGTTCACTCCTAAAAACTTGTGAAGATATCTATAACTAAAACAAAGGTGTTAAATTTTAAACTCCAAACCAGCTCATAACTATCAACTCAAACTAATTACTTTCATGAAGTTGTAAAAATCTAACCAGTTGTGCAAAACGCCGGGAAAACCTTGGTCTAGAATGAGAGGAAGCGTATTGCGTGCCCAAACAGGCACAACATTCATCACCCACGCTGATTTCTTTTCCTCCAGGAATGCAGCATTTAAACCCCCATAATGAGCGTTCATGTCCATCACATTGAGTACCATGTTAAATGGAGGCAATGGATCTTCATCACCTGGCCTCTTGGGATGGTCAGAGAAAATTAATGGTGTAAGCAAAGACCAATAATTTTTTAAAGCTAATTTCCAAACTTGCAAGTCTTCAAAGAAATCTTCTGAACTGACTCCTGAAAGGATTAATTTACATCAATATGCTAGACAAAGACAGCCATCTACTGCACAAACTGTGGATTGCATGTCGCAACACAACAGCAAAATGAAAATGCAGCTGCAGGGAGAAAAAAAATGGGTTGGAACAATACTTTCCATGAACTTCAAGCTCCGCAGAGCTCAAATATGAGCTAGAGGACCTGTTCTGAATAGGAATCCAGCGTTTGCTGGAAGTTCCAGTAATACATGGCATCAAGGCATGATAATAGGGAGCATCATCACCTTCTCTGCAAAGGGGTACATCATTCTGCTTGCTATATTCAAGAAAAGAAATTTAGAAAGACATTAGCACAGGTATAACTGTTAAAAGTTAAGAGAACAAATATAACTAATTCAAAGTAAAAGGTAAGACAACCTAAAAACAGTTTTACTGAATTAAAAGCCTGTTCCCTAATGCAATTCAATAAAGAGTTATTCAGAGATGAGTGAAAATTATCAGTGTATGCTCACCGAAAAGAATAGCAATGTGTATCAGCAGTTTTCTGCCAGATGAAGGTTTCATCCTGCTGAGCAATAAGACTCCAACAAATTTTTTGAGTGAATTGTTCCAGTGGTGTTAACATGTTTATTTTCTTTGTACCTGTTGCACTTCCACTTGGCTTACTTGCGGGTGAGGTTAAAACAAAATAACCTCCAGGCTTGAGTAACCGATCTACTTCTATAAGAAACATCCCCTCTGTTTTACAAAGTCATAGTTAGAAAGCAAAGCATAAGTAATTTTACAAAGGCAGCTACACTTGCCTATTATTGATTATAGATAGGTACATGCACAATACATTAAGATCATACATACATCTAACAGTAAGACTTTAGACAATTCAGGCCACGTGCATTATACCTTTTCTTTTCCTTTGATATTGTCCTTTTCATCAAAGTTTGGAGGAGGAAGTTTCAGCACTCAAATACATTTCATGGCTAGCAGTATTATTAATCTTAAAGCACTGTTAACAGTGCACTACACTGTAATTTAGTGCATCCGTACAAAGCACTGCACTTTCAACAAAACAACTCTATAATGAAACAGGACATGGAGATTACCAATAAATTACAGAAAGCAAGCTTACTATTAAACTCTGAAAGTACCTTTCTTGTCCCAAACAATACCGCACTGAGCACAATGAACCATGTCAAATGACAATGATGGATATGGCAGCTGTCTTGATATGAAATTTCCAATCATTGCTGGAAGACCTCTCTCAAGTGCTAATTGAACTTGGCTTCTGGTTGCCTCATATGCAGCAATACAAAGAGCCATCAACTTTAGCGAAACTAAATGAGCTCCAAAACTTCCAAATCCACAACCAATATCAAGTACAGTGCGAACCTGTAACCAAAGTAGGAGTATTTAATACCATATAGTGCTGATTGTTTTAGTTCCCCTTGAAGAACAGACAGTATCTTTCTCATATTTGTAGGTATAACAAGCTAAAATATTTTACTCCAAAACTACCAAACTCTCAACGCTCATGGTACCCCAAAAGGTTAAAATTATAAGACATTATCATAAAACAAAATACAGACTTACACCGGCTTGAAAAAATTCAGAGTCACTTCCCAGTCCCATCATCTCTGCAATCTGGCGAGAATAATCTTTGACACCATCAAAGACTAAGCCATATTCAGAGTGAAAAGCAAGTTGATTCTCTTCTAGCAACATCATTCTAGACAGTTTTTAAAAGATTATGTAGGTAACTTAGAAAACTGTTATTGATCACATAACCAACAGAGAAAAAAGAATATATAAGCTGCTACAAAGAACATACACTAGCAAATTCTAAAAGGTAAAGTTCGTAACAAAAGGAGATAAGCCTGATACTTTCTCTACCTACAGAGCATCCAGATGCATTTAATAAATACCTCTTTGTCTTGCTTCCAGAAGAAAGGAATTGATCTTTGGTTATCTTGACATTTCCACTCCATATGACATCTCTTCCAGCAGGCCAACGGAGTGGAATCTTAAAATCCTTCGGAGGGCCAATTAAACACCACTTTCCTTGTCTTGACACTTCACAATGTCGATCAAACTCCTCTCCATCTTTAAACCCTAATAACAAATTTGCTGTGACATTGTAACAAGGAACATAATTTTCTCTTTCTTTGCCACAAAAGCCAAGTTCCCTTTGGCGACTAGCTCCAAAAGAGAGAGTTCTCAGCTCAAAATAATCAACTGCCGCTTGTTCCTTTAGCCTTCTATAGTTTGTATAAATCTCAGGTACCAGAGTGAAAGTTACAGAGTCAAAGGAATTAGAAGATGACGATCCAAAGACCGCAATTAACACAAGCACACTGACAAAGCACAATAACAGCCAACTGATTGGTGGTCTAGGGCCGAAAATGATAGATAGTTTATTGAGGCTGGGGCTTCTCATGTCCAAAGCTTTAAAGAATTGAAGTATGGAAAACCACTAAATAACCAATCCCTTTAGCTTAACATATAAGCTTCTACATATGTTACCATGAATCCGGATTAGTCCAACAAGCATTGAAACCACCTGCTCTACACTCCTCCCCGCACTGTTCTTTCCCCAACCATCACAAGCAACAGATAAACAAACAGTAAAAAATCCAAGATCACTATAAATCCACCATAACCAGTAGTAGAGAAAAACCACGAAAATCAATATGAATTTTATTCGACCCAAAATTGAACTCCTAATCCAAACCAAACCGAAATTTACCGCAGTATCTTTTACCGGCATCCAAACAGAGCCGATCGAAACTCTACTTTGAGCAATGCCAATGCCTGAGTCTCCAGCAAGTGATCAATCACATCAAGCTGCAAATGATCCACCAAAATCAGTATCAAAAAGAAGGAAACTTTGATTCTTTAACGGTCAGTTTGGTAGATGAAATGATGATTGAATCTAACAACAGTTTTCTTAAAACAGAAATTTTCTTAAAATGCGAGGCTTTCCGTTTATAGAATCTCGTTAAAAGAAAGTCAGATCCCAAAAAGGATAGCATAAAAGATCAAGATCATCGAAGAAGCATAAACAAAAAAAGAACAGAAGCCCGAAATTGACAAATGGAGAGAGAGACAGCGCGAAAGAGAAGTGATTTTGATGTGAGAAAAAAAAAAGCATTTTTAAAATTTTTTATGGTTAATATAATAATCAGATCTAAAGGCTCTCACTGTTAGAAATGATTTTAATTAATTATGATTCATTTAATATGAAAATGATTTTAATAATGGAAATTATAATAATATTATAATTGTTACATTTTATGCGTATTTATATTGAATATAATGATGATGTAGTTACTGATTGGCCCGTTCGTGTCGTGATCTTCATTTTGTGGGGCCACGTGGAATTAACTATTATGATTTGGCCGTCAAAAAAAATAAAATAAAAATTATTTTCACTTTTCACTTATTAAAAAATGAGTGCCAAATGGAGGCCACTAATTATGTAATGTATCCAATTATTTTGGTCTTAAAGCTATTATGTCCACTTGTCTACTTAATTTAGCCCTTAATTCAACAGTTATCCTTTATTATTACTAGCAAAGATGTTGGTTTTTAGTCTAGTCTTGATTACATGTGTGACTTTAGATATATTAAATCTTTCGAATTTATAAATGAGGAGATAGAAATAATGATATTTACATGTAAACTATATAAAATTTATGTTAGAAGCGTTTTTAGGTTCAATAAGCGTTTTGTTCATTTTTTTTTCATTAAAATTTATCAATAAATAATTAAGGGTATTTTCAAATTTTTAAGCTAACTTGATATTGCAAATCGATATGAGATTCTAATGCCAACTTGGCTATCTCACCAATTTGTCTAGCAAAGTTCCCTCAATATTGACTTATTCTTCGAGTGGATAATTAACATTTAGTTCAACTCGATCTTTCAAGTCACTTCTGATTATAGGATTGACCTTAAGCAGTTTAAACTATTTGAAATCTCTCACCTTCTAGTTATAAATAAGATCATTCAGATAATATTTAGATCATCTTATACTCTTCTACTCTTTATATTTTTCTTCTTATTTATCTCTCTAATCAATTTTTAATTTAAGCGTCGGAGTATAAATGTTAAGAAACATCTCCAATATTTATTCTTAAGCATTTTCTTTTTCTTTTCTGTGATTTTAAGGTTTTACCTCTCTAATTTAACTCAACACGTACACTTTAAAAACAAAAGTGCAATGTTTTATATTCAAACTTTAAAAAATTTTCAAACTTTCTCATTAATAAAAGAGTACCTTTATGTTAGATTTTGGCCATGGTGATGTTTATGGTGAATAACTGTTTAATTATTGTATGGTTAAAATATTAAAAAAGCTTTGAATTATTTTTTTAAATAAATTTTTAAAATTTTATTATATTTAAATAAATTTTTATATTTTGATTTATATTCAAATAAATTCTTATTTCAAATGAAAGAATGATTCATGTTAAGAACTTATTTAGGTACAAATTAAAAATTTAAGGACTTATTTGAATAAAAATTAAAGATTAAAAATTTATTTGATTACAAAAGAAAGATTAAAAATTTATTTGAATGCAATAAAAATGTAAACACTTATCTAAGTAAAATTATAAAATTTAAGAGTTTTTTTTATTATTTTAACATTATTATAATAAGGAGTAGTAATTTTTACTGTAATTTGATTGAAAAAACCAAAAGCAATAAAATAAAAGGGTTAAAAGATTAAAAGTTACCTTTCAGCTTGTTATGCAATTTGGAGGATTGATTTGGTTCAATTCAATGGTTTAGCTTTGCTACATATCCAAGGTACCAGTAGCAGAAAATGAGCTGTGACCACTGTTATGCCCAAATATTAAGGTTAAGTTTGGATTTTGTCGTAATTTTGATGTGACATGAATGAGTTTATCGTATAATCAATTAAATTTAAATGTTAATTTTAATAAAATTTATTTAATAAGATTTTTTATTAATTTTTTAATCACAATTATAATATTTTTTCAATTGTAACTATAATATAATTTTTATTATTATTTTCAATTCCATCGCTTATCCAAATTCCTGGACACTATCAGATCACTCAAGATCTCATTTTCTCCCAGCAAGTTAGTGTGTAGAAAGCAGGGACAACTCAGTTTTCCAGAGACTTTCAACGTTGGCTCATTTGGTAATGCTGCAATCACTTCTCCCTTGTCCTGTTGTACCAAGAAAATCTCAGTTTTCAGGAGCTGGTTTCAATGATCCCTGCTAAAAGTTTGCTGTTCCAAAAACCCGGTAGTGCATCTTGTTGGGCTAAAAACCCAACTTCACTCATTAATGCCGGAACTGTCAGTAAAAAGCATATAAAAGGACCCGAGATGATGAGGATGATAAGAGTTTGATGACACTTTTGATCACTTAAACGGACGATAGAGCTCAAAATTCCAACAGAATTCCATGTAGGTTCCATTGTCATCAGGTGTGGCAAAAGCTTTCCCTCCACCGTACCCTGGGGAGAGAGAACCATCTGTTCATTACTGCAATAATTGGTATTTGTTCAGCAATCAGCACCATGGGGGAATGGCAGAGCACCTGATTTATCAAACCGACAAAATCTGCAACTCATCCAGAACCCCTGCAATTATGTGCACTACATTATTACTGATTAGACAGTACCTGAACTTTCCTTGAAACAGTTGACATCAAGCACATCAACAGATCCTATAAAAGTAAACCTTGGCTTGTCGATGCTTGGTAAACCATGGCCAATAGGCATACCAGTAAGAGTTCCTCCAATTGCCTGGATAATGGGACCCAAAACCTAAACCGGCCCAACATTATGAAAGGTATAAATCATTAAATGGAAAGAAAACAAATCTAAACCCTAAGACCCAGGAAGCTGAACATTTTGGCAGACAAGCCATGGCCATGGGCAAGGTACTCTTGTTCCATGAACTTATTTTGTCTAAATATTGGGGTCCTTCTAGGACAATGCTGTCTTATTGTTGCTTCACATGTATTTTGGAAATTTTTGTACAAATTAAAGGGCATGTTATATTCATGGTGTCAGGTCCTTTCAAAACCTTAATGTCTTAGACTGTTTTATATTTGAAGTTAACCTCTTCTGATGAAGATGACTTTACTCACACGTTTTTTTTTTTCGGGTGAAATTGTGTTATTTACAATGGAAGCATAGCCAATGTACATGACTGATTTCTATTCCTTGGAATCAAACTTACAAACAAGGGGCATCTGCGTTCATGTTAGGCTCCAAATCAGTTTCAAGGCCAGTCAGCTCTTCAACTCTTCATTTTCACATATATTTTGAATTATTTTGAATTACAAATGTACAAAATATTATTTTTTTAAAAGCGATTATGTTAATTAATTGAATCATGAATTCTATATATATTATATTTGATTTGAGCAATGTACATGAAAATAAGATCAACCCTTAAACCACTCAATCTTTATAATTCAATTAAAATGATGCAAAATTTGCAGATGGAGCTGCCTTTTGAATCACATCAATGGCATGAAAGTGGTCCCTAAGATTGGAACCAACTTTAAACAAGGCAATTTCTCTGACAAATTCTCTTGTTTGATGTTTAACAAATCAACTTTTAGTGTCTTGCACGTCTAGCATTGAAACAGCTTCCAAATACTCTGAATATTCCAACATTTGTATTTAAAAATTTCATAATAATATAGGTCCAACTCAACCATCATAGTTCACAAATAATTCACTTCATTTCCTTCCATTTGGACTCACTAACTGCCATTTAATATTTTTTTATATTAAAATTATTAAAATTAAGAGTTTGACGTTTCAACAATAAATAAAAAAATTATTGATCTTTTAATTTTTTTTATTGAAGATTAATAAATCCATTTATTTACTTATAAAATATAATTTGGCTCATAAATTATGGGTTTTTTTTAAAAATCTAAATTCATACTATAATTCTTGCATTTTATGAGCCATGCAATCCAATAAAAAATATAAAAAATACAAATTTGATCGTACTCTAATATTTAATTTAGTTATTGTGGATGTGTCATCTTCTTAAAAAATTAAATAAAAAAAACCTTAATCACAGCTTTACATCAACAACAATAATGCTGGCTTAACCTTTTTTCTTTTCTTGAAAAAAAAAAAAAAAACTTTAACATACTTTGAACAATTAATTAATAAAATTGTCGGTAATTAAGTATGCGATTTTGATGGGTTAAGGGAAAAGGAAAACGTGTAAGAATATTATTAATAAAAAAAAAAGTACTATGGACCGTGGACGCACCCAAGTGGTTGGATCTTGAAGGTAATTTAGCTGAGTATAAAATCAGTGGAAAGGTCCTGGATCTCCTCATTCTTCTTCTACACCCAGATTTTCTCTTTTCTTCATTTTTATCCTATCTTTGATCCAATAGCTCAAGACCCAGATAGGTAATTTGATCTCCACTTGGTTCATTTGTTCTGGGTTTTGGTTTTCCCTATCAAACTCTTTTTTTTTTTTTCCTGTTGGTTTATGTTATGGCTTACTTCATTTGTTTTTTGATTTCTGGTATTTGGGTTTTGTTATTTGGCAGATCTGTTGCTGTTTCCATTGTTTTTTTTTTTTTTGTTAGATCCCGTTCTTAAATTTGTTTACTGAAATTCTTGTTTCCTGTTAAAAAGAATTGGTTGATTGACCGCATTTTTTATTAGCCTGTTTATATTTTGGATCTTTAGTCATTAGATCTGACTTTTCTCACCATTTAATTACTATTTTTCTTGTATTTTTTCTTGGAATTATGATTTAAAAACCCAACTTTTTTCTGAAAGAAATTCATTTTTGTTTACTTGAGAGATTGATCTCAGCTAAGTAATGTGCTTACATGCTTCAAACATTGGAATGAGATGTATTTCGGGTTGTTTTTTTTTTTTTTCCTTAAATTGAGTGGTTTGTGTTGTAGGATATCGAAAATGGTGAAGATCTGTTGCATTGGAGCTGGATATGTCGGTGGGCCAACCATGGCTGTCATTGCACTGAAATGCCCAGAAATTGAAGTGGCTGTTGTGGATATTTCTGTGTCAAGAATTAATGCCTGGAATAGTGATGCACTCCCCATTTACGAGCCGGGTCTTGATGATGTGGTGAAGCAGTGCAGAGGAAATAACCTTTACTTTAGCACTGATGTGGAGAAGCATGTTTCTGAGGCTGATATAGTGTTTGTTTCAGTGAACACCCCAACCAAAACTCAAGGTCTTGGAGCTGGGAAAGCCGCTGATCTGACCTACTGGGAGAGTGCTGCTCGTATGATTGCTGATGTATCGAAATCTAACAAGATTGTGGTTGAGAAGTCAACAGTCCCTGTTAAAACAGCTGAGGCAATAGAGAAAATTTTGACCCACAATAGCAAAGGCATCGACTTTCAGATTCTCTCCAATCCTGAATTCCTTGCTGAGGGAACTGCAATTCAGGACCTGTTCAATCCTGACCGTGTTCTTATTGGAGGCAGGGAGACCCCAGAAGGCAAAAGGGCAATTGAAGCATTGAGGGATGTTTATGCCCACTGGGTTCCTGTGGACCGGATCATATGCACCAACCTCTGGTCAGCTGAGCTGTCGAAGCTTGCTGCCAATGCCTTCTTGGCACAGAGAATCTCTTCTGTTAATGCTATGTCAGCATTGTGTGAGGCAACTGGTGCTGATGTGAGCCAAGTGTCTCATGCTGTTGGGAAGGATACAAGAATAGGACCCAAATTCTTGAATGCTAGTGTGGGTTTTGGTGGATCTTGTTTCCAAAAGGATATTCTGAACTTGGTCTATATCTGTGAGTGCAATGGCCTCCCTGAGGTAGCAAATTACTGGAAACAAGTCATTAAAGTGAATGACTACCAGAAAACTCGTTTTGTGAACCGGATTGTTTCCTCAATGTTTAACACCGTTTCAGGGAAGAAGATTGCCATTCTTGGATTTGCTTTCAAGAAGGACACTGGTGACACTAGGGAGACCCCAGCAATCGATGTGGTGCAAAGGGCTGTTAGGTGACAAGGCTAGACTGAGCATATACGACCCTCAAGTCAACGAAGAGCAGATTCAGAGGGATCTTTCAATGAAGAAGTTCGATTGGGACCATCCAGTTCATCTTCAGCCAATGAGCCCTGCTTCTATCAAGCAAGTTAATGTTGTTTGGGATGCCTATGCGGCAACAAAGGATGCTCATGGGATTTGCATACTGACAGAGTGGGATGAGTTTAAAACTCTTGATTACCAAAGGATTTATGATAACATGCAGAAGCCTGCATTTGTCTATGACGGTCGGAACATTGTGGATGTAGCTAAGCTGAGGGAAATTGGGTTTATTGTCTACTCCATTGGCAAACCATTGGATCCATGGCTTAAGGACATGCCTGCTGTGGCATAGAGCATATCCTGGAGCAACATTTACGGGCGTTGGGCTAGACTGATCATTGAGAGAGCGATGACACGATTACATATATTTTTTCCCAATTACATTTTGTTTCTTCTAGTTTTAGTATTCCATTATTTCTACATATATGGGGTTACATGAAACAGTAGTGTTTGGATCTGTCTTTAACCGGTAGAGTATCTGATTTGTTCTTGGCTTAATGTAATAAAACCTTTACCAGAGAATTTTACACAAGTTATCTTGTGCATGATACTTGTATATTCAGAGATTTCCTGAAACTGAAAGTGAATTTTTTAATGATGTTGTATGGAGATGTTACATTATTCTTGGTCATGAGGCCTCGATGAGCTATTAACAGAGGTTTTCTTAATTTCTATAGTTTTTTTTAACATTTGAAGTGCTAAATTATGCTATAATCCTAGTCTTCCTCCTTCCCCCGACCAAGTTTAAAAGCCAAAATCTAAATTGAGGTTGTTTCCCTAATCTCTTGTGTTCCCCAAAATTGGATGGAATAAGGGGCAGCTGAAGGACTTTCGGTTCAAGGGTGAAAAAAAAATTTGAAAATCAATTTGAAATTATGGTGTTTGATTCGAATCGATTTTTTTTTTATTTAGTTCAAATATTGAATGTAAATATTAAATTTGGATTGAAATGTAAAAAGTATAAAAAATTGAACCAAACTTAATTATATATTTTTATTAATTTTATATATTTTTTAAATTTTTATAAAATAAAACTAATTATTTTATACATAAATATCTTATAATATATTAAAATTCTATTAAAATATATATAAAATAAAAAAAATTAATTTAAAAACTAATCAACCAAACAAATAAAATTCAATTCGAATTATATCGATTTCAAAAAAATATCAGTTTAGATTCTAATCGAATTTTAAAAATTTATAATACTATACATTATTCATAAAAATTAAATCAAATTCAATCCAATCTAAATCATTATAACTTTTAATTTCTGTTGATAAGTGTATATTAAGATTGATGTCAATACTCAATAGGATCCTAATGTTTTTAGGCACAGGCCATTGTACACCAAAATTGGTTGAGATGAAATGGAAACTACATTATTGGTTTAAGACATGGACTGCTAATATTCTTGTTCTTTGATTTAGCTTTTCAATTGGTTAGAGTACATAATAATAGGTACATTTTTTATTTCATATATTTCTTTTTTTATATAAAAAATATTATAATCTAAGATTAAAAAATATTAATTGTAAATATTAAAATTTAAATTCAAAATTTATTTATTATTATATTTTAAAATTAATTACATAAAACAATTGACTTAAATTATAAATTTGGTTTTATTTATCATCTTAAATTCGAAAACTCTAAATAAAATACTAAACTTCAACCGAAAATCCTCGTGATTAAAAAATCCATTCAATAATTAATATATTTTTAAATTTAAGTACCATTATATGAGGACTTTTAGGTAATTTCAATGAGAACCGGACCGGTTTAGCATAAAATAAATGGAGTGAAAAACGCAAAAAGCTAAAATTAACCCAATCCGGTTTCCGTATTGGACCGCCTCGTATACAAAAAGCACCCGAACCGTGTCCTCTCTTTCCCTTATCGCATGTTTACCCCTCTTTCTCGATCCCCAACTTAGCCCGAAAATCGATCTCCGATTTTCTCCTAATTTCTTCCTCTAATCTGTAAATCACGTACATATCTTGTCGATTCTCGTTCTTCTCTTTCCGTCGATCTATCTTTCTATCGCAGCCGTTGGTTTTTCGCCTTTCTAGGGTTAGGGTTGTTCAATCTCCTCGATTGTGTCCTTTTTGCTGCTCGACGTCTATGGGTTTAGTTTTCACTTCGATTTATGTTGATTTCCCTCTTTGATTCGGTCTAATTTTGTCCGATTGTTCTCGATTCGGTTTCCGTTCTGGGTTTGGATTTGTTCGGTCCTGTTAGTTTCGTTTCTCTGTAAATTCTTAGAGGGTTTTGGTGTTTTACGTTGCGGCGTTATTGTTTGGAGGAGTTTTATGCCGTAATTTTGTCGTTTCCTCGGCCAATTGGGAATTTAGGGTTAGGGTTTTCTTGTAAATTTAGGGCTTCTGCTGGTAGTCAAATTTAGGGAAACCGCCTGTTTCCATAGGGAAATCAATTTTAGTGCGTAATTAACTGCTACCCTTGTCTCAATTTAGGCTTCTTGGGCTTTTAATTGATCCCTGATTTTTTCAGTTCCATTTCAAGTAGCTTAAAGTCAATTCAACACAATTTAGAGGTAATTGATTTTACGTAATTTAAGTTTTTTTTTTTTTTTCATTTTTAAGTGGTTAATATATTAATTCTTGCTTTTATCATTCATAATTGACTATGTTTATTTTAGTTTGTGCTTATTTTTTAAAGTGCTCTTTTTTGTCCGCTATTGCATGTATTTTTTGTCTTACTATGTGTCACTGTGCATTGCCTAGTAAGCCCTGTGATTGACTTGCATATTTATTTATTTTACCTTGTCTTCATAATTAATTGTTCGTCCCACAGGTTGTAAATGGGATTTAAGCGGCCTTTTGATGATGAGGAGCTGCAGGAACTTCCTTTCAAGAATCCAAGGCAGTTTGACTATAGCAACAAGCTGACTCTTTTTGTTGATACAATTCATTGTAGCAATACTCCTCAGAAGCCTCATATTTCAGGTAATGTCTTGTGTGACTGTTCTGCTTGTTTTCATGTGAATGATTCATATTCTGCTGCATGGTTTTAACATTGATGTGATCTTCCTCTGTGTAATGCAATAGAGGTTGAGAATGGATTTGGTAAATACCAAAGCAATGAAGCATTTGAAAGGGGTGCTCTTAATAATGATGCAAATTTGGTTGACAAGGATTTTGAGACTAGTGCTCCCTTGTCTTTGGTCACTAGCACTTCTAGTGAGGAAGATACAGGTAATGGGGCAGCAGCTATTTCGCATGTTTCTTCAGAATATTTTGACTTTTTTTTCCCACGAAGAACATTTGCTTCTGTTGAGGATGCCTATTCTTTACTCTTGGATCGGTCTCCTCGAAGACAAGTTCCTCTTGGGCCAAATCATCAAGCCAATGTTCCATCATGGGGTAGCCACATAAAGAAGGACAAGCTTGCTCAGAATGATGCATCAGACACCACTGATAATGACAATGAAGAGATTCTGATGGGGACATGTGTCATTCCAATGCCTGACTCAGATTTGTCTGCAAACAACAGTGGCAAAGTTGGTGCCGGGAGAGCTGACTGTAGCTGCCTGGATAGGGGATCTTTTAGATGTGTGCGACAGCATGTGACGGAAGCACGAGAAAAACTACGAAAATCCCTTGGGCATGAAAAATTTATGAAGCTGGGGTTTTATGACATGGGCGATGATGTAGCATATAAATGGAGTGAAGAAGATGAAGATATCTTTAATGAGGTTGTTTATAGTAATCCTGCATCATTAGGTAAGAAGTTTTGGAAGCACTTGTCAGTGGTGTTCCCATCACGTTCCAAGAGGGAGCTTGTCAGCTATTATTTCAATGTCTTTATCCATCAGAGACGAGCTGTTCAGAACAGATCCAGTATTCTGGACATTGACAGCGACGATGATGAGTGGCATGGAAGTCAACAGGCTTATGAAGTTCAAGCTTCAGAGGAAGATGACAATTCTGCTATTGAGTCTTTTGCTGATCAGGAAGATCTGTTAAATCATGAAGGGCAGTGTCTTGAAGATGATGATGATGATGATGACGATGACAATGATGAGGATGATGATGATGAGAGTGGTGACTCTGATGGTGATAGTGGTGTTGGAGATTATAGCAATGCTGCAACAAGAGAGAATTATGGTGTAAATCTTTTGGTAAAAGGACATGCTGCTAAGTCATTTGATGAGAGCAGGTTTGATCCTGCTTTTCAACAAACAAACAAGATTTCAGGAATAGGGGAGGATTTCAATGTCCAGGATGACTCATGCATGTCTTTTGAGTTTCAGCCAAATATGGTTGACTCGCATACAAAGGCCAATTTGCATGTTAGTGGGGGGAAGAGCGACCTTAACAAGTGTTTGCAAGGTAAACTAGATGGGTCTAGTGAGCTGGTGAACCATGTATATTTATTGGATACCTGTGATGCGAAAATCTGGGATGCTAGGTATCCTTCAGCTTCAACAAAAGGTATTGATCTCCAGCCGACGTGCAACATTATTGAAGAGATTTTTGGACAAGACAGTTGGGACAGCAAGACGAGAAATGAATAAGCATCAGATGGTAGCTCTTGAGAAGTCCCGAATTTTATCCTGAGAGGAGGCTGAGATTTTGGTTTTAAAATTTTTTTCTTACTTTTTTCCCTGTAAATTCATTTACTAAATGTATTTTGCTTCAGCAGTGCTCTTAATGGGATCTTTCTGCTTTTGTAAATGGCACAGCAGCACAGCACTCTACACTCTGTGGTGTCAAAAGCTACGGGTAGTCTTTTCTTGGACTATTTAGCTCAAATTTGTTAGAATTTTCTGTGAATAAAGTAACTTCGATTGAATGACATTGACTTGTATAAAAATACTGGTGATAGCTTATATAAATATACATGGCTCTTGTATAGATGAATTCATTACCAAACAATATACCAATGAGAGGCTTTCTTGTTTTGTATTATTTCTTTCATCTTAATTTTTTTTAATAAGAGAAAATTAAGTTTGAAGATGGTTCATGTATTATGGTGATTTTTGGCTTTATTGTGTTAGTATCGGGGATTGTGTTTCTAGGACTGATGAAAGGCATTATGCTGGTTCTAACTTGGCCCTGCTTCTTGTTAAAACGTTCTGGCTGGTTAGACTGTAACCTCAAAGCTGCTGATTGTGCTGGCTCTAACCTGGCCTTGCTTCTTGTTAAAGCATTCCTCATTCTGACAGGTTAAGACTGTAACCTCAAATCTGCCGACCGATAAGTTAACCCTAAAAGGAGGTTCCAAGCTCTAGTTTTGGTGACAGCTGAGTTTGGGAAGTAAGCGAGAGGGAGAAAGAAACCTTCCCCATTAAGAATAAACCTGATTAGTTCTGGTTTTCAACCGTGTTAGCATTGCGTGCAAAATGGGATGGGTATCGCGTCAACTAATAAGCCTGTCAAGTTAGTAGTAGGAAACCAACAAAATTAGACATTTTGCCAAGTCTTTTGAGAATCATCTATCAGCAGGCCAGTTATATTCATAGTCATACCTTTCAAACTGACTTCACTTTGTTGGCCTCATTATCGGTGGAATCGTCTTCTTATATCCAAAGTCAATCTAATCCGAAGGAAATCGACGACTTGGTAAAACAAAACAAGAAAAGGCTACTCTCTCCCTCTCTACCTTTAAATAACTTCAAAGGGTTGAAGAAGATTCTTACATACGATATTTTCATAATCAACTTTTGCATTAGTTATGAATCCGGAGTTTAGTTCAAAAAATTTATATAATTATCTGTAAGAGATAATATTCAATAAATTTGAATTGAAATTCTAACACTTACTATTGATCTTTCATGCAAAGAAAGACTTTGGCACTAGTTTCCACCTGGTGGAATTTATGGGGCAATAAATGTTGGTCCAAGGCAAGCTTCTTGATGAACAAATTAAGTCCTCCGACCTCAGTGCATGCATAAAAAAATGAACCTAGTAAAAGAAGCTACATTGCACGACAGACATGGGGGCAGAGAATACTAAATAAAGAAAAGATGAAATGGACTGCAACATCACATTCACATTGGAGATCAATACAAGAGTGATCTTGAATGGGATCAAAGAAAGGGAACTTGTTTATCTTTTATATTAAGGCATTTCGGCTGTGAAATTGCAGCCTGAATTTCCAAGTGGACTAAAATGGTTTTATCAGGGTGAGATTTGGCACAGCTAAGCATGGACACTATGCTTTTCAACTACATTATTCCCACTACTCCAAGCCTTGGATCATCAATTTTCTTTTTGCGTAAATAACTTAAGACAATCATTTTGCTATCATAATTTTTTTCTTGCCAATATCCTTTTTTCATGAATGGTTACGGTTTTTGACATCTGGTTAAGTTAGCCATTATAGATAATGGAAGCCAATCACTAGTGATGGCCATGATTTAATGTGTAATGCCTAATCCAATAGTAAGATGCAGACCATTTTTAATCCAAGATACATATGCCCAAAATTAATTTTACAGAAATGACTCAATTGAAAACTTAAATTTAGCTATTTATTTTTCGGTGAAAGTTTAAAAATTTTTATAAAAAAGATTGTATTTTGAGAATAAAAAATATATTATAAGTATTAAAGTTTGAATTTCATATTTTTATGTCATTTTTTAATAATAATTGTATAAATCATTTAAATTAAATTTTGAATTCGAAAATATCACTGATTGATTATTTTAGTGTAATATAAACATAGAATTCCAAATAAATAATAATACAACAAATAGAAGAAATATATACATATATATTACAAAAAATAAAGAAGAAATGAGAAGAAAGAATAAAGAAAAATTGGAGGGGCCAACCATAATGTAACATCTTTGCATATGCTGATGTGCATGATCCCTTTCAGTGGGGGCAAATGGAGATTCTGACCTTTCACTTGTGTGAACTTGCAAGCAAGACAAAGGCATGGTTCGGCTGTCGCAGCAGCCTCAGTTTGGTATTTGCTATGTAAATGTAATCCATTTATCTAGTACTTCTCACTCGTTGGGATCCTCAACCCCCTAAAAATATGAAAAAGAGCCCTGAAATCTTGACCATTCAATCCATCACCGGATGGTTCTCATTTGAGTACACGTGCTGCCAATCTTTTCTTCCCTTTTTAATCTTTTGCTTCCATGCATGGAAGTCTCCTCCAATTACAACACAAAAACAAAGGAGAGAGAGAGAAAGAGAAAGGGTCATGGTTTTTTGCTTTGATTGTTCTTCTTATAGGCCTGTTCATCGCCATCATTAGCGTCTCGTCTCCTTTAAAATTTTGATTTTTCCATTTCAAAAGCCATTAAAGTATTTTAGTCTTTTTGTTTAAACATTGGAAGGTGTTGACGTGAAAAAAAATGGGATTTAGAGAGGATCTTTTTGTGGGTCGGATCTCTTTGTTGTACTTGAAACTAAGAGCAGTCACATCTCAACTCCTGATTCTCTTCTGATCATCTCCACTGAAACAAAAGCAAGAAACTTTGTGATCTGTTTTTTCTGCTCCCTGATCTGGATTTTAGTTCTCGTTTTCTATGCTTCTTCACCATTCAAGGTGTCTTCTTGCTCACAGCAAAGATCATGAAAAATGCTGTCTTTCGAAGATTTGAGGTAAGAAATGAGCTACTGATCGTATTTCCTTTAGTGGGTATTTTCTGTTTTTCAGTGATCACCCTCCATTGATTTTTAATGGAACAAAATCAAGAGAAGAAGTTTGTTTGCAAGTTTTGCAACAAGAGGTACCCATGTGGGAAGTCCTTAGGTGGTCACATAAGGACTCATATGAATAATGAGAATTCTGCTGAAGCAGAGGAAGGAGCAGCTGAACTCTCCATAAACAAGCTTTTCTCCAGCAGTAATGCAAGAAACATCAAGAGAGCTGCTGAGGCTGAAGCTGGTGGTCAATCTAGTTATGGTCTGAGGGAGAACCCCAAGAAAACCAAGAAGTTTTCTGATTCAGGCGACGCTTCTGCACTCAAAGAGATGATTTGTAAAGAATGTGGTAAGGGTTTCCAATCATTGAAAGCTCTTTGTGGCCACATGGCTTGTCACTCAGAGAAAGAGAGGGCCTTTCAGAAGTTTGAGGATCATTCAAGTAATAGTGAAAAGCAGAAGCTGATAATGGATAGTCAGTCAGATACTGAAACATCAGCTCCAAATAGGAGGAGGAGATCCAAAAGAATAAGGTACAAGACAATTGGCGTTTACTCTAATAATTCAGTTTCTTTGGCAAATGGTTCTTCATCTGTATCAGAGATAGAGCAAGAACAAGAAGAGGTGGCTATGTGTTTGATGATGCTGTCGAGGGATTCTGGCTGCAAGAAAGGATTGAATTCAGTTGCTGACTCTTCAGATAACAATTCTGTCGTTTTGGAAGCCAAGTCATCGTCTATTGATGTGAGGATAACTATTAAGAATGACATGAAATGTGTTCCTAACGGTGGTGAGTTTGTGAAGATGAAAAAACAAAGAGACGGTAAGTTGAAATCTGCTGAGTCTGGTCCTTCTGAGAATTCCGATTCTGGGTATTTTAGGAATGGACCCAAGAAGGTGGAATCAGATGTTTCTGTGGATGGGTTTCTCAAGAATGTTGAATTTAAGAAACTTGAGTCTGGATCTGGATTTGAGGACTTTGATGCAAAATTTAGGAAGAGTTTGAGTAAATTCAAATGTGTCAAAGCTGAATTCCCAAAGGATTTGGTTAGTGAAGTAGGAGATAATCAAGCAGGTAGAGCTTTGACTAAGTATGATTTAAGAAGAAGTGCCAAGAATGATTATCACAGTCCTGAATTTTGGTGGAACAGTTCTCCAAAGGGAAGCAAATATGAGTGTTTGACCTGCAACAAGACCTTCGATTCCCACAGGGCTCTTGGAGGACACAGAGCAAGCCATACAAAGGTCAATGACTGCAGCGAGTCAATAAATGAGAGCGGTGAAGATAGCTTAGCAAATGATTCTTTTCGTGTTCCAATGACTGATAGCAAAATTACCAAGTCTTCACATGGCAAAAGTCTAAGTACTCCTCGTGGTTCATCTGGCAATGCTTGGAAAAGAATGGGATCAAAGAAAAACAAGGGGCATGAGTGCCCATTCTGCTTCAGAGTTTTCAAGTCAGGCCAAGCTTTAGGAGGTCACAAGAGGTCCCATTTTGTTGGAGGTTCCGAGGACAGAACATTGGTGATCAAGCAAGACTCACCAGAAATGCCAGGTCTAATTGATCTTAACCTTCCAGCTCCTGTTGAGGAAGATGCAATGGGGAATTCTGGGTTCATGCCATTGTAGATTGGAAGCACCAGAAGCATGACTCTTGGCGGTGGCATGGTGGGTTTGATCTCAAAATGGGAAAATTTGTGGGCATAGGTTGGTTCATCATGATGCAAGAGATTTTAGAGTGTATAGACAGTCTTTTTTTTTTTTTTTTGTGTTTCTCCTTGTCTTCGGAATATTCAAGTTGGTCTTTGCTTTTGAACTTGAAAGTTGTTTTCTTTTTATTTTATCTATGTTCTTGGATTATATCTTCATTCTTACGACTTTGAATTCTTTGTCTATTTTATCTTGAAACGTTATCAAGTTTGTTTCCTCTTGATTACACCACTTTCCATGTTAATGTACTTTCAGCTCTGGGTTGCTTCAAATCTGTCAAATAGAGTCTTGTAGGAATCAAACTCAAAGGGCCAGCGGCTTCTGTTTTTGAACTTGTATGATAAAACATTTACCTTTAAATCTTTGATATTGGCAATCATATTTTGTCATTGATGTAGCCAATCTAACTGTTGAAGTGTTGTTTTAAAAGCATCAAGGACCACCTGCTTTATGAGGGAAACATTAAAGAAAGTGTCATTCTATGGAGTGGAACAGAAGTTTCCTCTAAAATTTACGTGCCCAAGAACTGGACACTCACATTTAATTGCTACATATATCTGTTAAAACTATCCAAACGTTCGGTTGGGTCCCTTTGTTTCAACTCTCTTTTGAAACATACTCATGGAAATGCCTTTAATGCTCTCTTCTTTGTAACAAAGGCAAGGTTCTGCCTACAATGGAGTGAGCATAAGTTCCAAAAACCTATGATAGGGATGATGGGTCATAATTGGATCAGATGAACTTAGTTTATCACATTGTTCTCTTCCATTGAATATAATTCAAGAATTTAGGCCAGCCCCCATACTAGGCAGCTTAGTTGACTTTGTGAAATGAAAATGTTTCTTGTTAAGCTATTGAGGCATTGAAAGAGGGCAATACATGGAGTGGTTGGACTTACTCTTGAGCTTGAATACAAGTTTGAAGATAATGAGTTTTTGGACTAATGAGGAACCAAAGCTCATCTTTCACTTACTATTTCAAGTATTGTGGCTCAAAGGTGGTTGCATTGTCAACTACCATTAAACAAAATCAACCCAAAATCTCAATTGTTTTATGTTTCTTGTGCTTTCTACATTCTAATTTGACAGGGTGGTAGAAATTTTTTATCTTTATTCCATCACACCATGTCCCTTGTCCTTGTGTTTGTTGCTTATTATTATATTATCCTTTGATTGTGTTTGCTTGAGAGAGAGAAACAGAAAGAGCTTGGATGGGCTTTTATTTTGATGGTCATGTGTTGAATCATTAAGCAACTGATTTGAGGCCATTGAATTTTTTTGTCCTATAAGAAGCTTTATCCTTTTTGGGTCATGATCCAATCATAGATGAGCCCATTAGGAGATGATAGAAAATCAAAATTAGGCTCAAAACTTGTATTTGGTAGGGTCAAACCATCAAAATTCTAAATCAACTTTGAAAAATAAGATCTGCTGGCCAGAGAAGTTCCCTTGAACTTGTCCTCAGAGATCTTCAGATTTTTGGACAATCCTAGCACAATACTTTGTGTAGCTAATTATAAAATCACATCAAGTTATGGTTCAAGCTTAAATAACTCAGGGTTTTTTTACTTGGACTTGCTGCAGGAAATGACTAGGCAGACATTCATTGAACCTTGGTAAGAATCTTGCTCACTGTAAATCACAACAATTGTCGACTGTCTGCATAAATCTTGGCAGATCTCAATTCCAGACTTTCCAACTCTAGTTCCTATATAGTGATCATTTAATCCTGTATAACTCATTGAATCTGGAGTACAATCGTTTTAAAAAGTGACATTCAACGGGTATGATGTTGAACTTCGACACAAATATTAATCCCCGCGGCACAAAGGATCAATCCTCCAGGGTCCGGATGTCCCTGGCATATTGATGAATAATAAAGTAATTATCTTTCTTTTTTTTTTTTAATGAAAATCTTTTCTTCATGTAAATATATGTAGTTGAGATAAAAGGGTTGAATCTGACTAAACCATTATTGGACTGGGGCTTGGGTACCCCATTTAACAATAAAATCTAAAATTAGAAAGCATTTAAAAAAAACTATAAATTTTTGTCTCAAATTGGGAAAATGCAACAGAAATTCAAACTCCAACGGTCTTAAAAAAGGAGACCTCCCGCAGTTTTGGAAGCTATTGCAAAGGGGCATGCTCTCTTTTTTCGGGGGGCCTCCCATTTGTTTGATCAAAGATAGAGATCAAAGAGACAACAAATCAATAAATAGTAATCAAAATTTAAAAAAAAAAGAAAACCCTCTCTCCCTCTCTTACTCTTTCCCATTTTTTTCTTGGGTTTGTGTATCAATTTCTTTTTTTTTCTCTTCATTTTTGTTCAATTCCAAGTTTTTTTAAGGTACTCTTTTGTTTATTTTGCTTGTATTTGTTTTTTTTTCCTCTTTTTGTTTGTGGAGAATCACTTGCTTTTATGAAACAATTGCTTGTTTCTCAGGTACCATTTGTCAAAGATTCAACTTTCAAGGCGTTCCTGTCATTTTCCTTCATTGGCTTTTAGATTCCCAAACAGAAAATTTTACACTTGAGAAAATGTTTGGATTTATGAGACCTAGGCAGAAGTCAGTGGACCCACCAGCTGGTTCTGGTTCCAACCCATTTGATTCAGATACTGAAGATAACAAGAGCACTGTTACACCAGCTAGAACTTCTTCTGGGCCTGTGCTCTTAATCCCAGATTTGAATGATGATGACCATGGAAGAAGAAAGCAAACTTCAGCATCTACTAGGCCATCACCAGCGAGAGATAGAGATAGATACAAAAATGATTTCCACGACTCTGGAGGACTACAGAACCAGACTATGGAAGACCTAGAGAATTATGCTGTCTACAAGGCTGAGGAGACAACAAATACTGTTAATAACTGCTTGAAGATTGCTGAGAACATCAGAGAGGATGCTACAAGGACACTTGATACTTTGCATAAGCAAGGACAGCAAATTGAAAGGACCCACGTGATGGCTGTTCAGATGGATAAGGATTTGCATAAGGTAAGTTCCATATAGCATGTATTTTGCTTCAAGTTTGTATACACAGATCGGCAGAAGGTAGTTGGAGAGGGAGGAGAGTAAGAGACTACAGTTAACATAATGAACACCTTTTAACCTTATAGCCTATTTGTTGTAGGACAATTTTGGTAATTGAAATGAAGCCCAGCTCTCTGATTTGCATTAAAATTTCATCATAGTCTGGATGTTAATCATTATTGGCCCCTTTAATTGCCATTATATCAGATAATTTGTGTATTTGACATGAAGTAACATGTATATCATCTGTTCATTAATAAGGCTTTAAGTTAATGAAATTGTCTGAGACTCACAGAATTTCTAGGGCTTAAGCATGTTTTAGTGTACAAGAAACTGTATACTTTTGATTCTTATAAGCTATTCATATCCACAAGAAAAAAAAAAAAGTGGGTCAAATTAGACATATTTCCATGTTATGTATAATCTTCTGGCTTTTGGATCATATAATGTTATTAGATTTTCTATATAGAAAGACAGTCCACTACTAGGTGCAATCAAATGATCAAAAGAGCCAAGCTTTTGTCATTTTTGTGTCTATTCTGATTATTATTGAAAATACTTTGTTATTTGTCATTTAGAATTAGAAATAGACTAGCACTTTATTTTCTAAGAACAACTTCTTTTTAGCAGTCAAACTCCTATTTAGAATTCATGTTGTTGTTGTTTTCAAAAAAGAAAAAGAATTCATATTGTTGTTCTTGTGTTCTAAAATTCCTTTTAACTAGATTCTATAAACTTTGCAAATATTAGGGTGAGAAGCTTTTGAATAGTCTAGGCGGCATGTTTTCTATGCCATGGAAGCCAAAGAAGACCAAAGAAATTACAGGGCCTGTGATCACCTCAGGTTTTCTTCTAATACTATTTCTTCTAGTTAGTATTGAAGCTTCAACTGAAATATGCAAATGTTCAAAAGGTAGTTGGATTTTAGTATGACAGATCGTTTATTGCATTGTTTTGGCAGATAATTCATCTAAGGAAAGCGAAAACCGGAAGGAACAGAGAGAAAAGTTGGGTCTGGCTCCTGTACCTAAAGCTCAGCCAGGAAGTAAGATACCTCCTCCTGAACCAACTGACGCCATACAGAAAGTTGAGGTTAGTATTATGATGTGTATACAAATTTTTAGTAAAATTCTGCTTGCAATAAGATTAATTGGTTATCGAATTCCAGCTTGAGAAGACAAAGCAAGACGATGCACTTTCAGATCTAAGTAATATCTTGGGTGATCTAAAAGGCATGGCTGTTGACATGGGATCTGAACTTGAAAGGTCTGTTGTCTCTCTCTTATCATGTCCAAGTACTAGCAAACTTCTGCACTGCTTTGAAATGCTTGAATTGAAATGCCCCTTGCATTGCTTGAAATCTGCATTTCGTGGTGAACTTTTTCTCAACAGGCTTCCCAGTAGTATTTGCAATAAGCTCTTTTAACTTTTCTTTTGAGGGATATTTTCATATCTGTTGAAATGCACCATCAAGGAAAGATAATTTTTCCACCTGTTCTCAGTTACATAGCCTGTCTCATATTATCGTTCAATGATTTGGTGAGTGCAGACAAAATAAAGCTCTTGATCATCTCCATGATGATGTGGATGAACTGAACTCTCGAGTGAAAGGTGCCAACCAACGTTCTCGTCAGTTGCTTGCGAAGTGAAAAGTTGCAGAGCTTACCAAATTCGCTTCACAAACCTATATTTAGAAGTTTTAACATTTCTTTTTCCATTTTCCATCCCATCCGAGAAAACATTTGTCATTAATGATTTACTCCATTGTTTTAAGTGGAATGATACAAGATTTTTCTTCAGTGTTCTTCACATGTATCGCAGCAATAACTCAAGTATGTGCATTTTTGAGCTAGAAACAATCAAATGAGGTCTAGAATCAGGGCATTTTGGGTAGTGACTAGAGTCATTCAAGTTGAACTTACACGCCCTTGACTCCAACCTAATGTAATTTTCAGCTGCAAAAATAGGAAATCGAGTAGGTAGGAAAGAAGCCATTAGAAGAACCTTTTAGTTGTTAGAAAAAAAATTAATCCAATGGAATATGGAACTAAGCTCAATTCGTTTCTGCAATCACCTTTTAAGTGATGGTATCTAACACGTCTAGATTTCCAATATCCATATATGCAATAAAACAATATATACAAACTTTTTAACTTAATTCTATTTTACAATTTAACAAATATGTCCCATAAATTCATTTATAAGACATGAAAGTATATATATTTATATATATATATATATTAAATTTTTTTATTTCATTCGATTTTTCACTTTTTGGTCTCCCAATCCACTTAATTATAATTCAAACATTGAAAATAAGACTAAATATAACTTCCTAATTAGGAAAGAAAAAAACTTGTCATCATTTCACTTATCTGACTGAAGGATCTTGAAGTTAAAACAAGAATATCTTGGCATCAATGTTACATATTGATTACGACATGATCTGCAATTTAGCCAAGATATTTGGCAAATGCCATCAAGGATATCCAATAGAAAAAGTACCCTTTGTTTGATTAACCCAACTATTTTAGGTACAAGTTCAGATTATCATTTATACATACTATTCCTCTGACGCAGTTGGGTTTCCGTCAAAAAAATGGAACAGGGTTTCCAGAAGATAAAAAAACTGGGAGTGGACAATCAATGAAAGTTCAGATCCTGTTTGCTCCAGGGATGTTGATGTTTCTACTTCCGAATTCATTTTTCAATTTTAATTAACATGCATATGTACATTCCATCCCCATTTATCTCGACAGCAGCAGCAGGGAAGACCTCGGATTGTCAGCACCAGGCTTGAAAAGCTATGAGGAAACTTTAACATTATTCATCAATGAACATCAACCCTGTCTGATAGTTACTGTTTTACAGGGATATATAAGGGTGGAGAAACCAAGGATGAGGGATTAAAAACTCGGAGAAAAGCACTCGGCGAAAACATGGAAACGGGGTAAACTACAATCAGTTTTTTCGGATAAGTTTTGCAATGGTTGGACTTGGAAAAGTTATAAGTAGATTCACAGGGAGTTCAAAAATTGTGCGGTATTCCAGGATCAGTAACCGTACACCTACAAATATACGTGACTGATTTGATGAGAAATAATGAAATTTGCCCCCCTATAACTAGCTTGTCCGTGGTCAATTATATCCTTTCATGTGCGTCTTGCCTTGCATTAAAACACTCCCTTCTATCACTATCTTTCCTTCTGTAGTCTCACTCCCTTTGTCCCCCCACTAAACCCCTCCATTCGACAATCACTTTTTTTTTATCTCTCTCACGAAACAGAAGAAGAAAAGGTCTTCGTTATCCTGAAACAAGCCAGCCGCCCACCATGTCTTGTTACCGCCTTTTGATCTTTATACTTCTCCTCCTCTTCCTCCTCCTCCTCCAACCTTGTAACTCAACTCCGCCTCGAACTTCTTCAAGAAACCACCCGAACCACCATCTCCACCGCCAGCAACATGACTCCAGGTTCCGTTCTTGTAGTTCTTTCTCTCGCGCACAGCAACGTTCTTTGTGTTTTCAGCTTCAAAGAATCCACAAATTCCAACCTTCCTTTCCATCATTGTCACCAAAACCACCACCACAACCGGAACTCAATGAAATTGATCCAAGATATGGTGTGGAAAAGAGACTTGTTCCCTCAGGACCCAACCCTCTTCACAACTGAAAACCTCAACTCAACCCCATCATGTCACCGTTTTGTTTATACACCATCTTTTATATCTAGTACCTATAATTTCTCCAAGATTTTGCTTTCTTTGCAATTCTTCTTACCTTTCTTGCATGGAGTTTATATGCGGCTGCCCTTTCCGTTTCCTTTACTGGATAATTCAGCGGTAACTAGCAGTTATACCAAGGAAAGGACGTAGGCGGTGATGCTCAATTTAGTATTAGACATTATTAGCTATTTTCTTCTGTTTTTTCACTGTTTCTTTACAGACGATTGCTATTTCCACACTTGTTTTTGGTCTTTGGGTTCTATCCTATTACTTTTAGTGACGAAAAAAGATACAACTACATAGTTGTTGCCATTAAAAGGATAGACAAAATTTGGAGGAGACAGCAAAAACACAAAAGAAACAAGCAAGGAAATGGCGTATCGTTGCTGTTTCTTAGTGACTGGTTCATGCTTCAAAGGGAGAAGGATCAGAGGAAGAGGGGAGTTGAATTCAAGAGAAACCCATGAGTTTCATTAATTGACATTGTGAAGGAGATATTGTTAGGTCTTGGGTAAGACATATGACCTTTTTGTGGAGCCATGTAGCTTTGCAATAAATATATTGATGTAGTCAATGTGTTGTAAAAACAAGGTTAAATCTATGACTATATGGTTTAAATCTTTGTACTTTTTTTTTAAAATTATTACCTATTATCTTTTTCATTTTTTTAAAATTAAGTTCCGTTTGATTGATGCTTTTACAAAATATGAATGGAAAATATTAAAAATAAAATAAAAACATCAAACAAATAGAGTTTTAATAATTGATAATGAAACTATATATTTTATTTTGATGGATTTTTAGCATTTCATTTACTTAATACTAATGTGATTGTTAAGAGTTGGGTTCTACTAAATAGGCTGAATTAAATTTTAGGCATGTAAATTGGATAAAAAATTAGGTGGCTAAAAATAGTCCCTTTTGATAGGAAACTAAGTGAAATCAATGCATGAAGAAATTTGGAAAAAGGCTAAGTGGTTAGCATGCAAGTTTTGCAAATTTTTTTCTTTAACTTTATTAATTATAAATGGTAAAATCTTACTCTCTTTGTCTTTATTTGTTTGTCTTACATTGACTTTTATGAAATTTAAGAAAAAAATTTTAATTTTAATACATTTAATATAAATTAAAGTTTCATAATTTTTAATGTTAAAAAAATAATTTTAAAATATAAAAAAATAAATGTTTTAGATGTAAAAAAAAAAAACATAATTTTGAGACATTCCAAAAAAAAAAAAAATGGAATAGAGGAAGTACCAAATATGTATCCAAATCTATGTAATCATGATCTAGGGTTCAAGTTCAAATTTTCACTTCCTATTTCATAAGAAAAAAAATCTCATTTTAAAAGTAAGAATTAAAATCAATTGAATTCTTTTTATCATAATATGAGAAGTCAAAATATAATTTAATTTATTTATATAATTATTTTTAAAAAATAATATTTTAACTACTTTAATTCAAATTTTAACATTTATAACTCTTTTTTTTATTTTCAAATTACAATTTTTTTCTATAAAAATTATGAAAAGAAAGTTTGGCTTATTCCCATTTTTGCTACCCTTATATAAAAATACACAAATTTTAAATCCTATTTTATGTTTGCAAGAATTATAAAATTCTTCTTGTACTTGATTTTTGTTACTTAGTTTTGCTTCCCAAAATTTGTTTTAAGAATAAAACATAAAAAAGAATATTAGTAAAAAAAAATTAATTTTACTTATGAATTGCTTGTTAGAAGTCAGTCATATAATCAGCCAATGGGAGTAAACAAACGGGCCACCTGGAACCTAACTAACTACCGACGTTGAAAAAGCATGTAAAAAGATGGGCCCACATTTCTTCGTCTCAACCAATCAGAAAAATACTAAAAAATAAAATAATAACCGACACATGAGCATAGTTTCCTATTTAGCGTAAATACGACGATTCTATATTTATATAATATGAAATATTAAAATTATTTATTATTATTTATATTAATATAAAATTTTAAAATATATTATTTTATTTTATTAAACCTTTAAATAATATTATTTTTATATTTTATTTTTATATATTTAAATAATTATTCAAATTCTATTCGAATAAAATTTAAATTTTATTTAATTATAATTAAATTGAGTTTGAATTTAATTAATTTAATTTATCGATTAAATCGAATTCAAATATTTTTATATCTAATTCAAATAACTCATGAATCTAATTAAATTTTTATATTTTAATATATTTTAAATAATAAATATATCGAACTCGAATATAAATAATTAAATTTTTATTAAATATAAAAATTAAATTTATTTTTATATATTAATCAAACGAATTCGAATAATTTAATTATTATTTCAAATCAAACTTAAATTAAAAAAAAATTCGATCTAATTCAAATCAATTTTTTAATTTTAAATAAAGATCGAAATCAAATTTAATATTATATTGATACAAGCTTCATCAATTAAACTCCTACTTCAGCCCAAAATCTGTTTAACTCAGATTTCTAATTTTATCAAAATTTCCCCTTTAACTCTGAACTATGATGTCCTTCATTCTTCAATACCCATAATGTTTTTTTTTTTTTTTTTAAAAGAAGAATCTGGGAAAAAATGGCTCGTATATTTGCTCTGCCATTCATTTTCTCTCTGTTTCCCGACCTTTCCTTTTCCAAAACTCTTAAACGAGACGGTAAGTTTCCTGATTTCTTTTCTTAATATTCTTTTTCTTTTTTCTTTTAATTTTTAAATTTTTTTATTTGATTTTTTTATTCCTTTTTTTCAATGAACTAATTGAAAGTTATATAAAAATATCTATGATTGTTGCATATGACAGTGATCCAACCTCAAATCGGACGGCTCAAATGTCTGAAAATACTGTATGTTGCCTTGTGTTTCTCTTAGTTTAAATCAAACATTGTATGTTCTTTATTGTTTTGTTATGGAATAAATGGTAGTTTTTGTTAGGTTTTTTGAACTTTGATTTCTTTAATTTTTCTGTTTTTGGTTCAGTAATTTGAGGTGGAATAAGTTACAAGATGTTCTTAATTCTGTAAGTAAAACATGCTTTATTAGTTAGAGAGCATGTTTTATTACATGTCGGAGAGCCAACCGGTGGAGTGTCCTGTCATAAACAAGCCGGAGTGAAAGTATCACGGTCTAAGAGTGAAGTTAAGAATTTCACATTGATTGAATATTAAAATTGATCTTAAGATACAAAAATTCATATATTTTTTTCGAAATATTTTTTATAAAAAAAAAAAATTTTGAAATCACAAGTGTCTTGGATAATATTTTATAAAGATATAAATCGTAATAAATAAATTGATTTAAAACACCGAAAAAATATGTCTAGATCTTAAAACCGCATAAATCTAAAAATTGAGTCTCGGCCCATGATAAAAGTAGTAAGCGCCATCGACAGACAAGGAACGAGCAAGGGGATATCGATTTGCTTAGTGGGGAGTTTCAAACAGCAGGTTGGAGCTCCAAGATACAATTTTGACTCAGAACAAGCTTGACTCGCCTCTTTTGAACTCTTCAGCCCAATGCTTGCAATGGCATTGGAAGCAAAATCCCACATCGAGACAGAAAAAGGAAATAATAACACAATGACAACAAAGAACTTTACCAAAGCTGAAAACCCAAAAAAAAAAAAAAGTCTCTGGCTAAGTGATTAAGTCTCTTGTCCAGATTTTGACTTTATTTTCAATTTAAAAGTTTTATTTTTTATAATTACTTGATTACATTCTTAAGTATGGTTAAGGCAATTAAGTTTGATGGCGCTACAAAGGATGTCAACATCCATTCGACATCAATAAGCAGCATGACCACACTGTGTCATCATGCAAATTTTCACAAACACCTTGTATTTAAGGGGAGAACCAACCCTGGCAAATGGCAACCCATCCTAAATTCTTAACCCCAGAGCCTGCCTGCTGCCTGCAAGCCAAGATGGTTTGCCCCGAGGGGGTGCCACCTAAGAACACAGGTGATTCGGCCTGGCTAGGCCTTGCCAAGCTGCCATGAAAAAGAGGGCAAAATGCTAATGCAGCATCAGCTTGTGTTCTCAGGTCACCCCTTTGGGGTACATCTATCTTTGCCTGTTTCTCGTGTGATTGATATTTGCACCAATGCTGAACTACTATCAGGTAAGGGACAAATTCATATTTAGTTCAATGGTAAGTACATACACTTTCACTCAAAAAGTTCGATTTATATTTTTTTTTCTAAAAAAATAGTCATTTTGTTATGATGACGACATTATTAGTAATGGGTGAACCCTGTTTGTCCTTTCTTCTTTTGGGTCCTTGCTTGTTTTGGACTTTTATTTGCTTACTGGTCAGTAAGGAGCAAATGCTATATCCTTCATACGCCTTTTATTTTCCTGTCAACTACTTCAGGCTACTGGCTGAAACTTGACCACCCATTTGTGTTACTATGACTTCTAGTCATCAATAAATTCTACACCAAGAAGGATAGTTGGCCAAACTCCTTATTGGCCGATGAGTAGAAAAACAAGGAGGTGGTCCCAATTCTATGATGATTTGTGAAATTGGGACGGAGGTTGTCTTCGCCAAGTACCAAAACTCCACGGCATAAGAACAAACGATCCTCACCCATTTTCTCTACCCATCCAGGCTTCAGCTTTTGAATTTCCAGGTTTAGCTAACATGGCAAACTCTGATGGTATCGACTCCCATCTTCATATTGCTCTCCTCCCTAGTTCTGGCATGGGTCATCTGCTACCTTTCCTTCGACTTGCTGCCTTTCTTATCCGCCAACAATGTCAGGTCACTTTAATCACTACACACCCTATAGTTTCCTCTGCTGAATCTCAATTTATCTCTAATTTCTTCTCTGGCTTTCCTCAAGTTACTGGAAGAAGTTTATGCTCCTCCCTGGCTCCCTCTTTATCCCGTAACTGCCAATTGCAATGACCCTTTCAAGCTCTAGTCTCGATCCCCTCATCTCATCTCATCTCAATCTCCACCCCTCTCGTTTATCATCATTGATATGACCTTAATGCCCTCTGTCATTCCAGTCACTGCTAATCTCTGTTTCCCTAACTACATTCTCTTCACAACACCAGCCAGAATCAATGTTCTCCCGTTTCGCATACTTCCCCTCGATTCCTCTCCAAGACTGAAGGTGGTTCTTCTCAGTTTGGTGATAGAATTAGAATTCCGGGCCTTGATTCACCGATTCCCATGTCGTCACTTCCTCCAACACTTCTAGACTCGAACAGTTTCTTTACAAAAATTTCTCGGTCAACAGTCAGAGTGTCAAGAATATCAATGGGGTGTTGATTAACTCTTTTGAAGGGCTCGTGAAAGCAATCTCTGGAGATGCTTATGGGTAGAAAAGTAATAGAAGGATTGCATCCATTGTTTCCTGTTGGCCATTTTCTGCCCTTAGAGTTTGAGGGGCAATCTTCTTTTGCACCATTGAAGTGGCTCGAGGCCCAAAAGGAAGGGTCAGTAGTTTTTGTCAGCTTTGGCAGTAGGACACCTATGTCAAAACAAAAGAGCAAATAAGAGAGTTAAGCAATGGGCTAGTGCTGACTCAATATATATCCGTCCGGGTGGTGAATAGTAAGGTAGGAGACAAAGAAGAAGAAGAGGGTTTGGATGAGGCTCTCGGACACCAGCTAATGGAGAAGATTAAGAATAATGGATTGATAGTAAAAGAACGGGTGAATCAGCAGGAGATACTAAACTCACAAGGCTGTTGGTGGATTCATAAGCCATTGCGGATGGAATTCCTGTACTTGGATGGCCCCAACATAGGAACCAGATGATCAATTCAGAGCTGATAGAGGCAGGTGGATGGGGGCTGTACATGAAGAGTTGGGTATGTTTTGGACTTCGGTGAAGGGAAAGGAGATTTGCGACAGTATTAAGGAGCTGATCAGGAGTAACATGTTAAAATTGGAAGATGCAAGAATCAGTGAAGAGGCTAGACAGGCTCTAGGGGTTGCTGGAAATTGCGAGAAAATGTTACAAGAAACTTTTCCAAAGCTGGAACAAGAACAGAATGGTATAATCAATTAGCTGATAGGTCACCATGTAAACCCAATGCTAATTGAGGAGTATTTATAAGCTTAGTTAACTTCTTATTTGTGTACCTCTTAAGATTAAGTAATAAAAAAGTAAAGCTGAGAAAAAAAATTAAAAATCAATTTGAAACTTTTTCGGGTTAAAAAAAATGATAAATTTAATTAATAAAATTTGATTTAAAAAAAACATTATTTTAAATTCAATTCAAATTTTAAAAATTTAAAATATTATAAATTAATCAAAATAATCAAATCTAATCTAATCTTCATTCCGTTATCGCTCTTATTAAAAAATTAGACAAAATCTTATATTATTTTGAATAAGATAAAATACATTTATTATGAAATTTTTTTAAAAAAACTCACTTACCCTCTTTAATTTGAAAAATACTCTATTACCCTCATTAATTGACACATTTAAAAAATTATGAGATAATATTATTTTAATATGCCTAAATATCCACTTTTTAATCTCTCTAATTTTCTATTGAAAAGCCAAAATTTAACTTAATAGCATTAAATTATAAAAGAAGGGGACTCAAACGGAATATATTGAAATTTAGAGGGCCACAAAGTTACTGACAATCAAATAAAGTTTGTTTTTTTTTTTTTAACTCAAAATACATTTCCGGCCAAAACTAGGTTCGCTGCCGCTAGCTCATTGGCCCTACAATAATAGTTGTATTTTCCACATTAATAAATAAATAAATAAAATCAAAACCCCAAACGAAATTAAAGATCATATTTTATTCCCCAGCTTCTTAATTTCGGGTACGTTCTATTTTCATAAATCGAACTATGAATTTTGATGAGTTTCTTCGAATTTTAATTTGGCTTAGTCAATTGTTTAATTTTATAGGAAAACTTCGGATATAGGGTTCCCAAAACGTAATTGCTTAGTTTTTTTAGAGTTAATTTGGTAATTGTTGCTTGTTTTTGTTAAAATTTATTTAATATTGGGTATAAGGGATTGGGATTTCTTGCTTGTTCCTGTATTTTCATGGATCAAATTAAGGTAATTCGATAATTTGGGAACTTTTAAAAAGTGGGTTCTGGTGATTGATATATCAATAGGTTAAAAAGTCTTGCAATTTGTTGATGTTCATTGATAAAGCTCCACTTTTTTGGTCAAATTATAGATTTTATCGCGGTGGGGTTCCGTGTGAATTACCATTGTTTTTTAATGTCCGTTACTTCTTGTGGGTTGTTAAAGTTTGAGCTCATAAAGCACTTCGGGTTCACTACTGTTAGGGACTCTGATTGGGAGCTGCTACAATGCATCGGACAGTGGCTACGGCCACAACCAGGGGGGGAGTCCTGACCGAGAATGGGGACTCTGTTGTGACCTTGGATCAAGTCCCACGGTGGAGTGATGCAGAGTATAGGTCTTATTTGGAGTATGGGAATGAAGATCCTTCATTTTCAAATTCATATTTCCCCGATCCTTTAACGTTTCCTGGGGAGGAGAGTAGTAGCTATGGTATGGTATCGAGGTTTCCTGTTGATCAAGAAATAAACTCAAAGATATACTTGTGGAGGGGACAGCCGTGGAACCTTGAGGTTGATGCTGTTGTTAATTCTACAAATGAGGTAAGCACTGAGTTTTCCCGGCCTTATCTGATCTGTACAGATGCATAATATTTTGATGAATCATATGAATTACTTTATCCTTGGATATGGAGAACCTTGCATTTTTCAAACTTACACATGTATGTTACATGGTCAAGTGAATATGGAAACGAAATGATGAGAAGAAGTCTGTTAGTAACATTGGATCTGTAGTGAATTGCTATATGAGGATTGAGTTGATAAACAAAATAATATAAAAAAGGGCTACCTTTTAGTGACATTGGATCTGTAGTGAATTGCTATATGAGGATTGAGTTGATAAACAAAATAATACAAAAAAGGACTACCTTTAAGGAGGCTTGATTGCTTATCGCATGGATACACTAAGTTGACCTGCATGTGCCTAACAACTTCATTCAAAATTTTAGAGCTGAACCCAGCTTAGTGTTTTTGTTCCACACATGAGTATATGTAATTCATTTACACTTGCATATGTAGTCCTTTAGGACCTGAACTTTCATCTTTGTATCTCTAACAATGTGGAAAATGTTGTAAATAATGTTGGAACTTTTTTACTTAACTTTTGCGTGACCTTTGAGTGAGTAGCTTTGATCCTTAGTTGTTCTTATACAAGGAACTCAATTAATATTTTAATCCCATCAAGGCTCAAAGGTCCTTACCCAGGAACAAATCATTAATTAAAGATGAAAATATTCTGATTTGTTATTTGCATGCTTGGTTGCAGAACTTGGATGAAGCACACAGTAGTCAAGGTTTGCATGCAGCTGCTGGACCTGGTCTTGCAGAAGAATGTGAAACACTGGTATGCTAAAAATTAATCGGGAAGAAATTATATGGGGACTGTTGCCATGGATGCATTTCATGATCTGTTTCACCACATTGATAGCTGTATTATAAGCTTTGTTATATCGTTTGACAAATCTTTTTTACTCTAAAGCAAGTTGTTGGGAATAAGTAAACCTGAAGCAATAATGACTTGATATACCTTTTATTGACAGGGTGGATGCAGAACAGGAATGGCCAAAGTTACTAATGCATATGATCTTCCTGCTAGGTGCGTATCACATTCTTGCATAACTTGAGAATGTATAGAGATGATGTGTCTACAAAGATATTATTAGACACTTGCATCTACTGCACTTCAATGAAGTTCTCAAGAAATTAGATTGATAATGCATATTTGTTTACATTACGAAATGTAACATTTTCCTATATAATATTTCTTATAATTGTTTCATGTGTCTTTGTTTGTTGATTTCTTCATCAATTATTGTAGAAGACTGAGGCTTATGATTGCATGATGTCATCATTTTCTTTTGATAATGCATGGGTCAGTTGTGATCATGCTGCATGAGCTGTGGTTCATAGCTCACATTTGAGAAGCTGTGCTGACTTGCTTTTTATGTTTCTTATTTTAGAATTTGAGTATTCCATTTGATTCAGTTTGCACCAAAACTGTTATAAGTTGAATTTTAGTCATGAAATCCTGTCTTGACTGAAAACTAATGGTTTTTTGTATCATATTGTTAGGAGAGTCATCCATACTGTTGGTCCCAAGTATGCAGTAAAGTATCATACTGCTGCGGAAAATGCTCTGAGTCATTGCTATCGATCTTGCCTTGACCTTCTCATTGAAAATGGTCTTCAGAGGTTAGTATATTGCAGATGCTATAAAGTATTTCTTGAGTTTGTTCATCTATCTGTTGTTTTATGGGTAAGATGTTCACTATTTTTTACATGTATCATTTGCAGTATTGCTATGGGCTGTATATACACAGAGGCTAAAAACTATCCCCGTGAACCAGCTTCCCATGTGGCTATAAGTGAGAAAATTTTCTATAAGTTACAGCTCTTTGTCTGATTCTGTTGATGTTTTGTGAACTAAAATATCTGGAATATAAATTTTTTTTTTTTACTTTTTGCAATTTCATTTCATTATTATGATGCTGTTATTACAGAAAGTGGTGAATAAAAATCCAAGGGAGCGTTGAAATGTTTTTCTTATCAAATGAACAAGAAAAATAATATTATAAGATGTTATATTTTGAATGTTTGCAATGGAGTGACGCCAATTGTGCCTCTAATTTTTCCTAAGTTGACTCTTTCAATGTGCTATAGAAAATACAATGTTTTTGGTGCCATTGACTATTTTGTGTAATGTTCATTTCTTTTGATTGGCATACATGTCATCTGAAATTTTGATCGCTAATGCATGCTTCCGATAAGGGCTAAACCTCTTAAAAACAGAATTCTCTGTTCGCATTTAGTTGCCTGTGTTTCATACATGTTATTGAAACTGTTTTGGATTTTGGATGTTTCTGGGTTCAAACATTTTCCTGTTCTTCAGGGACTGTTCGGCGATTTCTTGAAAAGCATAAAGATAAAATCACTGCTGTTGTTTTTTGTACCAGCACATCATCTGATACTGAGATCTATAAGAGGTACCACTATTATTATTCATTTCTACTACCTTGCAAAGATGGCTTGCTTCTTTGGATGCATTGTTATAATGCCTTCATATCTTGAGGATGATTATTTTTCCTTGTGCTTTTGCTTAAAATGCTATATACCTAAGGTATCTTCTCATTAATTTTGTAAATTGTAGATTGCTTCCCCTTTACTTTCCTCGAGATAAGCATGAGGAGGAGGTGGCCATATCTAAGCTTCCTGCAGATATTGGGGATGAGAATGGTGAGACCATCATTGATGAGCGTAAAATCAGAATAAACCCATTGCCCAAAAAGATCCTCCCAAAGCCTCCCCAAGATCAAGTTGAACTCCCTGTAAGTGATGTAGGTTTGGTACAAAGGTTAGTTAACTCTATTTCATGATAAAATCTTTAATCTTTCCATACTTTTTTAGTATTCTCTTCTTGGCCTTAGATTGATCAATATCATTATGTGCAGATATTGTAATGTAGGTGTATCTATATCATGACCTTGTGTATTTGTTTATTTAATATGCGCTTTTTCCAAATATTTTATTGGTTAATATATCTAAGTGACTAAGTAGTTCTCAAGTGTAATAAATCAACAAGTTTCTTGTGATAGTGAATTTAAGTTATAACCAGAGTAGTCTCTATTCAATATTTTGGATTCCCTTTGAGCATATTTCTTGCTGTGGGCAAGTACCACTTGCAACTGTAGCTGTTTTAAGGAAATTTAAAACTTCTCTGTTTATCTCTTAGCCACTCAGTCACTCTTACATGTTCGCATGCATTTGCATACATGAACTAGTTCAAAAGCTACACACCTTATGAAGGGTGGTTTTGAATGAAATCTGCTTTGCTTTGCCTGTCATTTCTGGAGATTATGCATTTCTCCATCATTTTATTTGATCCCTCTCTCTCTCTCTTGCACAGATATGCACATGCATGTGGACGCATGAATACACACATAAAAGCTTTTGGTTTTAAATCTGTTGGATAACATATGTACCTAGTTGCCTTTCCTTTTCTAGAAATTATGCATTTCTTCATTTTATTTGTTGCCATATGTGGATGTATGCCTTGATATATGCTCTGACCATCTGTGAGATATGTTTTTCCAGTTTTGTGGATTTGATAGGTTTTGAGAAAGATATTATTAAAGCAAGAAGTAAATCTTGTTACTAGTTTATTTATGTTTAGTTGCTAGATAATTAGAATTTGTGAAGTCTATCAAACTCTTGCTTCTCTGAGTTTCCATGTAGCTTTGTGGCAGTTTTCATGTATTCTATTTCCATTATTGTGGTTCTGTTTTGATTTTGCTAAATGATCACAGTCTATTTGGATTTCAAGTCATTAAATGACCTTATTGGATGATGGTTATCCATTTAGGAACTCAAATTACTTGGATACATATTTGGATCCCGCTTTCATGTCCTTGATCAAAGATCCAGATCAGAGACGCCAAGAACAATGGGAAAAAACTGCTGAAGGACGAGGTGGTTGGAATTGTGCTAAGATGCTTGGACTTGGTGACCTCGGTGGACCTCCATTATCTGCTGCTGAAGAATACTCACTTCACTCCAGATACCTTGCTAAGGCAAATTCTCTTAATCTTTCTGAAATCGCAGAGATGAAAATTGTGTAAGTGTATTATGCTGATTTCCTTTCATTTTTTCCCATCTTGAGTTAGCATTCCTTGTTATTATATTTCATTATTTTTGGGATTGGTTAAACTTTATGTTTCCATTGAATGATTGGGTTCTGTACAATCAATGTCTCTGGAAGCACATTATGATAATGAACAAACAGTTGAAGTCTTGAGACTTTTATGTTCAATTTTTATGTCTTGGCTTTATTAACAATATGTGGGACCATGTTTCTTTTATAGTATGAAAGTCGTCAATTTCATACATTTTTAGATTTGTCCTGGTCTGAATATAAGGTTTAGACTTAGCTTATTTGTTTGATATCAGTTATCGTGGGGGAGTGGACAGTGAAGGTCGCCCTGTTATGGTTGTTGTTGGAGCACATTTTCTGCTGCGGTGTCTTGAGCTTGAACGTTTTGTTCTCTATGTTGTAAAGGTATTAACTTACTAGTTGCTTTGATTGTACTTTTGAAATTTCAAGACATAGTCTCATAGAATACACATCATTTAAACTGCTTGATTTTGGGAAAGAAATTGTGGTTATGGAGACATTTTATGGTATACTTTTATTGAAAAGTTGCTTTTGAGCTAAGATCATCTTTTTGCTTTCTAATTTCAGGAATTTGAACCCTTGATACAGAAGCCTTATACTATTGTATACTTCCACTCTGCAGCATCTTTACAAATGTAAGTATTGTATGGTTATGAGAAATTTGGTTTAATTCAAGCACTTTAAAGAAACTACCAGGGGTTAAAGGTTGGTGGATTTGGTTAAATGTTTGAATTCTTTGAGTGAAAGCTTTTTGACCTATTTCTTCTTATAACAATATTTGCAATTATATGCTAATATCTTAAAACCATTGCTTTTTTAAACAATAAATTCTGGATGCCCATTTCCTTAGAGATTTCAGTATCATAGCTGTAGGCCATCATTTTTTTTCCTGGTGTGAAAGCTGATTTTATCTGATCATCAAAGGTTAAATATATTAAAAAAGATAGGAAGCCAGCCACTGTCAGGGTAAGAAACAGTGCGACGCTATTGAAAAATTGAACTTGTACAACTGCATGTTATTTTACTTAACAAGGATCAATAATTTCTTTTACACTTTTGACAGCTGGTCATACAAGTCATTCTCTGAAATTGCATATAAAAGTTTCTGATATTAGATCAATTCCTAGACACCGAAAGAGATAACAAATGAGGGCTCATAAGCAATTGCATAATTAAAAATGCAATCAAACAAACAAAAAGGTTGTGTCTTGTCTTTGGAAAATAGAATCTAGATTGGGAAATTTTCATTATAATTAATACATACCTCTCTTGGTACAGCTACAGCACCATTATATGGTCTTCGTCGTAAAGTGTTTTCAGAACAGTCAATTTGAATGTGAATTTCTCTTTGATCCCTGCTCATGTTACATTTTTTTACTGGAATAACCAGCCAACCAGATTTAGGATGGATGAGAAGATTGCAGCAAATACTTGGTCGGAAGCACCAACATAATTTGCATGTATGCAGCACTAACGATTCTATCTAATCTGAATATTCATATACAGCTTTAGTTTTTTATATTGTCTTATATGTTTTCTATAGGCAATATATGTTCTTCATCCTACCTTTCACTTGAAGGCTGCAATTTTTGCTCTGCAAATGTTAGTGGACAATGTGGTATGTCTTAATTATTTCTCATTGAAAAATGATTTATCTGTTGAGGAATCTTGCTGTAACTTGATGTTCTTGGAATTTATCTACAGTTGTGGAAGAAAGTGGTATATGTTGATAGGCTTCTGCAGCTATTCACATATGTTCCTCGTGAGCAATTGACCATCCCCGATTTCGTGTTTCAGTTGAGTGATCTAGTTTAATCTTTTTATTATTTCAAACTAAACATACCCTTGCTTAATCCTAATAATTGTATCGATAGTGCAATTGGTTTATTCAACGATTTTCATGATTAATCTTTTTTTATATGAAATGGTTGTTTGCGAGCCAGTGGATCAACAATCAAAAATCAAAATGATTCTAAGTTTCTGTCGATATGATTATGGCAGGCACGATTTAGAAGTGAATGGGGGAAAGGGTCTTATAGTAGACCCCAGAACGAAATATGTACATCATCGACCCTAAACATTTAATATCCAGTTCCACCAGCTGATCAAATGCCGTTGATTCTTGGTTTGATTTCTCTTCTACTGTATTTTGTAGATAAGTATTTCTCATGTAGAAATAATAATTCTGATTTTATTGAGCAATGATTTGTTTGTTTTAGGATAAGGAACGTGATATTCTTTCTCTTGTTTCATCATAAATGCTTATTAATAATATATCAATGTGATCTGAGCTTCTGTTTGAATTCTGCAGTTGACTCTGTAACAATGTCTTATCGTCTTTCTCACAAACACATACACAGATTTTTTCAGATTGTTGCACCACCAATATCCTTAGTCTACAAGAATTATGCATCTTTCTGATTTTAGCTGAACTTTGTTCTGGAATGAAATTTAACAGCAAAAACACGTTTAACTGAAGCCAGTTGCTGTTTGCAATGACCGCCCTTTACATGCCTTTATTTAGATCATTAGCTCAACTCCATGCCCACTTCTTAGTCTCTGGGCACCCACTCCCTTCCACCAAGCTCATTGAATCCGACGCCCAAGTGGGTTCCTTTCAATCTTCAAAACTTGTTTTTCTAAAACTTCACAAACCCAGATTCTTTCACGTGGGCTGTTCTAATAAATAACTGCTTTCAAGAAGCCATTTTTCTCTATCGTACAAAGAAAAACAAAAACCAAGTCCAAATTAATAACTTCATATTTCCTTCCGTTCTGAGGGCTTGTTCTGGTTTTGGTGATCTGGGTTTGGGTGGAATTGTGCATGGGGCCATAATAAAAAATGGGTTTGAGAAACATTCTGTTATTCAGACTTCATTTCTTTGTATCTATGGCGAAATGGGATGCTTAAGTTATGGTAAGAGAGTGTTTGATGAAATGCCAATGAGAGACATATTTTCGTGGAGTTTGATTATTTTGAGCTATGTTGAGAATGAAAAGGCAAGTGAAGGGTCGGAGATGTTTCGTTTAATAGTTTTGGAAGGTATTAAACCGGACTCGATACCAATGTTTAGTGTAGCTGAGGCTGGTGGTGAGTTGGGATTTTCAAAATTAGCAAGGTTGGTTCATGGTTATATGAAATGGATCCCAACTATGATGTTTCATGGAATATGCTCATATCAATTTGTACTGAGAAAGGGTTGTTAACAGAGGCATTGACTAAAGCCTGACTCTTTTAGCCTTGCAAGTTCTCTCTCAGCTTGTGCAGACACGGGTTTATTTCAATTTGGAGATCAGATACATGGTCATATTATCCAAAGAGGCCTTTCAGATGAGTTTGTCCTGAAATCGCTAATTGATATGTGCCCACAATGTGGTTTAACGGAATTAACATGCATGATATTTGATTAGATCGAAGAGAAAAGTTTTGCAACAAGGAATTCTTATGGTTTGCCGATGTTCTCAAAATGGTAATTCTGTACTTGAACGGTGTTGAGACGAATGGTAGCACCAGGGGTGAAAAAAAAAAATTGAAAAAAATGAAAATTGATTTGAAATTATAATATGTAATTTAGTTTGGATAAGTTTTTTTTATTTGGTTTGGATTAAATTTAGATCAAATTTTAAATCGAAATGTAAAAAATAAAAAATAAAATCAAATAAAATTATATATTTTATTAATTTTTATATTTTTTTAAATTTTTATAAAATAAAAATATTTTTTTAATATATAAATTTATTTAAATATATTAAAATAATATATATATATATATATAAAATATTTTAAATTTAAAAAATCGATGAATCAAATTTAATCAAACCAATAAAATTTAATTTAATTTAAATCGATTTAAAAAAATCAATTTAAATTCAAATAAAATTTATAATTTTATAATTTTATATATTATTTAAATAAATTAAATCAAATTTAATCTAATCCAAATCATTATTATTTTTTATATATCACTTTCGTAAGCATACTTCAAGCATGCTCTAATTTGGATTATTTTGAGTAGGGATGGTAACGGGTCGGATCGAGACAGATTTTTACTCGTCCCGAATCCGATCCAATCTGATCCGAATTTTTTTATTTTTTTAATATTCGAATCTAAACTCGATCTGATATTACATAAATCGTATCCGATTCGATTTGATCCGAAATTAATAAAATATTATTTTTAAAAAATATAAAATATTATTTTTTAAATATAAATATTTAAATATATAATTATATAAATATATAAATAAAAAATAATTTAAAAATTATTTTTATATTATCAGATCGAGTCAGATCGAGTTTATCTAAAATTTGAATTCGATATTTTTTAACATTATTCAATCTAATCTGAAAACTAATTTTAAAAAAAAATCAACTCTATAAAATTGAATTGAAACCTATAAAAAAAACGAATTTGATTATCCACCCTAATCTCGAGAAGGGAAAATGGCTTCGCCACAAGCTCCTAAGGAATAGTTAAATTTAAACAAAATAAATAAATGTCAAAAGAAAGAGATAAAATATGGGGGGCACATTGCAAATAAAAAGTTTAGGAAAATCCAAAAAGTAAAAATAAAAGAAAAGGATGGAAAGGGACAGAGAAGTAAGAGTCGCACTCAAAGGAAAGGAAAGTTGAATGATATAATAATAAAAGAAACGGTTGTTTGAAACTGATTGGTGAAAGGTGATTGGGCAAGAGCATGTCTAAAGACAAGGCAATTGACTATCACCACAGAGATTGGACAACAAATCAACTCTGACGCCGACACGGACGCTTCTGCTTTCTTCTGTCCTAAGCTTCGTACAAAAGTTAGATCTTCCTCATTCCCCACATTCCCTCTCCACGTGCCCTTTCTTCCGTCTTCCCCACTCTCTGTCTTCTTTCTCTCCTTTTATTAATTTTTTTATTAAAAATTATTTATAAAATTAAAAAGAAAAACAAAGTTGCACATTAAATCAGTCACATAACAGAAAAAAATATTATTATAAAATTTTGATTTTTTAAATTTAAATATAATTTTACACCCGAGTATTTAAATTTAATTTAATGATTAATAAATAATTTTTTTGTTAAAAAGTAAATTAAAAATTAAAAATTAAATATATAACAATCTCTTAATCATTAAAAAAAAATATTACAATCAATGTATAAATTTCGTATTGATATTTTAGATATTATAAATAGTGATAATTTGTGGTTTTCGTGGTTACTTTGTTTGAAAATAACGAGAAAACAATAATCGATAGAGAAGTGGATGCAGCTCAACTCAACCAGTGGAAATGGAGAAATGGAGTTTGAAAAATATCCCAATATAGAAATATCAGAAGTGTTGAGAACAGTGCCGATTATCTGTTAAATTAGTTTGCATGTCATTAGAGTTAGCATTGATGGTTAGTCAACCCTAAAATACAAAGAGAACCCATATGGTTTCACTAAATTCACAAACTGAAGGAATGCTGTCATATATCTTGTAAGAAATCATGCGACATTATTAAAGGATAATGCAAGTGTAGCCAAATTTCAGGCTGAGAAATATAGAAAGGCAATCCCCAGGGATCATGATAACCTCGCTTCTCAAAGCCAGTGAAGCAACAATGACATAGTTCCCTCTATAGTATCCTCAATTAATACATTAAAGCCCGTTTCTGGAATTAGGTTAAGGCAAGAGATGGAGGGTTTCCTGTGGCACATTTTTGCCGGCGGGGTCGTCTAGTTGTCTTCCCCCATCCCACTTCAATACTATTAAGTTGCTGCATCAATGGCGTGCAAGTTGTGGCAGCTGCTAAAGCAGGAGAGGAGTTAGTTACCGACCGTCGCCTCCCCCTGCCACAACCGCTTCTAGTGGAGTTTCTTCTTGTCAATCCTGAATGCCATGAATGACCCATTGCTCTCATAAGCCCTCCAAATGTCTGAAGATCTTCTGTTACCTCATGCCTTGATAGGGAAGCAAGACCTGGAAGGATGTCCCTTTGGAAGTCCCTCCGCTGCCTTCCTCGCCTTCCCTGGCCCTTTCGTGTTCGACTTGTTAACAGAGAGGTAGTTCCTGTTTCTTCCACTTTAAAGTTTTCAGGAACCAGAGGCTTGGGCATAAAATCCTCTTCCTTGGTTTCTGGTAATTTCAAAATATTTGATTCAAAAAAATCAATCTCTTCTAAGGAAGATTCTTCTTGATCCCCATCTTTACCTCTCAAAAGAGCCTCGAACTTGCTCTCAAGATCCTCGCCGAAAGAGGAAATTGTCTCGACAAACCAATTAAGGTGGTCTGTCATAGAAGTTTCAGATGAATAGCAATTGACATCATCCAAATGAATGCACTGACCAGATGATGAGATGGCAACTATTGCCTCTACTGCACTCTTAAAAAGTTCATCCTGCAGGCAGTCATCTTTGCTTTGTTCTGATTGCAAAGGTAATTCACATGCCTTTTCCAGTAATTCTTCACCATGAATGACATCCTCAGGCTCCGGAACTACTGGAGCTTCCAAATCTATCCCTCCAGTCATCTTCATACTGGTGCTCAGAACAGAGGGTATAAAAGAAGCTTCATCCTCATCAACACTGGAGTTCAAGTCAATTTGATGTCTGAAACTTGATAACTTTGTATCTCCTTCCTTCTCCATGGCTGAATTCTCTGCAACAATGTCTTGGCTCACATCAGGAACAGTCACATCACAAGGTAAGTTAATATCAAGTAACTTATTTCTCCCCCTATTTTCTGCTTCACCTTCAGGTGGTTGAGTAACAGGTACATACGGGGAGGTACAAGAAGACTCATTCTTAGAAACATAATTCTTTTCAAAAATGGGATTCCCTAGAATCTTTTTATTGCGCAGGCATGCAATTGTTTCACTCCTGCCGGCATCAACATTATCGGAGAACGAAACTGACTTTACATCCTGTGTAAAAATTTGACTTAAACCATTTCCAGTCTCATTTTTATTGGTTGACTGCTTTGGAAAAGATTGAGAGAAGCTCAATTCTCCAGCATTCAAATCCCTTCCTGAACTTGTGGCCTCATTCTTACAAGCAGGCTTGGCTAGTAGCCATGGCAACCCTGGAAGATGGTCCTCATGCTTTCTTCCTCCATCTATTTGAGGACCTCCTTGCAAAACTGGCACATTAGATGAACTGTTTGATAGCACCACATTCAAATTCACATCACTTGTAGACTTCATATCAACACTATTTGAGAGGTTGTAGGGCTTAGTTGAACCATGACTGTTGAACTGCTCAGAGACCCCCTTACTATAATTACTACAGTTCAGATAATTGTAACTGACTGAAGGGAAGTGAATTGCAGGTTCTTTGGACCCTGATGAGGATCCATAATAAAAATCATTTCGATTTGGCAATTCACTTCCAAAACCCGGGTTAAGTCTAGAATTGCTACTCATGTGCCACTTCTCTCCAAAAATCCCATTGCTCTGGGGTGATATGACAGAACTCTTACTAATAGGACCGGATGAGCTCAAAAATGGGTGAGTCCAAAATGACATTGACTTCTGCCTTAAGCTACTGGAAGAATTTTCCCAAGAAGAAACCGAATGAGACAATGGCTTTACCAGATCAGAAGAAGCAAATGTATTCAAACTAGGTGCATTTGAAGTCATGATTGACTCCGGATCGCTGTTATTGGAGATTTCACAATTTCTTTCCAAAACTTCTAAAAAGTGAAGCATTCTTTCTCTTGAGAGATCTGTCTTGCTTTGATCAGCAAGCAAAAACATTGGAGGATCATGAGCTTTGTCCAAAGGAACCTGTACCTGTCGAGAAGATACAGGCAACTTCTGCGGCTGAAAACCTTGAGAAAGAGACTTTGAGTTGCTTTTACCATGCCCTACAAACCAAGATAATATTCACACGAGAATAATAAAAAATAAATTTAGAATTGCAATCTGAAGGACAGCCCAAATATCAGTTTTTCTGTCTACAAGCAAAAATAAAGACAACATCACATAATTTATTTTCTCCACTGACTACAAGCATGCTCAATCATAAAATTGGAAATATGACTGTCCATTATCATCCGTACAAGATGTGGCATAGAAACCATACTACTGCCAACAGGACAAAGCCAAAGAAGATAATACAAGACTTAATAGGTAACAAATGAAAAAAGGAATAGATTGCAAGTTCACAAGTAAGCATTACCTGCTTCAAGCACATGGGAAAAGAATCCTCTAGCATTTCCATTGTTCTCAACATGTATATTGTTTATGGACCTATTATCACTTTGTTGATGAGAATTCACAGAAATGTCTTTTGGCAAACCAAAAGGCTCTTGCTTTGGTTTAACAGAGAGTTCACGGCCTCCATGATAGGGGCCATGGCCTAGAAAGTGCAAATTTGCAGAACCATTGGTTTCTTCAATCTGAATAGGCTCATTCAAGTCAGCCAAACTATTCTTGCCCCTTAAATATGAATCAGATCTTGAAGCATCTCCTTGGCAACCAGTCTTCCCAACATCACCACGAAATAGCTTCACACCACTCTCAGGCCCAATTTTCCCACTTCCATTTGGAAGATAATTTGACATGCCAGATTTTGTATCATCCCTGAACTGTTCTGCTTCTTCAGTATCAATGTACTCGTCTGCCGGCAGTTGAAGATCAAACATTTTCTTTCTCACTTTTGTGGGTCTGCACTCTAGCACCTCAACATCCTTTGAATTACCTCCATTTTGGGACAGAAAGGAACCAACTTGGATGCTGCTTCCCTTCATGGAACTAAGGGGAGAATGACTATCTTCAACAACAGAAACCGATGGTCTACCAGAAAAAGAGTTTGCCACAGGGAAGCTGGGGATATGCTGTTTCTGAGCCTCTTCAGTTGTAATTTGTGAGGCTAACGGACTTGAGGATAATGATGGCTCAATAGGAATCCGATTTTTTTGTAATTCTTTCTTTTTGATTTCATCCATTAAGTCCCTTTGTATCCTGTACAAGCAATGAAGCTCAGACACCTGGATAGAGAGACAGAACTCAGATACTTAATTATCTACAAAACAAAATGAAGTATATAAACAAGCAACTCTCAACTTCATTGAAACATGCCAGGTGAAGGACATGTAAAACAAAATTAAATACAGGCACACAAACTGCAGAGACCTCATTACCTGATTCTTAAATATAGCCTCATGCTCAAGCATTGTTCTCTTCAATACGTCCTTATCATACCTAGGATATGCATCTATACTGGGCCTCGGGAAAAAGCTAGTGTAATACTGACCATTTGTCAAGGTTTTATCCCCATAACGAAGTGGCCAGCTACAACTGTTAGAATCCTCGTTGAGATACCTCATTGAGTAATATCCTGGCAAATAGCTTTTAGATTGCACTTTTGTTCCCATTCCTGAAATCAGTACAAGTCTAAGTAATTTAGCATATGATGAACAATCATCACTACAAGAATCTTAATAGTTAATTGCCTAAGGAAATTACTTGCAGTGCTATCCATTCACATAATTTATCAAACCAGACAAACCATAGACAATGGTTAAACATATTTATCAAAAGAGCAAATCTTTCTCTATATTCTCCAAGTATAAAAGCAATTTAAAGAAAAATGTGAGAAAATTCTCTGACAACGATGCATTTTGTTAAAAAGCCTGGAAGATATTCATTGTAACAGAAAAGGGCACCTTTGTACTGCTAGTGCAGGAATCCTACCCCACCTGAACCCCGAAACAAACAAAATAACATTAATCACAAGCAATTATGAGTCAGTTTCATGCACCAATGGAATCAAAATGAACCTCAGGTTTCCAGGACACTAAGGTGACACGAGAGCAAATACTATAACAATCATAAGTAGGCTACAAAATCCAGGGAAAGGGTGGCATCAATTATGTTAGTCGTGCCAGAGATCAACTTAATTTCTTGATTGATAAGTACTCAATAATAGCAAAGCAAGCTCAAGTTGATGAGTGGAGAACTGGAAGATGAGATGATTACAAGAGCCTGCATAAGGAAAATTCTGTCTCCACAAACTCATTGATAAATCCCTAAGCACTGGCAATATGTGAATACATGAAATACATTGTTTCAGCCAAACGGCAAATTCATAAGTAATGCCGCCAAGGAATATAGCCATTAAACCAAGGAATCATCAAACCTTTCTTTGGTAGAAAATCTCCATAGACTAAATACATTGTTTCAGCCAAACTGTAAAAGTTTTTGCTCTATCATCTATGGAAAAGTACCATAATCATAAATTCATAACTAACCACCAAAAGCAGACACGTGTAACCAACATTTAGAAGTATAAAGTAAGCTACAACATCATCAATTAATCACCAAACCCACTTCATACAAGTTGAACTTCCCAGATAAAGACAGAATTTTGCAGAAAAAGGTGCTGACAAAGAAGGAAAGCTGGGAACCCTAGGATCAAGAAAGCAAAATCCTATTCTGTTTGTTAAGGAAGGGGAAAGCAAGATGCTAAAATTAGTAAGCAAAGTTAACAGAGTAGACCCACGTAACTAATACCTAAACTAATATGAGATATTAGCAAATATTAACATCTGAACATATCATTACAAAAGCTATGATCATCCATCAAATCAAAAGTACCATCAACCCCAATCCAGAAACCACAAAAATAGAAGCTAAAAAATCCTGATTAGATGAAGCAAAAAATCAGCAAACATACAGTTAAGAATATAGGTTTAATTAACTCAATTGCGAAGTAACCATAACCCCACAATTTATCAGACTTAAAAATAAAAGAAACTTCAGCAAAAAAGAATAAATAAAACCCAATTAACCAAATCATAATATAATATATATATATATATATATATATATATAAAATCAATAAGTCAATTTACCAGAAAGTGAAAAAGAACAATTTTACCTCAGACCCACATCCTCTAATCACCTCTCCTTCAAGATTCTCCCATGGATTTTGCTTTATACTTCCCCATCATAGATAATTCACAGCTTCCAAACTTCAAAGATTAAAGCTTTACAACAACAACAACAACAAAATTACAGTAATCAATACAGCTAAAACAACCAAGTGGGTGTTTTTGTAACACCGTTAAAGGTTAGATTGTCATCAGGTTGAACCAAAAAGAAAAGCAGGAGATTTCGCTCTTCTGGGCCAAACCTTTCTGTCCCTTAAAAAAAAAAAGATACCGTTTAAGTTCTAATTTTTATTTTTGTTTCCGGAGAAAAACCTTCGCTGTGGCGTGCGTTAGAGAGAGAGAGAGAGAAAGATCCCCGATAAGCAATCTTCACACAAACAAAACGGCCTTCTAAGAACGTTGACATGAATTTTGTCAACATCTGGTCTCCTTTTATTCTCTGCTTTTCCTTCACTTCTCTCACAATTCTGTTATTTCTCAATATATATTATTTTGTTGTTTGAGTAACTATAAAGAAATGGCCTAGATTCTCTTCCTCTTTCTTGCTATTGGTACAGATATTTAACAAAATAATATAAATTCATTATTACGAATGCTTAATTTAATATTAAATTTAAAATTTAATTCAATTAATTCATATATTTATTAATAATATTCAATCAATGTGAAATTTTAATAATATTATTAAGTATTATGACTAATTTATTTATTTATAAAGGCAAGTGAAAATGCAACAAAAAGACTTTGGAAAGAAAGAACAAAATCTCCTAATCATGTAGGCAGTAGTAATTAATTAGCGTTAATTACATTGGAGATTTTCCATTTTAAACAGTGTTTAATTGGCTAATGCTGCAGAGCAGACAGGAAGTGGAGTCCTCCGATACTGTCTGAATGATGAGGTCTCTTGAGGTTTAGGACAGAGATGTGCTGGAGAGAGTTTTCAGTAATAAATGCCCCTCAAAATCAGACATAATTACGATATCATCTGTTCACTTTTTTCTTGAAGAGGCTTTTATTACAGCCGTAGTTGTGGTTGATTTTGATTGGTCCCTTCTCTGTTCACTTTTCTTTAAATAAGATTAAAGATAAAAAAAATTGTTTTGTCAATTTAATTTTTTTTTTCATCAAACACTTTAATATTTTAAATTAATACCATTAATTTTGTATTAATACTTAATAAAAGCATAACATGTAATATAAAAATCTAGTTACAGTCATATCATTTATTTTTATATTTTTTAAGAATAATTTTTGATAATATAACAATAATTAATGTAACGATAATTAAATTTTTATTATATATATTATAATTCTATTAAATATTTATATCACGTAAGTTATTTAACTGATAGTAACATTGTAAGGAATTAAAGTTTTTTTTTACAGTTATAGGTGTGGTTGATTTTGATTGGTTGATCCTTTATTATTTTTTGTTTAAAAAAAATAATAGAATAGTTGAAAGGAAGAAAAGAAAAAGAAGTGAGAAAGTGATGAATAAAATCTGAAAAAAAAAATTGAGTTATTCAGATTTGTTTACATAAAAAAAAAGGGCCTATGAGAAAAAGGAATTAAAGCTAAACACTTTGGGCCTCTGAGTTTGCTTTTTAGCTACATTATTATAACAAACACTGCTTCTTCCCAAAGGTAACAACCCCAAAAATCCATCAAAAAATAAAGGAAGAATGAAGTAAAGGGGAATTAAAGCCTTGATTGGCTAAAAAAATTGCTCATATAAATAAGGGATAAGAGTTTAATCTTAAGAAATGAGAGATTCTGGATTACCCTTTTTTGCAAATGAGATATTATATTTAATAATGCCAGCACAATAACTATTATAAAATAATACGTGATGTATTTTAATTTCTCTTATACATATAAAATTTAAAAAATTTTATCGATATATAAAATAATATGATCATACATAAGGTTTGGCGATACGAAAGCATACTTATTTATACATACATAGAAGAGAAATTAAGAAATTTGATTTGTGGCATGCATGTTCAAAAGATAGATGAAAACAACAATAGATGTTATAAATTCATAATTTTTTTTTTTAGATTTAAAGATTAACATCATGTAAATATGATTCGATTAATCGAAGTATCGATTTCATTACTTTATTAAGTATGAGATCATATCTGATTTAGGGCTTTTTGATCTCTAAAAGAAATTTATGATAATAGTATAACAAAATCAATCTTCCTTTTAAGTTTCTTATGGCATTTAGATAACTATTACTTAACTAGCCTCACTCTGATCAGCCTTTTTTAAATATGTACATACATACATATATATATTTTTAATACGAGATTATACAGATATTTACAAATAAATTAAAATTCCATGAAAATGCAAATTAATCACTTTGTTTTGGCCTTAAATGATTGGTGGCCAAACCTTTTTTTTCTTTTAAAACCATGGCTTTTCACATTAGTTTATGATCCATAATTAAATTCTATTTTACTTTTTATCACCTGAGTTAAGCTCTACTTATTATTTTTATTAATATAAAATTATAATTGTGAACTTTATATACTATAATTTTAAAATTATTTTAATAAATTATAGACATAAAAAATGTAAATAATGTTATAAATTTATAAATAATTTTACATAAATAAATTTATATAAATTAATCTAAACATATATCATATATACGGAACAAAACTTAAAAACTTTTTATAGCTTAAAAAAAAAAAAAGCAATTACAGCATGCCATGGCATTGATAGAGGGACATAGAAGTAATTTTAACATTTCAAACCTAAATTAGTAAATTCAACATGGAGATCCCAATATTGGCCGTACACTTTTTTTGTTTTTGGGCTTAGCAAATCAAAGCCTTGCGGCGACACCAACTCTCAAAAGTCAAATCCCTATGGCGATCGTGTCCACGAGTGTTGGGCTGCCAAAAACCAGAAAGAAGCTTTAACTCGCACTTAGGTTAATAACGAATCAAATCGAAATTAATTTTTATTCATTATAAATTTGATTTAATTTTATATTTATTAAATTTAAATTTAATTAAATTTAAAAATTTTTTAATTTTTTTATATTCGAATTCGATTTGATTTAATATTATATAAATCGTACATGACTCGATTTGATTCAAAATTAATAAAATATTATTTTTAAATATAAATATTTAAATATATATAAATAATTAATTAAAAAAATAATTTTTATATGATATCTGGTCGAGTCGTATTTGTCTAAAACTTTAACCTGACCCAGCCCTAATTTTTTTTTTTTAACATTATCCAACTTGACCCGAAATCCAATTTAAAAAAAAAAATCGATTTTATGAGATTGGATCGAGTCGAAATTCATCGGAAACGAATTGGGTTACCAATCCTACTCATACCCTCTCGTTTTCCCTAAAATAATGAAACTACCCTTTTCCATTATTCATGCAACGAAATTACTCTGATTCAATTTTAATCAGATGAATTTATATTTGATTTTTTTTTATAATATATAATATTATGAAAATTTTAAATTCGATTCGAATTCAAATTGATTTTTTTAAAATTGTTTTGATTTCAATAAAATTTTTTTGATTCGGTTCATTAATTTTTAAAATTTATTATTTATTATTTTTTATATATTATTTTTATAAGATTTGTAATATATTTAAATATATTTACATATAACATAATTATTTTTATTTTATAAAATTTTAAAATATATAAAAACTAATAAAAAGAAATAATTTTATTCAATTTTTCATATTTCAAATTAAAATTAGATCTAAATTTAATATATATATATATATATTTAATATCTAAACTTAATTTGAATAAAATAATAAAAAATTGGCCTATACTCAATCAAATATTATAATTTTAAATCAATTTTTAGTTTTTTCAATTTTTTTCTCACAGCTAATGGTCTCCAACGTTAAAGTGCAACTAAATTTTCATGAACTCCAAGGAAACGAGGGAGGAGCAAAGAGAGCATCTTTGCTCTACCCAATGGCTTTTTCGAGAAAGTAACTCAAAAATTATGTCCCCGCAGTCTTAGAAATTAACCAGATTTGTATTTTTTAAGCTCACATTTTTCTCAGATTCTATCCTTCTCATTGCAAAAGCTAACGTCCAGACACAAGCAAACACTTCCAAACACTTGCTGTCACTTTGCTGGCTTTTTTCTATATTTAATTTTTTCTTAGTACGATAAAACTCAATTTATATGATTCCTATTGTGATTATTAAACTCTTAGTATTATGTAACTTTCAAATTAGGCAGTATTAAACTTGAATTTAGTTTTGGAAGTAGTTGGAAAATAAAGAATTTGTTCTTTGTAATTGAAGTATAACTACTATAAATTTCGAAAAATTGCTATAGAAAGCTTTGTGCATTAATGGAGATAATTATTTCTGACAGTTGCTCGCATTCTTTACATACAGGTTTTTGAAGAAGCAAAGGGTGGATGAGAGTGAGAGCTCCTGACCCTAATTCGACAAGATAATAGCATAATATTTAGCCTTTTGGAGAGAACTAAATATTGTTACCATACACGTATAGTGAAGATGCATTAATTCTCCATGGATGGATTTCATGGCCAGGGAAACTGAAAAGCTCCATGCTCAGGTTGTGTTATTTCTATGGAGAAAACGTTAGGTAAACAGAAGAAATCATGAGAGGAATGTTCTGATGGTTTTTCTTTGCAGATAGGTGAGCAGATCAACCATTAATACTTCCACCTATGCAATACACACAGGTAAGGCTGTGTTACTGGACATGTCCATTAACCTTTGGCCATTTCTTCTGATTGATGCTACTAGGTTTTGTATCACTTTGCTGGTTCAATTAAACGTAAACAATAAGGCTTGGAATGTGTATTTTGGACAGCTTCTACCGAGACTGATGGAAGCTGGAGATGATGGTAATTGTGGGTTTACTGCTATTTGCGATACAATTTGGTTGCCGGTATGCCTTTAACTGGTCTGTTCATCATTTGATTGCTGCCAGCTCTTACCTGAATTTAAATTGAGAATCATAGATATAATGAGAATATGGGATGTTTTCAGAAAGAATGCACTACGGTAAATTTCTAGCAAAGGCAAATTTCGATGACCCTATGTAGGGTAGACTTGTTCAAAAGGTTGGTTATCTATTCAAATTCGAAGTTCTGTCTAAATTTTAAAAAGATTTAGACTAAAAATTAAAATTCGTTAAATAAATTTAAACATAATTTTTAGATCAATTTAAATTTCGGATCAAATCATGGACAAAAGAATTAGAACGCAAACCTAACCTAGTTTAGTTTGAATAAAATATATAAAATTAAAATATTATAATTAGATAAGTATATATATATATATATATGAAATTTTATTTTTATATTTTATTTAAAAAAAAGGTTTTAAAAATTTTTTTATTATATAAATTAAGTTTAATAAGTGAATTTGTAATTTTTTTATTTGAGTTAAATTTAAAAATTTTGAAATTAAAAATATTAAATCGAACTAAATTTAAATAATTATATAAATATTAATATCAAATATTTGGCCGACCCGATTCATCCCATGAACATCTCAACTGCAACTTATGAGCATGCCACTAGAACCAAAGTAAACTTCCATTCACATTTCCCCCACTTCATCCTTTTTGTTTGGGCTAGCTACTTCGTATTTGCCATTAAGAAATTTCCTCTTGCCTTCGAAATGTGCATCTAACAGGACAGGTCTAGAGTTGCTGACATATGAAACAGTGGAAGCAGAAGGAAAAAGAGTGTGGGTGTCAAGAGCTAAAGGCCTCGTGATGCAGCAGGTCCAAATCCTGTATGCAAAATCAAGCCGAGTTTAGTTGCCGGCAATTGGATCATGCCCTTAACAAAGGAAATTCAGGTTGAATACTTGTTGCCAAGGTTTCACTGAAGCGAACATCACCATTTTTAGCTTCCTTCACCACATACCAGGGAGAGGGAGAGAAACCACAGTGTCTTTCTCAGGAAATGTCCAGTGGTAATGCTCTTCGTCAAGCAGGAAAAGGGCTCGAATCCGATAACTCTTCCCTCTCACGTGATTATCAAGCAGCATGGCAAGCTTCAAGCTTGTATTAGATCCACATTCAGTTCAGCAAGGACAGCTTCTCTTTTGTAGATTCTTATATTTGTTGGATTATTATTAGGGATGACAGTGGATCGGATTAGAATAAATTTTTATTTGTCTTGAATTCTATCAAATTTTATATATATAAAATTTAAATCCATTTAATTCGATTTTTTTAAATTTTTTTCATATTCGATCCTCCTGATTGAATTTGGTATTAAGTAAAATTATATTTAATTTGATTTAAATTTAATAAAATATTATATTTTAAAATATAAAAAATTACTTTTAATATAAATATAAAAATAAATATATATATAATTTTTATTATTACACGATTCGATGAAAACTTTTTAAATTTAGATTGGATTGTCTTCCCAAATTATTAAAGTATAATGGTGTCATTGTCAACTTTTGAGCTGGAAAATTAATAAAACTTGATCCCACCGTGTGAGATTGATTGCATCTTTTAATCATCACTATCATTATATTATAATATTAGAGTGTTATTGTTCAGCATTTTAAATTTAGAAGGATTAAAATTAAAATTTTTATTTTATATTTAAAATATATATTGAACAAATATAAAGTTAGAACTCTAACATGAAGTAATTTCATGTAACTTTAATTTTATTTATCAAATAAATCCATTTAACAAAATTCTTTTAATAAAATAAATTATAAGTAATTTAAAAAAAAAAAAAAAAACATTAGACTTGCATTGGAGCCAAATGAGATGACAGTCCACACTCAAATACCTTACCAACTAGCAGAAAATCCGGAAAAAAACGACAGATTAGCGCTCTCACTGTCATCTCATAATTACAGAAACACCCTTCACAAAATGTTAATCTCGAGAATCCCATCTTACAAGGCAGCCGCTTTTTTTCTTCTTCTTCACAGTAAAGCCAGAGGGTGGATATTTGTCTCTAGCTTTTCTGCTTTTGGGATTTGTCCTGTGCTTTTGTTCACAACTCTTTAACTCACTCAAAAGAGGAAAGCTTTACTCTTTATTTAGAGAGAGGGAGGAAATGGAGAAAGCATTAACAAAAGTTGGAAGCTTGAAAGTTGGTGGGTTATGGATCTCAAAAAAAGCCAAGGAAGAGTTCTCTAACATTACTGAAGACTTCACTGTAAGTTTTTGTTTTTGCTTTGTCTTGAACATTGTGTTAGTGTTTTTGGTTCATGGATTGTGTAATGTGGGCGGATATCAGGATACCCTTTTGATAGTTTTGTGTCGGTGGTTCGGAATTGCTGGTGAAATGTGAGATCTTGTGGTTTCTTTTTGTAAGGAAAAAAAGTGATTTCAGATATGGGGTGATGAAATAAATGAAAACAGATTTGAAAAAATGTATTATTAGGTGAAAATGTGAAGCTAGAGACCAAAATATTTGACCATTGCTATAGTTGGGTTGCTTTTTTTTTTTGTGTTAAACTCTGTTGACAAATATTTCTTCATTTCAGATGATAAAGATTGCATTTTGTCTTAGATGTGATTTGATTTTGGTTTTGCATAATTTCTAGTTTGGGGCCATGAGGGTATTGGTCTTGGGGTAGGATTCCCCCGCTGCCAAATTTTCCCATAAGTTTGCCTGTTACATGTGGTATCATTTCAAACTGACTCTAGACTTTTAGGACAAAGGCCAGTTTATTATTGAATGTTGTTAAACATGTTGATTTCTAGATATCAAGAACCATAATAACTTCTGATGTTAAAATTAGTGTATCTTATCAGTAAATAGTTGGGAAAAGGCATCTCTGATTTGAACTTTTGAAGATTCATTGAAGGTTTTATGCAACATATGTTTATCAAATGAATGAATTGAACATTTTGAGTTCGAAGCGACTTTCTTCAAAATCATTTCCTCATAATGTGTCAAGAAAAGAAGATTAGTACTAACATCAACATTGAAGTGTGCTTGCCGATGCATTATGCATATATAAAGTTTATGCTCCTTTATCTTACTGATTCTCTGAAGCATTGCTTACTGCAGGCTTTCTCAAATACTGTTGAAGAGAAGGCAAAATGGATTTTCAACAAACTGAAAGGTCAGAAGCATAGACAGCATAGCAATTTATCGTATATCATCAATCTCTGGATAAGGAATATAAAGAAGATATCTAGTGTGACAGTCAACTATCAAATAATTGCTTACAATTGACCACCCTGTTTGAACGTATCAATATTTCATCATTCATGTGATGTTCGATCTGTGGTTAAAATCCTCCTCTGTCATGCCTCATCTTCTTTTTTTCCAAGTAGTTTTTCTTTCTTTTGTTTGTTGTGTTATGCATGACTTGATTGTGCTTGCTTTCTTGAATACAATGACAATGCAATAAAGTAACTTCTCATAGATTTCTCCATCATATGATATGCATTTACGGGTCTTGGGCAGATTAATTCTTTTCAGAAGAATCATTATGTTTTAGAATTCATAAGTTCTTACCTATATGTTTTTATTCCTCCTATAGGAAAGCCAACGAAAAGTTTGCCAGATCTCCTTCGCGATTACAATTTACCACCAGGCCTTTTTCCCCAGAATGTTGTTTGTTATGAATTTGATGAATCAAAGGCCAAGCTGATTGTGTACTTGTCCTCTCCATGCGAGATCAGCTTCAAGGATTCCTCTGTTATAAGGTATGCAACCCGCGTGAAAGCGATTCTCCTTAGGGGAAAGCTCACAGGTATTGAGGGAATGAAGACAAAGGTCCTAGTTTGGGTTAAAGTCACAAGTGTAGCAGTTGAAACCTATAAGTCCGACAAGGTGTGGTTTACTGCAGGAGTTAAGAAATCAAGGCCTAAGGATGCTTATGAAGCACCCCGGGATGCTGTCAGAGTCGAGGAATTTTGAGCACTGAATATTCATCACTGCTTTTTTCTTGGGATAGAGGGCATAATTACTGCTAGTTTTGATACTGACAGGATTTCAATCCTGATCACTAGAACTAAAAATCCAGTATTCTATCAATAGATCACATAGCTGTTGACTAATTATTGTTAGTTATTTTCCACCTTTATTTGACAAGATAAATTGCATTACTACTCTGAAATCCGGGTTATCGATCCGATAATCAGTTTATAACGCAGCCTTAATTTATCCCCAGGTCTTTAAATTTATTTCTTAAAAATATCAACAGGATTACAGGACAATGCGGCTCTGTTTTGAGATAAATCAATCAATAAGCTTTAAGAGGTTCAAAAGGAAGAAATTTAAGTTTTCAAAAAGGCTGATGCACTTTGGGTTTTAGTATGAACGATGAAGAAGCATCGTGTGAAGCAGGTGACACCTTTGTTATGTCTAATTACTCAAATTTGTTGACTCCTTTGTAATTTTGGAGCTGGATGTCCAATTCGGAAATTAGTAGATTGGAGTTGAATTAAGATCAAAATTCAAGGACTTGAATGAAATTTACCAAAGAAATAAAAGTCAGATGAGATGTGCATGTCGGATCTCAAGAGGGGTAATTTAGACTTTTGAGGAATCCAAAAGAATGGATAGTTTCGTAAATTCACTATTAATTTAAATTTACCAGAAAGCGGGAATTTTCGAAATTCAGCCTTCTTTTTTCAGTCTTAAACTTCTTCCCTCCGGGCTCCATGTTTGGGTTTCCTTCCCCAAATTAGGGTTTCTCTTGTTCTACCGAATAAGCTGTGATGAACTTTAGAAACTTTCACTTGCTTTTATGAATTGAACTCTCTTTCAAAACATTTGAGATGAACGGATCTTGTTTGGAATTCAATAACCCGATCCGGGACGCGATTTCTAGGATCCGATTCGCGCCGCTGTCCAACAACCTCCTCGTTTCTTCTTGGGACTCCGTTAGTTATAATCTTCTCAGATGGTCTTTTTCATTCTATTTTTGTTTTGAATTGCGATTAATCGCAGCTGGTTTTGATCTTCCCGTGCAGATTCTTCGATTCTACGATGTGGAGTGTTCTCGGCTCAGATTAGAAGCTCCGTCCGAGGCTGCGCTTCTCGACTGTTGTTTCCAGGAGGAATCTGTCGCATTCAGCGCTGGATCTGATGGCTCTATCACAAGGTTTTTCCTTTTAGTTGCTTGAGTGAATTCGAAATCCGATTCAAGCTTTTACTTAATTGTTTTCTTCTTTGATTGTAGTTTTCTACTACTAAGTTGAATGAGCACAACGGAGCTTCTTTAAATATGGAAAACCATTTTTATTGTGATAGCATTGCACTTTGGTGTAATAGTTGTGATAGGCAAGCAATTTGTGTTGATTACTTTTGGAAATTTTTTCTAGGTATGACTTGCATTCAGGAATCAGCAATAGAATCGGAAATCATGATGAAATAGCAACATGTGTAGAATATTCTAATGAAACACGTAAGTTATTCACCTTATTTCCACTGTCATTTTTATTGTTTTTGAGTTTGTGTTTGCTACTTCAGATTTTTGTGTCAATATCTTACTTTAGATACTGGGATAAAACACGGCAACTATATTACAATAATCATAGCTGGAAATAAAAAAATTTTGCATTTATGGAACTTTCTCTTATTTTTATGTCCTGCAGCTAATCTTTTTGCAGTTTCAATCAGCTAATCCATCTGCTTTGTGCTATAGATGCCTGATTGTTACTTATACTATGTACCTCTGAGGCCATAGTCTGAACAAGTAATGATGGTTACATTTTGTAATTGAATTTGGTTGCCATTCATCTAGCTAAGAAACTATATGTCGTGCCCTTTTCTTAACCTTCTGCAAACCTTTTAACATATGTGTAGAAGTAATTTCAACTAAGGGCAGTTTGTAATTTGAACCTCTCTGTTATCCTTTGAAGCTCATAACAGTTTAAAAGAAAGAAAGCATCCTAGCCTATGCATCAAGTTTTCTAAAACCTAAGTACTAACAAAACTACTATCCTGACAGAAGGTGGTGAACAACTGAGTTTTGGTTTTTTTGTTGTTTACATAAACTGGCGTTTTAACAGGGCTATGATAAAGAAGTTTTAGCTGAGAAATAATTTGGTCTTCAGAACAAAAGGCTTTTCAGAGTCCTGCTATAGTTTTTATTACATATACCTCATAAATATGCATCTATGTTTGTAAAGAATGTTAATAGTACTATTCTCAGAAGCTCTTTGTGAGTTTATGGTTTCACATGACTGCACAATGTTTTGTAGTCTATTGGAGGCCATGAAGACTGTTCAAATTGCAAGATATATTCTGATGAACATCCAAAAAGCCCTTTATACAACCTTAGATCTATCATTCACATGTTCCTATTTAGTTCTAGTAGAAGTTAAACTCTATTCTTTTATTTCAGGTCAAGTGATTACTGCAGGTTTTGATAAGAAGATCATAGCTTGGGACATGTGTGGAGCAAAACCCCTTGCATTCTTCGGAAATCTAGGTGCAGAAGTGGAGTCCATGTCAATCTCTGGATTTGAATTAACAGTAGCTGCTGGATCATCAGTAGATATTTATGACTTGCGTAACTTAGACAAATCAGTTGAATCAAATGAATCTTGTATGGGTGTTCCAATACGATGTGTCTGCTCAATTCCTTTTCCAAAGGTATTATTTCTTGACTTTGTTAGCTCTACCTGTTAGATTTTAAGCATGAATGAATGTGATAGATTTTAAGCAAGCAGTGAATTTCACATGAATGAATCTGATTGATTTTAAGCACAGCCTTCTGTCAGAATTTTGTAAACTTCAAAATACCAACTTTTTGATATGGCTTTCAACTTTCTTAATAATGCCCTTAAAGAAGATTACATGTCCATGCAGGATATGCAGTTGGATCAGTAGATGGACGAGTAAAATTAGAGATCTCATATCTGTCCAGTTCAAACAACATGGGGTCAGTTTTGAAAATTGTATAATTTTAGATCATTGTAGCAGTCGAGCATTGAAAAACGTGGTCTGCATCAACTAATAAATTCATTTCATTTATACATCTTAAAACACTTAATCTTTAAATTTCCTCTAGACCTAAACAGAAAAGAATATTGTTCAAAAGCCTTTTATCCTTTGGCATAAGTATGAAAAAAAAAAAATCCAGAAAATGGCTTATTTGACACATTACCTTATACATCTCTTACTTGCAGGTATAGCTTCCGATGTCATCCAAAATCAAGAGATAGAAGAAACCATTTAGTACCGGTGAATGACATTGCATTCAACCCATTGTATGTGTTCTTCAATCAGTAGCCTCTCATAGATTATGGAAATTGTTGCATATTGGCATTTATATGGTACTTTTGTTTTAGAATCTCAGGTGCTTTTGTTACGGGTGATAATGAGGGTTATGTCACTGGATGGGATGCTAAAAGTAGAAGAAGACTCTTTGAGGTAATCTTATGCGTTTCTTTTTCCTTCTTGTGCTGTTACTTGTGATAAGCACATCTTATGATTCCTCAGTCTATTAAATCAGTGGTTTTAGTTTGGGATGATATTCTTATTTAACTGATGGTTGATAGCATAGCACATTTCAGAAAAAAAAAACAGAATATTTTCTGAATCTTTGAGGCAAAAAGGCACATGCCAGATAGCTAGTGTTAAAGAATGCAAGTAGATGATAGTAAGTAATAATTCCCAGAAAATTATGATGTTGACTTTATTTGTATTATTAATTTTTCATGCTAATATTTTGGTCCAACTGCTTTTTTTCCTTAAGGAAAAAAGAAAAGAAAGGAATGTTTATTGCTATAATAGTGGTAGTACTAAATCGATTTGCTTCGCTGGGTTGAAATCATTTAGATATTTTACGACTGAATGACTTTCACTGCAACACTCTATTTCAAAAGTTCAAGAGCGTCGCGAGTACATTCTGGGCTCTGGCTTTCTCCTACCTCCATACATGGTCCACAACTTTTTCCAGTAGAAAAATGTTTGTTTGCCAGCTTAATTGTTTCTCTATTCAGTTAACATCTTTTCCCTGTTTTTCCTTACTTATAGTTGCCTAGATGCTCAAACAGTGTTGCATCCTTAACATACAACCATGAAGGACAAATTTTGGCTGTTGCATCAAGCTATACTTACCAAGAGGCAACTGAAATGTCAGTTATTCTTCCATTTCTTGTGCTTCTATCTTCTATCTTTTTCATGCTGTTTGTTTGTTATCATATTCTAAGCAGGTGTCTTTTATATTGCTTGAAGAATTAAAATATTTTGCTTGTATATATGAAGAGATGATGCACTTGCGGGGGCAATATGTGAGTTGTAGAGGACCATAAGCTTTGTTTACTTTAGAGGATAGCAAAGGGACCATAATAAATAGGATATAGAAAAGAAGTGTGAGTCACTGAGAGATTATGGTGCAATAAGAGTTTGACTCTTGCTGCTTATATCTTCCACTTCTGCTTGGTGTCTTGTTCTTGAAAGGAAGGCTTATTGCCATGTTAACAATCTTCGCAGGCTGCATGACCTTCCACAATCTGCCTACCGCATGAGTTCATTAATTGGTGCTAAACATGCTTTTGTCCATAGATTCCAGCAGTTAAGAGTCCTATAAGATATGCTGCCAGCCTGCCACTGATACCATGTTTCTGGACAGCTACGATTTAATTGCATACTTTTCTAATTTGTTTGGTCTTTCTATGCCTTCTTGTCAGTTGTCATTCCAAATCTTTCCTCTGATTTGATCTTGATTTGGTGCTGTCACTTGATTTCTTTAAACCTTGGACCATCTCAAATTTATGGCCCATTGTCTTATCTTTGCTTGATTTGATTTTTTTCTCTGTTCATTTATCTGAACTTCTTATCTACCAATCATTTTCTGAATTGCATTATCTTGGTTGGCCCATTTTCTATTTTTCCATCAAGCTTTACAGAGTCTGTCACATCTCACAGTCACCTGGTTTGATAACAATAATTTTGAAAACCAAGAGGTAGTGGCTCTGTTCAAGAGTTATTAATTTGTCATCCGCAATTTGCCTGTAACAGAGAAAAGCCCCCTCAGATATCTGTGTATAAAATGGATGACAACTACATCAAATCACTTTCTGCTGGAAATTCAAGTCGGCAATGACTGAACAGACATGCTTGGCAATCACAGAAATGATCCACATCTACACAATCTTGTATGTACAACTTTCTTCTATCGCATATTCTGAAGATGCTACACAATCTTGTTTGTTGTGTAACTTATGTATTATGCCTTGTAACTGTAATGTTTTGTACCACTTTCATGCCTTGTTACTTTGTTGAACTTCTATCTATGCCTGGGGTGTTCATTTGTTCGGTTTGATAATTTTCAATTAAATTATTTAAAATTACATTAATTAAATTAAATTATTTTATTGTTGTTAACCAAAATATATTTATTAATTTTAAAAATTAATTGACAGTTAACTTTTTCAATTAATTAAATAATAAATATATTTAAATTAAATTATATTTTAAATCGATTAAATAAAATTATTTAATAAAATATTCAAATATTAAAATATAAAAAATCCATTTTATGTATTTTTTATTTTTTATTTGAATTTTATTATATTTCATTAAAATTTTGATTAATTCAATTTTTGAATTAAATTAATCAAAATTAAAATTTTGTAAAATTATTTTTATTAATCATTCAAAATTAATTTAATAATTAATTAATTAATTAATTTTAATCAATTAATTTGATTAAAATCAAAATATGAATGTTCTTATTTATACCTGGTGCTGTAAGGGTGGAATTGCTAAAGGCTTTTTGTCCTATCGTTTTCTATTTTCTTTTGCCAAAATCATTAGAAGCATATTGAAATAAACAAAGAAAAACAAAATTCAAGAACCAAAGATTTCAAGGTTGATTTTATTTTTATAAGAAACGTGTCATTTCTCTCGTTTGCTCTTTTGTGGATCAAACATCTCAAGTAGACAAGCTGAGTATAAAATTTCTTTGGCTTTGGATTATTCATTTGTCAATACATACAGATACTATTTTTTTTTAAGACAAAATTAAAATCAATTTTATTACTAAAAAGAATGAAAAAGTGAAAGAAATCACTAAATGAAATTATTCAATTGTTTTAAACGATAGAAAGCAAATAATAAAAATGATAAATAAATATTAAAAATAATATTAATAAATCTGCTTCTTAATATAAAATCAAAATAATATATGAACATGAGTATAAATGTGTAAAATATTTTATGAATGGTTTATGAATATTATTTTTTTATTAAATTTAATATGTAATCACCAAATAATATTATAAAATTTGTTAAATAAATTAATAAATCATAAATATAATAAAATTTATTTATATTTGAAGATTTAAGTGAATAGAGTAATAATAGTAAATAAATTTAATTTTTGTTTGTTTATTAAATTAATAAATAATTCTAAATAATATTTTAAAATTTACTAATAAAACAATTAATACAACAAAATTCGCTTATACTAAATTTGTTTACAACTTTGCATATCAATTTTTTTTGTAATATAATTTTTATTTCAAAAAAATTAAAATTTTATCATATATTTTATTGATTAATATACTTTTAAAAATACGTGTCACTTAATTAAATTTGCATGCTGAGTTGATGCTAAAATATTCAATTGATGTGATAGTGGGCCCACAGCAGCCACGTGTAAACATCTCAAGCTCAGCTTCCGTTACACGCAAACGTCAAAGTTAATTTCCAATCCCATCCCGGCCCCACATCGCCAATGATCCAACGGCCCAAACCCATCCACGTACTTGACCCAATTTCCCACATTTGAAAAATAATAATAATAATAAAACCCCTACATTCCATAAATTTCCACCGCCATATAAGCATTCCAGAATCATTCGTCTCTTTTTCACTTTCACTTCTTTTCCTCTCTTCTTTTGCTCATTTCAACTTTCCCATTCGAAGCTCTGATCCTTGTCTCTATCTTTCCCCTAAGCCCTGAAATTTCTTTTAGCGTCGCCATGTCGGACGAGGAGCACCACTTCGAGTCGAAGGCTGACGCCGGAGCTTCGAAGACTTATCCACAGCAGGCCGGCACCATCCGGAAGAACGGTTACATTGTCATCAAAGGCCGTCCTTGCAAGGTTAGGGTTTCCTCTTCTCTGATCTACAACTTTTTTTTTAATCTTTCAACTATTTGTGTTTATGATCTGAAAATTTATTTTATTTTAGGTCACCAGAATTTTGTCTATTTATCAAAGTTTTTAGATATAATTCTTAGATCTTCGAAATCGTTTGGCGAGTGAGGATAATTCCTTATTAAGAAAGAAAGATTTAATCTTTGATCCTTTTTTGTTTATCTTGTTCAAACGTTTCTACAGGTTGTGGAAGTTTCAACTTCCAAGACAGGCAAGCACGGTCACGCGAAATGTCACTTTGTTGGAATTGATATCTTCACAGCCAAAAAGCTCGAAGATATCGTTCCCTCCTCTCACAATTGTGATGTATGTTTCGCTCTACCTTGTCTTAGTCTACTGCCGTGATTATTGGTTTTGTTGTAGTGTTCGGAGAATTATGGTGTTGTTTGTTCCTGTTACAGGTTCCTCATGTCAACCGTACTGATTACCAGCTGATTGATATCTCCGAGGATGGGTTTGTAAGATCATGCTTTTGTCTTTGTTGATTGGTTTTTGGATTTTTGTGGCTTTAGTCTATGTTTTGATTATAATACTTGTTAATTGATTAGGTGAGTCTGCTAACTGAGAATGGTAACACTAAGGATGATCTTAGGCTTCCAACCGATGATAATCTGCTTACGCAGGTTAGTATTCATGTTAGATGGTATCTGATTTCTATCTTTTTACTATCGTGAAATGGGTAAATTCCTCACAAGTTTATTTGGATTGTGAAAGCTGGTGGTTCTGTATGACTGATGTCTATGTCCAAGTTTTATCCTGTTGTCTCTTCAATTGGTTTAAAAGATGAGCGTTTTCTTTGGTCTATGCAGATCAAGGATGGATTCGCGGAGGGGAAGGATCTGGTCGTGACTGTCATGTCTGCAATGGGAGAGGAGCAGATATGTGCTCTGAAGGACATTGGCCCCAAATAAATATGCCCCGGGCGTCCTTGAGAATGCACATAGCTCAAGTCCTTGAAATTCTAATGAAACAGATAAATACTAGCTTTTACTTTTTACCGAGGGGTTCTATGTGGGTTTGGATGGTGGGAGTTATGTTTCAGGAACATCTTGTTAAAGAAGTGGCCTCCAGCTATAAATATGATTTCGCCACTATCAATTATCCTTCTATGAGCAATATTTTTGTTATATTGTTCAGTGACTGTCTAATACACGAATTGATTCTGTTTCCCTATTTCTTGTTTTCATTGTGTTGAAATCTATGGGTTTGGAAAATCCGTTGAGTATGATCCTGTCAAAGAATGCTTAAGCAAAGGGGATGACGGAATGGATGCATGGTGAATTGCTTTGATGCAGCAAACTAACCCAGCAAATGCAGGACGCGGAATGATCGTGCCATAGCCGTGGAATTGGAAACTTGGAACGTTAAGGGGAGAAATTTTGACTAGTACGAGGTGAAAATGATGTTTCTTAGTCCCAATCCAATGCATTGGATTACATGATTCTTTACGGTCAAATATTTCCTATAAGTCAGGTGCATTGTATCAGCCATATGCCCCAATTCCTGGAAAAGTCGAATAGAATGCTCTCAACAAATTGTATACCTATCTTGAAAACCGGATGATCGTCCCAAGCCAGTCGTCTGGTACGTTACGTCTCAGTTCCCCACTCAACGCTCTCAATGAGTGGCTTGTGGCCGCCTGAAAGTTTGCAAAAACGTTGAAGCCAATGAACCAAAGAAATCCATTCTTAAAATACAGAAAAGCATTGAGAGGGACTTGACCTTTACCTTGACTATATAAACGTCAATTCCTAGCTTTGCAATCAGTGCAGCTTCAGATATTTTGGTAGCCATTCCCCCAGTTGTATCATGGCCTGCTACAGTTATCTCAACTGTTTGACAAATCAAAATTTTCAGTCTAGTGTGCAGTCTCGAACGATAATGCATAACTAGAAAAGCTCTTTAAACAAGTAATTATTTGATGTCATTACCTTGCTTATTCATGCTTTCAAGAGTTGGGTTCACAACAGACCACTTCCCATCTTCATCCACGGCTGATATTAGACATGAATATTGTCATGCCCATCGAGATTTATATATGTCAGATCTGCAGTTAATAGCAAGTGCTCACCGATTTCTCTCAAAAGAACTGCATTCGGATCGGTTGGTGGACGGTCATATACACCCAAAACATCAGTCTTAACTCACATTAATTGGAAAACATGCATGGAAGAACAACGTTTAACATCCATCATGCAGTGTCAATAAACCAATTTTAAGAGGAGAAAAAGGCATCAATCGAATTCACTCCATGGCTGAAGGATACAAGAAAGACGACATATTCAGGCCTCAGGTGCTCTGCCAGATGACGAATTATAACATCTCCACTCAAAATGGTGCATCCCTGATTAAACAAAAAATTAGACAGGTTGAATATGAGAATAACAAAATGATGTTTGATATGTTTAGAGAGATCATACCAGAAGCTCATCAAGTACTGCATCTCCATGTAAAACCTATAAAGCATGTAACAGATTAACACCATATTAGACAATTTATAGGAACGCTTAACAAGGTTATGGTCTAATAGATGCTGCTTTGTTATCAAGCTGAAGTCCATATAGGACCTACACACTAATATATCACCTAATCTGTTGTAACTCCAGCTAAATATATGATTATGCTGAAATTTGTTCCGTGAAAGGGGTTAGTGGCAGATCAAACACAAGTAACACGTTCCTAGCTATGAAATATCATAGCAGCATACATTTTATTTTCAAATGTCACAGCATTTGACTTAGTGAAAGCAAGATTTCTTCATTTTTGTTTACTATATTGCATTTATAATCCTTGTTTTGCAACTATTAAGATTTAATTTACCCCAGTGAATCCCATAGAGTTTACGATATCCTAGAGCAGTAGGTTATTTTGGAAAAGGATTAATGGAACAAGGGGATCTTAAAGCATTGCAACAATCCATTTTTTAATCTAAATTATAAGGGGGTGGTGGTGGGGAGGTAGAGGAAGGAAATTGACAATTGATTATGTGTGCAAACCGTTTATACTTTCTCCTCATCTTCTTAGAAGAAAATCCTTTTACCATGTCAGAGGATGCACTTTCAGTCAAAACATTGTCATTTGCAATTCTGTAATGTCTACACAACATTCTATGGGGAAAAAAAATTCATGCATATGCTTGCATCCGTACAAAACTGATTTATCCACAAAATTGCAATTAAAATGAAATACATATAAGCTTAAAATACCCTTATGCTTTCATTTAAATGAAAATACCATTAACAAGTAGTAGATTTCAAACAAACTTACAGGGATAAAGCCTGAGTCTATTGCTTTGGCCACCCCTGACAAATCAGCAGAAGCTACCTGAGGAAACATACAGGTCAACAGAAATTGGCTCCATAATTGATTCTGATTTATAATCTAACAAATAAATCTTTATAGATGCTTCTAACATTTCGTTCAGAGGTTGACCATCCACATGTATATGGAGGCATGCCGATAGAAGGAATACCCTCTGCAAGAAAAGCACAAACTTTGTTTACTGACATGTTGCATGTTCAGAGAAAAAGAGTGCAGAAAGATGACATTGGAAAAGCAGATAACTGCAAGTATTCAATGAAAGAAAATTCAGCTCACCAAAGCAGATCCCTAGTTTGTTAAGGTGACAAGGAATATGTATGTAGAGATGATTAACAAGGTTAAGCTTAATTTGAAGCAGCAACATGCAACATAAACAATTCTAGCACATTGAGTAAATCTTTTTAGCAACATCTATTAGACTTAGCATAAATAAAGAAAAACATTTGCATGACACCCGTAGGAGGATATTGTAGCATGCTTTTAAAGCAAATGTGTTGTGGTAACTAGATCAGTACCTCTAGCTAGCGCTCTGACAATTTCAAGATTAAGGGTTGTGACCTGGAAAAGAACCACAAGGAAAATTAGCTATGGGAAGAGAAAAAAGTTCATGTCCCTGAATAATCTGCGATAGGACAATGACAATATATCAGAACAAGTTCTATAGAGTGAATAACTGAAGCTTCACTTTCAGTTGCAAGACATCAGTATCTAGATTGCTTAGTATTTGATCTTTTCATGGACTGCAGAAAGCATGTCTGATAAAGCAAAATAACTCCAATAGAAAGCAATCAAAGTTTAGAGAGAAACAAACAGTATATCTTACAGAAATTCGCGTTGCGACAAAACCAGCCTTGACTAGAGGTTGCTTCAATCCTCCTTTATGAACCCCAGATTTGCTAGCCTGAAAATGCCCAAAAGAACCTACAACCAACATAATCACATAAAAAGAAAATTAATTAATTAATTAATAAAGCCTAAACCACCAATGAACATCCCAATTTAAAATGAATCTGAACCACTAAATCTAGATCACTTTCAAACCCCAAAAGCCAAATCCAAAAACAAATCTTAAAACATTAAAAAAGGAAACAATCTCATTACTTGTTAACCCATTATCACAACAATCCAACTAAGAAAACCCTTAATCAAAACATGAAGCTATCAAAGCTCACCTGCACCGTGCACAACGACAAATCTACTGAAATCCACGGTGAACTGACCCTGATCACCAAAATCACCTAAACTAGAAGAAACGTCCAAAACGCCATCTCTCTTACTCCAATCCATCCCAATAACCTTCTTTGAACAAGAATCCAGAATCATTGCTTGCCTCAACTGGGATGAAACTGTTTCAAGATTCTCTTCATTGATCTTCTCCAACTCATTCTTACAAGTGATTGCTGAACCTCCTGTTTTACACCCAAAAAACTAGTTAATGAAGGAAAAAAAAGGCAACATTGGCATCAATAGCATGAAAATAAAACATGGTCGAGGGTTTTATGTTCTTGTTAAGGTTGAAAAGTGAAAACTTTTTGTTGGGAAAAAAGAAAAGAAAAAGAGAAAGAGGACGAAACCAAGTTTGACGATGCAACGGATTGTTTGATTAAGGTTGATTTCTTCCATTTTCGATCTTCTGTATACTGTGAGTTCCTGTTCTTCTTCTTGTTCTCTCGCGTCGTGTCGTGTCCGAATCTACGATGGCGTGGTGTCAAACACTTGACACTGTAGTCTGTACAAAGCTACAAGCTTTGACTTGCGGAACCAAGCCCATTCAGGAATAAGCTTGGCCATCGAGTTAAGTTACAAATGAACCGGATTAAACCGAGTCAAGTTGTTTATTTATAAATAGGAAGCATTGTTGTGTGTGTGTATATATATATATATATATATATATGAGTAAAATATTAAAAAAATCTTAAATTATTTATTTTTAAATAAATATTTATATTTTATTATATTTAAATAGGATTTTATTTTTTTAATTTATTTATAAATAAAATTTTATTTTAAACAAAAAATTAATTTATATTAAGCGTTTATTTAGATATAAATTAAAAATAAAAATTTATTTAAATATAATTTAAATTTTAAAATTTTTTAATGTAAATTAAAAGTTAAAAACTTATTTAGGTGTAACAAAAGTATATATTTTTATTTCATTAAAATAATAAATTTTCAATTTTTTTATTATTTTAACTTTTTTTTTAGGAATTGTAATAATGTTATCTCATAAACCATAAAGTGTTAGTTCTTTTATGGGATATTATTATATTTGAATGGGTAGAAATAATAATTGTATTTTGAATTTATTTACCATGATATTAATTCAAGCCCAATGTTAGCTCCAAATGGCAAAATGGTCAATCACCCCTTAGTAGTTTCTAAGGAAAATGTTCACATTTGACATCTACAAGATTAGTTTTTTTTTCCCCTAAACAATTGATTAAAAAAAAAAGTTAATATAAGTACTTAATAGGTTTAGATTGAGATATTTATTATTGTATTTTTTTATTAAAAAAAATCATAATTTGAGAATAAAAAATATTACAAGTACTTAAATTTAAAATTAAAATATATTAAATATTATTTTTTAAAATTAATTATATGAACCAATTAAATTTTAAATTCTTTCCTATGGCTTGAACTTTAAGTATGTAGTACAATATTATATGAGCAATGGGCAATGGCCAATTAGACTTCTTTACTTTATCTCCACCTTGTCAAAAATAACTATGAAAATATTTGTCTTCATCTTCTTTTACTTCTTTGCTTCCACACCATTTCCCCAAACAAATGCACAATTAAAATTTTGTTCCAATATTCTATCTTAATGCAATAATATATATACATGCAATTCAATTTGTGATAAGATAACATATTTTGCTTAGCTCAAAGTGAGATCAAGTAGTGTGTATGTGAACCCTTTTACCTTATTTATTTATTTTGGTGAGAAAAAATTTAAGAGAAAAGAGTAATTACTTTATTTTTAAGCTTAGAACAAATCATCAATATAACTAAAATTTACGAATTATTTGAATTTATAAATTATTTACATATGAAAAATTACAAAAAGATTTGAATTCGGATACTTATATACCAAGACTTCACTCCTTTTTATCACTTGTGCCAACCCTTGGTGATCACTCGTTTGTTTCAAATACAACTTCCTTCTTCCTCCTAACCCAAAGCTCCCTCTTCTAGCATTTGCGTGCACAAAATGCAATGGACATTGTAAAAATCTATGGGACACAAAATGATGGGGTGGCCTCTCTTATTCCCTTGACCACGGGCTCACCAACCGACAAAAACAAAAACAAAAGAAAAGGAATACAAATAGTGGCCAATTGTACTTGAAAAAGTTTCTCAAAGACGTGTGGGCGGGTCTATGGCCCTACGTGCACTGCACAAACCCTTTCCCAAAGTTGGGGCAGCAGAAATGATAATGATAATGATAGTGATAATAATAATAATAATGGCTACTGCCATTTTTGCCAGCTCAGGGCTTTAGACACAAACACCCAATAAGTCATCCAAAATGGTACACGAATTCCTTTCCCCACCCCACGTTTCTTGTCCTTTGCATTGGCATGGGCTTGCCACGTGATTGCCTCTTGGACTTTGCTGGTGCCTGCCTGGTGGGGTTGCCAGTGGCAATGGCGGATCTCTCCCGAGTCTCCTCTTTCAAATGCCTTCCTTTATTGGGGTTAACTTCACGTTTTCTTGCTTTCCCAGCAGGAGTGAGAAAATAAATTAAAAAATAAAAAATCAATTTAAAATTATATCATTTGATTTGATTTTAATTGATTTTTTCATTCAAATTAAATTAAATTTAGATATTAAATATATATAGTAAATTTAAATAAAATTTTAAATCAAAATTTAAAAATTTTAAAAAAATTCAATGAAATAAATTTATATCTTTTTATTAATTTATATATAATTTTAAATTTTATAAAATAAAAATATTTATTTTATACATAATTTTATTTAAATATATAAAAAATTTAAAATTTAAAATTTAAAAACCGAATGAATTAAACCAATAAAATTAAATTCATATTGAATTGGTTTTAAAAAATAATTAATTTAAATTCAAATCAAATTTTTAAAATTTAAAATATTACAAATTCTCCAAAAAAAAAGAAATAAAATATAATTTGATTTAAAACATTATCACCCTTATTTCATAGTTTTACAATTGTAACTTATTACCAAATAGACAGCCATTACCCAATCTTAAGGATTTTCTTTGCCTGGGAAAATTTTCTAAAAAGGGACCAAAAATTGGCCTTTTTCATGGTTTTCTGTTTGTCAATAGTTGCTTGTTTCCTGAAATTGACCAACAAATAGAAGCATGATACATGCCTTCTGTTTTATTTGTATAATTGGAGATTATTAAGTTGTGAATTATGTGATGAAATATTATTTTATTTTATTTTATAAATCTTTCACTTTCAATTTTAAAATTTCAATTCAAAACTACTAAATTTGATTTTGTAGCTTTTATAACTTCCAATCATGATTTGAATACTAATTTTTTTTTTGTAAAAAAAATATTCTATGACATGACCTAAATCTCACCATCCAAAATTGATTAGATTTTCGTTCGGATTTGACCATATTTTTTATATGATGTGATTAAGTTTATCGTATTATCAATTAAATTAATATAAATTTTTTATTATATTTTTTTAAATTATAATTATAATTATTTTTATTAATATTTTTAATTATATTATAATCAATCTCATCGTTCATTTAAATGCACCTAAATCTTTATAATAGTGGTTAATTTGTACAATTGCTTTCATTAATAGTCACCCAAAAAGTTCTCAAAAGTCTTACATGTGATCCAATGTTTGAATTTGCAATATGAAAATAAGTTGCAACAAAGGTAAGAAGTAAGAAAATTTTTATAACCAATTAATTCAAACATATTTTATTTACATTTGATTTAATAAATTTATAAAATAATTATTTTTTTAATCTAGCAATTCTAATTACTCTCATCTTCCTCTCCATGTATAAAAATTTTGTGGTTAATGATACAGTTCTTCATGCTCCAATCATGATCTTCGTAAATTTTAATTAAATTTAATGAATTATGCATTTATATTATATAAAATATTAAAATTTATATATTTATACCGTAATTTATATAAAAATTATATATCATTATTTATATTAATATAAAAATATAAAATATATATTTTTATTTTATTAAATATATATAATTATTACTAAAATTTTAAATTATATCAATTATATCTATTTTATTTATATTATATTTATATCTTATTATAATATCATCCTGTCTGCTTCTAAACCTCACTTGCAAACTTTAGCTGGGATTAAAAAATTGTATAAAAAAGACCCTAAACAAAAATTACCCAATTACTGCCTCAACAACTAAAAACTACCGACAACAAATTCACCCGCTCTTTTTAAGCTTTCCAATTGTCAAACTAAAATGACAGATCAACCCTTATTTACCGCGGTAAAATCTGTGCCCATTTAATGTCAACTGAGTGGCGCAATCGTGATTTCAAAAGTCGTTGGGGATATAAATGGAAATTCATGTGGACTAATCCGCCAATCCGATGGCGCTATCGGACATCATTAAAAAAATTTAGACAGTCCCATAAGAAAGAAAGACAAAAAAAAAAAGAAAAAAGAAAATTGAAAACCGAAAAAGAAAGCAAGCGCTTTTACGTATCTGCGGCGTGGACTTTTTTCACTGAACTCGTTTCAGATCCGCAAACCAAAGACAAAAAGCAAAATGGAAGCTTAGAAATACAGAACCCAGAGAAGCAAAAGGCAGGTTTTTTTTTTTTTTTTGGTTTTAGTTTGATGTTTTAATGGCTGAGAGCCAAGAGCAAAAGCCATCATCTAAACCGTCGAAAACGGTGATGTCTCAACGGCCGACGATTACTCTCCCACCACGGCCTTTCACGGAGGCCTTATTCAACGGTGGACCAGGCTTGATGGGCTTTAGCCCAGGTCCCATGACGCTTGTTGCCAACTTCTTCTCTGACACCGACGAGTTTAGGTCCTTTTCTCAGCTACTTGCTGGTGCCATGGCCTCGCCGGCAACTGCAGCAGCCATCCAAAGACCGAACTTTCCTCCTACTACGACAGAAGAGCAGGCTGATGTCAGCGGCGCTGAAATTGGAGCTAACACAGGGTTGCGGTTCAGGCAGAATAAGCCGGCTGGTTTGGTGATAGCGCAACCGCAGCCTATGTTTACGGTGCCACAAGGGTTGAGCCCGCCGAACTTGTTGGAGTCTCCAGGGTTTAGTGTGTTTTCTCCTGGTGCCCAGGTACTTTTTAAGTATAATTTGTTAAAAAAGGAAGGATTTTTAGGTGGTATTTAACATTTAATATTGACATGTTAATTTATTGTTAAATTTGATTCCCTTTTTTTTTTATGATTGGTTTGTTTGAGAGGAAGAATAATTGGTGTATTCTAGAATTGGTGCTTTTAAGAAGGAAAACCAGAGTTTGTTAATTCCAGGCAAATGGGAATAGCTTTTATTATTGTTGTTGTTTTTCTTATGGCAGTGTTGGCTATAAAGCAAAAGAAGAAGGTTGTGAAATCAGGATTTGGAATCTACTTTGCTTGTGGAGTGAATCGGATTCTTTTTTCGATCTTGCTACTCGAAACCCATTTGATTAATGTTAATTTAAAAGGAACAACTTTTTAAGAATGTGCTGGGCAAAAGGGATATGCAAATATGCTAGGCTTTCTATTTGGAGTATGTTGATTTGTAAGTCTTTGTATGAGCGAGGAGACAGACATCAACGATTCCGGGGATGGTTTGAAGAAGGAAAGGAGAGAATGATATGGCTTTAGACTAAGACAGTGTGTTCTTATTTGTGGGAACATCATGTATTTTGGGAATTATCTTTAATAACTGAGGATTTGATATGTGTATGCTTAATTTAAAATCTGCAATGGTTTTGAAGTCAAAGGTTTGATTGATTGCCACATTGCAATAATAGGCTTAAAGTAGAAAGCTTTGATCTCCATGCTCATTTTGTTGAATATATCTTGATTGAATTTCAATTTATTGCAAGATTAGAAGCTTGTTTTCCAATATAATCTAAAAAAGTATGATGAGGTTATAGCAATTCTACCCCAACCTTCATTAATGCCCATATTATGGATGACAAGATTTTATTTGCTTTAAATGTTCTCCTGGTTGTTATTTAACATGTTATTTTGAAGGAATATACTATCTATGCTCTTTGAATTCATCCTTTATTTCCATGTGTTTGTTGTATATTGCATAGTGCCTGTGAAAGTAGTAGAGCAAGTACAAGCATAGAAGGGCTTAGCAGTCATAGTCTACACTGTATCTCATCATGTGAATGTTGATCCATTTTAACTTCCAAGTGTTTGCATATAAAAAAAATACACATAAATGTCTTTTATAAATATGGTTGGTGAATGGTTATTTTTCAAGTGGGTGATTTAGTTGTCCTGCCATCAATTGATTGAACTCGTCCTACCTACACTGTAAAAATATTTGATAGCTTTTAGTTGTGCAACTGGTAGAGCCTCTGATTCACTCCCTAATTTCTCGTTGTGAAGACTAAAGAAGATAAAAAATTAAGAGAAAATTTATTACTTTGCCCTTTGTTTATAATTATTTAGAATTCATAAATCATTAACCAATTTCAGCTATTTATGAAATGGATAGGGACCTTTTGGAATGACACACCAGCAGGCCCTAGCTCAGGTCACTGCCCAGGCTGCACAAGCCCATTCACATATGCAAACCCAGGCTGAATGTTCATCAGCACCTGCTGCATCTTTGGCACAGGTTTCATCTTTTACTGCCAGTACGACCACAAACCAGCAGATGCTAACCACATTGCAAGACTCCAGTGTTGCTATGAAGAAACCATCAGATGTATCTCAATCCGATCAGAGATCCCAACCTGTTTCATTTATAGTTGATAAGCCTGCCAATGATGGCTACAACTGGCGAAAGTATGGGCAGAAACAGGTAAAAGGCTGTGAATTTCCTAGAAGTTATTATAAGTGCACGCATCCTGGTTGTCCCGTCAAGAAGAAGGTTGAGAGATCACTGGATGGCCAAGTCACTGAAATCATCTACAAAGGACAGCACAACCATCAACCTCCTCAGTCGAATAAACGTGCAAAAGATAGTGGAAGCTTAGATGGAAATCCAAATAATCAAGTAAATTCTGAATCAGCTTCCCAACTTCAGAGTGGCAACTTGAACATAATTAAAGAACGGACATCTGGTTATTCAACGTCTAAGAGGGACCGGGAATCTAGCCAAGCTACAGCTGAACATCTTTCCGGGACGAGTGACAGTGAGGAAGCAGGTGACAATGAAACTGGTGCAGATGAAAAAGATGAAGATGAACCTGAGCCCAAAAGACAGTATGAAAAAATTTCTATATTCCTATTATATGCTCCATTGAATCAGTTATGAGCTCTCTCTTCAACAAAATTTCTTTCTTTATATGCAGAAGTACAGAAATTAGGGTTTCAGAGCCAGCTTCTTCACATAGGACTGTTACAGAACCTAGAATTATTGTGCAGACAACAAGCGAAGTTGATCTCTTGGATGATGGCTATAGGTGGCGCAAGTATGGACAGAAAGTTGTCAAAGGCAATCCTTATCCAAGGTAATGCCTCTGGTTGTGCAAAATAGAAATTACTATCTACTGCCTGTAACCCTGGTGTTAGTTCTTAAAAAGAATTTGAACTTTTTTTAAGCAATTGTGTCTTAACCTTTTTCAATCATAGACAACGGAGACGCTGTATGTTGAATGTTTTTGCCAGAACCTGTCAACTGTTCTGTTCTTTTGGTATGAATGTGTTTATAAATCATATCCATTTTACAACATGCCTGTTTTCCATTCCTAAAGATGAGTATATTTTTTGTTCTCTTGATTATTTGTATTATTCCTGATACATCTTTTTGGTTCCACAGAAGCTACTATAAATGTACAACCCCAGGATGCAATGTCCGTAAGCATGTTGAGAGGGCTTCAGCAGATCCCAAGGCTGTTATAACAACATACGAGGGAAAACATAATCATGACGTACCAGCTGCCAGAACTAGCAGCCACAACACAGCCAACACTAATGCATTACAAGTAAGAACGCAGAATATAGAAACTGTGAAGCATGCTATAAATAACAGGGCAGATTTTGGGAGCAATAGTCAACAGCCTGTAGCACGTTTACAGTTAAAAGAAGAGCAGATAACATAATTTCTTCGAGTTGCAGCTATGGAAGGGGAAGAATCACGAGTACACTACAGCATGGAAATTTACCATGTATCAGTCAAATTCTGTTTTATTTGCCTAAGTTTGTATTTCACACTCAAGGCTGATGTTTTAATGGAGGCCATCAACCCAACTGATATGATATACAAAAGAAAAAACAAACATAAGAAAGAAGTCAGTTTGGAACAAACTCACTTGGATTGAATTAGGAGGCAATGTTGTATGTAAACTAGTTTAGTTGGCATATTGTATTTTAATTATGTTATTCCATGCATTCTTTTGTACATGGAAATACTGAATTAATGTTGTTTCATATGATCGTTGGCCGATAATGTATGGATCTCAAAAATCTTTATGATATATCTCCTGTGCCAAAATTTTGGTTAATTGGTCTGTCAGATTTCCCAAGGTGCAGCCTACTTTATGTTGTTTTGTGATGTTAATCCTTGTTTTAGTGCAATATTTAGATTTATGCCACTTTGACAGAGTCTACATTTGGAGGAAAGTGAACTTTAGCCATGTATGATATGGTTGAAAAGAAAAATGGGCAAATCTCGCAGTAAACTCTCGTGAACAGAAAATTGTCCCCATTGAATGTAAATATATGATTGATTTGTGTATTTATATCGTGTAAAATATTAAAATTTATGTATTTATATCTTATTTTATATGAAAATTATATGTTATAATTTATATCAATACGAAAATATAAAATATATTATTTTAATATTATTAAATTTATATATAATAATTATTAAAATTTTAAACCATGTTATTTTCATGTTTTATTTTTATATCATGTTTTAAATCATGTTATTTTCATATTTTATTTTTATATCATGTTTGTGTCGAGTCACTGTGCATATTTAAGATTGCTAGGTCTAATTGACTGAACCAAAATAGGCACCTTACAACAAAGATCTGGTGTCAATATTCTGGTAACTGCTGGTGTTGTAGATATAGAAACTACAATGGCAGCAGTAACAAAATAAATGAATGCAAAGAATACTCGTAAAGATGTCTTAGATAATAGTTAGAATTTACCAACAATTTTCACTTATGGATTCAAAAATGAACTTCACATATTTTTCAACAAAAAATTTCTTTTATTTTCATAAAATTCTGCCTTGAACTGTTGGATTTAGATGCATCATTCTCCTGGTGTCTGTTCAAATAATTCATCCTTGACGGTTACAATGGTAGGAATTTGGCCACGATTTACAAAATCAATCTTGTTCAACCGCAAACAGCACAAGGCTTGCTCGGGCAGTTCTTCTGGTTTTTGTGCCTGCCAACATTTTCAATCAGAAACAGGGTGCTTAGCAGCATACAAAATATAATGGCATGAATTGCTTCACCTTTTTCTTTAATTAATTTCCTCCTATTGAAATCCTGGTTGCTTAAAATTACAGAAAGTGGCAAGAACTTACCTGAATAGTCAAACCCAGATTAACTATTCCATTCTTCATACGCTCTAGAAATGATTCAAGTCCTTTCCTGGAGATGTAACTAAAGCGGTGTATATCCAAGTCAATCTCAAAGTAATTTGGTCCCTGGATGAAAAACAACACAGGCAACTTTAATCAATCAGATGTTGAAAAATGGTTCTATATTCAATTTTCTAAATCAGAGAATGGCAGGTGTGGTATCCGTCTGTCCTAGAGCATTACAAAGCCCTGTGATCATGCCCTCTTAGAACTGCCACCACCGCCCACACATGGCTAGAACTTGTTAAATTTGATCATGATATTAGTCTAGAGTGTATATCATTGGACTCTAGGGAATTGAATTCCTACAAAAACTGTCCTATATTTTGAAGATTATTTTTTTTTTTAATAAAGGAAATCTGACTCCAAACCTGCTAGATGCAAAGCTGCATGAACTAACTGAGCTATGCTCCGGGTCTAAAGTAGAATTTTTAAGAACACGCTACGCAGCTAAAACAGCAATAGAAAAGTTATTGTTTACCTTGTAAAAATTGTGTTGAGGGCGAGAAAGCACCGGCTTATCGTTATAAGCTTGAATAAGCTTCCTTTCAGTGGAACCTAACTGGAGGTCGTCCGGGTTAACCACACCAGCCATAATTTTTAGCCTTTCTCTGAAAGGAACAGTGGACTCTTTTGTAAACCCTTTAACCTTTTCCATTTCATCCTCAACAAATTTCTGTAACAGAGTACAACCATCCATGACCATCAACTAACATGTTTTTCAAGGTGGAAAGAAGATGAATAACCAATATTATGACATATGCCATTTGACTCGGTAAAGTTGTTTGAGAAAATTCGAAAGGAAATACCTTTATGGTGTCCTGGAAGTGAGGGGATATATCTTTGTCAAAAGTATCTGACACCTTAAAATATAAGACAAGACTCAAGCCTTCCCCATTGGCATCACCAAGAAACATGGAGGCAGGATAAGTAGGCACCTGCAAGAAGACTACCAAACAACTTACAAAAGGCAGAGAAAAAGATACAGTAACCAACATGTAAGCAAATTAAAATCAAGAGAATTGTTAAGGTGTGTAAGATATGCACGAACATGAGACAAAGAGAGAAAAGATAACCTGTATATTAACAATCAGAAGTGCAGGTACTTTTTCATGTGGTTTTACATGTGGGAGTTCAAGGTGTTGAGCAATGTGATTCACTTTCCTTGGGCAGACAAATAAATCAACCCCGATTGGTACGTATGAGCTACAGTCTGGAGCAGGGAGCTTCTGTTTATCTCTGCAAGATATGGTTCAACTTCAGTTCTACATATGAACAATAAGATATATTGTGGAATGTGGAACGATCAACAGCAACTAAATGGCTTGCCTAAAATAATTGTCTCCACGGAGCTTGAAAAGTGAAGGAGAAATCTCTGACCAGCTTCCTGGAGTTGGTTTCTCTCCTGAGCAACGAATTAGAAGTCCTGCTCTGGGACGATACAAGTACCTCTCAGCTGCACCTGCTATTAACTTGTTAGTTCTAATCAAAACTAAAACGTATGCAGTTTTATACAATGAATTATAGGTTTTACTTACAAAATTCTGTGATTTCATCCCCTTCAAAGGATTTCCTCTTCACAGAAAGCATGATAACTGTGGATTTCTTTCTGCTCTCTTGGGTTTTCTCTCCCAAATCAACTGTGCCATCTTTCAGGCCCTTAAAGCTGTAACTTTCATAAAATCTTTCATACTTAGACCTATTATCCACAAAGCATGATGCACTTTCATACTGAAGCACTTGCGCATTAGAAATATTCCCAATTGCATTACCTACTGAAGGAAATGCATCTGGAGGCAACAGACAAAGAAAAAAAAAGTGTAAAGCTTTTGTGACCAATCAAACCTCAAAAATCATAGTTGAAAGAAATGATCACTCGGTTGCAATGAGATGCAAGTGCATTACCTCCGTAAACACTACCGGCATCATCATCTGACTCAGACTCTATAATGCTAACAGAATCGAACCATACTTCCTCTTGGCATCTTCCTGCAAAATAATTTCCTTTTTACAGTTGTCAATTGTTCAAAAAGACAGTTGCTTCAACCCCATATCACTTTCCCCCATACATACGTATGTGCGTAAGGATGGACGGATTTATAACTAAAACTATCTCGGGGCATACAACAACGACATGCTAAGCCATATATCCCATACTCTGGGGTCGGCTCTACGAATGACCAAATAAGGGAATCATGTTATCCCGGGGTACGATTATTGGAAATTTTGTAAAAGAGAGAAATGGATAGAGAAGAGACCATTGGCATCAATTTGACTGTGGTTCCATTGCAGCTGGGTTAGATGAAATGTCATATTAGACACCTCAGAGCGCTTGCAGGTGGTTGAAGCACCATTCTCAAAGTCAAGATGAACATACTCACTAACAGCAAAATCTGTGATATGACTCCCAGCATCACTCAGCCTTTTCATACGTACATCAGGAATGGAAGTGGCAACCTTTCCATGGCGCTTATGAAATCTGCCAGAGTGTCTTTTGTGTGGTTTAGGTTCTGCCGGTTCACTGTGGACAGAGACGCAGCCACCCATTATGTCGATGATCCTTTATAAAGACTGCTACTAGTGAAGCCAACCTTAGAAGAAGCAGGCACAAAAGCAGATAAGCTCCAGGGAAACCACTGACCTGTCAAACAATCCAAGAAAAATGAAAAAAAAAATTCAAGCAAATATAGAAATAAAACATCAAAAGGCGGAGATGTCCAGTACAAATTTCGAACATGAGGACCTTAATATCAATTAACCATGCACCAATGCAGCAGACAACTGTTTTCATTTTGACATCAATTATAGTGACCAAAAGGAGGGAATTCAATCTTCTAGAAATGCATTTTCCCTCACCTGTACGTGTGTAAAATGCATGTCTACTTCTACAACCTACACATATTTCTTAAAGCTGATAAATTCATCAGCCGCTAACAACCTTGCAATCCATTGCATGAGAAGGAAATGCACAAAATTATATAAAATCAATGAACTTTACTAAACACCATGGCAAATCACTATCTATTTGTTAAATTCTGCGGAGCGTAATTACTACTATGACGTTGATTATTCCTCCTACGCAAAGCAAATACGCAGAAACATTTTCAACTTTTCTTTGCACTTGTTTTATTATCGCTTTATGAGAAAAAAGGATTTAATCCTACCACTATTTACTAAGAATTTGCTCCTTTGTGAGCTAAGTGCATATACCTTCAATTTAAGTCATTCGAAAGGAGACAATAGGCCTTTGGTGCTCCATTATTCAAGCAAAATCTTATCCAGGGAAAGATATGGCATTGAAGAGCTTAAGAAGCTTGACAAAATGAACACTGTCCTACCTGAAAAACAATAATGAGTATAAAAAATATTAAAATAATACTAAAAAAACCAGAATGGTTTTATCATAACTACATAAAAAATTTAAATCCTATGATAAAAACTGCTGGCTAAGAACAAATGATTTTGTCTAAAAATATATTGAAATTCAAAACAAACTAACTTGAAAATTAAAAATTAAAAAAAAATGCAAGAGTCCCCCCACCCTCTATCACATAATTAGATCATTGAACACAAAGAGATCCATAAGTACATATCAAATATTAGTATGAATGTAAAATATAAGATATTTGCAAAATTACTAGAAAAAGATTCAATTTTGACTAAGAAAACTAGGTAAAGATTCAGTAATTTAAAACACGACACCAATATGATATGAAAAAAAAATTATATATAAGTTTAACAAAAAACATATATTTCATATTTTTATATCAACATATACTAAAATATGATACAAATACATGAATTTTAATATTTTACGCTACTTAAATACACTAACATGATTCGCCAGATCCGTAATGTCATCATGAAACAAGAATACATTCAAATGTCGAAGATGAAACGATGATAAAAATTGTAAAACACAACAGAATAAGTAAAAAAGAGGAAACTTTAAACGAAAAAGATAAGCTCCATTGAAGCATGAAATATTAATGAAAACGATCATGTTTGAATTTTGAAAGGAAAACAAAGAAAGAGAAACGTTGAAAGAGGAACCTGAGGAGAGAGAAAGGTTAAAATCCCGGCATGGACGAGGAACAGCTGTTCCTTCACTTCGGAACTTTGAATCCTTTCCCTCTCTCTGTCTCTGTCCCTGTGTCTGTCTCTGTTTTTCAATTTCTATCCGAGACCCAAACAGAGCTGAAAAAAACGAGAGAAACAGAGAAAAAAAAGGAAAAAAAATAGAGAACAAGAATTTGTGAGAGAGTCTCCGTTATAAGCGGATCCTTAGTTTGCAAAAGTCTCCTTTTAAATCTCCTTCTTTCTCTCTGTTTTTCTTTCTTTTTTTCTTCTTTCAATTACCGTCTGTTTTACCTATTTTTAGCATTTTGTTTTGTCTCCTGAGATTTCGCGGGCATTACCAGTTTTGTCTTATCCCACGTGGCACAGTTATGGCTAATACTAAGGAAAGATAGGGATATTGAGGAAAAATTTTAACCAGGTTGGTGAAAATTTTTGTCGGGAATGATTAAATAAAAATAAAAATTAATAAATTAAAATATTTCGTTACATAAATTAATAAAATTTAAATAAATTTTGATATATATATATTTACATAAATATTATAATATTAAAAAAATTTTATCATTAAATAAATATCAATCAAATTTGAATTATAAATATTATTTTTAATAATTTTTTACATATTATTAATTTTTACATTGAATTTTTGTAATTTATCGATTTAAATTTTTTATTAAAATTTTTATTAAATTATTTTTGATAAAAGAGTTAACAAATTTCACTCATAAAACTTTATGTAAATTTTGTCGTATTTAAGTGCCTATTAATACCTTAAAAATTATATTTATAAAAAAATTACATTGTTGATATACATTTTTTTAATTTGATAAAAATAACATATTAAATAAAAATTTTAATTAATTTTGATCAAAGTTTATAAATATTCATTAATCAATATTTACATAAAAATTAAAATTTATAATTACAATCAAATGATAAACAATTTATCTTAAATTGCTACATCCAATATAAAAATGAATGAATAAATCAAACAAATAAATTAAGAAATTAGTAGTATGGAGTTAAACAAAATCTAATATAAAATTAAAGAAAATGCATTCATTTTGAATAAGAAAAAACATTTACTTGAACCAAATTCTCAAATTTAATGCAATTTTAAGTATCCAAAAGCAACAATGAAGACTAATTAAATTATGTTTTTGTTATGTTATAATATGAGATTTGGGAGCATTAAAACCTAATATTCCAATCAAATTGTTATTTATTGTATGATTAAGTTAAAGAAATAGAAGCACAAAATGTCTCCATCATGGCAGATGGGAAAGGGAGGATTATGCTTTCTTTGTGTGCAACTCCTCCATGAAAATGACCCCTCCCAACAGAAACCATAACCCCCAAATGAAACAATCTAATTTTAATGTGAGGTCTCTTTTTCTTATGTAATAATGATGTAACATTTATAACAAACTATACTATTTATAAATAAACATGTATAATTTTAAAGTTCGTTTAAATAAGTAATGAGATGGATTTTAAGGATATTAAAAATGATGACAGTAAAATTAATTATTAAAATTATGATATTAAAGTTAATAATAAAAATATGTATTCGAATGTAAATGTAACAATGATAATGAAATTGAATATAAGACTTGATTACTCAATCAAAGATAATAAATTATTATAATTGAAAATCCTTTTATTTTTTTAATTTTATAATAAATTTTGTTCTGTCTATTTACTCAATTAACAAAAACAACTCTCATAATTACTAAATCAATAAACACTTAGACTATTATATCACCGCACATGAGGATATATATAATCCTTGCCACAAAGTAGGCTCATTTGCCCAACTACCTCCACTAACATTTCATTGAGATATTACTTCAAAATAAGATCAACTGACCTTTAACTTATTTGAAATCATAATTGCTAAATCAATGAATACTCCATTGTTGTATCATCGCACATGAGAGATGATATCTATAATCCTTGCCACAAAGTAGGCTCGTTCGCCCAACTACCTCCATTAACGTTTCATTGAGGTATTACTTCAAAATAAGATCAACTGACCTTTAACTTATTTGAAATCATTAAATGCAACTTACACTTATCTGAGATTAATAAATGCAACCTACAATCATCCATGTGACTTCTTGTAGAGCTCCACGTAAATTCATTGTCAATCATCAATTATCCTAATCATATTATCGCCTTTCCTTTCATATATAAAATAAAAAAAGTTCAAAATATAGTATAAATTAAGTATTATTTTTTCTTGAAGCTTTCTCGGTATTTACTATAAACATTCTTTTACTAAACATTCAAATACTTTTTTAGTTTAAGTGTCCAAATACATACCAAAATACTAATTTTAACACTTTTTAATCGTACTTTCTTGTTACAGATTCAAATTTTCCTTCAAACAATTACGAGACCACTTCCCTTTTACTAACACCTAAAAACACCATCAAACAAATTCCAAAAGTTAAAATGTTATCCTTCCCCATTTCTTAAAAAAAGAACTTCAAAAGTTCCAAAAGTTTAACACTTATAATTTAGGAGCATACGAAAAGCATGATCATTCATTTACAGACAACAGGATGATCTTTCTCTCCTCCTTTTACCAAGCCTGTGATTACATAAATAATGATTAAATTAGAATATCTCTATAGGAATACAAAAGCAAAGCCTCTAAAATTGGAACTTTAGATGGATGCCCACGCAACCATATTCAAGTAAAATGATTAGTTTACTTTGTCTCTGATGAAGTGCCACCATAATCATTGAGAGCCAAAAGGAAAGAAAAAGAAAATTTATGGCCATTGTTGGAGTACTTCAAGGTGGCCTGATTGAACCAACCAGTGCGGTGGGGAAGTGGTTGAGCCGTAAAGGGGTTTTAGTTTAAGTCAAAGTTTGTCTCCATCTCACCAACTTGTGGAAGAAAGAATCAAATGGTTGAAACTGAACTCAACTTTCTTTTTTCTCAAGTAAACAGAATTAGATATTGGGAAATATTGAGTCTTTGAATTATGATTAAGTTGAATTAATAAGATATTTATATGTAAAAAATTTCATGACCACGACTTTAGTGTTCTTTGTTTCATACTATAATTTGTGAACACCAAACAATTATGTAACTGTTTTGATATATTTGAGGAAGTTTGATAGATGAGAGGGGATGGGAATTTCAGACCTTGATTTTTTTTTTTTCGATAATTTCAAATATATAAAAAAAAATGTAGATAAATTAGCTAGAAGTAGCTAGTTGCAGGGGAACCATGGAATATCTCATAAAAAAACAAAAAGAAGCAGTGGAAGAATCAAAATTGTTCAATTTAATTAATCTGTTTGGCAAGAAGTAGACCAAATCCAAAGACTTTGATCATCAAAGTATATTTTAGGGTAGGGCAAAAGTGTTAGTGGAGGGTCATCTCAAACGCCACTACTTGATCCTAATGAATCTAATAGGATAACGTATGAAACCAGTAATCACAAAGCTGATTAATCAAACAAAACACACACTGAAAACTCACCTACTCAACCATTTTGTCTTGAAACTTAGCTACAACAGCACTGAAACTCTTTTGCAATTCTGCCTGTCGATATCCATTACCAAATTTTGATAAAACTAGTAAAAGAAAAAGGAAAAAAATGGCTAAAAATTGCCTATTCAGAAAGCTCACGAGGACGAACATAATTTAACGTAATTAGTTCATACAGTCTTTATCTATTTTTACTCCAATTATTGCACATTTGAACTTCAGGAGTTTCAGACTGACATTGTTCAGGCCCTGGAGCCTGGATAAAGTCTGCAATTTTTTTTTTTTTTTTGGAGCTGAGAAATGTGTACATTTAACATGCAAACCTGGCAAATAGTTCAAGATCCAAGACTGGAAAACTTTGTTTTTTCTGTCGTGGGAAAAAGTTTTCACCAAAAAGAAAGCAAAGCATTAAATTCCCATGGTGTTGAATTTGAAACGTATGGCTTAATTCCAAAGTGTGGGTTGCACATGGTGAAAATTTTCATTTCAATTTATTGAGATCTGCACTACAAAATCTGAATACTGCTGCCTGTCCTTCAATTCATATCTTTTAGCATTACAAGATTGTCTCCAGAAGCTGAGTTAAATTCATTGAATAAAACTGTCAGGAAACAAGTAGTACAGAAAATAACCCAGTTATACAAAGATCTAAAGGATTCTAGCTAGCTTGTTAGTCTCATTTTTACCATGTTCATGCCCTCTAAACTGTGTACATAAGATATTTTCGGTTTAAATCCAAAAGATTTCACGATTTTATTTATAAGTTTGTTTGTTTTGATTCAAAGGGTTTGCGATTTTATCATAAAATATATCAGAACATAGATATCTGGGTAGGGTTCATCTTTAAGTTGAAAATAGATAACATTTTTTTCCCTAATGATTGTATTCTCATTCCATATCAGTTTGCTGCCATGCTTGCTGGACTTTGGCCTATGGTGGGACTTTTATTTGACCACTTTAAGGGAGATTTTGCCATTTATTTCATGTTATCTTATCATGCCATGTCCCATCTTCACAAGAATCAAAACATATGTTAAACCCATGCCTCTTTAATTGTTGATAAGTTGTTTTAACTTAGTTTAATCTCAACTACTAAACCAAATTCCAAGAATCATTAAAGACAGTTGTAATAATTTAATTATGTAATTTACTTGCAAGAATAATTTGTGTCATATATTGATAATTTTGTAAAATAATTTTTTAATAATAATTTTATATCTCAATATCAAAATGGATATAAAACCAATTTGTAAAAAATTAAGATTCCATTTAGATAGATAATGAGATTGATTTCGATGAAATTAAAAAAAAATAAAAATTATTATGATTGCAATTAAAAAAAAGAAATTTATATTAAATAAATTTTATTAAAATTAATATTTAAATTTAACTAATACTCAATCACATAAAATTCAAACCACAAAATCACAACAATTGCATAAATACTTTCGAAATAGGCTTTTGGGCCTCTGCTCTGTGAATGGTTTAGGCATGTCTTTTGTTTGGGCCTATAAGCCACGAGGTCCTGGATTTGGATCCGAACATCAGCCTTCTGTTTGTCTAAAGTTCAATAACGAAGGACATTGCTCCTTCAATCAACAAAGGCCCACTCTTTCATTGCACAAACGCGGAAAAAGAAAGAAGAGGTTGTCATTGTACAAATAGATGTAATCAAAACCATTGTCTGTTTCTGTTTTTGTTAGACAAAGAAGAAGGGTGACCTTTCAGCCCCCACTTGATATATATTAGATAATGTTTAAAATTGAGACAACATTTCATAGATGGCTTGACACTTAACCATAACATGTCTTTTCTTCATCAAACTTTGTCTCTGTTTCTTTTGCTTTACTGTTTCTATCTCTTTTATTCAAAGCTAGGATCGATTACCGTTTGCATCATATCTAATTCAGTTCAAATTTTTTTAATAATATTTAATATTTTAAAATTTTAAATTTGATTTAAATTTAAATTAAATTTTTTTTAAATCAATCAAATCTAAAACGAATTTTAGTAATTCAATTCAATTTGATTTATTGATTTTTAAAATTTATATTTTTTATATATTATTTTAATAAAAATTTTAATATATTTAAAAACTTTTATATAAAATAATTATTTTATTTAATAAAAATTTTAAACAATATAAAAATTAATAAATATATATATAATTCATTTCAATTTAATTTTTTTAATTTTTGATATTTTAATTTAAATTTTAATTCAAATTTAATATATACATTTAATATTTAAATTTAACTTGAACCCAATAAAAAAAATTCAAACCAATCCCTGTTCAAAGCACTCGTTACATGGAGATGGGATTGGACTTTGAAGTAAGCTCAGTCCAATTTATTCAAAGCAATCAGACATTCGTCAGCCCAAAATTTGCATCTAAAGCAAAGCCCACCATGGGCCTGTCCAAGCAGAAACACCGACGTGAGGTCAGCTCAGGTAAACCTAGGTGCCGTGGTGGTGCTTAAACAAAGCTTGGAAGCAAATTGATCTTAGACCCTTCGCCAGATGGTTTGACTGCCATGCCACCAATTCAAACATCGGTTGGACAATTAGGTGTCCCAAATTTGTTTTAACAGTCTAATTGCTAGTTTTATTGAATCCATGCCCTTTTTGATCAATTGCATCATGAAATGTATTTGAATAGTATCATGTCCCAAGTTAATAACAATGCTTTTTTTATTTTATTTGAATCAAATTAAATTAAATTTTAAAAATATATAATTTTATATATTATTTAAAAAAATTCAAATCATTCAATTATTATTACTCTTATCAATTATGTCTATTCATATATTATTAAAAAATTAAAGAATTAGAGAATGTACATTTTATTAAATGAAATGTTTTTTCTTTTATCAAATCATTAATCTGTATGTTATCTTATTTATTTATTTTGTAAATGTAAAAAAAAAAAAAATGATGAAAAGTATTGAGTTAAAAAAATAAAAATTAATAAGTAATTGATTCAATCGATTAAAATTATTTTTTTTTAACGAAAAAATATTGGATTCGAATTATATTAATGATTATTTGTTAAAATTATTTTAAATGTATAATCTGAAATTATTCATTTTAAATTATCACCTCTGACATATTTTATTTTAATTTAAAAAAATAAATAATTTATTTATCTAAAATAAATAAATAAATAAAAAAAGACAGAGGAAGGACAGATACAGATTCATTGACGCACTTGACCAACCCTTAGGGTCTAGTGTCAGAAACCGACTTGCCCCGCCGCCTTCCTACGACGCCGTTTCCACTTTTCTTCCCTTTTATTGCAACTCTGCCTTCATTGTTTATCTTATCCCAAAGCGTTTTCTATTAGCCTGACGTGATTTTAAGTAAATTTAATGATTCATATATAAAATATTAAATTTTATATATTTATATTATATTTTATATAAAAAATATATATTATAATTTATATCAATATAAAAATATAAAATATTATTTTATTAAATATATATAATAATTATTATAATTTTAAATTATATCATTTTGATATTTTTTATATCATATCATATTATATTTTAAATTATTAAATTAATAAAAAAACTAAACATCAGCATTCATGCAACTTCGCCATCGTTTTCTGGTACTAATTTTATTGAAATTATTCCTGCATTATTTGATCTATTTATATTGAAATAAGATCTGTGAATAAAATATTAAAATATTTAATTTTTGTGTTTAAAATTAATTTTTAATCGATTAAAAAATAAAAAGATAATCAATAATTAAATTTTAACCGTTTAAAAATTTTTTAAAACAAGTTGTCACCAAGTCCAAAATCTGACAAGAAAATGCCAAATACAGTTTGCTCGGTTGTCTTTTTCGCTGTTACGTCACTCTCCGCCCCTTTGTCATTAACAGACAAGAATCTACCGTAACCTTTCTCACCAACCATTTTTACTGCAATCCTCGACAGGCCAACAGTTTTCCTTTCTTTTCTTACCCATCAAATTCTTTTAATTAAGAATACAAATCAAATATTCATGTTATCATTTTTTTTTATGTAAAAAAGTTTAGGAGAGATTACTTTAATTTAAAAATAATATAAGTTATTAATTTAATTTAAAATTTTAAATTTATAAATCGTTTATCAATAAAAAATTATTAAAAAATTTAAACTTAAGTGCTTAGCATTATCTCTTTTTTTTTTTTGCCAACTCCGATTGATGTTATGTTACCAAATTTACATCTTAATGCATTTTTTATTATCAAATTAAAGTATATTTCATGTGTAATTGTTCCCATTTGTAGTACTTTTGTTATGATGTTTTTAAGTTTAGATTTTATAGCTTTTTTTTTTGTTATTTGAAATTATTATAAATTAAATTTTAATTCCTGAAATTAATAATTTAGTTCTAATTTTTTTAATTACAATTTTAATATTTTATAAATGGTTTAAGCTATAAATTTTAATTTTTTTTATATATAAAGCGGCATATAGTTCGAGTAACTATAGCAAAGTGATAACGAAGACTGATGGAGATTATTTGAAGTTTTGGATTCAAGTTGAATTCGATATAAAATTCAAGTTTATACGAAATTTCGTCAACCCCACACATGGCTAAAGGGCTAGCGTTTGAAACACATGGCTTGGTTTGTACCGACAAACTGCATTTTCTCCTACACTCCAGCTACTCTTTAATTTAAAAAGGAAAAAAGAAATGACAATTTTTGAAAAGAGAACATTTAATATTAGTAGGTGTTTGTTTACAGTAACCCTCAAGTCTCAACCAAAAAGGGGATGCCATGGGTACATGAGCTTTCAAAGCCATTAAAGAAATGTTGGGTTCCTTCCATTTTATCTTCATTGTGCCAATTCCTTTCAACACAAGTATACTCCTCCAGGTCAATTGCAAAAAATTGGGTGGCTCGACCATCTATTCTGTTAACAGAAGCACCTATAAAATGATTGATCAATCTTCAAGTTAAAATAAAATATATTATATCTGATAATTTAAAAAAATAATTTTAAATCGTTCGTTATTCATTTGAGATATTTTGATAAAAAATTATTAGTTGAATTTAAATTTAAAATTTTTATGCCGATTGAATCAACCTTATAGTGAGCTAATAACAAATTAATTAAATTGACAAGTTGATTTTCATTATGAAATATTTTGGATTCTAAAACTGATGGCTGGTGAATGATTTTTTGAGAAATGAATTAATGTTGAATCAAGGAGCGGAAATCATTTGGAAATACAAAATAAAGAAATTTTAAGACAAAGGGTTGGTGAAGGCAATTAGAAAAGGTTAAACCAAACAACTGTACGTTGTTGCATTGGGCTTGTGACACATGATTTGCCCCAGTGAAAAAAAGGTGAACAGCAGAAGCAATGGAAAAAGAGGAAAAGTAAAAGTTGGGTTTGAAGGTAATTATAGGCATGGAAAGGCGACCAGACTCTCTTTCTCTCTCTTGTTGTTACAGTTGGGAGGTTTGGGACAGATCTTTGGCCAAGTAAAAAAGCTTGACGAAGGAAACAAAGAAAAACCCAAACCCCAGACTAGCCCTTGTTTTTTCCTTCTCTGTCTCTTTCTTTTTCTTTCCTTGCGTGAGACAGGACTATGATTGAGTGAACCAGACAAAGATTACCTTCCTGTCCGAACTTATCTTCTTCATCTTACTTGTTCTTTTTTGTTGTTTTTTTACTCCTTCCATTTTGGTTTTCTGATTAGACCCGTGAAAATAAAAAAGAAATGGGTAATGCTGCTTTTGTTTGGTTGGTGGTCAAGTGAAATGAGTGATCTTTATTTTCCCCGGAAAATAAGGGAAAGTGTGAGAAAATAAGTATAGGCAAAAACCAGCTGGCGAGAAAAACACCAGGATTTTTATTTTCTTGTTTAGTACACTTTCAATCTTCTTTTCCTTCTGTGTTTTTGTTTTACTTTTTGCTGGGGCTGCAACATTTGAGGAGGAAATGAGGAAGCATGGTTGGCAACTTCCTTATCATCCACTCCAGGTGCTTTGTTTTTTTGTTCCTTTTCTTGTTGCCGTTCCTATTATGATGTAAAAATTCTGAGCTTTTTTGTTGTTTCAATTCTGGGTATTGAGCAAAGTTTCCCTTTTCTTTACTTCTCTTTGTGAAGGTGGTGGCTGTTGCTGTGTTCTTGGCACTTGGCTTTGCTTTCTATGTGTTCTTTGCTCCTTTTGTTGGGAAGAAGATGTTTCAATATATTGTGATGGGAATCTATACTCCTCTTGTAAGCCAATTCAACATCTTCCTTTCATTTTTTTCTATGTTTTAAGAACATTTTTTAGTGGGTTGAATTGAAGCACTGAGATCCATGTTTTCCTTGCTTGTTTATCTCTGATTCATGTGTTTGTTTTTATCACTCTGGTTCTTTTCTCTAAAATCTGAGGGTCCTTTCCTTTTCTGAGTCATGTTTTTCTTTTGGTAGTTTTATCTTAATGGACTCTCTCAAACATATCATCAACCTGTCACATTAGCTGATAAGGGCAAATGTGTTACTTGTCTTTTAGCTACTGTTCCTTTTAGCAGGCACTGATTCTGTACAAGAATTTCAAATTTTGTCCGTTAAAAGATTTTTAGTTGCTCACTTGATTTGGCGTAAGACTAAAAATTTCAATTTCTTCAGATTAAGTGCTGATGGTATGCCTCTTCGTTTTGGATCATGCGTTCTTGGATGAAGTAGTTTAAGTTATTGATGTTCAATTCCTTTATGGAAGAAATTAAAAAACATCCGGCTCTTCCCCCAAAAACCTGAATTCCCTCTTGAGGACAGCTTTGAGTTTCAAAATGCTGCTTAGGTTTTAACTCTTTCCTTGTAGTCCATTTTCCAATGCTGATCAGAAGGTAACAAGTTAGTTAGCCTGTTTAAGTACATTCCTTTGAACTCTAAATGGTATGCTGTTTAAAAGTATGTGTTGGAACTATAGATGATTAAAATTGGTACGTTGGACTCAAGTTGTGGGCTTTAGCTTAGCATTTTAGTTTGAATTGCATTCATGGAGGTAATGAAATATGCTAGCGATTTTTATGTGCTTGTCCACAAGTCATAATTAATCCTAACATTCAATGTAAGTATGCATGGTTGAGTCATTTCGTGAGTTTTGTCCACAAGTAATAATTAATGGTACTTTAATATTGTGTATAATAGCAAGTTATATATGGAACCCACTGTGGTTCTCTCTTTTATTGCATTTGATACGTCTTTATCACCTTGGAGCTTTAGTAACAATATTTTCCCTTTAGATTACATGTTGCTTAGGCCTATATATTTGGTGTGCGGCTGCGGATCCTGCAGATCCTGGAGTTTTTAAGTCTAAAAAGTATCTCAAAATTCCCAAAAATGGAAAATATTCTGGACTGAAGGACTCTAAATTAGGTGGAGATTCAACTGCATACTTGCATGATGATAATGCTACTTTGGCCGGAGGAAAAACTCTGGAAAACGATGCAGCAGCTACAAATGAAACCATGAAAGATACCAGCGTTGAAATTGAGGGAAACAATGCTTCAATGAAGCAATCATCTTGTCTGCTATGGGTTTTCTCTCCTTGTGCATTTATCTGCAAGTGCAGTACCTCAAAAGAAGAATCTTCTGAGCAACAGATGAGTGAAGAGGGCATGTTTTATTGCAGTTTGTGTGAAGTTGAGGTACAGAAGCATTTGACATCTTTAAAGTTCTATCCTTTTTTCTTCTCCTTTATCAGATGATTATTAAGTTATGTTCCCTATGTTGACATAGCGTAAGAGGGGATAAAAGTAGCTCCTTAGTCTGTGATTGCATATTAATGGCCTGGTGTTCATAAGTCAACTGTGCCTGTTTTGAATTTTACTGGAAATGTGTGCAAAATGAATTATGGGAAAGGATATCTTGGAATGACAGCTGCTTTATTTGATCAAATTAAAACATAATGGCTCCGAGGCTCATGGATTTTGCATTTGTAATGTTGATATTAAGATTTATGCTGTTGCCTTTTATTTTGACATCATAAATAGTTTATATTATTATGTTTATTATTCTTGGCAGGTTTTCAAATATAGTAAGCACTGCAGAGTCTGTGACAAATGTGTTGACCATTTCGATCATCACTGCAGGGTACTGCTGGATCTTCATTCGGAGGATACTTTTTCCAGTTTATTAGAGATTCTGCTAATGCTTCTTTATTTCCCTTGGTTTTTTTAGTGGCTAAACAATTGCATAGGAAAAAGGAACTACCGACAATTTTTCACCCTCATGGTTTTTGCTCTTCTATTGGTAAGCACTGCCTCCACCTTCTATGTTCAGATCAGATCAGAATCGTCGTGTTACATTATGTAATACTGTATATTCCTTTGAGATCCCAGATTCCTTTATAGCAATCTCTTCCTTAGATGCATCTCAGATCCTGATCTTTGAGAACAAAACACTAGGCTTCTTATTTGATAACAACAATATCAGCTCAATGTTCCATTGCTCAATTTGGACCTTACAATTAGCCTTTATTATCTTGTCCCTTAATCTTTCAATCAAATGCCAAATTCATGTATAATTCCTATGCCACATAACATAATGAGATTGCTGCCATGATTCCACAGTTGCCAGAAACGAAGAAAACCCAGAGTAAGCCTTTTATTTTCTAGTCATTTTCATTTTAATTGAATATTGACAGGTATATACATGGTTTGTCCACCTTGGGCTTGAGATTGCAGCTTATTCTACAATGGTCAACTGGAATCCTTGTCCTTATCTGCTGTTTCACTGAGCGGAAGCAGTTTTCTATGGATATTTCATCAAAGTTAGGAAGCAGTTTCTCTTTGGTTCCATTTGTTATTGTGGTTGTAAGTATTCCATTAATATTTACATTAATCCTTATTTCCCCCCTCTTTTTGTAATTAATTTATGCTGGTACCGTTCAATGATATATATTACCAATTCCGAATTCTCTTCTAGCTTACTTAAGCATTTAGGAGATTCCAAAACAAATCCATCAATTACTAGCACCCTTGAATTTTAAAATGTTAAGTAGTGTAATTTCTTACTTTTACAGGCGTTGTGCACCATTTTGGCTATGATTGCTACATTACCTCTTGCACAGCTTTTCTTCTTTCACATTCTTCTCATAAAAAAGGTAAGCCTATCAATTTTTTTTTTTTTATCATGTGAAGGATGTTTTTGTTTTAATGCTCCAATGCAAGAAGACTTGAATTGTCTTCCCGTCTTATCTTGTATAATTAAAATCCTAATGAGTATTAAAATGTAAAGAAACAAAGAAAAAAAGCTAACAAGCTAGTTAGGTAATTCCTGAATGTGCCTCAGGGAATCAGCACATATGATTACATAATAGCTTTAAGGGAGCAAGAGCAAGAGCAACAAGGTGTTGGTGGTCAGCAGAGTCCACAAATGTCCCCTGCCAGCTCACTTACTGGATTAAGTAGTGCTAGTTCCTTTTCTACTTTTCACAGGGGTGCATGGTGTACACCCCCACGTCTGTTCCTCGAAGATCAGGTGATTTTGACAAAACCTTCCTCTGCAAGAGAATTAATATGAATATGAAATTGTATATTATACAATTGGTTTATTTTTGCTGAGAGTTGTTTGTCTAATTGGTGCTAGTTTGATGTTGTTCCTCCCGATACTGGATCTGTGAGTTCATTTGGGAAAAAAGTGGTAGGGGAGGAACCAATTAAGAAGAAGAACCCTGGAGCAGTTAAGATCAGTCCATGGACGTTGGCACGGTTAAATGCAGAAGATGTTTCAAAAGCTGCAGCTGAAGCAAGGAAAAAGTCCAAAATCCTGCAGCCTATGGTGAGACGTGAAGCCCCTTTTGAGCTAGAAGCAGATAGTAGCTTTGGCAGCAGTGGCCGGCGAATGTTCCCAAGGCCTGATGGCAACAGAAGACGAGCATCTAAGCGGGTGCGTCTCCCAGCTGACCTACCCCTGGAGCCCTTAATGAACATTTCTTCTAAAGCTGCTGATAAAGGTTTCAATGACACATCAAGTAGTTTGGCACCTCTTCAAAGGGAAGCTCGAAGTGCTTTCCAAACAAGCCAAGCAATGTCAAGCTCTGTTGGGATTATTGCTTCTTCACCTGAGAGCAGTTTAGACTCACCAGATATTCATCCTTTTCAGGTCTCCTCATCAGGAGCTGAAGAATCAAGACAGCTAACTGGTTTACCTGCTGTCAGTATGGCTGCTCTGAAGGGATTTCCATTACCTAGGTCTATTAGTGATGGTTATGAAGCATCTGGTGGGGAAGATAGTGATCGAGTTCCTTCAAGAATTATCCAGAAATCCACGAACTGGGGCAATATTCCCTTTGGTTCTGCACAGGATGAGAGGGTTGTTAAACTAAAAGCACCATCTTCATCCAGCCAGGCTAACAGTAGAATGCTGTGACTGATTGTGAATCAATGAAGTTGGTTGATTTCGGTTAAAAAGTTCATTCTTTAATTTCTGGTCCTAAGAATTCCAAGTGCCGAGTGACAATCATTCAATTGATCTGAAATTTTGAATATTGGCTTTTGGGATTCTTAAATCAGGCATAATGGGAAGAGATGACGATGGCTGTAAAAAAGACTTCGGTATCCATCGCGGCAACGCTAGCTACAAGAGTTTCATTTAAGAGTCAGTCATTTGGTGACAAGAAGGAAAGGTTTTTGGTATGTGTTGGGTATGATTCACCATTGTACTTCTGTGTGGGTTTTGATTCCTCATGGATGTCTCTTGAACATTTCCCGAGTTTCTGAAAAAAAAGTGAAAAATTTGCAGATATAGTCCATGTTGCATCTCATCTCTTCTTAACGTTCACAATGTGTCCCCCAGCTGGTGATCTTTACCCATTTCATTTAGTATAGCATTTTCTTCTTCCCACCTTCCCTTATAAGCTAAGATTTGAAGTTGTTGAAACTTGAAGCAGGCATTTGTTGAGACGAGGCCGATTGGGTGCTGCAACCAAGCTATGAATACAGAGAAAGTGAAGATGAGGCGGGAGAAGATACAAATTTAAGCTGTTTTGTTTACGTTACTTTCTCATGTTATTCTACTTCATGTTCTTTAGCGTTCTTCAAGCAAGGTTTTAGTTCGTACAGATGGATCAGCTCCCATACACCGCAAGTTCCCCCAATTATCTGCTATTAAGACCTAATGTCAAGTTGCTATAAAAAAACCAAACTAAGCCACGAGCTCAGTTGTGACGATTGAATTAAGCAGAGACATACCATCTTCAGAAAGCAAAGCGTGATTACATTCCTGCACACAATCTTCCATCCCCCGAAGCCATGGTGCCTTTAAGTTTTGAATTAACCACACCATCCAACCATGCCTTGGGTGCTGACCCACTTAAAGATGCAAGTGAACAAGACCCTGTTCATCCCAGATGACTCCACAAATAAGGCTACTTAACCTAATTAAAGGATGAATAGCAAAGACCAAACGGAACAGGATTTCAGAGGATGCTGTTGTTGGAGAAACACGAAGCTTCTTTATACAGATACAAACAATAACCACGGACGGCTTAAATGTGTTTTCTAGCTTATCTTCCCATTTATTAGTCTCGTAGCTTAAAACCATCCCCTTTTACTTTGAATCTGCCCAATATTTCAGTCTCAAGATTTAAAAGTTAAAAGATACAGGCGATTAGCTCAAAAGCTTAAGTCGGTGGTAACATTGTCAGATTCATAATCCCAGATACTTGCAAATCTTTCGAGCATGATTTCCAACATAGTCAAGTATGGCCTAGCCATCCAAGTCCAACAACCAAAAATGCCAGGGAAGTAAAGGAATCAGTCCACAAATGTTTCAAATCATAATATGGTCCCATTCAAGCAGCATATCACTCTTCAAATCCAGTTTCAACACATGAAAGAGTATAAACAAAATTAACAAGCTAAACAGTTTTCTCCCATATATATGCAAAGAGAAACATAACCAACTCAAAAACGTTCAACATTTGACTATTCTTACAAATCTGAAACATTTCTTTAACTTGTTCACACATCTTTCTTTTCATATATACACCTAAAACTAGAAATTTTCATCAACCATAAACAACGGAAACAACATGAGGAACTTTCCCATCATCAAAAGGCAAACTTACATACTCTCTTGCAAACTCTTCAGCAATCTCCCCAGCAAGCTCTCCATGTATAGCCTTGGAATACATATAAAAAACTGTAATTGCAGCCAAATTAGAAAGTATAAGCAACATTAAGAAAGTGGAAGTGACCACAATATGTATAACAAATGCCCAACTTTTCCATTTATCAGCAACTGCTTCATCCCATCCTGCAGCTGAGACCCACGTTAAAATCCCACTGAAGAACCCGTAAAACAGAAGCATCGAAAAAGCAATCCATTTCATGCCTTTAACTAAATTTTTACTTCGTTTCAATGGTTCAAGTCCCCAGCTCGATTCAATGACGACAACAACATAAGCAAATGCCCAATTCACTTGTAAATAAACCACAATACAGCTGAAAATAATTAAGAAAACCAGACAAAGGAAAATGAAATAAGGTGAAGAGAAATTAACTTGGAAGCCTAAAAGTTGGGTTGCTTTGACTAATGAAAAAAGGACTAAACCAAGAATTAAAAGGAACCCAGAAATGATAAGCTCGGATATAAGGCAAGTTGCCACGAGAGGGAAGAACGAAGTGAAAGCTGACTTGATAGCGTATACGAGCTTGACGGGTCGGCCATAAAAGCTGTGGAAAACGCTGTAAGTGATGGAACCAGTGGCGAAGAGAGAGAAGATGAAGATAAAGAGGGTGTAAAGGAGAGTGAAGATGAGGGGTTTAGCGGGTAAGATGGGGGGCTGTTGTTGAAAAGGGCTGAGGAAGCTGAGGTGGGTTTCGATGGTGGGAGTAGAGGATTGGGAGAAGAGTTGATAGACGGCGTGGTAGGCGGAGAAGGAGAAGGAGAGAGGGAGAAGGAAGAGGACAGAGAGAGCTAGGAAGTGGCGGGAGTGGGCGTTGATGATGCGTTTGGATTCGGATAAGATGGCGCAGAAATCGACAGGGAGGGGCAGAGGTGGTGGCGTTGCCATGACAGAAGAAACAGAGGAGGAGATGAGAAGACGGGAGATTGACGCAGGAAATGCATACAGCAATCGAGATGCTTTGTCGGTTTGTCCTTAATACGCTCAGAACAAACAAAGGTTTCAAGACATGTCAGATTGCACTTAACAATTGAGATGCCATATCTTCGTTTCAAGGGCCACCTCTCCAAGTCCAACAATCGTCATATTCACTATCAATACAACATGGAACATTGTATTATTTTAACTTTAGTTTTATCAAAAGCCCAAATTTTGATTCCAAAATGGCTCTCACTTGCTTAAAAGTGAGGCCCTCCAATGGTTATAGGCCTGTAACCATCCAAACCTGTTGACAAAAACTTTCCAGAAAAGCCCATTACAAGCTGTTACAGACTAACGAATGCGGGTAACATGGCATGGCCCCCAAAAAATGGCAGCTAACTTCGTTAGGCGTACGGCGCACCCTTTTGCATTGCAATTCAGCCGCGCCCGGGCCAAATCCACAAAACCCAAATTCACACATTTTCTAACCAATCCTTTTCTTGTTCCACCAGGCATTTAATACTCGGGAATTTCCCTCCAATCCCACCATCTTCACGGTTTTCACTTTCAATTCCCTGTTTGAGTATTTTCTTCGTGACTTCTCAGCAGTTACAGATGTGGGTCAAGCTCTTTCAGATCTGATTTACACTTTTGCTTTCTATCGTTTCCATTGTTTACATAGCTGCTGGGGATTGATATTTTTTCTGGGTATTGATTAAAATGGAAAATGCTGGCGTTACTTCTCCAGGAATGAGATTAGATCATTTAGAAAAAGAAGGATCTAAGGAAACTCAAGGAGGAAATTTTGAGCTAGAATCATCCCATGATGTTAGTGATCATAACCACCAATTCCATTCGATGAATGCGTTAGAGATCTTAAGAGAAACCGTTAGGATTTTACGGTACAATTCCTCCAGTTTTATGATCATTGCAGCTTTGTTAATTTGCCCTGTATCTGCGGTCCTTATGTCTAATTTGTTAGTTGACCAATCCATTGTGAAGAGATTAACTGTTAGGCTTTTTTTGGTTGCCAAAACCAGTGGAATCCCATTGAGACCTTTTATCAAACAGTCATGCCAACGTTTCGCTGAGACGGCTGTTTCCTCAGCAATGTGCTTCCCTTTGTTCATCACATTGTCTTTGTTATCAAAGGCTGCAGTGGTTTATTGTGTAGATTGTACTTATTCAAGGAAATCAGCTGATGTTTCCAAGTTTTTTGTGATAATCCGAAAGTTTTGGAGGCGGCTTGTTTCTACGTATGTGTGGATGGCTATGGTAATTGTTGCTTGTGTAACAACTTTCTTTGTTTTTCTTGTTGCGGCATGTAGTGTACTTTCTGTTATTGGGTTTACGCCTGATTTAATTGTCTATACGGTGATAATGATGGGGATAGTATTCTCGGTTGTTTTTGCGAATGCTGTTATTGTCTGCAATATTGGGATTGTAATCTGTGTGCTGGAGGAAGTTTCAGGACCACAGGCATTGCTTCGTGCTGGTGTTCTAATCAAGGGGCAGACTCAGGTTGGTCTTTCAATATTTCTTGGATCTACAATTGGGTTGGCATTCGTGGAGGGGTTATTTGAACACAGGGTAAAGACGTTGAGTTATGGAGATGGGTCTTCTAGGATCTGGGAAGGGCCTCTTTTGGTGATAATGTATTCATTTGTGGTGCTTGTTGATTCCATGATGAATACTGTTTTCTATTTCAGTTGCAGATCTCTTACCATGGAAGCCTCAGCTGATGATTGTCAATCAATGTTGGAAACCATAGCCTCTGCTGAATCGCTGGGTGTTCAATGACATCATCATGTACATTGTTATGCTATCGGCTAATATTTATTCAGTTCAGAACATGCAGTTGGAGCCGCCCTGAATAAATTCAGATATGGTTGCTAGTTCCATTCTTGGAGCACTGATGATGAGTATGTGTTGTTGTTTCGTCAAAACTCCAGCAACAAAGGGTTTTCTGCTCATGATATGCTAACGATGACTCTATCAACTCTTCCAAAGATATTCATTGCTCAGGTGCATAAAATTTCTTGTGATCTACCAATCATGGAATCAAGAATAGATATACAATAATTTGAGTCTCGATATATATGCATATAACCATTCATCACTTATATAAGATAGAATCTTTGATTTAAATGGTTTCATTCAAGTGATTGAACCTTTTCATGTTCCTTTTTCTATCCTTGTACTTCCTTCTGTATTCTTTTAAGCGCTTAATAAAATAGTAAAAAACAGAGCTTGGAGTATTAATTGTTATTAAGAATCATATTGAGCGATGAGAATGAATTGGTGTTGTTGCAGAAGAATCATATGAATCTGCTTGATGTTGAATAAATGCATTATTCTTTAGTCCAAAAATGGGATTTTAATTTAAATTTGTCTTTGATGATCTGAGTTTGAAGATACAAGTTAGATCGAATTAATCCTCTAATTACCAAGTTCACAGCTTGGGATTTCTTTTGCCCTATAGTGGTCATGTTCCTTGGACATATCTTTACTTTGTATATATTCTAATGTCTTCGGCAGTGAGTTTTCCGATAGTCGTGGACCGCTGAAGTTGCTTAGGTTTTCTAGTGCCAATTAGAGGCTTCGGTGCCTGCCTATTATTTCACTGCCGAATGAAATGGAACTGTTACTTGTCCTCATGACTAACACTCTTCCTGTGAGTGGTGAAGGACAGCACAATGAAATGGAACCACTTACCTGATTCCGTTCGCGGTGCTGCTACCTTTGATCAAGATTTCTAGTTAGAATGGCAATCTTGCAGCGCCTTTTCTTTAATTTGATGGGGTGGGGTGATCGATCCTGTTTGCAGAAAACAAAAAGAGGATATGTGCCATAGCCCTGGAAGCAAAAAGGATGGGCAAACCACCTAGCAATATGAACCATAGGTTATATATTTTTCCCAGTACGAGTTGTACCTTGATTTTGTGAGCAATAGCAGTTTGAAAAATGGGCAGGAGCCAGCAGCCAATCCACCAGCCAAAGTTGTACCTTGGTTTTGTTCCATTTTTTGCAGTTCCACCATGAAAAGGGTTATTAAAAGTAATTAGAAGCTTGTTTAAACCGTGGAAATGGAGAAATGGGAAGCATGATTTGGGCAAATTAGAGGGAAGAAAGATCTTTTTTACTATTTGCACTGAAACGAGGAAAAATTAATTTTAATTGAAAATTTTTAACTATAATTAATTAATCACGTCAAAAGTTCATGATATATAACTCTTACGAAATCAAATTTGTGAGATTAAAACCCGTTAAACTGACTAAAAATGGAAGAGGTTGGATCTTAACGATGATTTTGGACCAGAATAAAGACATAACTGAATATTAGTTTAGTCACCAAGACCTACGGATTGTTGTCAATTGTCTTGTTTTGCAACACTCGACATTTATTGACTCAATTGACTACAATCAGCAAAAACTAACTCGAAGTGGGCCTTAAAAAGTGATCTTTAAGACACTTAGATAACAAACTTGATAGAATATTGATAAGCTGCATTATTTTTTTTCATTGGTTGTTGATGCAAATCTTGTTTATTAACCTCACATGTAGCATAAATCAAGCTGCGAGTGAATAATTCAAATACTAACTCATGAAATAGATAGGAGGAAGATCAAGGGAGCTCCACATTTCATGATGACCAGCTTCGTTGCTCAAAGAAGTGTAAGCAGAAGGTCCTGTCTCTATTGATGTTTCTGGGATCCCATGCACCACCATTTCTTCACCATGTTTTTCCTTAACTTTGTTTTTATGCTCACCTTCTTGATTTGAGTAGCTGTCTCTATTCAGGTTAGATTGCTGTGCCGGTTTGTCATTGTCTCCTGATTCATGCTGCTTCAGCCTTAAACAGTCAGGTATTCCATTGAAGGCGTAAAGAGATGCTGAGAACTTGCGTTCATACTTCATTCTTTTCATCGTCTCTGTTAGCATCGATGGATCATCATCATGAATGTTCTCCTGCTGCTCCATTGGTGGCTCCACCATTTCCTCTGCTATCTTAAATGGAGAACAGTAACAGGATGATCCTAATGAATCCAGAAACTGGAAATCCATCAGGCCCTCCAGATCAATCTCTTCTCCGGACTCAGACTCTTCCCTTTTTTCCTTTCTCTCTCTTTCAATGTAACTGTTGCCATCAACATTGCCCCAGTTATCGTCCAAATGAATTGGTTTGAGATCATCACCATCTTCTGCTTTTGCAAAATTTGAACCAAAAGTTTGCAACATGCAATCACTAACAGTTGTAGAACTAAATGTAGTTATTGTAGAAGTAGAAGAACAAGTGGTAGAGGTATCACTGTTATTGATATTAATGCTACAATCTTCAGGCACATTGAAGAAATCATCAAAGCACTTCACCTCTCCATCACCTGCTTGATACCCCTGTGCGTTAACAGGCAAATTGGAAACCATGGAAGCAGCAGAAGCACTGTTATTTCTCGCTTTGAGCCTAAGCAAGAGAAGATTGGCTATTTTCGAGGGAAGAGCTGGTTTTGAATGAGAAGATGGGGAAAAGGCCAGAAATTGGTTCGAGTATTAGCTCCACGAAGCAAATAAGTTGCTTCATCGTAAGCTCTGGCAGCTTTTTCGGCAGTATCATAAGTTCCCAGCCACACTCTAATCTTCTGTATTGTGTCTTTTATTCCAGCTACCCATCTCCCAGATGGCCTTTGCCTCACCCCAACAAATCTTTTCCTTGTTCGTCGAGCTGCTACACCTAATGCTGCTACTGCTGCAGCATTATCCATCACCTTTTCATCAACATTGTAATTTCGTTTCTCTTCATCACTTGCTTTTCTCTTCCCCATCATCTTGCTTGGTTTGAAATGGTGTCAATGCACGTATAAGGGAGAGAAAAGAGGAAGCTTCCCAATGGGATGATTGATTGTGAGGGTCTTCTTGTAGCTATTTGTTTGTACTATGCTAAGTTCGGCTTTCCTGTGGAAATTTTATGCATACCTTTCACTTTCATGGGAGGGGGAAATTCAAGAAAAAAGTTAGCTATTGAAGTGAAAATTTTACTTTGACCAAGTCAGAAGAAGGTTATATGTACTGATCTCCTTATCATTTTTCTCTCAACTATGAAATATTACCGTACGTTCAATGATTCACTAGCAGTAAGCTTCACTCACATATGATGGCACGTTCCAATATTCTCTATCTTCAATCAAACATAGATTTCATTTGCCTACACTTAGATTTTTGGCCTGTTAACATCATCAAGTCTAGCCTTCTTGATTTTAACACCAAAATTTCTGAGTACATTGTTTCATATGTCCCAATGATTTATAGTTTCAGCATGCAAAAGACAAAATGGCTAAAGTTTCTTAAGAGGGAAGAAATGTGTATCAAAAGCTGCAGAGGCGGTTAAGATTTATATGCGGGATTATAGACACAGAAAAACTGGAGAGTTGATCACCTGCCAATTTAAAATACGATATAAAAATAAAATATAAAATAACATGGTTTAAAATTATAATAATAATAATTATATATAATTTTAATAAAATAAAAAAATTATATTTTATATTTTTATATCGACATAAATTATGATACATAATTTTTGTGTAAAATATGATATAAATTTTAATATTTTACATCATACGAATTTATAGATCATTGTCGGTTAAAAATGGTGGGAAAGTTTCCGGAAGAGAAGACGAAGTATCTGCTTCAATATGTTCCAGGGTTGCGTTTATTGTGTTGTTCTTTTGATTCTTTGAGATTACCACCCATCCAGGATGAACACATAGGAGGACAAATCCAGTTAAACAATGGCGTATATAATTTCGCTTTGTTGCAATAAAATTATATAATTATAGGAGTAAATGAATGAATAAATAAATAAGTCAAAAGAAAGACAAGGAGCTGGCACAGGCACATATCCCTGCTGCCAATGAAACTTGAGATCTCTCTAATCTCAGATTCTCCTCTATGTCTTCTAATTTCTTTCCATGATGATCCACAAGTGTAGAGGCAAAACGATATGGAAAACTTTCTCAAGAAAATTGTCAAATTTATCATGTAAAAAAGGATTATGTTTGGCTCATAATATCCTCCAATTCATTTATGCCCCTCAATTTAATAAAATTAATAAGGTTAATTGTAATTTAGTCCTTGAATTATATTATTTTTAACGATTTGATATTTATTAAAAAAAATTGTGATAAAAATTTGAATTTTGTCCTATCAAATAATTTACACGTTAAATAATTTTTTTTAATTTTAATTTATTATTAAGCTAATAATCAAGTATTACATTCATATAATCATTTATTATATCACTAAATAATTTACTAATAAACAAACTTTAATTTAATTAAACAACCAACCCACACATAATGACACTTGAATTTAATTTCTTAACATTTTAGGACCTCTTTCTAACCACTAAATCAAGGTCTCATTGGTTATTTAACTAATAATATTGGTTAAAATACTAATCATGTCAAATACTGAACAATAAAAATGTATTATATGTTATGATATTATTAATTTTTTTTAATCACATCAACTTATTATTAACAAAATTAGCTTATGAAACAAAATATTTAATGAAAATATTTGATTTAGTAACTAAGAAGCTCTTAATAGGATATAAAGATTTTGAATTCAAACCAAGACTTCCTCCTCATTTTCATGAGCTATGCTCATTCTATGTATAAAAAAAAAATTGATGAGAATAAAATTTAAATAATTAATCGTAAATATTTTTCTACATTAAATCGTGAAAAATATATAATTTAATAATTAAATCTCAAATTAACTCAAATTAAAAGTAATTAATAAAATTTAAAATAATATTAAAATATTAATTTTAGTCATATTTGATATATAAGATTACTAGATTGTTACTCATGCGATGCACGAATTATTTTTATTTAAATTTAAATAAAAATAAATATTAATATTATTAAATTATTAATATGTTCAAAATATATACAAAACATAAATGAAAAAGAAATGAAAAAATAAATCTACCTTAAATGAAGAGTAATATAAAAGTAATGTTAAAGTTTGTGAAAAGATGAAATATTGTTTGAAAAATAAGTTGAAGGAAAAGACGGTAAAGAGTCAAGCTATATAATTTTATTTAATCCATAAATATATTTTAATAATAATTTTAATTATTTAATTATCTTATATTTAAATTGATTTTTCATTTAAATCTTAAGAAATTTTAATCCATAAATATATTTAAATAATAAATTTATCTATAGAGAATATCTATTCAGATAATAATACTTAAATTTTAATATTTTATACTTTTATTTGATAGTTTTTTAATGTTTTATATCTTGACTCTATTCATAACAGATATCTTAAAAAAATTTTACTGCTAACATTTTTATTGTAAAGGTAAACAAAATTTAGAATCTAAATGATTCTTAATAACTAATTTCTCAAAAATATCATAGATTTAGATCATAAAATATTCTTACAATCGTATGATTAAAAACTGTAAAAATTATATATTAATATTGTTTAGCTGCACATGAAAAGCTTAAGAGATGTTGTAAGTGTAGAAGTGTCATTGATGCATCTGGCTTTATTTTATTTTTTAATTTTAAAAATTATGCATTTGCCTTTTTCACTAAGTTGAATTGATCCACTAATTGTTAGATAAATAATTCCCATTTTGTAACATAAAAATTAATCTCTGATCTTCATTTTTATCAAAGTTTATATGACTGTGTTAGGATATGTGTTTGTTTATTTATATATATTTTTATATATTTTTATGAAATATATTTAAAAGTTGTAGATAATGTAATAAGTATTTATAAAAAAATTAAAGATATTAAAAAATATTTTTTAAAATTATGATAAATTTAAATATTCATATTAATTTTAGATAAATTAGAAAAGATAAATTACTTTAAAATTGATTTTAAATTAAGATAAAGTGATGTACATGATAAAAGAATTTCATTAGAATTTAAATTAATTTTTGATTAAATTTTAAAATTTTAGATAATTTAATAATTTTTAAAAAATATATACTTTAAATAATTTAAAATTAATAAATATCTTATGTCTCATCATAACGAGAAGTTTTATGAACTATCTTACATATAAAAAAAAACCATCCATGTAAGCGTCAACGTCAACAATTATTATATGATTACTATGTATGTTGTAATATATATATATATATATATATATGAATGATTGATAAGATAAGATGATAATTATTTTATATTATATTTGATTTATATATAAAAAAAATAATAAGGATTATAAGGAAGATTAATATTTTTTTGGCATAAGATTATTTAATCATTTCAAATGAAAATGATTATTTTTAATTTATAAGATTAAAGTTATATATCAAATTATATCAATAATTTAAATTATATAAATTAAAAAACAGATAAATTTGACAAATAAATAAATTATCTTATTTTAATCTTTTTATACATCAAATATAAAATAAAACAATATTATTTTATCTTTTATATCACACGTACAAGTTCAACTGGCATATAAACTTTCAGCAAAATAAGTGCAATCGACCGCCTTTGAAGTTTCTTGCTGCTTAACTTGGACCAAAAGAAAGACGGTGAAGGACTTAAAGGGCACAAATCTGAGCTGAGCAGGAAGCGTGTGACTGAGGAACGGATCGATCCTTCTATTTTCTTCTCCGGGTGGAGGTGCGATTTTCACCATTATTAGTTTACTTCTCACATCAAGGTTTGTAGGGATTTGATTTTTCATGGCTCACTTTGATGTTTAAGTATTCCCCCTTGTTAACTCATATCTCTGTGGTCAAGGCGGAGCCTCGGCCACCGCCGTCGATTTGTCATCGGCGGTGTTATAACCTTTTATACCTGTTGCTTGATGATTATTGTCTTTTGATCTATTTGGATGGATAGTGAAATTGAAAATAGTAATAAAATTATTGTAGTTATCATTAAAACTTTTTTTGATAAAAAATTTATATAGAATAAATCTGATTGAAATTGATATTTAAATTCAACTATGATGATGGAGCTTAACTGCATCTGGAGGTGCGGTTGCATCCAAACATAGGCTTCGTAGTGCTATAATAATTTAATTAGTTAATATTAGAATCCCATTGACTGTTTCATTCTTTGTGTTGGTTCAACCGTTCAAGTGCAATCTATTTGTAACTTCTTGGGTTAATTTGCCTTTGTATCCCTTGATCTTTGTCCAATTAAATTGTTGATTTTGCAGGATTGGGAATTTCTAAGCATTTACAGTGTCTTCATCATATCTTCCGGTAATCACTGATTCAATTGCTCGGGCTCTGGAAGCCAAAACACCCTCTGAGCCATCTCAATCCTCCACAGTGTACTGGAAAATCGTTCATCTACTCCTGATGCTCTGCGGATTAAAGAGCAGGCTACACAAATCTTTTAGATCT